ACTCCGACCGGCTGTGCTGCTGCCGTACGTGATTGGTCGTGATTGGCTCGGCAAGGCTTCTGCGAGGTCATAGCCTGCATGCAGTGCAGGTATTGTCGCGGGAATAGTTGCACCTGAATGAGCCACCTGAATTGTTGCATGAGCCTGTGGATTGTTGCTTGGGAGCAGCGAGGTCCTGATTTCACATCCACGTGACTCCGGTGGTGGTCACCAACAGGCTTGCCTGTGATGTGGACTTTGAGGAACAAGATGAGAACATGGTGCAGCAGTCATGCTTGCGTGCATGCATGTGCCTTGGACACACTCGTGCGTGCATGCATGTATGCTCTCGGACATCCCTGTGATGCGGCGTCTTTGTAGGGTGTTGGATAACTGGCCGCGAGTAGGAACGTACTGCCTACTGTGCGTACTGTGCATTTCTGCGTTCGGTGCTGAATAGCTGAATATGCTACCCGAATTCTGCACGGATTTGTTTTTGTTGATTATTCAGGTCATTGAGGGGAAAGTATTGGGAGATAATGACGTGTCGTCGAAAAACAGCACTGAGTACGTGATTGGGTGGTCTAACGCAACTGTTTTCGCAACACAACTGTTTTCAACTGTTTTCGCCTAGGAGTCGAGTTGTATCGTAGTTAGCAGGCAGGCAACATGCTTGTGTGTGGTGTGGTATGTGAGATTGCTGTGGCTGCTATGTTTCGGGCAGTTAGTTGCCACCGCGATTGTGCAGGTGGTAGGGTATGTGGGTCAGAGCAATGACACGAACTGCTGAGTCACCGAAGCAATGGTAACTCAGCAGGTGCCTTCGTATTCCTTATGACGTTATAGTACGCCGGTGTGGAGTTACATCTACGAAAGGACGGTTGGTTTCCATTGTTGCGAAGCTTCCTTTGATCAGCTAGTTGGCGTGGGCACGTGGGTGGTGGTGCCCGCGCCGCTGTCACCGGGAACGCCACAGCGTGCTCCGGATGTGCTGCTGGCAAGATGGCAAGGAAGAAGGGCATAGCCCATGTAAGTCGCAGCGACCTATCCGGAATGCCCAACTAGGACAAAGCGGATAAGGATTTCCATCGGCTGGATATGCTAACCCACCCTTTGACTCTTAGATAGGCGTCGTGTACTAAATTGCCCAAATAGCGTTCGCGCCATCTGCCTCGAGGTTGGCGCCTTCGGGTTGGATGGAAGGCCAAAACCAGCTACTGGCGTTTGCAGTTTTGGTGAGCGCACGCTTTCAATAAGGAGCCCTGCCGTCAGGTCAACCTCATTTTATGTGTAAGGTGATGTGCGTTCCGCTACGGTGTTTTGCCGCTACGGTGCGTCCCCCTGGGGTCGCGGCCGAGGTTGACATTTGAACATGCTTGTATATCTTTGCAATGTTCAGGGAATCCAACACGGCAGCGTTCCAGTTAGCTACTTATATTAGTCAGTTTAAGCTTAATAAGATTCGGCTAATGGCGACTCCGGAGTCCCAGGACGTATCGTTGGGCCCCATGTGTACGATAAACAGCGACCGCAACTTCGCAAGACATATAGCAAGGCAGGAGAGCGCGTTGACGCTGTGCCGGTTTACATTGCAGCAAAGCCAATAGTACAGTAAAATTATCACTGGAAAAGGTATAGGCGCAATGGACCGTAACCCCTCGTCTACCTGCGTAGACCTGCTGTATTTTGGTAGCCAAAAAACGCGACTGCTAAGCAGGATAAGGTTAAGTACCAAATTCTTTCTCCCTTTCGCGATCATTATTCTTGGCGCTACTTTCACCTGGAGTGTCATGACTCGCCATCGTAAGATTCGTTTGAGCCCACTCTTTATTTTTGCGCTTTGCTACACGCTCTGCCCAATAATAGCTTTCTTCCGGTATAACCGAGTTCATGGTGCTTCACAGGCGGACCAACCATCATGCATGGGTCTACGGGTCATGGAGCAGCTACGAGCTTAAAGTCGTTAGCATCTGGATCAGCAGAACGTCAAGTAGCCAACCAAACGATCTCCATACGCCAACCTTCTTTAGCAGCTACTGTCAAGCCGGTTAAGAAGCTTAGGCTAAATCGACAGCCGATGGCAGGAGCTGCCAAGTCTGCTCTGCGGCTCGAGGGCGGCAGCGGTGGTCGACCAATGTTTGAAAATGAAGGCGCGAAGATGGTGGGTGTGGGTGCCCAATTTGTACTAAGGATACGGCATGTCGGTCGGCAAGCTGGAGGTTGCCTGCAAGGCTTGGTTTTCTGTGGGTAAACCTTGCACGGAGATGAGGGGCTTTCGCTACGGGGTTTGGTTTGGCAAAGCGAGTCCCCTAGTCAGCTAGCTGTCTCTGTCCATTCTGTAAACGGTAGCTTGGTAGGAAGTTAAAGCACTGTGTGCCCTACTTGTACGCTTGCCATCTTACGCCTCATGTCTATAGGTTCGGACCTAATTGCGTGCTCAGGAGTTGAATTCCTCGGTTGCTCGGTTTTAGAAACCCTGAGGACGACTTGCTCACTTTCCGACCCCTTACCCATGATGGCACCTGTTTGTCACATGTTTAGTTCTTTCCTTTGCCCCTCACCCGCAGACCAAGACTGAGGTTCTAGACCTGAGACGAGCCCTCGCCGTCATCAACAGGAAGGAGACCGACAAGGACTCCAAGCCAAATACCATCAAATGGGTTGTGTAGCAGACTAGCACTGCCTTGATAGGTAGCTCGAATGGTAGCTTGAAAGCTGTGACATCGGGCGACATAGATGTCCTGCAATCAAGCTGTAGCACAGGTGACGTAAGGCAGTTAGACGTATGAAAGCATGTTGATCCTGCATCTGCAGTGGCTTTTCCCGCCCAGTATGATGCGGCCTAACAACGTCTAAATTCAGCCGTTTCTGACTGGCGTGCGGTGTTTTGTCTCTGAATGGCCATTTGCTAGCTCGTACATTGGAGCAATGAGTTGCAGTGAGCGGCGCAGCTGTTTTGCTATTCATCTCCTTGTGGGTACTGCAGAATCGCATGTAGTTCGGAGCTTTGTAGTTTACAATGTAAATGGTGGTGTTGGGCGATGTTATTAATGTGGCATAGGAAGGGTGTACACGACCCTTGGGTCAACACTTGGCAGGATGCTGGTTTCTAATTCGTGAAAAAACTTGTGGTGTGGATTTTACTGGACAGGTGTGGATTTTACTGGACATCGTGATCGGGAACGTGAGCAACATCGCCATCTGTGTCGTATTTCCGCATTTTCTGTGTCCCAGCCTAGCTCATGGTCACAACATGTTGCAAACATGTAAAGAAGTGGCCAGGGACTAGATATTGCATCGCTGGCAGCGCCAAAGTCCGTGGGCGGCTGGGATGAGGTTGTACGACGCTTGATCGCCCGACACCTGATCATTCCAGCGGCTATCCAATAGGCTAGTTCACTTTATTTCCTTGTCACTTGTATTCCTTCTTTGGAGGGTCTCTATGCATCATAGGGCAAGCCCACGCGCAGCGACGATGGAGGAAGGAGGATGGAGCCGCTTAACGCTTCGCCGACGGGCTTGGCAGCTTGAACGGCAGCTGGGCCGATATGGTGGCTGTGCAACATGGCTTCATACCAGGTGTAGCCTGCTGAAGGCGTATGTTGTCTATTCATCATTGTAATGACTGTTCTGTAATCCATTGTCGTGCAAGTTGTGGCTTTCCTTCCAGCAGATGCGCCTAACACGGTGCTATGGGTCACCCCACTTGATGCACACGCAGGGGGATAAATGGGAAGAAAGGCAGGGGGAGGGGGAGTCCCCCCCCTCGGGGTGATGCTTGCCGCTGGGTGACAGGGGAGGTAGGGGAGTCTGCGCTCGTCTAGGAGTGGAAGTTGTAATGATTGGCACGACAATCCATCATGCTGTTCATGCTACCTTGGCTTGCTACTAACTTACAGAAAGACACACGTATGTTGTTCACGACAGGGAAGCAAAGAAGCTACCCCTGATGCATGTAATCCCTTGCATACCGCCTTAAACACCATACGCCAGCAGGCCCTCCCAAGCCCTGAGGAGAGACGAAGAGGCAAAACACAAGGGGGCACCACATCCCATCATCCCATCTCCATTTGAGGATGTCCTTGCACGCGGCCTCGTGTAAGCCATCCCACCCCCCACAGCACCGGCAACAGTGCATTACTTCACGTAGCTAGGCAGACCTCATGCCTGCGACAGCAGTGAACAGTCGGACGGCACCCGCACACCCACATGCTCCCCCGCACAGGTAGGCGGTGTCCGTCCTGCCAGCAGTCGCGTTGCGTCCCCTCCCCTCACCTCCTCCGCCCTCCCTTGAGAGCTCCTCCCCCCCTTGCAGTGTCCCCCATCGTGTGTCCTCCCCTCCCATCCCATGCAGCTGTTGCCTCACATCACCATCCAACCGCCCTTCCCCAAGTAGGCACGCAAGCAACCAACTGACACGACCACCTACCGCCCTAGTCCGTACCTTCGACCGCCACCGCCGCTATCCCCGCGCGCAATCGCTATCCAAGTCCCTTCCCCAAACTCCCGCCGCCGTACCAGGTGCACGCTGCTCCCTCCTCTTTCCCCCCTCCTCGCAAACCTCAGCGCCCAGCCTAACGCAGCTAACGGGTCGTCCCGCACACATCAGCTACCCGACACCCCCCGCGTAAGGGGCACTCGCATTCGCCCATCTTGCTCTTCTTTCCTCCTTCTCCCCCCTCCTCTTCGTCCTCCTCCTCCGCCCGCCTAGGGCTGCACCGCCCCGGCCGGGTCCCATCAGATGCCCACCCGAAGCATGACCCGCACACCACCCACACAAAAACACACACACAACCCGCTGCTAAAATGTCCCAGCAGCGCCCCAACCAACCAACCAACCCAACCCGGCAATCCCCCCACCGTAGGGTCTTCCCCCGTACCCCTCCACTCCACCCCCACCCGAGCCCCCACCCCCACCGAGAGTCCGCGACCTCACGCTGCCACCCTCAGCCGCCGTGGGCGCGTGTCGCTGTGTCCAGAAGACAGGCCACGAGGAAGTGAGGACGTACTGTGATTGTCACGGTGTGTGCAAGAGCCTCTGCGACCCCCCTGCATGCGATGCGCGCCTCTGCATTCAACCCCCCCTCAGTACTTGGGCGCCCGCCACAACCGCACGCGCTTGTCCCGGCTAGCAGTCGCCAACACAAACACCACAGCTCCCGCTGCTGCTGCCGCCCCCGCAGCCCCAGCTGCTGCCCCCCCCGGGAGCAGCTTGCGAGGCAGCGGGCACCAGCGCATGCAGGTGATGGGGCCGTCGTGAGCCGCGATGCGCTCCACCAGCTCGCCGCTGCGCAGGTTGAGCAGGTGTACGACACCCTGTCGGGAGGTCGTACGACACAGGAGGGTTGGGTGAAGTACGACGAGACAGTAAGAGAGGAACAAGGGCTTTGGCACACGTTGTGGGCGAGATGTGACGAGGTATGACATGCTATGCGCGCCCTGCACTAACTAACAAGTCGCTGCTCAGGTTTCGCTGTTCAGGTGTACGACATCTCCCGTACATATCGTACCTCATGATGTACAGGACACGACATGAGAACACAGATGCCGTACTGTCGTTCCCCTGCCATGGCCAATGCCTACTTTGGACACAGCTATCGCTGCAGTACATCCCCATAAAAGTTGACCCCCTTGTCGTACCGCCCCCACTCCTGCCGTACCTCGTGGGATGCCGCCAGCAGATCCGATCCGGGGGGTCCGAACGCCAGGTGCTGGTAGATCCGCCCCTCGGGCAGCGGCATGGGGATCTGCGGGCGGGGGGGGGGGGTGCGGGGGGGGGGTGCGGGGTGCACACCAGCTGAGCCTCGCAACAACATCACTGACAACGGATGTAGACCCAGGAGAGGTGCACTGGCGGGGTGTGTATGTTATATAGTGCAGGGAAGGAAAAGTGGGTGTGTGCATGGTATCTAAGGCGCAACGCTTTCCTTCTCACCGCCCCCTGCCTCCAGACTGCCCCGAGCCTCCCTCCCTCCCCACATTCGGCGTATGGTATGGGACTCGTTGCTACACTTATCAATTATTCTATCCCCACATTCCTTCCCCGCCGCGCCCCCCCCCGCCAGCCCCCCTTCATTCACTCACCGCAAGCAGCACCTTGGGGTCCTCACTCAGCTCGTAGCGCACATCGATGTTCCATACCTGCGTGGGTTGGGAGGGGGAGGGGTAAGGGGAGGGGGAGGGGGAGGGAGGACAAGAAGGAAAACCATGCTTTGAACAATAGTGGCTCCGGAAGAAGAGGAAGATCCGGTGGTGAGAGGGATGTGCCGTAGTAAGCAGTTGGTTGTCAATTGGTTCGCAAGTGGCAGATCCTTCTTTCTCTTCTTCTTACAGGCAGCACCCCATGGTGAAGCCGTGTCATACCGGTACAGCTTGTCCGTTTTCTAGCTACCCTCACTATCCTTCTCCTCCCCCTTCCCCCCTTCCGACTCACTTTGAGCATGCCGTCCTTGCCGGCGGTTGCAGCCCGGCAGTTGTCGTACGACAGGCCCACACACGCCACCTGCCCCCGGTGGCCTGACAGGTTCATGGCCTTGAGCAGACCTGTGCGGGGTGGGGTGGGAGTGGTTGGGGTGTGAGGGGGTAAAACATTATATAAGTGAAACAACGAGTCACTTGAGGGGGTGGGGGTGGGGGTCGTGGGGCGGGGGCTACGTCTTGGGGTTGGGATTACCGGTACGGCATCATGGTTGGCACACCACGTCAACCACCGCAAGTGTGGTTGCGATCCCGCGTTCCCTGCTCTCCCTGCTTTGCCCTCCTGACACTCCTCCCCCGCCCTCTCACCCCTGAACTCCCCCTCCCTCGAGTATTTCATCTCCCAGATCTTCACATCCGAAGAGAAGGTGGCGGCGGCGATGAAGCGGCCGTCGTACGACACCGCAAGATCGTGGTTGGCAAGCGCGGAGGGCTCGAAGGAGGCGAGCAGGGAACCCTGGGGAGGGGGTCAAAGAAACACCAAACCACAAGTGAGGGCAAGAAAAAGGGGAACCCGGGCGAGGGGAAAACATTCCGACCAAGATCAAGATCTATTTGGTAACGACAACGGCCCCGTGATATTAGGAGGGGAGGGGGAGGAGGGGAAGGGAGGGGAGGGGAGGATGACGGAGGGCAGCGCAGGGGGGCGCATGGAGCATCTCCATGTGTCATACGCCATGTGCTACTCTCTTTGCCCTTTGGCCGTACATGCATGCCGTACACATGCATGCGACTACCCTTCTGTTGCCGTACAGCGCCCCTCCCTCACCTTCATGTCGTACACCCTGCCCTCCCTCTTGGTGGAGAGGCTGACCACGTACCCGCGCCGCCCAACTGCCCCCTCGCTCGGCACGGAGGCGGCCACTGCCGGGAGGGCGGGCTCCTTGCCATGCACGTTGCCAACCTGGGGGGGAAGGGGGGGAGTAGCGAGGGCGCAGGAGAGGGAGGGGTTAATAGACTCAACAAAACACACAGAATACACATACGCATCCATGGACACGCTTTCTGCCGTACCTACCGTCCACAATGCGCCGTACGCTTATGGTGTCTTCCCCCATCCCCCCCTGATCAACCACTCTCCTACACACAGCCCCCAGCATAAACACACCAGTGCCGTATACCCAACAAAACACACATGCATGTTGCCATACCGTCCATAATGCGTCGTACACCGGCGCCTCCCCCGCCTGCTTGACCACGGGGCCGTACAGCGCCACCAGCGTGTCCGGGGCGCCGCGAAGTACGGCAGCCAGCTGGTCGGGGGAGTCTCCGAAACCCACCCCGATGGGAATGCGCGCCGTACGAATGCGCTTGAACTGCGAAGAGGCAGGGGGGTGTAAGGGAGGATGAAAGGGGGTGGAGGGGGTAAGGGTAGATCTATGCGCGGGTGCAGCGTAGAGGTTAGGGGCTTCCTGCGGTCGGCCCGGTGGGGGTCCGCAGGCGGCGAGAGAGGCGCAGCTCACCCATCCAGCCTTGCCCTCACTAACTTGTGGGTTCCTTCGAAAACACAAAGTTTGCTTTCTCCCTGACCCCCTCCCCTCCCCCGACGCATGGTTTTCCTTCTCTCCCCCACCTTGGGGTTCTTGGCCCCCACGTCCTCCCCCAGGTCGAACAGTCGCAGCGTCATGTCCTCGCACGCGCTGCCCAGCAGCCGCCCGTCGCGGGACCAGGCCAGCCCGGTCACCGTGTCACCGTGGTCCTGCGGGGGGGTTGGGAGGGAGGGAGGCGCAGGGAGAGGGAAAAAGAAGGAGGAACATGAGGGAGGGAGGGAGGGAGGGGTGGAGAGGAAGAACGTAGGGAGCAGCGCAGCGGCGCGCTGTCGTGCTGGTGAGCCGCTGGGACTGCTGGGAGGAGGAGGCGAAGTCGCGGGCGGCACCGCATTGAAACACGGGCGGCACCCTCTCCCCGCGGCACCCTGACAGCCTCCTCCTCCTCCTTCGCCCCCCATGCACGCCTCTATCCCCCCCCAAGTCAGTTTCCTAACTTTACCCCCCGGGGTAGTGTTACCGCACCTTGAGCGTGTTCAGCCACAGCTCATGATGCGACATGGCATCCTCCTTGCTCGTGGCGCTGCGGGGGAGTGGGTGGGTGTACGGCAGTTGCTTCAACTTCAGGACGCGGGTGGGAAGGGCGGCAGCAGGGCGTTTGGGCGCCTGGCGACGACGCCAAGGAAGGGGGCGAATGATTGAATGCTAATTGCATGGGAAGGAATGAAATGCCTGCAGGCGGGAGGCTGGCTGGCTGCTGCTTCCTTCTGCTATTCCTCCTTCTCCCCCCTCGTACCACAAAAGGAGGCATCTTCTGTTGCAGGACAACACCCCACCCGGAAATAGCCATTTGGTCAACCCTACCTGCCACGTATCTGCTGCTCGACAGTCGCTCATCATACCCGCCTCAGGCTGCGCTTCGCAAGCCCCCCACACAAACGTATGCCCGACAAACATGTATGCTCCTCTCCCTGTCACGCTGACGCTCCGAACCCGCGCTAGAGCCGTATCCTTTGACACCACCCTCCCACTCTTTCCTACCAAGAACACTTTCCAGGGCAACAGATTACCAGCATCACACATGCCTTCCACCGCTTAGCGGTTTACTCGAGGTCCCCCCCAACAAGAGGTTTACCCGGTCGCCCGGTCCCCTAGTAAGCGGTGTACTCACCCCTTCTTCTTTGCTGCGGCCTTCTCTGCCTTAATGAGCGACTTGAGATCCGGGCCACGCTCCTTGCCGGGAGCGACCGAAACGGAGGCCACCGGCGTACTGCGTTGGGGCATCGCAAGAACCGAGTTTGCTGGCTGAATCCCTCCTTCCTTCCCTCCATAAACAGGCAACCCAGCTGCTCAAGAGCGCAGGTGCCGTAAGAAACGAAACAGGGGAAGAGATTGGCATGAAGGTGTACAAAGGCAGCAATGTGACCGGGTCGATGGAGGGGGGCAATCACTCACTCGACATCGCTGTCCGACGTCTTATCCTTGGCTGCCTTTGTCTTAACCGGCTTAAGCCTGTGATGGAATGAAGTAACAAGTAACGTATGCCCGACCGCTTGCGTAGCAATGCTGCGCACCAAAACATAATCCAGAAGACGCGCAGAACCCACTTGGCCTTTGAGCTATGCGATGGAGCCAGTGCACGCCCCGCTGCACGGATGCATCCAAGCAGGGCGTAGACCAGGTAGCCCAGGAATACTACTGCGCTTGCACCTGAAGGAATGGCAGCAGTTCAGATCACATGATCACCGCTGAGGCATGAGGCTGTTACTCAGACTTGACATACCAGCTATAACTAACACGACTTGACTTGACTGGCTTAGGGCAACGCCCTCTTCCGTAGCTGTCATCCTGGAGGCTGTAACTTCGCAGGAGCTTCAAGTGACAATGAAAAGCAGCACGCATATACAAGATGTCTTTTTCCTTAATCCTACAGTCAATAGGTCTAAGGTTTGCCGAAGGTTAAACAGAAAGGCCTCGCCGCTGTTTTTTCAGTTCTGGTTTCGGTACCGGTGGACAGTAAATGATGCAAAGCCGCAAGCCCGCCATATGAAATTCACAAGCGGTTGGGCTCATGCTTATTGTTTAGCGAACAAACGCCGCACATCCATGTTACCGGTATCCGATGCGATGACTCCCCTTGCCCGGCTCGATGGACAGCTTTCCCCTCGCAGAGGCCCCTCGCCATTCCCGCCCGACCCCACTAAGCAACGACATATCCTTTATGCAGCCCGAACCTTATCGGAACAACTGCCACTGGTTTGACCAGTGCCTCACCACCCGCAACCTCCTGTTTTACAGTCTGCAATGTTCAGCGCAAGAGCAGGCCGCTCCCGTCCAAGTTCGCTCCCTCCCGACCCCCTGTACGCCGCAACGCTCCCGTCATCCCATACATCCATGTCGTTCACCTGCTTGCCACTTGGTACTACACACCGTTTTCTCCATAGGCCCTCCGTCCTCTCCAGGGACTTGGCATTTTTCAGCCGCCTGCTGCCCCACGACCGCTATCTAGCTGCGGTGCGGGAACGCGAGCTTCTCCGATCAACTTTAACTTGCCAAGCAGTTCTCATTCGGCCATACAGTACCCATACATTGTCCGTGTCGTATATCAATAACCCACTTGAAAAGTCATAAACAGAATTGGTTAAACCCTTTGTGTTTTCATCGGTTGCACAGTTGCGCAGCGTCAGTATTGCAGACAGTTGCATTGTGCACCCTTCCTCCACCCTGCCACACCACCTCCTCGCTTTTCACAGGCATTGTGAGGCGTTGTGAGGTAACTGCCACATCATTTCTACATGCCTGTCTAAATCTCTGGCACCACATCACACCCATGGCATGACACCGTGAACGCGCATGCACCCCCAGTCCCCCACCGCCCTGCCGGGTTTCCCCCCAGTCCCCCACCGCCCTGCTGGCATATATAACCCCCACAATCCGCCTCCTCTTCACTTCTTTGCGACCAGTGCAATAAAGTAAAACACCACACCACACCACACCCGTGCAACCCCGTCAAGGCTCCTGTGCTCCAGCCTACATAGCTCACCTGGACTGCCTCATCCTCCTCCAGCCTACATAGCTCACCTGGACTGCCTCATCCCCCTACACACGCTACCTACGCACTCTCCAGGCCACCTCGCCCACCGCTCTACACGTCTCACCTCAGCTTGCCGCAGAGAGCAGCGCTTTCCAGCCTTTATTGGCTGCCCCTGATGCTCCCGCGTTACCCATCTATGCTATTGCTTCGCCTGCCGGCCTGCATGTCAGCATGTCTACCTGCCGGGCTGCCAGCCCGGCATTCTGTTGAACCTGATGGGTATGTTTTGCTTCTCGCCCAGGAACTGCAGCAGGTTCTGAGCCAGCGTCCAGTTCCTCTGCGGCAGTGCAGCGGTAGTAGCGATGGCGGCAGGGGTGGCAGCCGGTCAGGATAGTAGCTATTGGAGAGAGGGATCAGGCCCACGGCGGCGCAATAAGATGCAACAGAGAACATAAGATACTGCATGAATCTTTACGAGAAGATTTGGATCCGCATGAAAACAAGCCCTCCTGCGCCCTCCCACCCCGCCCAACCTTGTGGCACCCTGCCGCCTCCTACTCCTATCCCCTGTGTCTCGCCCTCACTTGTGGTATGATATCTCTTTGACCCCCACCTTGCCCGCGAACTGCTGCAGCCCTGCAGCCCCTCAGTCAAACCGCTACCCCTTCACTACACACAGCTTTCCTTAGCTGACCTCTCCACCCACCTTGGGGTCGTACATGTCGCGCAGGTACACTCGGAACGCGTGGTCGGGGTTATTCTTGGTGTATTCATCGAACAGCGCGTGCGTCTGCACCAGCTCGTCTTGGAAGGTGTTCGCGGTGCGGCCGACGGTGGTGTTGTCCATGTAGAAGAGCTTGGCGTTCTGCTCCAGGGAGGGTGTGTAGCGCGTGTTGAAAATCATCTGTGGCGAGGGAGGGCGCGGGTGCGGGTGGGGCGCGGCTGGGTGGGTTGGGTGCGGGTGGGTAAGGAAGAAGGAATACCGTGGTGCGGGTTGGGTGGGTGGGTTACCAAACTGGGCCGCGATGAAACATGAGTGGCAACATTTCTTCATTTCTTCCTCTTTACCCACCCGCCCACCCTGACCTTCCAGCTGTACGCAATCCAACTTTTCCAGCCTTGTGCGGAATACCATCCCCTCTAGCCCACCTTGACCTCGCCGCACAAGCCCCGCAGGAAACGAGTGAAGGCGTGGAAGTTTTCAGTACACGTGGCTCGGTGGCCAAAGTACGTCCCGCACACGTAGCGGATCTCCTTGAAACCCGACACGGTACCTGCACGAACGAGTGTGGGGTGAAGCAGTACAAGAGCTAAGAGGGGACACGGGCGCGTGTGTCACAGGTAAGTCGTCCGGCCGTGCAATTAACCCTGGCCATGTATGTAGTAGGAGGGTTCAGGGTGCGTGTGTTGGGTGAAGTAAGGAGCACGTCAGCCAGCTTTAGGACAGCGGGTAGACGCGCTTCCTGGCCGGGTGCACCCTGCCCGGGCCCTTTGCAAGGCCCCCTAGCAGGTCGACTCCTGCATGGCCTCCTTGCACGCAGGTGTGGTGCTCGCTTCAGAGGCTTCTAGGACACAGGGCACTGGCAGCGGGATCAGGGGCAAGTGCAGGGTGCAGATGCGGGCCGGCATGCGCCTCTCCTTCGCGTACTACTACCGTACGGCAAGAAAGGTAACATGTGTGCTTGTCTCTGCTCTTCTGCTGACTGCTGCTGTTAGTATGTCCGGAGACTCCACCCCTGAATCATGTCGTACCTTCCCCGTAATGTCCGTACAACACAGAGTAGTACATGCGCGTCGCCAGCATAATGCGATCGTCCATGATTTCGCTAAACAACGGCAGCCGTGTTATCGGCGCATGTCGCTCGTACGCCTGCTTTATTTCCGAGGCGCCGTCGTTTGCATGTTTGGGCCACTCAAACAGCTCCTGCCCGGGGCCAAACTTAACCTCCTTCAGTCGCCTGCGCCAGTAGGGGCATGGAGCAGCAAGAACAGTAGTATTTACGACGCGTATGCGCGACATGGAAGTGTTGTAGGGAGTATGCATTGTCGGGGGGGAGGAGGGGAAAAGGGAGCCTAAAAGGCCACGTCCTGTATATGGGCCCCAGAGCGCAGGCTCCGTACAGCAACACAGATGAACTTACAGGTAAGCACTATATAGGTTCCAGAAAGCAGACCAGTGCTCTCCACGAATGAGGTAGTTGGGAATCTGATTCAGGGCGTCCATGAGCGCTGTTGAACCAGACCGCCCGGTTGCCAACACAAAAACGCACTTTTGAGAACCAAATGTTGGCCCAAGCAATCCTGCCTGTTTAAATAGCTCTCTTGGAGCAACTTCTAAAGCGCTGGAGACCGCTAGGTCTGGTATACTTGCAAATAGGAAGAGTTCCAGCAACAGTATCTGGGATAGCAACGAGTTGTTGATTGTCATTTATCCCAACATAGAATAACGACAAGTAACACTGCGCTGTGTATGCTGTTAGGAAGCTGCTCCTCGGTCAGTCATAGTACTGCACTCCGATTCCCGCTGACTTCGTTGACCAGATGTTTCTCATGTATATTGTTGTTCTTCCTCCACGAAATGAGCGCTCGCTTTGTGATACACCTCGATGCCGCCCAAGAGGTGCTAAAGTTGAAGAAGCATTCACTCTTCGTCTACTGGGAACACAAAACCCATTGCATCGTGTATACTTTAACTGGTTTTTATATACTTATTTTAATAGTATCTAGCAGGGTATGCCGGGTGCATGGACATTTACGGGCGTTTAGTCGTTCACAGGTACTGCACCGGCAAAGCGGCAATACAAACTCCTGCGCGTAACCATCAAGTTTTATAAACACCCGTTCAGTCCTCACGCAAGGTAGCCACTAAGGCTGCTCAGGTTGTTCCTGTAAGTTTGTGACAATTGCCGGCAATCCAACACAGTCACAACAACTGGGTGTTCTCGCGCTTACCTGGTACGAGCTTTGATACATGGTGCAATGGCAACTGCGGCAGCGCAGAAAGCAAAGGCCGTGTATTTGCGCTTTTGGACGTAACTCTCGGGGGCAGCAGAGGATATATGTTGGCGCCATCACGAGACGTGTATCATGAAATATTACTGTCAGTACGGTATGTTAGCACGGAATTGAGTGTGCTGAAGATGTCTGGATAGCAATCCTTGCATGCTGACGTGTCTGAAGTTGTTTCCGCACGCTAGGTAATTAGAGGGAACACGAAGTGGTCGCAGGCTGGCAGCGTCGTAATGTCCCTGCTCGAAAATACCTTGAGCATTACCAGCACAAGCCCGATAAACCAGAATCACCTACCGCTAGCCACGCACTCCTCAAAGGCCCTCGCAGCAACCTTCATACACCACCCGGCATAGCAATAGCAACCAAGCCAAAAGCCCCCTCCTTACTGCCCACAATCCCCGGGGCGATACCACCCAACCACAGGCTGCTCGCACCTCCTCTTACTACGTATCTAGCCGCCGCTCCTCGCAAAACGCCGCTTCCGCCGCCCCGCCACGTCTCCTCATCCCTCCCTCCGCTCTAGGCAGCAGTTCGGTGTCTCAAATACCCTTCCTACGTGCCTGGCGTGCCTGGAATAGGTAGATCAGTTCCACCAGACAGGTAACATGGTCTAGTCATGGGCAGATGCACAGGCTGCAGTGCGAAGGAAAAATGGCGAGATGGAGGAGAGAACGAGGCACCATTGTATGCCAAGCAGGGATAACCTCGCCTCTGGCAGGTGGAACCAAAAGAGCGCCACGTCGCACCAGGCAACTCCACTGCCCCATCCAACCATATAACCACAGCACCTGTTACCCCGTTCTCATGACTTCCCGGCCTTACAGGCAGAAAGTCCCTCCAATCCTTCTGCCCTCTCATCTAACTCGCATCTAGTTGCTGCAGCAGCTATCAGCTAGCCCCTCCAGCAGCACGCGCGCTATACACACCCGGACCAGCCGCAGCAGCAGTACCCTATAAGTACGACGTACGCATACACAGGTAAGCCCGGATTCCGGATATGTACTCCTTTCTATAGTCAACGAGCTGCCGACATGCCGTCGTACATGAGGTTCAGGTAGCTAGCCTACTAGCCATGCCGTACACCAAAGCTGTCGTACAACACTCAGTTCCGGGTGCCGTACGCCTCCTTGAACCGCCGTACCGCCTCCAGGATGTTCTCCCGGCTGCCAAACGCCGAGGCGCGCACAAAGCCCTCGCCCGCCGGCCCGAAGCCGCTGCCGGGGGTGGTGACGATGTTGCAGCGCTCCAGGATTTCAGCGAACACGTCCCATGAGGGCTTGCCTGCGCGGGGGTTGGGAGAGAAGGGGTTATAGAGTGTATGGGTTATTCCGCACAGGGCTTCTTCAGGCTAGCGGACGGAACCAGGCGGACGGAGATAATGCAGCAGCAGAGGGAAACAGGCGAAGAGGTGGTGAACGAGACCGGCCCCCTCCACAACCCACTTGCGGCTTTGTCGCACACCACACACAATGGCTGTTCCAACCCGCGGCCAGTTACCGGTATGTTACTACACACAGTTGGTTTTACACACACAGCGCCCCCCAATCACCACCACCACTCCATGCACGTCAGTTCCCACCTGGGAAGCCCACCCAGATGTATGGTGCATCGTCTCCGCCGTACACCTTGAAACCCATTTCGAGGAAGGTCGCCTGTGGAAGGGGGTAACAAACGGCAGCAAGGAAGGATGGCGAGCAACGAGGGTCGGAACAGGGTACTAGCGCCGTTGCGGCAACAAACAAATGCTGCTTAGTGGAGTCTGGCGAGAAGGAGGAGGAGTAAGAAAAGCAGGGTGTGTTGTTGGGGAGGAAAGGAGGTAGACCACGACCATGTAGCAGCAGCGGACCCATGGGTCACCCTCCCCCCCAACCCCCACCTTGAGGATGCGCGCGTTCTCCTTGTAGAACTCAATCATGGCCTTCATCTCCTTGAGCCCCTCCGGCTGCAGGCAGGCGAGACCGCCGGCCTAGGAGCAGGGAGGGAGGGGGGATGGCATTTGTGGAGTTACTCGGGCTGTAAACGCACAAGAGTCACCCCCAGGCCCCCACCTGCACCCCAACTTCGCCCCAGAACCCCACCTGCACCCCAGCCCCTCCCCCACCTGCACGATGTTGGATGCCCCGTTAAAGCAGGTGGTCATGACGCGGTTCCAGTCGGTGTGCACCGGGGTGCCGTCAGCGTACCTGGGGGAGGGGGGACAAGGGTTGGGAATCAAATAAACCCTGACCATAGTATACCAGAGGATGATGGCGTCCCAGGTGTCCAAGTAGGGCGAGGGTTGGAGGTTGGGGGATAAGAGGGGATGGATCCTCCGCACATGGCTGGAATCACATCCTGAGGTTTGTGCGGTGATTTGCAAAGGAGGTGTGGGTTTTCGCGCGGGTTTCAAAGCGGGCCGCAGCCTCGTCCCTGCTTTCCCCAGCTTGCCACTATCGACATCATGCATGGTACACATCGGTCTTCTATACCTTCCCCCACCCCAGCCCCCCTTCCCCTCCCTCACTTGAGCGCCTTGGGCACCACCGTCCAGCCCAGCCGCACGCCCGTGAAGCCCGCGTACTTGGAGAAGGAGCACGTCTCCAGAGCCACCTCCTCGGCACCTGACAGGGGACGGAGGGGAGGGAGATCCGAATCCTGATCCTGATCATAGTCATGGACTCATGGTAACGCAGTTGTGTGTTCTCCCAAGCTCGTACGAATGTCGTACCAGGGATCTCGTAGATCGTCTTGGGGCAGTCGGGGTTGCTGATGTACAGCGCATACGCCGCGTCGTACACCAGGATGGATCCGTTCCGCTTCGCAAAGGCGACTAGCTCGGTGAGCTGGGCGCGGGTGGCGGCGGCGCCGGTGGGGTTGTTGGGCGAGCAGAAGAAGATGATGTCGGTGCGCTTGGCCTGGGGGGGGGAGGGAAGGAAGGGGGAAAAATAAATGAGAAGTGCAAGGGGGAAGGGGGAAGGGGGGGTCGGGGAGGGAGGGACAAAGGTATACCAAACAACAGGTTAGGGGAGGGAGGGAAGGGGTAATGAGCACAGGGCAAGGAGGGGCGGGGAAAAATGAACAACGAGTCCCAATCCCATATCCCGACTCATGCAGTGAGCGCATTCGAAGGGGAGGGCGGCAGTGCAAAGAGAACATGCTGTCTAGCGACCAGGCAACCAGCCAACTGGGGGCCGGGGTAGGGATTACGGGATGGGAGGTCGGGGGTGGGGGGGAGGTTGGTATTGGGGTTGAGGGGGGTATGAAGACCCGGAGGAGGTTGCGATACCAAAATGTAAGTGCCCCACACGTTACCGATATACGAGCCATGGGATTGGGATTCCAGTGCTTCACTCCTGCATTTTACCCACCCCCCGGCCTCCCATCTCCATTGCTTCGCCCTAACCCGTGGTTTCCTATGGGTTGTTCTGTCTTTGGCCTCCCCTCCCGGCCTCTCCCCCCACCTTGGACAGGTCCGGGAAGAACGAGTTGTCCGGGTTGCACACCTGCGGCAGCGAGGAGGTGGCGGGCGGGGGGAGGGGTTCGGGTGGCGGTTGGGCACGTCAACCCCTCCTCTTCGTACCGGGAAGCAGGCAGTTGACAGTCACAACCACCAGCTACACGGCACTCCACACGCTGACATGCACCACCCAAGCTCCCCCCACCCCACCATGGTGAAGCCCAGGTGAAACCTACGTGTCATACGGTTAGCCAGTTTCTTCCTCCTTACCCCGCCTCAGTTGATGTACACGCTGACACACGCACCACCCCACTCCCCGCCCCCCACCATGTACTCGATGCCGTCGAAGCCGGTGCCGTTGTGGTCGCCCGTCATGCCCATCATCACACTCGTGTCCACGTACACGGGGTAGGAGGGATCCTGAAGGGGGAGGGGTGTGCGTGTGGAGGGGGAGGTTGGCATTGGGGTGGGGGGGGAGCAAACACCCAGGAAAGGGTTGATGGGGTTAGGGGGTGGTCGGGGGCAAGGGCTGCGACTGCGTGCTTTGACCTGTTCGCATGGGGTGCGATAGCGGAGGTTTGGGGGGGCGAGAGCACAACGCTAAACCGTACAACCGCGTGCAAATCAGCAAGCAAGGCGCCTCTCCGGACACTCTTACTCTCGCTGTGAACACACGCCCACACACCTCTACCGTGGCGTTTTGGTGGGGACATCACCGTCCAACAATCCAGTACGTTCCTGCTCGCGGCCAGATTTCAGAACACCTAACGCAAGAAACTACCCACCCACACCCGCACTCACCTGTACGGCAACCGTGGGCTTGGATCCAAACATCATTTGAATGCGAGCAATGTCACACTTGGATCCATCCGAGATGAAGATCTCATCTGCCGTACGAAGGCCAGAGTAGAAGGTGGATGCAACGGCCTCACGAAGAGCGCCCTGGCCCTGCTCCGCGCCGTATCTGGTAAGAAGGAAGAACCGATTAACGTGGCGGTTGGTTGGTTAATGGCGGTTAACAGTTTGGGCGTAGGGCATGAAGGATAACAGACGAGGAAGCCTAGTGACACCATTCAGTATTCACTGCGATGCCGTCCTGTCTGTAAACCTCCTGCCTGCCTTCGCCCCTCTCACCCACTTGCCCCCCGCCCCTTTCCCCCGGGTCCTAACCTTCGTTTTCACTTGGTTTGGTTTCTCTCTGACCCCTCGAACCCACCCACCCAACCCCACCCACCCCTCACCCGCTGTACCCCTCCCGGGTGGCCAGTCCCGCCGCGGCCTGCGCCATGGCGTTGGCGATGTACGGCGGCAGCGGCTCCGTCGTGTCACCGATACCCAGCGAGATGATCTGGGTCGGGGGGGGGGAAGAGGAGGCGGGAGGGAAATAATGATATGCGCAGCAACGGAGTCCCAATCCCGAATGCCGACTCATGCGGGGGGGGGGGTAGGAGAAGGAGAAGGGGCAAGGAAGACGGGGTTGGGTGATCTGGGTCAGGGAGGGCGAAGCTCAGGAAGGGCGTCTGGGTGGGTGCCGCACCTCGCATGCACGCATGCATCCACCCGCATATCTTTATGGGGCCATGAGCATTCTGTTGCATTCCTCTCTTGCATTTTGCAAGCTCTCTTTCTCCGGCCATGCAAACGCCCATGCGGCTCCTTTGAGGTGTGCTGGTCCCGTTCCTCCTGCTGCTGCTGCTGGTCCCCTCCTGTTACCGCTACAGCTGATCCCCCTCCTGCTGCTGCTTCAACGCCGCTGCTCCGCCGGAGCTCTTAGTTTTGCACCGCACCTCCCCTGCGCCCTCCTCGTACAAACCTGGGCTCACTGCCTTTAATCCTGTTTAGGCCAGGGAATCTCCTTCGGGGCCCTCCTTCCCTCCTTGGACCCTGCCCTTCCCCCTTCCTCACCTTGGCATCTGGGTTCTTCTCCTGGTGGGCCTTACGCCGGCGAGCGATCTGCGGGAGATATTGACAGGAGCCGGGGGGTCGAATCAGAGGAAACCACGAGGGCAAAGCAATGGGGATAGGAGGCAGCAGGGTGCCACATAACAAAGTGCGGAGCCGGGGTGGGAGGGGCTGGTCGTACGGCAACATGCAAGAGCATCTGTGACTGCAGGAGGCGGCGGTGGGTGCGTGGTGCAGTGGTGGCGATCATGGGCGCGTAACAACGTGGGACGGGATGAAACGTCCTTGTTGCAAAACCCTGTGCCCCAGCCCAGCAGGCCATTATGCCGAGTTTTACCACCGAAACCCGTGCCTCCGTTAGGCGGCCCTGAAACCCTTGCCACTGAAAGTCAACCGGCGGCATGCAGACCATCCAGTCAAGGGAATCGGCAAGCTTACCTCAGGGAAGAGATAGCCAGCACGCAGCTTGCCGAAGTTCTCATTGCGGGCCACGTTGACCGTGCCTGCAATTCATCGCCGCGAAGTATGCTTAACATGGGCCGCCAGGAACAATCCGCTTTTTAAAACGTCCAGCAAACTACGCTTGAGAAGCCACAGGCGTAAACATATCTTTAAAGGCTCTTACCAGCCTTCTCGGGCGTGGATACAGCCTTCACAACAACTGCACGCCTGCCGCTGCGTAGCAAGTTTGTCGCCAGCACCAATTTGTCAGCCGCAAACCTGGCAATTAAAGAAGTGCCCTAATAAGTTTCGTTTGGAGTGCAACGACTCACCACGACGCCCGAGCGGGCGCGGCAGGCCTAGCATTACGCATAGCCACGTTCATGTTGTCTTGGTATTCACGGCCCCTACAGGCTGCGAGACCAACTCTGTGGAATTGGAGAGGCCGCGCTCCGGGCACTACAGTGCGCTTTACGACTATGCTTGCTGCCGTGCGCAGGGCCCCCAAACGAACTTGCACTTAGCTAGGATCACCATATCCCGCTCATAAAATGTTTTCGGTTTGTGCTTGTCCATGCTGTCCTTTCTTTCCAGAGAATTAACACGGTGGGACATGCACTTGGACTACAGCTTCGTCCATGGATAGGCTCCCAAAGGAGCTGCCACGTAAGCAATTAACTTGATTTGACGGCGCAATAGTGCGTGCAGCTTCGAACAATACATGCACTAGCCTGCTTGGTTGTAGACATGCCACCGTTGCTCGAGACAAGCCAGCAGCTCCGCACGGCAAGTCCTTGCACACCGCTCCGTCAGACGTTTGCTACTGGTCGAGGAGCCGCAACCAACGCACAGCGTGTTACTCCCAGCCATGCTAACACAACATTCACGGGAAGAAGAGACTGCCCGCAAATTTACAGAAATGTCATCCACTCAGCAGCGCCACCACCCACACCCCAATCAGGAACAGCAACACCACAAGTGAAGTCGTGCTTATCACCCTCGCCCGCATCCATACATGCCGTACCATCCCTGCCCACTTCAACACATGCCGTACATCCGCTATCAGCTCCCGCGTATGTTGTACGGCTAGCTGAGTCAGGTGATGTGGCCGCCTTAGCAGCCCTGGATGCGAGCTGCGTGGCGGAGGGCTCGGCGGGATGGAGCCAAGGTATCTACCAGGTAGGTTGCCCCGCGCTCATCCTGTTGCCGTACCAACCCTATTGACATTGAACAGCAGGGGAAAGCGCTCCCTTCAGCCTTAGCCCTCTCCTCCTCAGTAGTGGAAGTAGCAGGGGGAGCCGTGACGCGGGGTTTTAGTGGGGCAGGTGGAAGAAAGGAATCGTCACGACTCGGGATGCGTTGCTGGCTGGCTGATTGCTGACCTGTGTACCTGCCCTTGCAGCCAGCACCAGCAGCCCTCCAGGGTTGCTGCTGCCTGGCAGATTGGGCGGTGGTCGCAGGACGACACGCTCACTGACGGGCCGGCGTGCCCCCCCCCCGCATGCCTTTGTCTCCAGCGGCCTCATTCCCAAACACCTCCACACCAACTCCCTTCCCCCCTCTTTCCTCTCCCTCCCCCTCCAGTCCGACGTGCGCCCCGGCGGCCCCAACCTCATCCTGCTCGCCGAGCTCCCCACCCCGCCACCACCACCAGCAGCACCGCCACCAGCAACCCAGCAGGCTGCTGCGGCCCTTCCAGGGGAGGCACCTGGGAGCAGCACCAGCTGCAACAGCGGTAGCAGCAGCAGCAGCACCACCACCACCACCACCACCACCACCACCAACAACAACAACAACCGGGCCGCGGGCAGCGAGGCCCCTCCCATCACCACTTCAACCACCCCCACCAGCTCCACCACCAGCAGCAGCACCAGCCCCATGGTAGTGGCGGCGCTGGTGTGCGGCAGCGAGGCGGGCGGGGAGGTGGCGCTGACCAACCTGGCGGTGGCGGCGGCGCAGCGGCGCAGCGGGCTGGGGGGGCGGATGGTGCGGGAGGCGCTGCGGCGGCTGGGGTGAGTGGGGGTGCTGTGGGCTGCTGCGGCCTGATGCTTGCCTCGCTGGGAGTACTGGTAGCTGGGAATGTCGCGGCTTTTCCGGCAGGTTGAGCTCCTCTGGTTGAGGCGATCGCGGCCGCTTGGCTTGGCTGCCCACCACCCCCTTGTTGCCCAGCTGCAAATGCACCACGCTACTGGGTGTTGGTGCCCGATGGATGAGCTCGATGGAGCGGTTCGTCCTCCGCTATCCCTTGCTTGCTGTTGCCACCGTTGCTTGCTTGTCCTTCCCGACCCTCGCCCATCCCGCCGCCTCCTATGTCCTATCCCCATTGCCTTTGCCCGAACTTTTGGCTTCATCTGGTTTTGTTTCTCTGTGACCCCGACACACATGCATGCTTTCTTGTCCCCTGTTCGTACCCTTCCATGTGCATTGCTGTACGGAGTACAGCGCAGAGCGGTTTCCGGCTTTCCTGGAAGTACGGCAAGACAACGTCAAGGCGCAAGCACTGTACGGCAAGTTTGGATTCCAAGTGGTGGGTGTACGGCGGCGCTACAATGCAGATGGCAGCGATTCACTCGTCATGGTTCGGCAACCGTCGCCGTTGTGAGACCACCTTTATCGTGGATGGTGGGATGAGGAGCGCAGCGAGAGGAGGTGCAGCCGCTGACATTTCCGGCCCCTACCGTGTATTGGTAATGCCTCAGATAGGATGTAGGGGGCCAGGGATTAAATGTAAGCATTAACCCCTAACGTGTACAATTTTGAGGCGACATGGGGCAGGTCGCTGCCAGGCCCTGCCGCAGAGTGGCTTATAGGTAGGGTTATGGTTCTCTGAGGGCGCTGATGACGAGATGCGTTGTGAGCAGCTGCTTGCGTACCGTATCGCAACTCTGTTGTACCATGTGGAAGCAGGCAGACGCAAGCAGAATCCAATGGACGAGCAGAGCGACAAGCCGGTAACGACCTCAGCAAAGAACAACAACAACGGAAGCCCCAGCAGAAGCCGCCCGTCCGCCCACGTCCTCGTCCGCCTGTTGTATCGCTATTTGTACAGCGCGCTAAGAAATGAGCGGTTGGGGTCGTGCTGATGTCCGGGGGTATGCTGTCCCCTTCCCCACCATGCTCCCTCACCCCGTCCACCATTGGCCCTCCAGTTGCCCGGGCGGCCACCCCCACCAACCCAACGACAACAGAACGACAACACACAGCTGGCCACGACAGCAACCGCATGCGACATGACCCCCCCAAGATGCAACGCAATGCAATGCCCCAACGAACCAACGGCAATCCCAACCGCAACACGCCGCCCAGTCTCGAGCAGACCCACAGACCCAGACTCGACCCAGATTCCTTACATTCCCAGCTCCCTTCCCCTAACGCCCCACTACCATGTCACCCCTATGCTTTGCACCTGCCACGTCCCCACTTTGCTCCCTCACTGGCGTCACTGCCATACACAGACCCCCCGCCGCACCCCCGCTGCACTCTTCCCCGTTTGCGGCACACATGCGTCGCACAGGTACGGCACACACACCTGCATGGCCATGCACGCAGCGCACGTTGGTTGGTTGGTTGGGGCACGCACCGCATGTGGACTAACTCGGTGTTGCTTAAGCTGTCATCCAGGCTGCATGAATGACACTGATCATGGTACGAGGGTGGTACGACGCGTGCGCCGCACACACCACCCACCAGGCATCCACGACGCCGGCTACCATGTTTGCACCCCATGGTGAAGCCGTGTCATGCAGCTCGTCAGTTTCCTCGTTACCACACGACGTCAATGACCAGCAACGGAGCCCAATGCCGCCTGACCGGAACACGAACGCAGCGACAGATGACGCCATACGAAGCTAGCACGCTACATGCAACCCCCTCCTCGCCACACCCGAGATGTTTAAGGAACGCCCGAGCACCCCGCACCAACAACTGTAGTCATCAGTTCACGCCAAGTCAACAACAACCCGAAGCCGCCGCCTGAGCAACCCCCACACCTGCCACAGCCGGAACGAAGCAAAACAAGCCAGGTCAGAACAGGCCAAGCTAGGCCAGAGCAGGGAGCAACATGACAGCAAGGGCAGCACAACCGGCAGCACAACCGGCGAGGAGACTGGGTGCGGGAGAGAGTCACCAGCAACGCCATGAACGGTGCTCCACGACTCCAAACGGGCCCCGCCCGTTGTTGAGATTGAAGACGGGGCGGCGCAACTGCACGTCCCGTATGTTCGTGAAGCCAAGCGCCCTCCTTGCATCCACCACATCCCTTCCTCGGCGCCCCCTCCCCCCACCAGCACAGCCCCTCTCGCACAGGGCCTCCGGGGTCACCCGGTGTGGCCTGCCCGAATACAAGCACCGTCCCAGCCAGCACCCCCCAACATCTCAACAAAAAGAGACGGTTAGTTTCTTCCTCTTTTCACCCCCAACATGCAGCGCCCACTTGCCACTCGCGGCCAGGTTTCGGAACACACCCCGCAAGCAGCTACAGCGGTCCACAGCTGTGAACGCACGCCCCTACTTCGTCCTCCCTCGCCACTGACCCTCCTGCCATCCGAGAGACCCGACAGCCGAGACACTACAGCCGAGGAAAGACAAGCCACCCCGGGGGCCACTCACACACCCGCGCCAGCTGCCTCTCGTAGCGCACACACGTGGCTCCAGGACCCAGCTCTCTGGGCTTCAACATGCAGGGTTTCCCTGACCTCAGGCACCTTCGGCCCTGCCACTCAACGCGACTCCTCCTACCCTAGCTCCCCCCTCCAGCGTGTCACCCGATGTACGGCACAGCATCCCACTGTACGGCACAACATCCCGCAAGCCATCTGCACGGCACAGCAAGCCATGTGTACGGCACATCAGCCACCCGGCGGGGGGCTGCCGAACAGGTCGCTCAGCGTGACCGAGCCCGGGGAGCCGGCGGCGGAGCTGGCGGCAACGCCCACACCCACATCGCCCGTCGCCGCCACTCCGCCAGCGCCGCCGCCGCCGACAGCGCCACTGACATTACCGCTCAGGCTGCCATTGCCCAGTCCGCCGCCGCCGCCAGCAGCACCGCCCACGCCGGCACCAATACTAGCGCTGCCGGCAGCAGGCCCCAACCCGCTGCCGCCGCCGCCTCCGTTCACACCCGGCAGGATCACAGACAGGGTAATCATGGGCGCGGACGCCGCCGCCGCCGCCGCCGTCGCCGCGGAGGAAGGTGGAGCGGCGGAAGGCTTCGTCGGCAGCGCCGTGGGTAGCCTCGGCGGCGGAGTTATCGCCTTGCCGCCGCCGACACCCGCACCCACGCCGATGCCCGGCACCTGGGGCTGCTGTTGTTGCGGCACTGCCGGTAGCGGTATGCTGCCCAAGGTACCCAGATCGATTCCCAGAGGCGCCACGATATCGGAAAGCGTGATGCCCGCAGGGGGTAGCGATGACAGCAGGCTGTTGACGTTGGCGGGCAGTGGCGGCGGCGTGGGCAGCAGGAGAGACCCCGGCAGGGGCAGGGTGGTGGTGGGCGTGGACTGCGGCAGGGGCAGGGTGGTGGTGGGCGGTTGCGGCAGGGTACTGATATGCTGCTGTTGTGGCTTTGGCTGTGGCTGCGGCTGCTTAGGAAGCGGGGAAGGCGTGCGACGCGGTGCCGACTGTTGCAACCGCCGAACCGGCGGCGGCGGCGGCCGTTGAATGATCGCTCCTGGGTCGCGCTTTGCGGCCAACTGCAACCCCGCAGCGCCCCTCATGGCCGCCCTTTCCCACCACATGCCGGAGTCCACCAGCAGCTTCACCATCCGCTCCCAATGCTGCCACTGCTCCCTAGCCGCTGGTGCCGCCGCAGCCAATGTTGCTGTTACTGCATCGTCCTGGACTGAGGCGAGTGGTGACCCATGGGTCGTCCCCATGGCCGTCGTCGACGTTTCCGGTGCAGCTGTCAGCAGGCTGCGCCTGCCATACCCGGTGCCCCGCGGGAACATCAAGTCCGTCAGACGCAGCGGCGGAGCGCTGGAGAAGGGGAAACCTGCACCGTCGACCCCTGGATCACTGGCACGGCCCGGGCCGTCGTTGATTACCGTTCCGCCGTTAGCCGCACCTGCTAGAGGGAACACAGCAGGCGGGGTAACGAGGGAAGGGCCTTTTACGAGACACACCGGCCAATCAGGGGACTAGTCTGAGAAGGCACAAGATAGCAGGTGCAGCGCCAGCTTGCCGCTGGGCCGTATGGAGGCCTCTCCATGCTCTCCACGTGTTTGCGCTTCCTGTGTGCCCTGCCCCGCATATCGTTAATAGCCCACCGATCTGACGGTTCCACCCCCTGTTCCTACCAAGGCCACACGCTTCAGTCCCGCTTTGTACTCGCTCTAAACTCACCGTCAGCTAGTTGCTGGGTGGCTTGTGGCTGACGTTGCGGCGCCAGCTGCTGCAGCCGCCGCCGCCGCCGCTGCAGCCGGGACGGCTGCATCACTGCCCCCGCAGGGCCGCTGCCCCACCCAACCTGGGAGGGCAGGGCGCCGCTCTGATTGCCGCCGCTGCTGCTCCTCACCGCCACCGCCGCCGCTGTTGCCTTAGCCGCTGCTGGTATCCTCCAATGCATGGACCAGCCATTGCTGCTGCTGTTACTGCTGCTACCGTCGCTGCGATCAACCCCCCTGGCCACGCCGTTCCTGCTAGGTTGCTGCCCCACTGGCAATGTCGATGTCAGTGGCGGCCGTTGCTCTAATGATGCCGCCGGAGGAGCAGCCGCTGCAGCTGCCAACCCCGAGATTGGAACCGCCGTCCCGCTCGTGGCTATCGCATCGCTCGTGCCGTGTTTACCGCTCGCGGCAGCATTCGCAGTGCCGACTGACCCGTGGGTCATCGGTCCCGGCCACAACGGCCGCAACTGCGTCCCCTGCTGCGGCTGCTGCTCTGGGGGGCCATGCGGTGGGGAGTGCCCCCTGCCTGCGTGCGTTGCAGCACCCCGGTAGCTTGGGTAGCTTCCAAAGCTGCTGTTTGCATCTGCTTTACTGTGAGCAATGTGCTTGCTGCGGGTCGGCTGTTGCAACTGCCTTACTACTGATGCTGCTGCGGTTATGGCCGCGAGTGGTTGCGACGAGAAGGGATGGGGTTGTGCCGTTGCTGCTGCTGCGTCTGAGGAGGCCGCTGAAGGCGGCCAAGTGGCAGCAACCAGCAATAAGACAGCTAGAAAATACGAGGCGGAGAGCGGGGAGGAAGAAGAAGAAGAGGAGGAAGAAGGAGAAGCGGAAATTGTGCCGCTGCGAACGAAGCGAAGGATCGCCCACTTGCCTAGAGATAGCTGTCCTACTTTGCGGCAGGAGCAACGCTCAGGATGACCCGCCATAAGGTGGACTAGGAGTTGTGTACATAAACTGGTAAAGCGTGCGAGCAAGAGGCTTGCGTCTTCCAACGAGGACTTTATGCTCCGTGGGTCGTTTATCTGCGAAGCGATCGGCGTTTAGGCGAGAGCTCAACATTTGTGGAGGTACTCTTCCAATGCTCCGCGGGTCATGCAGCATGCCATGGAGTTGCTGTCGATCTCAATCGTTACTAGACCTTAACGGGACTAGCTGGCGAGAGCTCAACTAATAGCCTCGCATCGTATGGGGGCTGACTGCAGCTTGCAGCTACTCCAGGCAGGCTACTGTACATATATATGGAAGCAGTGTTGATTGTATGTTGTGTTGCTGCCAAAAGGTGCCTGCGCACAGTGAGTACGCGGCGTGACTGTTTTGTCACCCTTTGAAAGCAAGCCCTCAAAAGGCGGCAAGACAAGGCAGCTCACAACCGGCAGTTAGCTTCGTAGTATTGGTTTATCAACCCGAGCTAGCAGAGTACTTGATTATGGCCTTTTCTGCGCATTCGTACTATACACGAGTATCCAAGACCTTGGACTTGATCGGACTCACACCATCACATGATTGTGCCGGCAGGGCCGCTATACCGAAAACCCCGAACGCTTCTAGACAGGTCCTACACTTCGGTAATCACGTCGACACTTTGGGGAATGAAGGCCGCAGCTGTCCCATCCACCCAGCACCCACCCCATGGTGACATCCATCCGCTGGAGGCGTTGCCAGACATCGCACCATCCCCTGATTCTCCATGATTACCACCTCCAAACACCCTACCAAGCCCCAGGATTTCTCCTCCGCGGAGGTATGAGGCTCCGCCATGATGGGCGGGTGACGAGTGTAATGGATCTCAACCAGCCCCCCATTAACGTCATATTCCCAAGCCAAGTTCGCCATGGGGGACAAATTAGCTGTCCTGCGTACTGGGAGTGAGCTGCGGGAGGAAGCACAGGTAGGACATGTGCATGGAAGAGATGCTGATCTTACGCATGTAGCGCCGCTGTGATCATAGTGTTCAAGACTCAGCTGCTAGCGGGCCTAGAGAGCGAGGGCAACTTTGCAAAGAACCGAAAAATACAACATAGCTAGGGCTCACAGACGGCAACCAGCGATAACGGAAGTCTGTTCCTAACGAAGTCCTAAAACATTCTGACGTTAAAACATGTAGCAATTGTTCATTCTGCAAAATCCTTCGCCAGAGCTCGTTAAATGCTTGCCGAGAAATAGGCGCCTTGCTTCTTTTCACTTTCTTGCGGGGCTCACAGTACATTAGTGCTAACTAGTGGCAACTCGGTATGCGGCAACGTGCCTGGAGGCCATCAATGGTGTTTGTACGGAAAAAGCGATCAGAAGATCCGCGCGACGATTACACGTACCGAACAAATGTGGAATGGCCTGAACCTAACTAAACACGCCCAGCTTAGGTGCTGGCTGGAGAAAGACTTGGTATTACCTGAATTCCATAGCCTGCACAGCCAACATGCAGCTCACGGCCGGTTCCGTTCAACAGGGTGCGGTCCAGAATGGTCGCCGACCATCGACGGCGTTGTCCAGGGGTCCATCACATGTCAATTTGCGCCCGCGACAGCTCCAACACCAGCTGGCTCCGTCGCATATGGCGGAGTTCCGTGCCGGCTGCCCGGCACCCCTGCGGGCCGTGAAGGCTGACATCTCCACAGATCAAATGGACGCTGCTATGCTGCGTGCAATTTCGAGCGTATCACAGCAGGTGGACGAAGCAGTTGCTGCCACGGTTTTCAGCAACAATGAAGCTGCGAGGCGCATTGAGTTTAACCCAGACTCAGAGCTGCGGAAGCGTGTCGTGGCATCCATTCAAAAACTTGCAAAGGGACTGCTGGAGAGGGATGTCGAGGTAGGGGCGGTTGTCGACATATGGTCTGCAAAGTTCGAGCTCCCGTAAACGCAATTCTGCAGTTGCTTTCCTGTCACGCCCCGCCTGGACGTTATTGTACATCACACCAAACTCAATTGGACAAGTATAAGATCTCGACTTGGGATTAAGGCGACAATGCAACTTCCCTGATAAAGCTTGCACTTGCCGAATCCCTTCGTAGGTCCGCTTGCTGTTGCTCGCTGCGCTCTGTTGCGAGCACCTGCTGCTTCTGGGTCCACCAGGTAAACAATTTGCAAAGCATCCTGACAGGATGATTCCTCCTTTCGCGACCATGTGTGCCTGCTCTGCATTACCGCCCCGACATCTCGACTCAAACGTCCACTTTGCACCTCAGGTACCGCCAAGTCGGAACTCTCCCGGCGCCTCTCCTCGCTGTGCGGTGGCACCTACTTTGAGCGGCTGCTGACGCGATTCTCGGTCCCCGAGGAGCTCTTCGGACCGTTGTCCATGAAGGGTGGGTGCCGGTGGCGTTTGGATGATGCGTGGGACACGGGCTGAGGGCGAGGGTTTTGGGATGGGTGGATTTGGATTTGGAACCGATAGTCAAGGCAAGTTAGTCATAAATGGGACCATGGCGCCCCAAGTAGCTGCCCTTTTGGATCTAAACCAAGAGCTTTCAGAATTCTATGTAGCCCGAAACCTCCCATGTCCTCCCATGTACATATCTGCATGCAGGCCTGGAGAACGATCTGTATGTACGGCAAACCGAGGGCTACCTGCCAACTGCCGAGGTGGCTTTTGTGGACGAGATCTTCAAGGTGAGGCGGTTGGGGTGGTTGGCGGTTGGGGTGGGTTGGGGTGTGTTGGGAGTGGAGGGGCGCTGACGAGGTGCCGTGAAGAGGTGCATCACAGGCGGCTGCTGCGGCTGCTGCTGTCAAATGGAGACCGTTGGCTTGGATTGCGTTGCGGATTGGACGCGGTTGGAGGCCCCTTTCAATTCCGCATGCAACCCCTTCCGTTCCCCTTACCCCTCTCCCCATCCTGCTGCCCTAGCGCTCAAGTCGGTGTTGAAACCGTGGCACTCCCTTCGGTACTCCCTCCCTGACCCCTTCCCCCCCTCCCCCCTCCCCTCCCCCCTCCCCTCCCCCCTCCCCTCCCCCCTCCCCTCCCCCCTCCCCCGTCTCCCTCCCTCTCCCTTTCCCCCAGGCCAACTCCGCCATCCTCAACGCACTGCTGACGCTGCTCAACGAGCGCCTCTTCGACAACGGCAACCAGCGGCTGGAGGCGCCGCTGCTGTGCCTGGTAGGAGGGGAAAGGGGGGGGCGTGTGTGTTTCGGTGGGACGTTATGCGCGAAAGGAAGTAGTGGGGCGAGGAGCCGGCAGGGAGCTGGGGAGGGGCGACGGGGATATGGATGAACGTCTGTGTCGTACAACCTAGTTCCTCTCCAAACCCTCCCCCCTTCCATTCCCCTCCCATTTCCCCCCAGGTGGGTGCTTCCAACGAGATGCCGGAGAGTGAGGAGCTCGATGCGTTGTACGACCGCTTCCTCATCCGCCGTACAGTGTCGCAGGTGGGGCGGGGCGGGGGACAGGTAAAGACGAAGAAACCAACTAATCGTGAAAAGGCGTGGGGCGGGACGGAGGCCGCTCTGGCTCGACGCCATAGGCCCCTAGCTTTCATAGGCCCCTGAGTGTCTTTTTGAGGAAAGTAGATTCGTCAGACAACAGCGCTTGCAAGGGTAAAAGGGAACCACCTTTGGGGCGCAAAGACACCATTACTACCACCACCCTCACCCGTTCCCCTCACGCCACCCATCCCCCGTTCATCACCTGCCCAACAGGTGTCCAACAACCAGCTCTACAAGCTAGCGCGCCTGGCAGCAGGACGCAAGGACCACACCCTAACCGGGGTGGCGGTTGCCGGCCACAACGGTAACGGCAACGGTAACGGAATCCAGGCAGAGGGAGCGGCGGCAGAGGTGCTGAGGATGGATGATTTCCGCGGTACGGCAACTGACGCGTACGGATCGGTTGACGTACCGGATTCCGTTATCGACTTGCTGACGTCGCTCCGGAATTACCTGCAGGTTTGTTGGCACGGCTGGGTGGCTGGGTGGTGTGGTGGGGAAGGGTGGCTAAGATGAGTCTGGAAGGGGGAGGGGGTTTGGCAAGTGGAAGCCTGTTTGGCAGGAGGAGCGTGCAAGTAAGGAGAAGAGGGAGGCAGCGAAGGAGGTTCTGCTGTTGTTGTGCTTGGGGTGCAAGTAGAGGTGCTTCTGGACCCCTCCCCACACCTCTTGGAGTATGCTCTGCCCGCTCTCCGCCCTGCCCCCCTGCCCCCTGTCCCCGAAACCCTGACATCCCCCTAACCCGCCCTCCCTGGGGGCACCTAGTTCGCCACTATCACTCAACGCACTGGGTCTTCCTCCCCCATGGCTTTGCCCTAACCTGTGGTTTTGGTATATCTCCCCCCCCCCTCCTCCCCCCCCCAGGACAAGTGCGAGCCGCCCATGTACGTGTCCGACCGGCGCTTCATGAAGGCCGTTCAGATGCTGCAGGTGGCGGCTCACGCAGACGGCAGGGAGCAGGTGGGGTGAGGAATGAAGGAGGGGCAAAATGGGGGGAGGAAGGCGGGCGTGTCGCCAACAAATAGGTCGCAAACCAACCAACCAACCCAACCCAACCCAACCACCCCCAGGTCAACGAGTACGACTGCCTGCTGTTGGAGCATGTGTTCGGCAACCGGCCGGATGACGGGGCGCGGGTGCGGGGGCAGGTGCTGGACATCATTGCGGCGGACCCGGGGCTGCAGCAGGTGGGAGGGGGGAGTGGGGGGGGCGAGGGTGTATTTAGGAAACTGGCGGCGTGTGTGTGTTCTGGAGACTGGCGGCGCGAGTCGTAACGTGCTGTGATTGCCAAATTGTGTGTTGTTGGGTATAGAGGCGTGTGCGAGAAAGAGAGGGGACAGGGAGAGGCGGGACGCGCATGTGCCTTGGGGTTTAAGAAGGAAGGGACAGCAAAAGGTGGCGGGAGGGGAGAGATGACGGCAAGGGTGTCGTTCTGACCCATGACCCATGGGTCGCTATGCTGAATCCTTTCCTTTCCCCCTTCCTGCACCTTTACACAGGCTGAGTTGGTGCTGCTGGGCCTGTTTGGGCGCACGTGCCGCATTCTGGAAGGTGAGGCCAGGGGAGAGGAGATGAGGGGGGCTGGAAGAGAAGCAGGAGAGAGCAGAAGAGGGCTACATGGGGCTATCCTCTTGAATCCCTCAGTGGTCGTATCTTTCACTCCTTCCCCTCCATGCCCGTGCCTTGTGCCCCAACTTGCGGCTTCCTTTTGTTTGGCTTCTTCCTCTTTACCGCCCCCCCTCTTACTGCTACGTATCAATACCATGACGGTTAATAATCCTTTACACATTACCCCTTCCTTCCCCCCCACACGTCCCTGTTCGCAATCACTCTATGTTCTCCTTCGCGGCTTCCAGTTCTCTTAACAAACGTTCCCATTCGCGACTAGGTTTCTCAACCCACACCTCCTCCTCTCCCCCCCCGCCCCATACACAGGCCCCTCCGAGCCCGCCGACCTGGCGTCCGCCGCCTCCGAGGTGGGGCAGCTGCTGGAGCTGCTGAGTGCCAGGCATGCGGGGCTGGCTGCGAACCTGGAGGTGAGGGGGAGGGGGAGGGGAAAAGAAGAATATTCAAGGTGTTGTATGACAGTGGTAAAGTGGCTGAAGTGGGATGAGGAAGGGAGAATGGTGTGTGTGTGGGCTGTTGATGTGGGGAAAGAGGGAGGAGAGAAGTGACGTGGGGCGTTGGTTCCGTGGGCCAAGTGAGGAGGGGAAGAGGACTGAAGAGGGGGAGGGTAAGCAGGGTATAGAAGAAACGACGAGACAAGGCTGCACCATGGGTTGGTCCCCCCTGCTGCCTCACTTCCTCTTCTTCTTCTTCACCCCCTCTCCTCACCTCTTGCCTCCTGTCCCACCCATCCTGCCCGGTGGCATACGCACACACGCAGGGTGAGGGTTTCCCCGAGTTGCGCGCCACGCTGTGGCAGGCGGAGGCGAGTGTGGCGGCGGCGGTGCAGGCGCTGGTGCCGCAGATGACAGAGAACCGGAAGAAGGTGAGGGAGGCGCGGTGACCCGCGGGTCAGTGGGGTGGAGCGGGGGGTGATCGCTGGCGCAGGCGCGGATGGTCACCCTCTGCCCCGGGGACCTGGGCTGCTCCCAGCTCCTCCCCCTTCTTGCCCCTGCTACTCTCAAGGGCCTCCTGCCTCACTTCCAAGTTCCAACGGTTTTCCCAGTTACAGTTACAGTCGGCACGCGTGTACAGTTTGTCCGTACGAGCCAGGGGGGCCAAGGACACAATCGTGCCAAACCCAAAACCCCTACCCCCCCTTCTTCCCCCTCTCCTCCTCAGGTTGAGGACCTGCTGCGGGAGGCGCACACCCTGGCTGCCGTACTCCGCACCCCCGGCGCCTCCGCGCCCCTGCTGGAGCGGCTGCTGCCTAAGCGGTTCAAGCAGTACCAGAAGGGAATCAGCGCCAAGGTGTAAGCGCATATGCGGAGGGGGGTCGGCGTGACCCATGGGTCACTGGCGGGGCCGAGGAGGAGGAGGAGGAGCTAGGGCTGACGGAGTTGGTGGGGTGTGGGAAGCAGTGGAGAAGAATAAATACGCTGTTTATGCAGGTCGCAGGGGGAGAAAGCAGAAGCGCGTGATTGGTGAGACTGTCTGACGGTTATACGGTTTTCTGTACGACAAGGGAACCGGGGATATGTGTACACAGGGACCATATTGCAAATTCACGCAAGCAAGCAGTCGTATCCCGTCCAGATGCATCAGATTGCGGGTTCTTGGAATAAAGTTGTGCCGATGACGTAGTTGGGGCCGCATGTTGGTCAGCTGCATGCGTGGACAGGTGCAAGGATGTCACGTTTGGCAGGGTACACCAGTGCTGGGCGGAGCTTGGAGCGGGGTTTGCGCGGAGGGCTCGCTGCGGCCGCATTGGCTGCGCAGGGCTGATGCCGCACCGAGCGGAAGGAGGGGGTGTTGACAGTGAACACACACGTGAACGTTCATACCACTGCACTGCACCACATCACACACGGCCGTGCCCCTCTGCTGGCCTTTGCCTGTTCGTTGCACGCATCCCATTGCACCGTCGTCTTGCTCTTAGACAACGCTACAGTCGTCTTGCTCTTAGACAACGCCACTTCTCAGTGCGGTTCTGCTGACCGCTGCAGCCACAGCTCAGTGCCTGCTCGACCACTCGCGCCGGTTGTGTTGTCTTTGTTTTCTGCATTTGCATTCATGTTGTGTTGTGCTTGCGTTCGTCCTGTCTCACATGCCATCCTGCTTTGCCGTACATTTCGCACTTCGATCTAGGTCCATTTTGTCTCTAACTCTGTCCCCCTTTTCCTCGCTCTGGTTCATGTTCCTGCGCATGGCATTACTCGCATTACTGCAGCTGCTGGTACTGGTGCTGACTACGGCGCTTTTGCTCGCAGGTACGCAATGCGCGTTTGCACGCACGCATGCACAGCATTGTGGTGTCTCGTCTGCGTGACCAGAGCGGGGGCTCCCGGCGTCGAGTTGGTCAGCGGGCTAGGTACTCAGCAGTAATTAGTTTTTCCCGACACCATCAGCATCACCGACATGCGTCGTCAACCCGCCACTCTTCTTACATCCAGCACCCGCGTTTTAAGCAGTTATTGAGTTACGTTTCAGGTTTGTTAATCTCTGCTTTGCCTCTGTTTTGACTATACTCGCGGTTCACATGCGAACCTATCCCAACTGCTTGCTCTTGTTTCTACTCAACTACACACATTGCGTGGTCTACTTCCACGCGCAGGGGGCCTGTTTGAGCCGCGCTCGCTCTCCCCACTGCCATTTTGCTTTTGCTCCCTTCGCCTGTATCTCGCATTTCGGGTTGCTGAGCCTGCCTGGCCTCGCAGGACCGCACTGTGCCTCTACCGGGTGGACGGTAATCGCTGCCACCGCTCCTCTGGTCCCCTCTGCCGCCGCTGTTCCTATGTTTCCGCATCAGCAGCAGCCACTGCAACCACAGCAGCAGCCGTCGCTCCCTCTGTTGTCTCTTTTGGTTGCTCCGTGGCAGCACGAGCGGCACCGACGACAGAAACAGCAACAGCTCTGGGCCTCCGGACGCTTTGGGCTTTCGGACCTGCGCCGTCGCTTTCGTGGGCCGTGGCGTCTGTTTCAGCGGCGGCAGGGTTTGCGGACCTTAGGCTAGCGGGTTGGCTGGTGGTTATGCGGTTCACTGACGGTGGGTCGTGCCGTGGCAGTCTTAGGTTGCCCTTGTCGCGGTACGGCCCGGGGCACGGTGTGGTTGCGTGGTCGCGTGTTTTGGGTTTTAGGTTGTCTCTTCTGCAGCCGGGCAGGCTGAGCAGGGTCGGGACTATATAGGCCGTCTCGTTTCGGTGGCGTACGGGCGTGGGGGATGGGCGGGTTTTGTTTGTGCTTTTTTCGTCTCCCCTGTTTTTGTGGTCGTTGTGGTCGTTGGTTTTTGTCGTGGCGCTCGGTTGTTTCTTTTGGGGTTGTTGTGGCCCTGCCGCCTTGCCTTGCCCTGTTGCATGTCAGCATCTGGGGCGCTCTCCTTCGAGCCCGGTCACTCACCACTGCACTGCACCACATCACACACGGCCGTGCCCCTCTGCTGGCCTTTGCCTGTTCGTTGCACGCATCCCATTGCACCGTCGTCTTGCTCTTAGACAACGCTACAGTCGTCTTGCTCTTAGACAACGCCACTTCTCAGTGCGGTTCTGCTGACCGCTGCAGCCACAGCTCAGTGCCTGCTCGACCACTCGCGCCGGTTGTGTTGTCTTTGTTTTCTGCATTTGCATTCATGTTGTGTTGTGCTTGCGTTCGTCCTGTCTCACATGCCATCCTGCTTTGCCGTACATTTCGCACTTCGATCTAGGTCCATTTTGTCTCTAACTCTGTCCCCCTTTTCCTCGCTCTGGTTCATGTTCCTGCGCATGGCATTACTCGCATTACTGCAGCTGCTGGTACTGGTGCTGACTACGGCGCTTTTGCTCGCAGGTACGCAATGCGCGTTTGCACGCACGCATGCACAGCATTGTGGTGTCTCGTCTGCGTGACCAGAGCGGGGGCTCCCGGCGTCGAGTTGGTCAGCGGGCTAGGTACTCAGCAGTAATTAGTTTTTCCCGACACCATCAGCATCACCGACATGCGTCGTCAACCCGCCACTCTTCTTACATCCAGCACCCGCGTTTTAAGCAGTTATTGAGTTACGTTTCAGGTTTGTTAATCTCTGCTTTGCCTCTGTTTTGACTATACTCGCGGTTCACATGCGAACCTATCCCAACTGCTTGCTCTTGTTTCTACTCAACTACACACGTGAACGTTCATCACTCGCCACTCTTCTTACATCCAGCAACAGCCATTTAAGCAGTTTTCTGTATTACGGTTCAGGTTCGGTCAACTTTGTTTTGCCTGTACTCGCGGTTCACATGCGAACCTCTCCCCATTGCTTGCTCCTGTCCTACTCAACTACACACGTGAACGTTCAGGATGGCTGAAGCTGGTGATATTGGGGTAAGGTGGAGAGGGAGGTTGGCATCAATAAGCAGAGCAGCAGCAGCTGCGGTGGTATGTGCCAGCTGTATGCAACACACGCGTGAGGTCAGAATTGGGATGAGGATGGGATTAACGACGGGATGTGGGACGGGACGACACCCGAAACTACCGCCGTACACAGTATCCTAGTAGTGCCATCGTCTGACTGGTACATAGGGATCATGTGCAAGACAGGATGACAGGCGCCTCTGCCATAGGGGAAGTCAACTTTCCGATCGCGTCTTTGCTAGCAGTACGTTGTAACAAGCAACACATGATGAAAGCACCGCCTCATCTCATCGATGCTTAGGGGGGTTGCACATTGGATACGCTCCGAGCCCAGCGCCTAAACCATCATCCACGACCTGCCCCATTGCCTGATTTGGATACACCTCACCGAGCCGTCTTTCCACCCATGCACCCAGCCCCAGCCCCAGGTGCGCCTGTTGCAGGCTCTTTCACCGCTACGGGCGCTTCGTCTTCAGCTGTATGAGCCTGATGACTCGATCCCCGCCTCGTCAACCAACTACCAACGGAATTCCAACCCTGGAAGGAGGGTTCCAGGACTTACAAACCAACCACACGTCAGCATCACACCGAGACACGCAGGGGAGCGGTTGATTGCAGCTCCCACTCCCAACTCACCCCTCCCCCCCGCTCAAAGCACATGGACAGTGTTTTTCCCTCTCCAGCTGCGTGCTGTAAGCCACTCACCAGTCGCAGAGCGCAGTGCAGCGCACGTAGCTCCCCTCTCGCACAAACAACTGCCCCTTCCCCTTCCCCTCCCTCGGTCGGTTGGTTGGTTGGTGGTTAACGCAACAAACGCCAACGTACACAAAGAAACAACAACATCAGCAAGTGTCCCCGATATCGACTCGGAACTCTATTCTGGACCGTAACGTACATCCAGCAAAGCGGTTTGTTGTTCCATCTCCTAGGACGTAGGTCTTCTCTATCTACAAATAAGCCTCTACACAGCAACTTTGGTCTACGCAACGTGACATGATGTGAAAGCACAACACACACCAGCTCTGTCAACATAAACATTTTGAGCTGCAGGATATTCGTACATTCAGGATTCCGCCACCCCCACTGCTACCACCGCTACCAGAACCAGTCCACCTTCATCGCGTTCCTTGCTCTCGCTCTAGTTCTTTAAGCCACATCACTAGGCCGGCATACGCAACATAAGTACCCTCCCTTCCTAGCACACAAGCCAATCCAATCGCTACAACTCTTCTTCACCCCAGGGCATCTACCCTCTCCGTGTCCTATTCCTCTTTTTTCTTCCTCCTCGCCTTGCTACTGCCCTCCTGCCACTATCCACCTCTTCCACCCGCCCGCGCCTCTCTCGCCTCTCCACTAACCGGACCGCAGCCCTATGACCTAATCAACTCAGAGCCGCCTCCTCCTCCTCCTCCTCCTCATCATCATCATCATCATCATCAACTCCAGACCACAGCTCGACCCCAAACCCACAGTAACCCCCCTCGTCCTCTCTCCTGAACCACCTCTTCACCCCACCTCTACCTCCCCCTTCCCCTCCCGGGGTGGTTCCTCTTCCACCCTCTCCCTTCCCCTAACCCCCTCTACCCCACCGCGTCCCCCCACTACCCCACCGTGCCCTCCAGCTTGAGGCTCATCAGCTCGTTCACCTCCGCCGCGAACTCCAGAGGAAGCTCGTTAAACACCTGGGGGGGCGGGGGGTCAAGACCATACCAAACCATAGGTGACCACAAGTTAGGGCAAAGCAATGGGGGTAGGAGTTGGGCGGGGGGGGGGGCGGAATAAGTCAGAAACGAAACACAATCCCATGTCCCGGCTAATGCATTAAGCACAACAACCAAACCTAGGAGGGGAGCGGAATGTGGAGGGGAGAGGGTCGATTAGAGGCTGGAGGAAAAGCGGAACGGAGCATGCAACAAGGCTCCCCCAAGGAGAGCCTGGCTGCCCACCCGTCCCTCCCAACCCGAGTGGGGAAGAAGAAGGGTGCCGGGCGGCGAGGGGTTCATGGTGGAAGCCCCTGGCGGGGGCATGCAAGCTGGCCGAGCCGAGTCCGTACCTAATGTACGATGCAGGGGGGGAGGGGAGGAGGGCGGCGTCATGGAGCCCTCCCCTGCCCCCAACCCCCTGCCCCCGCGGACTCGGTACCGGTAGGGGCCGCTAGCCCTCACTTGCCTGTTGCCTCCTATGCCCCCTGCTTTGCCATGACCTATGGTCTAGTCCAAGCTTAGCTCCCCTTCCCGTTCACCCCCTCCCCCCGCTCTCACCTCCCGCACCCCTCCCCCTCGCCCCTCACCTCCCGCACCCATCCCCCTCCCCCCTCCCGCTCTCACCTCCCGGCAGAACCCCCCAATGATGGCCCCCACCGCCTTCTCCGCGTCCACCCCGCGCTGCTGGAAGTAGAAGAGCTGGTCCTCCCCGATCTTGGAGGTGCTGGCCTCGTGCTCCACAACCGCAGTAGGCTCACGGACCTGGGGGGAGAGGGGGGGAGCAGGGGGGGAGCGGGGGGAGAGGGGCGGATGCAAGGTATTCCACACGAGTGAATTGTTAGGAACTAAGCCTGGCACCCCTGCCACCGACCCCTGCTGGTGTGCAGCTGGCCGGCATGAACGGCTGATGGACGGGCAGAAGAGGTGCTGCCCTGCAGTCCTCCTATGACTCCCGCATTCCCCTGGAGCTCGGGTTGTTACCGGAATAGCTGTTCAGCTCCTCCTCCTCCCTCCCTTTGTCATATGGCATCCTGCAGGCTCCTTCACCCCATTGCTTAGCTCTAGTTTGTGGTTTCCTGTGGTTTCCCAGGTCTATTAAATCCCCCGGGAGGCAGGAGTCTTTTTCCCCCCCCCCGGTCTACACCTTTCCATGTCCGCACACCCCCCCCCTGCTCCTGCTCCCACGCTCCTACCTGGATGTAGGGGTAGGTGTTGGCGGCCGCACGGTCCCCGATCAGCATGGAGTCGCACTGGCTGAAGTTGCGAGCGCCCTTGGCACTGGGCTGCACCTGCGCGTGCACATGGGCATACACACACATTCACACATAAAACACAAAGGTAACGGCCAGTTGTTTTGGCGGGCGGGTTTTTCTTAAATACACATAACCAGCTGTTGATGTAACACACACGTCGCCATGAGGGAAGGTCGTGCGAGCACACGGCTCAGTGGTTGCGGTTGGTGCGGTGACATGTTGATCATGTCGTCATGCATGCATGGCAGGAGCTGGCAAAGCAGGCAGCAAGCAGGCAAGCTATCACGTACCTCCCACCCCCCGGGTACCGGATATCTCATTATATAATTTATACCCCCCGGCCCCTCACACGCACCTGCACCAGTCCTCGGTAGCAGTTCCGGGACCTGCCGGCGGAGATGCCCTTGGACACGATCCGCGAGCGCGTGTTGCGACCCACATGGATCATCTTGGTGCCCGTGTCGGCCTGCGCGTGTGTGTGTATGGGGGCGGGGGGAGGGGGGGGGGGAACCGAGAAACCGCAAGTGAAGTACTGTGCATCGCCTCGTTGCGACAGGCCGTCCCACAGAAGGGAAAAGGGCCCTTTGAAGGCAGGCAAATATGCCTTCAACGGCTGCCCTCAGATGCTTTCACGGGGCCCCTCAAGTGTTAGCAGCGGCAGCAGCAGCAGTTAGTGAAAAGGGGCAGGGGGGGTAAGGGAAAGGGAAGGGAGACGGAGGCGCCACAACGCTAACCGTAACCGTACCGCATCGCACAGTACGCCCGCAACCAGCCTCTCTCGCCCCTATCACACGGTAACTGCTATCAGTCGGGCATGCTGAGATACCAACCGTCAAGGGTAACCACCCCAACTAACCAGGATTACTAACCTGTTGGCAGTTGTTCGTTAGCGCGACGCTGTAAAACTCCCCCACGCTGTTCTCCCCCGCGAGTACGACAGAGGGGTACTTCCAAGTGATGGAGGAGCCCGTCTCGACCTGCGTCCAGCTGATCTTGCTGTTCGCTCCCGCGCACATGCCGCGCTTGGTCACAAAGTTGTAGATGCCGCCCTTGCCGGCCGCGTCGCCCGCGTACCAGTTCTGCACGGTGCTGTACTTGATCTCCGCGTCACGAGCCGTGTACAGCTCGACAACAGCGGCATGCAGCTGCAGCGCGGCGGGCGGGGGTGGTGGTGGAAGGTGGACCAAGCCACAGGTTAGGGCAAAGAAATGGGAAAAAGCAATGGGGGGGAGGAACATATTACCACTTGAGTTCTGAATGATACAGCATACCGGTAGTAGCAGTCTAGCGGAGCCCCTGACGAATGTGGATGCAATGTGTACTTGTCGTACGTAGGCATGTCGTGTATACGTATATTGGGAGCTGGTATACGGTATTATACGCTTAATTATGCGTATAATGCGTATTATACGCGTATGCGTACATGGCTGACCGTAGGCATACCGGTCTAGGGCCACGCTCATACCGGTTCCACCATACACAACGTAGATGGGGTTTAGCAGGGCAAACACCGCATGTACCAGCCTCTAGGCGCCCACAGCCCCCCTACACGCCAACTGCACGCCGGGTTTGAAGCGTTTTCCTGATGTACGGCATACACGACCAGGCTTCCCCGTATACGGAATTGGGCTTTTGTACGTATTTCGCATACGCTGCCCTAAAACTTTATACGTGTATTATACGCATAAATATGCGTATACGTAACGTATAGTATAATATACGCCGACATGCCTCGTCGTACGTGCTCCGCCCCTCTTCAACTTCCCACCGTTTTCCCTTCGCCCCTAGTTGCTGCCGTACGCTGCGTTTTGTCTTGCGTTGTGGTTTGGTCTATCCTGTACCCCCGACCCCCTCCCTCCCACCTGGTTGCTGTCGTACGCGGGCGCCGTACATCCCTCCAGGTACGACACGTAGGAGCCCTCCTCCGCCACAATCAGGGTGCGCTCGAACTGGTGTTGTTCGTGTTGTTGTTGGTGGTGGTGCGCAGAGGGCGGAGGAAGCAGCGGAAGGAGGAATGGGAGGACGGGCAGGAAAGGCTTAGTGCATTGGTCAACAGCACGCATGAATGCGTGGGGCGTAAAGCGTACCCACACACGAGGGTTGAAGCTTGAAAGACAGCGATAGACAAAGGTTGGGGAGGAGGTCCGCAAGCAAACCAGGCAGCCGCCTGCCACACCCCGCTGCACTGCGACAGCCCCTTTCCGTTCATGAGCTGCCCCTCACTTCCACCTTCCCTCCCGTGCATTGCCCAGGTTACGTGGGTGCTACCCCCCGTCCTGCTGCCACTTGTCGCGCCGCACCTTCACACCCACAACCGTTCCATGACAACATGTCATACCGTACCATGCCACCTTAACGCCAAGCTAGTCAGCTGCACATGCACGTTCCCCCGTGCTATTGCCGGCCAGTTTTTTAATAAACAAGAAACAGCTCGACCCGACCCATGGGTCGCTTCCTGCCGATCCAGAGAATCCCTCAGCAAGCCCCTTCCCTGGCCCCTGCCCACCTCCCGGCTTTTGGTCATCCAAGCAAGTGCATGGATGCAAAGTGCATGCAAGCAAGGCTCTCCACTTTCGTTCACAGCATGATGCAATATTGTAATATTCCTTCTTCTTCTTCTTTTCCCCACCTGCCCTGTCTCGCTGGCGTTGATTCGGAAGTATGTGGAGAGCTCCATGGGGCACTTGACACCCTGCAGGCAGGCAGAAAGGCAGACAGGCAGGCAGGCGGGGGGAGGAACGGAGGAGCGAACGAGGGGGAAAGGGGTTAAAGCACAAGCGTGCCGCGGTACAAGCGGCATAGCGGGGTTGCCGCATGAGGTGCCGTACAAAGGTGTTGGTGCCGTACGGTCAGCAGCAGCAGAAGTCCGTAGGTTGACAGCACCACTCGCATCTGGGTCTGGCTGATTTGGGTCGGGTGCAGTAAGCTGATTTGGGTCGCGGCTCGTTTGGGTTGCTCGTACCATTGTACGATGGTAGGTATGGTAAAGCCGCATGACACGGCTGAATGCGGCTACCAGTGCCCAGCAGCCGTGATGGGTCTACACAGCAGCAACTATACGGCATCTACAAGGACCCACAATCAGCAGCATTCACGCCGACCCACATGAAAGACAAGGAGGCTTGTCTTCTATGTGGGTCTTGATGAATGCTAATTCCGGTGCTGCTGATGCTGCTGGCGACGAGTCAACGCCGTAATGTAACGGTCAAAGTGCTTGAACCGGTCACGAACACGAGGCTCATTGGGAAAAGACCAAGACACGTCTTTGCTTCTCCCAGTACCCACCTCGGTACTCCCAGGCACATTTACCGTGTCTTTTCCCGCCACCCGCCACCCGACAATTCCGCTTCATAAACGAGCCCGACCCACATCAACACGGCAAGGCTAGGGACGCAAGCTAGATTCCCAACCCGCCCGTCCGCCCTAACAACTGGGTAACCCCGCCCTGCAGCCCACCTTGGGCACGAACACGAAGGATCCGTCGCTGAACACCGCCGAGTTGAGGGCCGCAAAGTAGTTATCTCCCACGGGCACCTGCAGGCGGGAAGGCGGGGAAGGGAGAGGCAGGGGGTAGCGAGGGGGGAACTCGTGGGCGGGCAGGAGGCGGGAGCAACAGGTATGTGGTGCAAGTATCAGCGTGAACGCAGGGTGGTGAAATCCCAAACTGAGAAAGTGAGGAAAGGCACTAAGGGCGGCGGATGAGAAGAGGTATTCGGGTTGCTACGCCGCAGCAAAGCCAAGGGCAACACACCGTCATCCTGCGGTAAGTAGCCCGGAGATCAAGCCCCAGTCCCGTGGGTCACCACGTCCCAATCCCTATCCCAAAGGTCGGCAAAGCCCTCCACACAGACCCAGTTTGCCGTAGTTCGCAGCACAGGAGTACGTCGTAGAAGGCTGTGAAGGGTGCTTGGATGGTAAAGGGCAGGATGATGCAAGCCGGACTCACCACACTGCCCAAGTACTTCTTAACCATCTCCGGGTATTCCTTGACGGCCTCGGAAATAGAGCAGAAGATGACGCCGTGCTTCTTCAAGTCCTCCTTAAACGTAGTTGCAATGGACACTGAGTCGAACACCGCGTCCACGGCGACGTTTGCCAGCCGCTTCTGCTCATTCAGCGGAATGCCGAGCTTCTCAAAGGTCTTTAGCAGCTCGGGATCTACGTCATCCAGGCTGTTGAGCTTTTCCTTTATTTTGGGCTCTGAATAGTAGCTGATGCCCTGGTAATCAATCTCTGGATAAGCATTGTCCGACCACCTAGGCTCCTCCATGGTGAGCCATTTCCGAAAAGCCTTAAGCCGGAAGTCAAGCATCCACTCTGGCTCCCCTTTCTTCATCGAAATTGCTCGCACAACGTCCTCGTTTAGGCCCTTCGGGAAAGTGTCGGACTCAATTATGGTCTTAAAGCCGTATTTGTAAGGACGGTCCAGGATCTTCTGAATATCGCGCTTCTCATCCGACATCTGCACATCCTCGACTGTCGCTGTTCGGCAGAGGGTTGTGTGCTGTCCTGGCTGTAACTGGCGCCGAGCGAAAGGGCACCTCGCGGCGAAGGCAGGATTGCGCCGCCCACTAGCGCTAGTGCTAGCACCACAGCATGTGCGATTGGGCAGCAATGTTGTCATGTCTCAGAATAGGCTTCCCAGCCAGGATGCCAATTACTACTACTGTTGTATGTAGGCCAACTAATGCGAAAGACAATAGCTCTCAGTGTGTCCCAAGTACAAAAAGTGCGATTTAATTAGCATGGCTTACACGTTGATGCATGGAATGTTGAAACCACACATGGGTATCGGAGCCTGTACAGCAAGCTTCCATGGCCACTCAACATTAACCAGCAAGCGGGCAATTGCAAATTGCAATCACCTCTAGTTTAAACTCAATTCCTTAGCACTTTGGTTGCATTGCTAAAATGGCCACCGAGAAGGGTACTTTCGCTGTGAAGGTGCGAGGCGGCGGATTGAGGCCAATCCTCTTGTCTGCCATGCTCAGCAACATGTTTTTGCATTACAGGTGGGCTTGGCCCAGATGCTTAAGGGCGGCGTTATTATGGACGTGACTACGCCGGAGGAGGCGCGCATTGCAGAGGAGGCCGGAGCCGTTGCTGTCATGGCTCTTGAGCGCGTGCCAGCCGATATTCGTCGCGATGGCGGTGTTGCACGTATGAGCGATCCAACTATGATTAAGGCAATTAAGGCGGCGGTCACCATCCCAGTGATGGCCAAAGCACGCATCGGGCACTTCGTTGAGGCCCAGATTCTAGAGGCTCTTGGGGTTGACTACGTTGATGAGTCAGAGGTGAGAGCTAACTATGTTTGTGTTATGCCTGTGACTGCCAGTCGCTCCTAATGTGGAGCTGTCGTGGCCTGGACCGCCGCCTGACGTCCTCAGTACGGTTGAAAGGGCTTACAAACCCTGTTTATGTTGTTAAGCTTTTCTGACTAACTTGTTTGTAAAAGGAATTGTCGTTTACCACTCCGGCGTTCGTCGGCCGTAGCTTCGTGTGGTTCCATGCCACCATGCTTGACCCTTCCCAATTACAACCCGGCTCCCATTCTAGGTTCTGACGCCTGCTGACGAGATCCACCACACCAACAAGCACAACTTCAAGGTTCCGTTCGTGTGCGGCTGCCGTGATCTAGGCGAGGCTCTGCGCCGTATCGCTGAGGGTGCTGCCATGATCCGCACCAAGGTAAGAGGTTGCCTGTTTGATACTCCAGTCGACGGCACCCAGACAGTAACACCCGCAAGCGGACAATTCACGTTTACATGGTAGCCCTAACGTCCTGCCGCCCTGCCCGATCTCCACGGCTAGCCTTGTCCGAGCCTAACCCCTTGTCCCCTCGAAAACCAGGGTGAGGCCGGCACGGGCAACGTTGTGGAGGCTGTTCGCCACTGCCGCGCCGTCATGGGGGCCATCCGCCAGCTGCAGGTGGGCTGGGAGCGTGGTTTGGTGGCGCGGGTTGGTGGGCCAGGGAGGGAAGATGGTTGGTTGGCGGCCAGGGAGGGTGGGCCTGTGGGATTGATCTGGGTCGGATCAACGGGGCTGGGAGGTCGACCGTAGAGGCGAGCAGGGTTGGAACAGGGTAGGTGCGTGACGGGATAGAGCTGGACAACTGGGTAGTAGCTGTTGAGTCCGCCTACGGACTGACTGGGTCGGGGCTGATTTGGGTCGGAGGTTTTTGTTTGCGTGAGTCCCACTCAAGCTGTAAACGAGGATGTGCACCGTCCTGGGAACAGGCGCTGCGTAGCTGCAGGCGTAATTAGTTGGGACCCCAGTACGTTTGCCGGTACCAGGCTCACCGCCACCCCTCTCACCTCTACCCTCCCCGCCTCCCAACCCTTACCGGCTGACCATGGGCAATGATACGGCTCTGTCGCCTATTACGGCGGCCTTGCGCACCGACCCAGCCCCTTCCATCTCGTACAAACCCGCAACTAACCCTGCTACCTCCCCCCTCTCCCTCTCCGGTGCATGCAGACCATGGATGACGACGAGCTGTACGTGTACGCCAAGGAGATCCGCGCGCCCGTGGAGCTGGTACGGCAGACCAAGCACCTGGGTCGCCTGCCCGTCGTCAACTTCGCGGCTGGCGGTGTGGCCACCCCCGCTGACGCCGCGCTCATGATGCAGCTCGGCATGGACGGCGTGTTTGTGGGCTCCGGCATCTTCAAGTCCGGGGACCCCGCCGCTCGTGCGCGCGCCATCGTGCAGGTACGAGTGTGGTGGGGTGGTGGGTGCGTTTGCTAGGGTAGAGTTGGGGTGCCTGGTCTTGAGGGTCGACGGCTGGGTTTGCATGGGGCACACTTTGCACGTCCACACCCCACCACAAAAGACGACAAACTCACCCGCCCGGATTGCGCGTAGTTTGAACAGACATGTCTACCAACCCGACCCGTTCACAATGTTCACATTTCATGTACAGCCTACTTACCTCCCCTCTCCTCTCCCGCCCTGTGCCTCGCAGGCCGTCACGCACTACAACAACCCCGCTGTGCTTGCCGAGGTGTCGTCCAACCTCGGGGAGGCCATGGTGGGCATCGACATCCGGGAGAAGGGCTTCAACTCGTACGCGCAGCGCTCCGAGTAAGCGCTCCCGAGTAGCGAGGTGCCGAGTGGGGTAGGAGGACCTCTTGGTTGCCGTGTGTGGGAGGGCGGTGCATATGAGCAGGGCGCCCGTGAGGGTGTCAGTGGTTGACAGTGGTGCCGGTGGAATAGTGTTGGCAGGAGTGCATTGGGGTCAAATAGGTCACGTACGTCGGGGCGGGCCTGTGTGTTTTTGGCTCACTGCCTTGCTGACGTTTCTTCCTTTGGGAGGACTTAGGGAAGGAATATTGAATGTGTGTCTGGGGACCATGCAACTGTCGTGACGGTGGGTTATGACTTGCGGAACTTTTCACCTGCAGTGATTTTGCTGAATTGACGGTGCCGGCCGGACAAATGTACATATACGTCGTGCCGTTACGCAAAATATGCAGACGTGCTCCGTTTTTATGGTTAGCCGCGTGTGGTGTGAGAGGGGATGCTAGCATTGTTTTTAACGAGTGGCTGTGACACGCCGTACACCTTGAGCTGCCCGGGCGCTGCCGTTATCGTCATCTGCATCGTACGGCAGCACTTTGCTGTACGGCATGCGAGATCCCTGGCAAGCTTTGTTTCGCGGTTGTGAGGCTATCTTTGCGTGTGAGCGTATTAGGTTTGCTGGTGAGGGTGGATGCGGCCTATGAAGAAGGGCCTGGCGGGTTGAACGAGCGTTTGTTAGGCTGTTTGCGCAAAGGGAGGAGGATACCCTCATGGACGGGGATCTTATCATCCTGAACTGCACCTGGGGCTTTTGTCCAGCGGATATTCCGCTGAGGCTGTAATTGGCTCTTTCTCCTTCTGTGGCTTATTAGACGCCTTCAAGCGAAAGACACACTTCGGTTGGTCCATAACATAAAGCAGCATGCCATCGCTGGTTTCTTCGAGCGGAAGATATGACACCATTGCTCTACCTACAAGGGTCCTGGTTCTCCATCAGTGGCTTGTAGGTTTCATTCGTCGGCAACAGTACCGCGTTAGAAGCTCTTTACGTAAAAGCGGCCACGCTAAAGGGCTGCTTGCATTATACTGCCATGCTCCTACAAGTACGACGCACCATACCGTGTGGTTCAATCCATACACCGCGCGGCATTGCCATGTTACAGTAGAACATAGCAGCCCCAGCTAAGCGCTTAGGAGGCTCCGGCAAGCTTCAGCTTCCGAGTCCATTACATGTCAGCGTGCGGTGTGCCAAAGGTGTTGGCAAAGGCAACGGCATTTGGCATCACAACTGGTACATATCGTTCGTGGCTCGCCAACATAACGTCAAACCCAAAAGCTCCAACCATGCTTGGCACCATTCCGACTTTTATCCGTGTGCCGCCATGCCACATGGCCTTGCGCGCATGCATACACCGTAACGCCAGCAACCCGCTCGTACCACTCGCCTCCGCTGTAAGCCATGCAGGACATCAGCGACCACCATCACGCGGCCCCGGAAGGCTCCGAAACCCCGCCGCGCTCCCCCCGATGCCGCCCCCCTCAGCAGGCCCACCCCGGTACGATACTCCTTCGCCTACCTAGCCGCCCTGAACAACTCGCACCTGCACACTTTCTGGAGCATGAGCCGCAGCTAAGCTAATCGTCTCGCTCTCGCCCCTACACAAAGAATATCCAGCGACTTGGACAGGCCCACAGCTGCATCTCGTCGCTTGCCCCCCTGCCAACCCAGTTCCCAACCCCTCCCACAATCGCGACCGTAACAGGAGCTACTCTGCGCAAGCGTGCCGCGTACCTCACCCTACCGCAACAGAATCCACATGCCACCGTACAGCCAACCACCGGCAAACATCCATTCAAACGCTTGAACCGACGCCAAGCCCCTGTCGAGTTTTCTCCACATGCACAGCCAAACGCGATCCCCTTAACGCTTGACCCAGGTGTAGCCACGGCGAGCCTTCTCCCGTGCCGGCTTCTTGCGCTCCACCACGCGGCCATCCCACCGCGTCAGCTCACCCAGCTTACCCGCCAGCGCCGGCCGCTGCACGCACAGCGCACGTGCCACTGCCGTACGCACCGCCTGCGCCTGACCCGTGGGACCGCCGCCGTGCACCTTTGCGGTAATGTCGTACGCGGTTTCGGAGCCGGCCAGCGACAGCGGCTCCAGCACGTACCGCCGAGAGGTTGGGTCACGGAAGTACAGGTCTAAGGGCAGACCGTTCACGGTGATGCGGCCGCTGCCGGGGACAAGATCTAGCGTGGCTGTGCTGGCCTTGCGCTTGCCGGCCGCGTGGGTGACACCCGCTATGTCGATGTGCGGGCCGATGCTGCTGCGCTTGCCGGGCGTGGTGCCCGCAGCCGCAGCACCCGATGAGGGGGAGCTGGCGGGTGTGCGCAGCTGCCGCAGCAGCTCTGCGGGGTCAGGCTTGGAGAAAATGACCTCCAAGGGCTGCAGGCGGGGCGCGGTGCGGTAGGGATCGTGGAAATGTCTGGCGTAATGTTCCCATGGAGATGCCTCCCCATGAGCTACGCGCGAAAACTCGCGTGCAACCGGATCGGACCGCAGCGCGGAAGCCTCCAGCGCGGCACAGTACGCAGGTGCGTGGGCTGGTGTGGGGCAGGAAAGGCTGGTGTTCTGCGACCTGTCATCCAGCAGCAGCCGGAGCTGGCTGGCAGTCCTCTGGATGGATTCCACGCGCTTGCGGACCATGCGAGAGACAATTGCTTCGTCAGTGCCTCGAAAGTTAGAGGACAGCAGGGTATGAGCTCGCATTAGGGCCAGCAGATGGTCGCGACGGCGAGCGGACTGACGCGCATTATCCCAAACGGGAAACAGCGGTGACAACACCGACGGACGCAATGAAAACTGCACAGATGGGCGTGGAGCTTGGTCATTCTGTGCTGGCGCGGCAGACGTGCTAGCCTCCGGCGCTTGTTGCGCTGATGATTGTAGTGAAGTTTGAGCCGCAGAGGACTGAGGAGACGACCACGAAGCTAGAGCCCTTTCACATGATAGCAACAAGCATGAAGGCCAATAGCCAGCTGCACGATGAAGCCCCGCGTTCGAAAGCGCCGCAGATGCCGCTGCCGCAAAGCTGGAGGGCCCCAGCGACGCCGCGCCGGAGGCCCCGCAGCCTCGTAACATGTCTAAAAATGCAAGTGTAGTAAAGTCACTGTCTCGTAGGCGTGTACAAAATGCTGAACAATATACTACGCCACGTCCTATGCAACAAGAGGTGATGCAGCAGATTCAGAGTGTTAGAAGCAGGAAACGCGAATACACAGCGCTTTGGATTAGTGACACCTTGCGCGAGTAGAGTGTCGTACTACTGGTGCTCCATCTTGTTGAATCTGGGCGTTATTAACAGGTTACACACAGTCGCAATCTATGCAAATTCACCCATGCCCTAGCGATCAACGGTCAGTTACTGAAGGTTGTGGCTGAGTATTGTTGTACAAAAGCTGTTAGCCGGACCCCGCTCAAGGGCGCCGGAAATGCGCTGTATGAACATGTGGGGGCAATAGATACTCCTGACCAACCTCCGCGTCATTGCGCACATCGTCTGCCTGATTCCGTTCGTGCAATTAAGATAAATGCAAGCCAGCGGCGCCTCAGTTGGATACACCGCACGGGCATCTGGACCTCATAGCCGCGCGTGTCGCCAGCGAAATCGATTACCGGCCGCCTTCATACCGCTCTTACGTGCAAGCGCCTCCCACATCCCGTCCACGGCCCTCCAACGCCGCACCACCAGTGCCAAGCTTGCACAATCTCGTCAGCCCCAACCTCCCTCTGACCCTACCTCAACCACTTTCTCCAGACCCTCCACCACCACCTACACCGCCCCTTCCAGCGCCTGGCAAGTGCCCTGCAGCAACCCAATTTCCTTCCCTGATGCCTACCCAGACCTCCGCTCCTTCGCAGCGGCCGTACGGCGGTACGCAGCGGGCTGGCACCCGGTGGTGATCAGCGCCGCGCTTAACCATGCGGTGAAGGTGAGAGGAGGAGGGCGGAAGGAGGGAAAGCAGAATTGAACAGAAATGGAGAACATTGGTGGCAGCCCGTGATGAAAGTCGAGGGAGGGCAAAGAAAAAGAGACCGAGAGAGGGAAGGATCCGAGGGAGGGAGGGACAGGAGGCAAGCAACACGCCAGTACAGCACTAAGCAGTACGGCAGTAGTCCTCCGGCATCCGCTACGGTCGTCATATCAGCGCATCCAGCAACCATGCAGAGAAGGCAGGTGCTTGGTAGTTTGTGGGTTCACCCTCGTCCTCGACCTTCACTCGGCTGAATGGGAGGGAGGGTAGCTGGGAAGACGGAGGGGAAAAATGGAAAGTGAAGCAACGGAATCCCAAGGGAAGGGACGGGAAGGGGCCTGTGGGAGACAGCCTGGGAGGCGCGGAGGTCAGGATGATGGCTCGCCGAGGCGGGGCTCGGCGAGGGGTGGCCGCCCCGCAGCAGCAGCAGCTGGGGGGAGAGGCAGCTGGGAGACGGGTGCGGGCGGTGTAGCGTACCGGTGGTGTGGGCGGCGGGGAGAGGGTTGCCATGGATGCGATATGTACGACAGAGCGTGGGGCCCTGGTGGTTGGGATGGTTGGTGGTTGGGATGGTTGTTACTGTGGCGCATGGGGCTTGGCTGCATGGGGCTTGTGTCTCGTCGTTGCCTCGCTGGCACCCGTCTCGCCCGCCACTGTTCTCATCCTCCGTATTGTCCGCTGCTCCTGCTGTCCGCCACAGCCCTCCTGACCCACGCCTGCCTAACACTGTCGTACAACTTGAGCCGGCGTTCCCTTCCTCTCTTGCTCCCCCTAGTCTTTTTCCCTACCTGCAGTATAACAGGAGTTTGGTTTTCCTTATCCTCGCAGTCTTACCACTCCTCTCCCTAACCTCACTCCTTGCCCGCTTCTCTTCACTCCTCCCTCCCCTGCCTCATCACGTGGTGGCTCCTACCCCTATGGTGGCATGTTGGCGGCTTACAATTGCGACTCCCGTACGACAACAGCTGTACGACGAACTACGATTGTACGACAAAGGATCAGGCGGCGCTCATGTTCCAGCGGAGGCGCAGCTGTTGTTGTACAGCACCTTGGGCCGCCTACAGGTGCGTGTGTGTGTGTACTGTGTAGTTGAGCGGAAACAAGAGCAAGCAGTTGGGATATGTACTGTGTGTTAAATAAACTGTGTGTTAAGAAAACTGGAGGAGAAAACTGTGTGTGTTTGTCGTGCATCTCGTACGGCAGCATGTCCCGCCCATGGCTGCGGCAACGGGCGCACACGATGTGCGTATGGCCCCTTCGTTGCTCGCCTCACCCACCCGCCTCCCGCCCCGCTACCCTCCTCCCACACATCTCCCTGAACCCTCCCCTCTGCATGCTGCTGTGAGCACTGTCCCCCCAACCCATCCCTGCCCGCCTCCCAACCCGCCCCCTCCCTGCCCGCCCCTCCCCGACCCCGCAGGCCGCCTTCATGCCGCACATCCGCTCCATCCCCTCATCCAGATACGCTGTCAACGCGCTGTGGGTGTGTGCCAAGACCGGCTACTGGGGCCGCCCCCCGCCCGCCTCTTCCTCTCCTTCCTCCTCTCCCCCCTCCTCTCCCCCCTCCTCTCCTTCCTCCTCTCCTTCCTCCCCCTCCTTGCCTCCCTTCCCCACGGCGCTGCTCCACCGCCTGCGGGCTCGCGGGTACCAGCTGCTGCGCTCCGCCGGAACCGTGGGTCAGTCGCACAGCAACCTCTGGTGGGCGCTGTCAGAGTACGACAACGGTAACGGTTGCAACGATAGCGAATTGTACGGCAACGGCAGCAACGGTAACAGGGAGGGAAGTGGGGAAGAGGCCGAGGGTGGGAGAGGGGAAGAGGAGAGGGAGGTGTACTCCACCTCCTCTTCCTCCCCCTCTACTTCCTCGTCTTCTCCACCTTCTTCCTCGTCTTCCTGCTCCTCACTCTCCTTTGCGGGGCGGGCGGCAGCTGACGTCCTGCGGGTGTCAGCTGAGGCGATCAAAGCAACACCGCACCTGCATCAGGCGTCGTACAAACCACAAGTGAGTCGTACGAAAACCGTAGGTGGGCCGTACAGAGCAGGGGGTGGGCCGTACAAACCATACAAGTAACGCAATTGCCTCAAGCGCCTTCCCTCCCTTTCCCCATCAAGCTAGCTCCAGGCTCCCTTCCCCCTCCCTGGTGCTCCCCTACCCTTGGTTAGCTTCTTACTCTTTATTCCCCTCCCTCCTCCCCTCCCTCCTCCCCCCCGGCTCGGTATCGCTAGAGGCCACTAACCCTCTTTCATTCCACGACAAGGTGCTTCCCTCCCTCCCCATTGCTTTGCCCTAACCTGTGATTGGGGTACATCCCCTCCCCCCTCCTCCCCTCCTCCTCCCCTTCCCTCCTCCCCCCACCCTCCCCCCCCAGGAGCTGGCCAACCTGCTGCTGGGCGCCGCCCGACTGGGCTACCGGGCCGACCCGCCCCTCACCGCGCACCTGCTGGGGCACCTGGCGGCGCACCCGGGGCCATTCAAACCGCAGGTGGGGGCAGGTGGGGGGAGAAGGAGAAGGAGGAGTAGGAGAAGATGAAGGTGAAGAAGAAGGAGAAGCATGCGTTGAATGATGATAGTGGCAACGCTGGGCGGCAAGGTCATTGTGAATGGAACCAAGTTGGCGGGTCCGGTCGTACGATGGTCCTGGCACTGGCCGTTACAACGCACTACTACACTCCGCGCGCCACCTCTCCCTTCCTCTCCCCTCCCCCCTCCTCGCCCCACTCCAAAGGCCATCTCCAATGCCCTGTACGCGCTGGGGGAGCTGTTCTGCGAGGATGGCGGCGGGGAGGCGGCCGCAGCAGCCCACAGCGCAGCAGCAGCAGCGGGAGGCCCAGATACAGCCCCTGCCGTGGCGTCGTCGTCGTCGTCAGCAGCAGCAGCAGTTGATGGTGGTGGCGGGGGTGGAGGTGGAGGTGGAGGAGGGGATGTCGTACATCGGCAGTGGCGGCTGCCGGCGGCATTTGCCGTACATTTACAAGATCTGACGGCGCTGGCGTTACGAGTCGGTTTGCGCAACTTCAAACCCCAGGTGCGATTTGAAAGCGCGTGCGGGGCGTGACAAGGTACGGAGCAGCAAAACGCAGGTATTATGTAGGAATGTGTGTGGGAAAAAGCGAAGGAACGAACGAACGGAAGCGTTATAAAAAGGCACGAAGGTGCGTCTGTGCTACCTCCCATCAAAGCTACACCCCCGCCCGCTGCCCCTTCAGTCGCTCCCCGCACGTCACCCCTCCGCTTGCTGCTTCTTGACTCCCTATTCTCATCTTCCCTCGATCATTACCACCTGTCATGGTGCAATGAAGCCTGCCCGCCTCCCGCCGTTGCACCCACCACCTCCCCCCCCTCTCCTTGTCATACAGCTCGTCAATTCCCTCCTTTTTACCCTCTCCCGCCCATCCCCTGGCCCCCTCCCCTGGCCCTCTCCCCCCAGGAGCTCTCCAACATGGCGTACGGCTGCGCCCGCCTGGCCGTGCAGCTGCAGCCGCCCTCCGCCCACATGCGGGGGGCAGGCACGGCGGGGGCGGGGGGAGCGGGGGCGGCAAGGAGTGAGGCAACGGGTGCAGCGGGGGCAGGGGACCGGGCGGCAGCGGGTGCTGCCGCGGCGGGGGCGGGGCCGGGTGGGGGGGAGCCGCATGCGGCGGTGCAGCAGTTCGTGGTACTGCTGGCGGAGCACGTGCGGGAGCGGCTGGAGGTGGGGGAGGGGGGGAGAGACGGACAAGCTGGGGGGGTCAAAGACCAGCCCAAACCATAGGGAACCACAGGTTAGGGCACAGCAATGGGGGTAGGAGGCGGCAGGGTGCCGAGAAACAAGGCTGGGCGGGGGAGGGTGGGGGAAGGAGAGAGCTGGGGGGGGGAGGGAGTGTGATAGGGGCCCTGGTGTAATGAGCAAGGGGTGCAAGGCTCGCAGTCACGCGCACGCAGCCTCTCATGTCCGCCGGCCGCACAACTCTCCCCATATCCCCTTGTCCGCACGAGGGGTAGAATAAACCAAACCACAAAGTTAGGGCAAAACAATGGGTATTGTTGGCAGGGAGCCACAAAACATGGGAGGGTTAGCAGTCCTTACCGATACCGATGCTCCAGAGGAAGCGATTTTGCTGCATCCGGTGTGCTGTAACTAGCCAAAAAATGGAGTAGTCTATGCGTCGCTGAGTGTTGAGCGTCGTCACCAAGGCCCCATGGGATGTCGCTCGGACATGGCAAAACAAGTAGGGTGAAACGTGTGTGACGTGGTAAGCAAACAACAACAACAACAACAAACGGATCACGAGGCGGATTTACCTATATACGGAAGCGAGCGCCACAGAAGCCGCCAGCAATGTCGCGACAGAAGGGCCACGGGAGGGGATAGGGACAGGCAACACGAATGGTTAGGATGGGTGTATAGAAAAACTGAGAGTTGTGAGGAAAGCAAGAAATGCGAAATGAATGTGTGAAATATGCGAAGGGGAGGTTGTCCGCACGAGGGGGAGGTTGCCTCACAGTCTTCACTGCACCCTGCCTCCTCACTCTCCTCTCTTTCCCTGCCCTCTTCTTCCCTGCCAAACCGTACTACACCGTACCAATTCTTGCCGTACATCCCTCCCTCCTTCCCTGTGCATAACTTCTTTTTTCACCCTCCTTTCCTCCCTCCCCTGCCGTACATCCCTCCCATGCCGTACCTTGCCGTACACCGCACCGCAGTGGGATCCATCTTCCTTCAGCGCCCAGGCCGTCAGCAACGCCACGTGGGCCCTAGCCAGCATGGGCTACCGCGAGCAGTCGTACTTCAGATCTGCCGTACAGGCGGTGCTGCGGGGCTGCGGCATGGAGCGAGCCAAACCTAGGGCAAGTTGAAAGTCTTGCAACTACCTGTAGTAAAGCCCTCCGCTAACTAATCCTAACTACCAACTACCACAGCTACCATCTGAGTACGTGTATGTGTGTTTTACAGCAACCTCTTGTTGTGTGTTTTACTCCTCCAACACAGGAATGGTCCAGCTTCTTCGTAGCTCTCGCCGCCGTACAGTACCGCCCGCCGCCGTCGCTCGTCGCCCTCCTCCGTCGCAGCGTGTGCAGCGACCCATGGGGCGCCGACCGAGTGCAGGCCTGGACCAACCTGCTGTTCGCGCTCAACGCACTCGGCATCTACGACGAAGCCGTACTGCAATGGGCCACGTCATGCACGGCTGCGACGGGCTGGCGACCCATGGGTCACCAGGGGCTGACCAACTGCCTGTGGTCGCTCGCGGTGCTGCCGCCCGGGTCGCTGCTGCGGCATGCGGAGCTGGTGGGCATGTTGGTGGAGGGGTTGGAGCGCTGCGGGGCGGAGGCGCTCAATGAGATGTGGGTGGGGCGCGGGAGCGGTGCTGTTCCAGCCAGGCCGTTAACGGTTGTGTCGCGGACCTCTGGCAGTAAGGGGATGTGTTAGGGAAGGAGGAACAGGGACAGCAGCGGGGGCCCTTGGCCCAGTGATCGCGGCGTTTGCCGTTCGTGACCCTCTCGTGCCCTTTCCAACGCCTTCTGCCGCAAACCCCTGTCCCCGTCCCTGTCCCTTTTCCCCCTGCTCGTCCTCCTCACAGAAGCCGAGTGCAGACGTGGCAAGCCCATCTCGAGATAGAGTCTGCCCACCAACTGTGGGAGGAACAACAACGACAAGAGCAACAACGAGACCAACGACAACAACAACCGCAAAAGCAGCGGCAGCTGCATCTGGGTCGCTCCGACCAGCCCTCCTCGGCCCTTCCTGCCGCCTCCCTCCCTAGTAACGTCCTCCTGCCCCGCACCAGCAAACGCCGCTCCCCTCCCTCCCCGCCCTCTCCCCCCACATCTCCGCCGCTCCCCTCCTCCGCGTCCTTTCCCCTTCCGCGGCTCAGTCCCGACCTGGCTGCCTCCGTCCGCCAGACCATGTTGGGCGTGTCCGCCAAGGTGCTGCAGCAGCCCGTGACGGCGCTGCAGCTGGACGTGGCGGGCTGTGCGACGTACCTGCTGGTGGCAGGGGAGCGGGGACGGGCGCAGGGGCAGCAGCGGGGACAGCAGCAGCAGCGGGGGCAGGAGGGTAGCGCTGGCAGCAGCAGCAGCAGGTTGTCTAATGGAAGCATTGCAGGCGGAAGCGGCAACAGCTCCAGCAGCATGCCTAGCAGTAGCGACGGCAACAACAACAGCAGCGGCACCGGGCCCTGCAGGATTACCCGTGTGGAGCAGGAGTGGCTGGTTCCGGAGCTGGGAGTGCGGGTGGACTTGAGTGTGTGGCTAAGTGACGGGAGGCAGGTGGTGGTGGAGGTGGACGGCCCCTCGCACTACTTCTGCAACGAGCCGAGGACCAAGGAGCCGCGCGCGGCGCTGCGGGACAGGCAGCTGGCGCGAGTGTTCGGGCGGGAAAACGTGTTGTGTGTGCCGTACTGGGATTGGGACGAGATGGCGGGGAGGCAGGAGGAGAAGCTGGCGTACCTGGCTGCGTTGCTGCGGCTGGATTGAGGCTGTCAGTGGGTGTTGCGGACGGTAGCGATGGTGATGGTGGCGGTCGGAAGAATGGGAAGGAGAAGAAGGAAAGCCGGAGTGGTGGCAAGCGGATGATGTGAAGCCCGGTGTTATCACGTAATGGCCGTACAGGCATGCACATGGCCGTACAGGCATGCACATGAAATGCTTGACACGCCCGGCCCTGACTTCGAGGCGTGATGTCGTACGCCCTCTCCATCACCTGCTTGTTGCCGTTGGTGGCACTACATGATGGTCCTGGGGGACCCAGATGAGGCGCCCGGGGAGCCCTAGCATGGTGCCAGGCAATAGCGGAGTATAATATGGTGTTTTAACGGTAAGTACAGATGCCGAATGGGTGGCAATACAAGAGGTGTATACCTTCACGGTCGTGCGGCACGCTCGAAGACACAAAACACCCGTGCGGAAAGAGCCCGGCGTGGGATCCATCGAGACGGTTGCTGTCCCATCCTGGTTGCTGTCCCAGCCTTAGTAACAACCACACACAAGGTACAGACCCGACCCATGCTGCTGGGCATGTGGTCGTCCGTACCTGGCAGCAGGCATCTGCAAGTAGCATAATGATTATACCGTACCGAAGTCTACCAATTTGCGCTAGACTGCCAACTCTACTCTGTTTCTTCAAATGCGTCTGGCGAGTCCTCCACTTATTGTAGGAGTATTACTGTTTGTCGCACTATACTCTTTTTGCCTCGCGGTGCACAGTCCAGGACGTCAACAAGATTCTTCAAACGCACAACTTCATAGCGGTAGTACGCGCAAGGTGCTTCTTAACGGTTTCCATGCATGGGACAATGGCGAAACCGTGACAAACAGCGAAGCCGCGGGCGGAGACTCACCCCATTCCTTATTGTCCAAATCGACAGAGCTGCTATCGGGTGGCAGATATGAGGCGAGTCTCGTGCACTTCGGCCCTGTGCTGCAACAGGTCATCCGCATGACCCTCCAAGTTCTTACACAATTGCTATAGTAAGCGTTTACCTTTTTGCTAATACTATCCACAGCTGTTCAACGGGGCTGAGACGGTGTGGCAGCTGCCGCCCGCGGACAAGCCCCGCAAGGGTGTGCTGTTCATCGCGCATGGCTGCAACCATGGAGCCATCGACTGGTGGCCGCAGTCCGCCTCCTGCCCGCAGTGCATAGGCCTGCCCGAGGAGATGAACGTGACGCTGCACTCCCTGCTGCGTGGCTACGCGGTGGTGGCGGTGTCGTCGGTGGCACGCAGAGGATCCAGGTGTGGGGTGGGAGGATGGGGCTGCTAATGAGGCGTGCTGACCAGGCTTTGACCAGTAAATGAGGCTGACAGACCCGGCTCGGTCCCAGGGAAAAGCCCCAGGTCAGCCTTCAAAACTTCCGATCAAGCCAACCTGTCACTCATTAAACTCAAACCCCAGCTTGCCTCTCTTCCTTGGGCCTTGTGCATGCTTAGCTTGGGTACTCTCTCCGTCCGTACTGACTCCACCGCCCGCGATCCGTCCGTCTGTCGCGCTGTTGTCGTCGTCAGGTGCTGGCAAACCCCTTTTGGCGGCGGGGACCCCGCGGACTACTCGGAGGCGGCCGCCGCGCCCTCCAATGACTACCTCAATGTGCGTGCGTGCGTGCGTGCGTGTGTCCTGAAGGAGGGAGGGAGGGCGGAAGACAACAACAACCCATTTGTCCTATTGTTCGGTACATGTTGGGGATCAGCGGGAGTCAGCCGCGCGTTGTTGTAACGGCGGCAAGTTGTAACGAACATGCATACTGCTTACATGCACACGGGCAACCCGCCTCTGACCGCGCTGCTTACCGGTACCATACCTTCGCACTCTTTGCACCCATGAGAACCCAATACTGGCAACCAAACCACTCATTCCGCATACACATACACTACTGTAACAGTCAATCCTCTTTGCACCAAGGTCAGTGTCAGTTTTGCCAGTTTCGCGGCCAGTTGGTTTACGGTCATTACCCCACATCCCGCCATGCACAGGTGCAACACGTGCTGTCCACGCTGCTACCGCGGGAGGGGCTCTCCTCGCTGCCGCTGCTGGCTCTGGGCGCCTCCTCAGGCGGTGCCTTCGTGCTGGGGCTGCCCAGTTTGATGCCCGGGGCGTTCGCGGGGCTCGCGGTGCAGATCATGGGCGGTCCGCCGGGGCTGCTGGCGCAGTACCGGTGAGGGCTGGAGGGTGGGTGGGGCAGAGGGTGGGGCTGGGTGGGGGAGAAGCCAGCTGAACCCAGAGGCTGGGGATTAAAAGGGGAGTAGGAGGGGAAGCTGGGCTGGCAGTAAAATAAAGAGGAAACAGGAAGTCCCATAGTGTCCTTGGCTCCCTTGGCTCGTACGGACACACTTTACACGCGTACAGACGTTAACTTTAACAGGAAACCAGGTTGTGAGACAGTAATTGAAGATGTTGGGGTTTTGGGGGCGTGTGTGTTAAGGAGACTTGCCGCCAGCTGGGACGTGTGTAGTTGAGTAGGACAAGAGCAAGCAATTGGGCGGCAGGGGTACAGCCAGGAGGGCGAAGGGTGGTCTGTGGGTGTTCAATGCGGACCGCCCCCCCGCCCGCCTCGTCATACAGCTCGTTCGTTTCCTCTTTTTGCCCCCGCCCCGCCCCCCCCCCCCCCGCCGCAGGTCGCTGGGTCACACCGCTGCCTGGCCCCCCACGCTGTTCGCGCACATGCCGCGGGACAGCCACATGGCAGCCCTGGTGGAGGCGAACCTGGCGGAGATGAGGCAGGCGGTGAGGGGGGGCAGCGGGGGGGGGAGTGGGGTGTGCGGTGGGTGGCGGGATGTGGTGGGGGCCCTGCTTAGGGTATGTCAGGGAGAGTAGACGGGGACGATATCCTTTGTAGTACCACTCAGTGCTGCCACCCGGGGTGTTGTGGCGCTACTTGCGTGCATGCATGCAAACCCAACGGCGAGCCATGCATGCGTATACCGAGCGTGCATAACCTGTGAGCTGGGGGCCTGCTGGGGTAGACATGGAAGCCACGTCCATCGGACAGACAGTGAGCTGGGCCTGGGTGGGGCCTCCAGCGTACGCATTTGTTGTGAGCGCTGGAAATGGGGTCTGTGCGTGGCGCGCGTCTTGCTCAGCGCGCACGAAACCGTGTGTAAATTCAACAGCGGCGTGTGCATGCGGTGTTTTGGATGTACTCAGACGCAGCGGAAGTGGCTGGCTGAGGGCCCTGGGTGGGTGTGCGGCTTACCGCTGCATGCGCCCCCGCGGCTGCAGGGCGTCCCCGCTCACGAGCTGCTGCTGCTGCCGCGGCCGCTGACGCCGCTGTACCTGGTGCAGCGCTGTGCGCCGGAGGTTGACGAGCGCACCAGCAGGGCCATATACGAGGCGTTCAGGTGGGGGTGGGGGAGGAGGAGGAGGGGGGCTAGCAGCAGCGGTCGCCACGTCCTGCACTGCAGGCTCCGGGGCCCTCCGAGGAAGCCGCTAGTCAGCTGAGGTGGCCCTCTCAACAGAGCCCACGGGGCTCATGAAGGGACTTTGTGTTGGCTTGGCCTTGCAGTTGGTGTCCACACACCTCCGCCACCACTGCGCACACACGCAGGAGGTTCGACTTCATCGACGAGCGCGGGTTCCTGCGTCACAACCCGCGCGGCCCGCCCTTGTGGCAGCACCTGCTGCGGCTGGCAGAGCTGCCTGGGCTGGAGCGGCTGAGGCTGCGACCCGAGGTAGGAGGCGGCGGCGGCGGAGCGGGCGGGATGGGAAAGAGATAACGCTGAGGAGGAGAGCTGGATATCTTTCGGGTGGTTTTGGTTTGAGGGTGATAAGGTTCAGGGCACTTAAGAATGCCCTTCATTGCATACCGGTGCATTAAGCTGCCAACCCTAATCCTGGTGTATATCATCTGCTCATCTCGCGGCCCAGTCCATTGACCCTGGCATGTGTCACGCGCCGCCCCCTTTATGTGTGCCGACCGCTACACAGGAGAGCCCCATTGCGGAGGAGCTCAACCTGCTATTCGCGGGTCACGAGCTCAGCTCTGAAACCACCACCGACATGCTCAACTGGTTTGAGAGCAGGATTGCTGCTGCTGCCACTGCTGGCGAGGCTAATGCTGGAGGATGAGGACGTGCTCCTCGCCGACCCATAGCTGTATGCCAGCTGAGAGACGCGAGGGTATTCCTGCCCAGGCTCCGCCGCGTATTGTAAGTGACGGCCTTTGCTACTCTTCGTTACTAGCTGAGGTTAGGGAAGGCCCATATACCGGCGTTCCTGCGCACAGCATCGCCCAAGTGCGGCAAATGGCAAACCGAGAGGAAGCGCGTAGTATAACATCTACAACCCCCCATTGCCGCAAAGGCAATGCATGCCCTTTCAGCGTCAACCCAAACACCCACAGCGTTCATTTGAAATCTATCGATGCCCCCGCGCGCCGTCATTACCTCTTTGCATACACCTATATTTGAAGGTAACGATCTTTGGGACAGTACTAAAAAGCTCGTAAAACAGGATGTGCACCAGTGTTCTGATATCCCTGCAAACAAAATATTAATGAACGGCATGGAAGCCTCGATTGGCGCTGTGCTGCACAGTCTGTCCGCCAGCACAAGCAGGGCCCCGAACTCCCCCCCGCAACGCCACAACATGCATTTCACTGCATGCCATCAAGCCACGGGGGTAACCGCAAACAGCATCTACAAGCTGCCACCGCATTCACCGCAGCCATCCCCGCAACATCATGAACCCACATCGCTAGAGCAACGTTTCGAACACGCTTCGCAATCACACCCCTTGTCCAAACATCCGCGGGCAACGTAAACACGGGTCGCATGCACCCGTTTCTGTCACGTGCACCCAACGCCCTACCCAGAAACATCCCATCCGCGAGAAGAGAGGCAGTGCAGGCGCTGCTGCTTAGTGCTGGCCCTGCGCAAAGGTGCCAAAGAGCTTGGCGCGCACGGTGGGTAGGTTGGCCTGGTAGGCGATCTTGAGGCGGTCGTCCAGCGTGTTGTTGCAGGTGATGCGGCCGTCCGCCGAGGTGACCACCAAACCGCCGCAGCTTCGCAGGGAAAGAGGAGAGGAGGGAGTTGTAATGGTAATGGGTTTTGCAACAGGAACATTAGGTAGTAAGGGAGGTGAGCGCCGCGCCACTGCAGCTGTGCAGCAGAGATGAGGGGAGGGAGGGGATGAGGAGAAGGGCGATATCGGCAGAAGTGATAAGGGGAAAGGTGGGGCGGGGACATCGTCGCGGGTTCGTAAGGATCAGGGGTTGCTTTCCTGGGCTGCGCAAGGCTACACAAGGGTCGGTATGCACCTCTCCATACGTCAGCACGTGGCCATCAAGTCACGGCGAAAGCTACGCGATTGGTTCGCTTGGCTCCTTTGGATGGGGCCGAATGGTCTGTATAACTACGATAACGTGCGTTGAAAGGCATTGTCATCGCACCCCATCATCATGCCCCATGACCCCAAACCCTGGCCGCAGCAGCACGTCCCCTTTTCCCATGCACCCCATGCATGTGGGATTAGGATCACCTGCCATTCGGCACACCAACCCAGTAAAGTTCACACCATCGCCTTAAGCCTACGCCTCACCACCCCTCCCGCTATTACCGCCAAACCGGAACCGGGTAATCCCTGGCCCCTGGTTGCATGCCTACTTACCAGGACTCAACGTCCTCGCCGTCCGTGGGCGGTGGCGGCAGGAACTTGGTCTGGTCCACCGCCAGGGCGGGCGCCTCCGCTCCGAACATGGCGGTGTACGCCTTGCGGGCGGGGTCCATGACCTCCTTCACGAGCAGCAGGTCCACTTGCCGGCAGGTGACGGTCATGGACTTCTCGTTGAGCTTCCGCATGGCCTGCAGGATCGAGGAAGGATGCGTGCAGGAAGATGCAGGATGGCTCCGTGGCACGGTTGCATGTAGACCCGACGATGGAATGGCCTCCGTCGGTGAAACCCAAAACCCAGTAGGGACATTACCCCCCACCGCATATAAGATGACCTTCACCAGCACTAATGTGGCTTCCCCCAACTCCCCGATCACGGAGAGTGCCGTGCAACCCCCGAAGCCCGCTGAGGAGTAAGGGGAGTGGGGGGGAACCCACCTGCACGAGGAGATCCTGCAGCAGCTGCTTGTACGTGGTTGGGTTCTTCGAAACGTCCCGGAGCCGTGCTTTAGCCTCCGTGATAATCTCCTGCACAGCGGCCTCCTTCGCTGCCAGCACCTTAAGACGCATTTCGTTCAGCTGCTTGGAGTACTCGCTGCAAGCGTCGGCAGTGAACATAATCATGTTTGCATGCTGACACAATATTACAGCCTGCATTCGCTCCGCTAACGTATATACCTACATTTTCTTCTTGACCTCGACCTGGCCCTCCTTGCGCTCATACTCCTTTCTAATCTTCGCCTTCTCCTGCTCGAGGAGCTGCAACTTCTCCAGGTTGAACTCCTGCAGAAAACATGCATGCGGAACCACCGTGAGGAGGTGCTGGTGTGATTGGTTCGCGAGCTTGTAAGGAACCCGCCACCCATGCATGGCCCGCTACTCGCCTCTTCAGCAGATACTTTGATCTCCGTTGATTTTTCCTCCGCCTCCTGCTTGATGAACCGCACCATCTGCTCAATTTGCCGCTCAACCTGTGCGAAGCGCAATACAAAGCCTCCATTTTAGTAGCGTTGTTTTTGGTACAAAAGGTTAGAGTAGTATTCACCTCCGCCTCGTTCATCTTTGCTGGAGTTTGTGAAGTAAGCTCAAGATCGAAAGGAAGCTTTCCTTGCAGCACTAGTCAGGAGCTAACTACCGCAATGTGCTAGAGGCAAAGGACCAGGCTCGGTCGGGAACGTAGAGGTGCAGAGGTAGCCTTGATGTGTTTCCTGTCGTGCACGAGTGTACGGGTTATGCGGCACCGCATGAGGCACCCTGACACCACAGAGCACCCCACAACTACTCCGAGTAACTTTGATACAAAATGCTTGCCTCACGACCAACTGTGCGGCCCTTTGTGGCTGCTAGGCGCACTGTGGCGGTGCAAGCCAAGTTGAGCTTGCATACGCTCACCCAGGATATTGCTAGGTCGCAGTTGAAAAAGAACCTTCCATCTGTAACTGTGGGTGACAGCGTTAAGGTCGGTCTGGCTGTGCAAGAAGGAAATGGCAAGACGCGGACGCAGACCCTCGACGGCGTTATCATCGCTGCCCATGGCGCTGGGACTAGCAAAACGCTGACCTTCCGACGTGTGTTCCAAGGCGTGGGCGTCGAGCTGGTCCTGCCAGTCCACTCACCGGCTGTTCAGCAAATCGACTTTGTGCGTCGCGGTCGTGTTCGCCGTGCCAAGCTCTTCTACCTGCGCGACCGCGTAGGCAAGGCAGCTAGGCTCAAGGAGGTCCTCGGTGTGCGCAAGGAGGACGTGGCCGCGCCGAAGCAGGAGCAGTGAGCACCGCGCTTAACAGCCTGGAGCCTGCAGCAAATTAGCATCTTGACCATTCGTGGGCGCGGCATGAACAGCGTTTCCGTGCGAGCACGGCAAGTTTTCAAGTTTTGCCGTTCCCATACGGGACAGTGTAGCATTTATGTGTGTGTATGTGGAGGGCTGGGGGGAAAGAGAGGTTTGCCATATAGGCGATGTATGAACAGTTGGCATGAGCTGACTATGTGAGCGTTGAGCGCTCTGAGCACCTTCGGTTGTGGCTTTGGGCACGTGTGGTTTGTGGTATGGACAAGGTCTTTACGATGTAACATCCCTGGACAGTCGCCCAGCCTGCCGTGTAACGCCTCATGCTGTGTGGTTAGGACTGTGTATACGCGATGCGTTGCGGCCAGCCGCTATGAGCTTAACAAAGAGCGTTGCGTAAAGAAAAAGCTGTGAGGACGGCTTTGCAACAACAATCCTGAACAGTGTGTGGCAGGAAACCAGTCGTACACATGCTTATAATGCAGAATGAGGGCCAGTCCCATCGAGCCTGCCGTGCATGCGCTCGCTGTAGTTGTCATGCAGCGATGTGCGGGTATGGTTGCGTAAACGGTTTCTTGTACATGCAACAGTCGGCAACAGGACGTTCTTCACGTGCGAATGCAGAGGTCGGCGCGAGCCCAGCCCTAACAATCACTTAATGCCCCGCAATCAGCGAACAGTTCTTGTAGAAGCCCGAAGCAGTTGCAAGCCTCCGTTGCATACATCCCCTGGTACACAACGTTATACCGGTAGCAGCAGCTCCCCTCCACCAGCACACTCCTTACGAACGTGGCTGAATACATTTGGCCATCCAACGTCCTCGAGCATTCAATGCATAAAAGGTCTGCCTTGTTACTAACCTAGCACCTGTAGCATCGCACCCTACACCTAACCCGGCACCTGTAACCACAAGCTATGCACGCATGCTCCAACACTCCCTGTCACTGCGCGGAGAATGTTGCGCTTTTGCGTTTACGCCCCTCTGCCCAACCTGCAGATCCTTCCATGTTCTGCCGTCAACCGCCATCACGCCAACAGCCGCCGCTCGCACGGTAACACCCCAAACCCACCAGCCTCGCACCAACCTGGCCTGACCCGGTGCGCTATGGCGCTTCCTAACGCCTTCCAAGCTACCCTACGACACAACCAACATCGCTCCTGCCTTCCTCCCCTTCCGCCACCCAACCCGCTGCAACCCGTCCTCAAACCACCATTAGAACCTACCCTCCAGGGCCTTCATCATTGCAGCCACGTCCGTCGCCTTGCGCTTCGTCCCCGCTGCAGCAGGCGCGACAGACCCGACCCCAGCACCGCCGCTACATGCACCACTGCCGCCACCTCCAGCTGCCTGCTGCTGCTGTGTTGTCGGCTGCTGCTGCTGCGGCCGCTTCTGCTGCTGTTGCCTGTTCAGGACAGCAGACAGGGACTCCAGCTGCTGCCGGCGCTCCTGCAGCAGCTCCGACATGCGGCTGGCCTTGTCCTGTGCTGACACCTGCGGGTCGCAGAAATGACGAAAATCGCGTTATTCAGTGTAAGCAGCCTTCCTAAACGCATAGAAACAATCGGCAAATGGACACCTCGTTCACAGGCCGCTTGACAGCAAGCGTATCCAAGCTATCACACCCACGGACCTGCGTCAGGTTCAGGCGGCCGACCGCCACCGCATCCGTGTCCGCCGCCGCCGCCGCGCTGCTGCTGCCGGAGGCCGAGCTGGCTACCGCCGAGCGCGGACCCATGGGTCGGTACATGAAGAAGTCGGGCATCATGGAGTTGGGCACCTCGTCGCCCGGCTCGGCTCCCCCCGCGGCCTTGACTGTCGTACGGAGCGTGTCCACCAGGCGCTTTGAGGCGGCGATGCGGCCGACTGAGGAGAAGTGTTGCAGCTGCGGTGTTGCAACAGCCAGGGCAGTGGAGGCGAGTATGAGTACATGTAGGCAATACATGAGGAGTATGGATAAATGACGGCAGGAACGGCGAGCACATTCTCTCGCACTCGTGTGCAACGTTCTCGTAGGCAACGGCGGCAGGACAGATCTCAACAGGACCTGACTTCACTGCATGAGTCGGGATATGGGATTGGGGCTCGTTGTTTCACTTATTTAATTTTTCCCCAGTCGTTGGGTAGCCGCTGTCAGGTTTCTTTCTACGGCCGCGTCGTACGCCCTGGGTCTTACCTCCAGCCTGCGCTGCACTAGCGCCTCCAGGGCCGACCGAAGCACGGGTCGCGACAGCGCTCCCGGCGTGCACCACAGCAGGGCCTCCCACACCACTCGGACCTGCGGAAAGGTTCGATTGCACACGTTTGTTGAAACAGAGCAACATCGCAGCAAGGCATGTTACGGTCACGGTGTCACCAGCACCCAATCGGACTGTCAACGGTACCCTCCTGCAGTTCGACGCTTTCGCCACCCCGCCCTGCCAAAACACCGACCCCCATTCGCAGGCACGCCTCCAACCAGCCGCCCCGAGCGTCATACCTGGCCTCGATGCATCTTCAGCTCCCGTGTCACAGCTGACACGAACGCCGCACTCGGAACCAGCGCGCCGAACACCGGCCCCTCGGCGGCATCATCCCCACCCGCCTGGCCGCCTGCCGCCTCCGCAACCTCCGCACCGCCGGCGGTCGCAGCAACCTCCGCGGCGCCTGTGCCTGCGGCATCTGCGGCTGCTGCATCGGCAGCTGCAGCCCCATCTGCCGCCGCACCCCCCGCTCCCCCCGTCTCCGCCTCTGTCGCCCGGCTTCTGCAGGAGCGCAGTCGCTCCGCAGCCGCCGCCGTCGCCTCCGCCAGGACGGCCTCAGGCAGGCTCTGCGACTCGGGCGGCACTGCGCCGAGGGCCGAGAAGAAGGCGTGGCTGGCCAGCAGCGGGTGCTGCGGGCCCTGCTGCCGACCTGCCGCCTCCGGCTGCCGTTGCTGATCCTGCAGCTGCTCATCTGGTGGCGGCTGGTCGGTGTCTACGTCCATAGCGGTTGAGGAGGTGGTGCCGCTGGTGGTGGTGGTGGTGGTGGTGGCCGAGGTGTCCGCAGCAGCCGACGTGCAGGCAGCGGGTGCGGCGGCGGCGTCCGCGGCGGCGAGGGAGGCGGGCGGCTGCCATGCAGGCCAGGAGGTCTCCCCGCAGGCCGCTGCCTCTAGACACTGGGGGGAGTTGGCAGAGGGGAGGAACGCACGGGGGCATGACGGTTGGTGGTGCGCGTCATGCGGCCATCATATGGAGGCAGAGTCAGGAGGAGGAGGGTTCAAGCGCGGAGGTTATAACCTTGCACTCTGGCTGGCTTGGCTTGCTGCACACGGAGGAGCACGCGGCGCACGCAGCAACAGCGTTCACAGGCGGGGAAGCACGTGTCATGCGGCAGCAGCAACGGCAATGCAGCAGCAGTACACCGGTACCTACCTTGCGTGCCTGCGCCCCCAACCAGCAGCATACCTTGTGTGCCTGCGCCCCCACCCAGCAGCATACCTTGCGTGCCTGCGCCCGCACCCAGCATACCTTGCGTGCCTGCACCCCCACCCAGCATACCTTGTGTGCCTGCGCCCGCACCCAGCATACCTTGCGTGCCTGCACCCCCACCCAGCATACCTTGTGTGCCTGCGCCCGCACCCAGCATACCTTGTGTGCCTGCGCCCGCACCCAGTCCAGTCCGCGCATCATCTCCACCTCCAGCTTCTCACGCACCCGCTGCAGGTTGGGGGTGGGGTCCTCCACCTGCGGGAGGGCGGGCAGGAGGGTTAAGAGGGGGTTAGGTACACTGAGCCGCGAGAAGTACTGAAGGAATGGATATTCCGCACTGGGCTGGAAGTTTGGATTGGGCGGGAGGGTGGGGGCGGGAGGATGGTCAAGAGGATGGGAAGGAGGGTAAAAAACAGAATATACACCATGATATGAAAGAACAGAACAAGAAGGTGGGCAGATAGGTGGGCAAGAGGGGGCATGGATTCATCTACAGGCCCAGCGCATCCCTCACAGCCTTTGCAGCACTGGGGCGCATCTCTTGCCGCCCCAGCGTGCCTGCTCCCCCGAGCTGCTGTCGTCTGGGGACCGACTGTGCGACTCGACTCACCGTCAGATCAGCGCAGCCGCGAGCTTGAGCCAGATCGTACGACAGCTTCAAAAGGGCCTTACCCAGCCCCAGGCCCTGAGGATCGGGGGGGACGGCGGCAGCAGCAATAGGCACACACAAGTTCGTACGTCGCCTGCAATGCGTTTCCAATGGCAGTAGGGCGGAGCCACAAGCGGCGGAGACACACGAGACACCGCAAGCTGGTCCCAAGCATCCAGAACGAGGGGTTGAGACACACGCAGGGATGCCCCCCGCCTTGCATCCCTCGCACGCTCCACCAGACGCCGCCCCACAGGACTCCGCGCCCTCGCCCCTGCCAGAGGTTGCCCTCACCCCTCACGGGCTTGTCACTTAGTTTACCATTGTCAATCAACACATTGGGTACTCTCCTCCTTCCTCACGGGTACCTCCCACTGCCCTCCGCATCATGGTGCCAACCTATACACCACCATCCGCAGCCCCTCCACCGCCCCCACCCCCTCCACCATGAGTCGTCGGGACATGGGATTGCGCTTCACTCCTCATTCACTTGTCCCCCCCCCCACCCCGCCCCACCTGCCAGGGGCTGAGCACCAGCACCTGGCTGACCCGCAGGCGACACGAGGCCGGGTAGGCGTAGAAGTTGAACAGCGTGGTGAGGCCCATCTAGGGGAGGAGTGGAAGTGCAGAAAGGGGGCAGGGCGGCGAAATGGGGTGCAAAGGACGCTGTTTTGTGCTATCAGGGAAGGGGGCAGAGTACAGGAAGCGGCAGGGATGCGACGGAAAAGGGCACCTTGCCGAGCCGGCGTTTCCCCTCAGACGCCCTCCGCTACATTCGTATCATGCACTCGGCGGCTGCGCTTGCGGTGCGCCAACTCACCACCAGACACCCCCCGTCCGCCGCCCGCGCCACCGGCAGCAGCAGCTCCCACTGCGGGTCGTCCGCATCGATGAAGTTGGCGCCGTCAATGGTGAAGAGCAGCAGCGGCTCCATGCGTGCGTGCAGCGCCTGGGGGGGGCAGGGGCGCGGTAGGCAGTGTGCAGGGGGTACAAGGGGGGTGGTGGAGCGGATTAGGTGTGGGGGGTGAAAGGAAGGAAACAAGCTACTCATCCGAAGGTGTAGGGCATGGTACAGCCGTAAAGCGCCGGAGAGGAGGGTTTGGTAGGTGAAGGTGAAAAAGAGTAGAGGTTCCTACTTCCAAGATTACGCTCACCATGCCCTCCTCTCCCTCCCCCCTTTCTATGCCCTACCGCCCGGAGTCAACTTATCCTTTCCACTCCCCATCCCCTCGTTCCCACTGCCGTACCTTGACCTCCGGGGGCGCCGTACTGATCTGGAACCGCCGTACGGACACCTCCACCCCACCCCTGCTGCTGCTCCCCTCTCCAACACCTCCCCCCCTGCCCCCCGCCGCATTCCCCGCTCCTGATCCCGCCTGCGGTGGCTGCTGCGGTGGCTGCACATCGCCGCTTGCTGTTGCTGCTGCTGCTGTGGAGGCTGGGGCCGGGTCATGCGGGTGCGACGAAGGAGGCGGCGGAAGGGTGCCGTACACTGCGGGTGTGGCGGATGCGGGCAGCGGTACGGCACCCACGCACTCCCCCAGGGTAAGAAGGTCGGGCAGGGCGGCGGCAGTGGCGACCGAGGTGGAGATGAACTCCTCCTGCAGGAAGGGGGAGGGGCACCCGGGGGGTGGGGGCATGGCGGCATGCGGCAACATGGAAGACCGGCATGCGGCAAGGGGGTTGCCGAGCATGAGGCATAACGAAGAAGAAGGAAACAAAGGTTTCGTTTGGGTGAATGGTTGAGCCGAGCAGCAACCACTTTGACCTGTTGTTATGACCTTTCTGTCAGGACACAGCAGTACTCCCCTTGTCGTACGATCCGCACCATCCACAAACCTAGGCGCCTTCCATACCCATCCACGCACACTTACCCTTGCCATGTTCCCTTTACTCTGCACGCGCCGGGTCCCTACCATGCCTTTGCACTACAATGTACACCGTCCACTGCCCCCTGTACGACAGTACCGTACACCGTACCTTTGTACGGCAGTAGCCCGAGGGGAAGGCGCCCTCAAACACGGAGCTCAGTTTGTCAGCACCGGGGCGCTTGGCGGCGTAGCGGATGTCCACCCACACGTGGTAGGTCTGCACGTGGATCCAGATCGTGATGACGAGCCCCGAGTAGCCGCGGATCTGCTCCGCATCGCCAAAGTGCTGGTGGAGGAAGTCAACTGTCACCAGCTGGCCTCCAGCGGCGATTTCAGCGGCCAGCGCGGTTGGATCCCGGCCGTACACCGCACGGAAGCGCACCGCCTCATGAGCATCTGCGATGAAGTTGTTGGATGCTGTGACAGCTGGCTTGGGCTTGGTGGCAGCGGCAGGAGCAACGGCGATGGCTGGGATGGGTTGAGGAGTGGATGCGGACGAGGTGCTTGGAGGTGGAAGAGGCTGTGGTACATGGGGTAGACTTGATAGCGGAGCTGATGCAGCCGAAGGCTTTGTGATGTTCTGGAGCTGTGAGGGATCGGTCGTGGGCGGAGGAGCCATGGTGGTGCCGGTTGCCGACGATGGGCCCGCAGTCGCAGAGCCGCTGGGAAGCGGCTGAGGCTGTACTGCTGAAGGATTTATACGAACCCGTTTCACCTGCGGTTGCTGTGCCACCGCCTCCTCCGCGTTAGAGCTCATGGCTGAATGGCGCGCTTGCACCGGTTTAAATTACGGCAAGCCTTGTAGCCCGATTCTTCTGCAACTGACGCGACTATCTAGCAATTGTATCTCCTTGCCGCTGACACTATTAATTGTCCTTTCGTAAATGGCCAGGCCTTCCACACCCTAACTGCTGTATATCTAGGAAACCGGTAACCGGAGAGGCTGCTTGTCCATCCAAGCAACGCCTCCACGGATGGATAATGCTGTCAGGCGTTCAGGACTGAAGTATACTTATATAGGCAAGCTAAAAGGCTAAACATGCAAAAGGGTGGAAATATGGCAATCTGTTCGAGTTTACGTGGTACGCAAGTTTTACTCGGGCTTCCTGATGTTTAGTGACAATGAAAACGTGCCGCCGTGCACCTGGGGCTAACTGCTGCTGTGCCGGTATAAATGCACATACCACAGCAAGCTATACGCTATTCCAGCTTACGAAGTATTGTTTGGTAAGCATAAATTCAGGTGAGGAAATTCGTTGCGAGTCTGTATGTATGTATGTGTTACAAGCTTCGTACCGAGCTCGTAAGATCCGTCCGAGCCAGAAGGCTCATGGATCGCGAGCACAAAACGCGAAAACAACCAAAAGAAGAAAAGTAAACAAAAGAGACAAACAAACAGAACGCCAATCATATGATAAACCCTGTCTGTGCAATCCTGCGACTTCGCATGCTAGTGATTACGCTAGCAAGCAATGCCTGATTCTCCATGCCCATGACAGCAATCATATCAGCATCCCGTGAGACACCACTTTCCCATATCTTATCACGCAAATCATCGTAAGCGGGACATTCAATGAGGATGTGTTTCTCATCTTCCACTCTCCCCGGCGACCCCTGCACGGCACACATAGGACAGACACGCGCTACTCGTTGCCTACCCCTAGGGCGATTGGCTTCAATGCCCCACACACACAGCCGAAAACGCATCAGGTTCACATGCTGCCGCTGAGTAATGTACCCCCTGTCAACCGGGTCACCCATCCAATTTTTGTACCTGCACATCTTAACTCCAACCCCTGGTACGGGGTCTACTGGGTTGAAAAGCCGCGGGTCATCTTCCAAACTCCTATCCTCCCAATCCGCATCCATTCTATCAGCAAACTTTTTAGTGAGAGCAGACACATTTAGCTCCGTGCCAGCAATACGTTCCACACGCGCATTCAAGTCCAACTCACCCCCCAAGGCCGTCAAATCCGTCCCTAACATTTTCAGAATCTTCAACACCTTAGAACCCCAGCCATCATAATGCTCAGTACTGAGAGCCGAACGAATTTCACCTCGCAACGCCTGGTGGTAGACCGTGTCCTTCTGCTTGACCAGGTCATTCCAAAACCTCAGAAACAGTTCCAGCCAGAAGACATGCAAGGGGCGCTGGTTAAACTCCTTAAACAGCAACTTATCAGGCGAGACTTTCACACCCGCAATCTCCCGAAGAAATTCCCTTTGTAACTGCACCATTGGGTCCCGCAAGGATCTGTCAAAGTACCTCGCGGAATTCTCGCAGTCCGTCATTAGCTTCAGCACCACATCAGGCCCCCACACCTGGACACCGTACGACAAGATGGAGCGGACTTGCACGTCGAAGCACTTAACTGCAACAGCAGGGACCAAAAGACCTAGGCGTTTTAATTTACGCTGAAGAGAAAACATAGCACGTCGGCCAGAGGTCAACAGTTCCTCTGTGCAGGAAACAAACGGTGTGCCAGGACCAAAGTGCAAACCAAGGTAACGGGCTCGTTGTACCCAGGGAATAACCATAGGTACTCGCGCATCTCCCTCAATAGAAGTCCACACCACGGGGCAAAGGGCAGCAAAAGCCTCGCGGATATTGGCACGAGGGTGGAAAACCATCAATTCACATTTACGAACATTCACCCGCATCCCAAAGGCCTCACACCACTCTCTCAAATCAGCAAGCAACACAATCAGCCGTCTGTGCGTCGTAGCGAAAAGGCTGAGGTCGTCGGCATACAGTTCCAACGGGATACGCCAGCCATCCGCATGGGGAGTCTGCTGCTTAGCGCGCATAGCATCAGGGAGCCACTTATCCTTAGCGTCAACATAGTCAGCAAACCCCTCGCCAAAAATCCCGTAAAGCGTAGGGCTGAGAGGGCATCCTTGCTTGACTCCCTGCGAAGATACAAAAGGATCCCCCGTCACTCCGTCTACCCTGACACGCATCATGACCTTGTTGTAACAAGTCTTGAGAGCCTCCAGCATAGCGCCATGCACACCCCGTTCCTCCAACCTTAACCACAAGAGATCACGTGGCACCTTGTCAAACGCTTTCTCAAAGTCAATCTGACAAACGAACAGGGGGTCAACTGCATCTCGCCCCCCCTTATGTTTGTCCGTCAGATGTCGCAACAAAAACAGGTTGTGGCAGGTACCCCGCTTGCGTCGGAAACCTCCCTGATACGGCGACCTAGCTCCCACCAGCTCGCCCCAACGAGACAGCCTGTGCTCCAACATAAACGCATAAAGCTTAGACAAAACACCACCCACTGCTAAACCCCTATAGTTACCCTTCTCCATCACATCGCCTTTTTTGTGGATGGGCGTGAGCGCAGAGACCTCAAACTGCACAGGATAATCCCCCGTGCTGCGGATATGCTCTAGTAGCTTGAGCAGGTAAGGGGCTAAAACAAACATCCTTCTACCCTCAACCTCTCTCGTCGCACACTTGAAACATTCAGCCGGTACTCTGTCCAAACCCCCAGACTTGTTATTACGCAAAGACTTCAGCGCAGCAATGACTTCCGCCAAGGTGAACGGAACATTAAGCGCAGCAGCAGCGGTGACTCGTGCTACCCGATCGCCTGTCGCCCTTACCCATCCTCTTCCCCTCCCATGTGGCACACCGTTGATGGTACTAAGGATGGTGTCCGCAGAAACTTCGTTAAACGCATTGACTTCCCCATTAAACAGCGCATTAAAGTAGGCTCCCCAACTGTTGACATCCGTGATAGGGCACCCCTGACTAAATCTGCCATTCAGCCGACCCCACAGCGCCCGTGGATCCCCCCGACATTCTTCGATAACTCCTTCAAAATGCATGACCCGGAACTTGTCCTTAGCCTCCCTGCGTAGACGTTGATACTTCGTGCGCAACCGACTGAACTCAGCTCTGGCATCCTGATCCCCCAGCAGACCGTTAGCACGCATGAGCGCCTTTTGAGCAAACATGGCCTCACGGGCTTCCGCACACTCAGGTGTCCACCCGTTGCGAGTCTGAATCCAGCAACTTGTACGGTGCCGTGTAGAGATACTAATGCCCTGGGGATTCCCTACGAGGAATGCAAATACTACCCATCGCCATCGCGAAACTCTCAGTATACTTTTACCATTTGGAACTGTCTCCGTTGGCGCCGTCGTTAACCCGGCCGCAAACCTTGGTTACTTTTGTATGCGTTAGATGTGCATAAGTTGAAAAGTAACATCTTCAAACGCGCTTTTTACTGATACCCAGTATTGTAGGTGTTACATGCTACTTACACAACATAGCTCTACTTTCTCGTGCGACAGGGCGCGTTAGGGACTATGGCTAAGGGCAAGGGCAAAAGCAAGGCTGCCAAAAAGAGCGGCGGCCCTCGTGCACCCGCCGCCCAGCTGACGCCTCGCCAGCTTTACGAGCGCGCATTGCTAGCCCTCCGCTATGACGATTTCGATTCAGCACGCACGGCTATGCGTAAGGCTGTCAGCCTAGACCCGGATAACATCGAATACCTGGACGCCTTTGGAGCGCTGCTTGCGGAGGTCGGGCCAGCGGAGGAGGCCATCCAGGTAAGCAAGTAGGTGAAGGTACAAGTAGGCTCGAAAGAGAGGGCCGCCAATACGTCATGCGTCCGTCCGCTATGCACAACGACAAGAAGACCTTTCCCACATGCCACCACCCCACTCGCCTTCCTTAACCGTCCTCACCCCCAACCGCTTCCCTCTTAACCCACTCTCCTCCCCATTCCCCTTCAGGTTCTCCGTCGCGCGGTGGCTCTGAGCCCCGACGCCGGCTTCGAGAAGTACCTGTACCTGGGGCAGCTGCTGGAGGAGGAGCCTGATCAGGCACTGGAGGCCACACGGAGGGGGGTGGGGGTGCTGCAGGTGGGGCAGAGGGGGAGGGAGGGCGGGTGGGGCTGGGGGCGCTGCAGGTGACATGGGAGGGGAGCAGCTGACATGTCTCCCTCGTGTGCATGTGGCCCCCTCGTGCGTGTGCGGCCCCTACCCCTACCAGGCTACTGTGTGGCCCACAAACTGTCTCGTGATGATGTGTTGTTCCTACTAAACTGAAGATATACCCCTGGATAGACAGCCTGATATAGCCGATGATTCTATCAACACCACCACCCCCCATGTGCCCTACCCCACCGCCCCCATCAGGCCCAGCATGCGGCTGCAGTGGCCGCCTCCTCCCCCGACGTCCGCTCCCTCAGCCGCACCCTCACAGGGGCCCTATGCAGCCTGTGTGAGATGATCATGGGGCAGGGGGCGGCGGCAGCGGCGGAGGCGGCAGCAGCAGCAGCAGGGGGTGGTGGTGCAGAGGCGGGCGGGGAGGGGCTGCCGGCGGCTGCGGCGGCGGAGGTGGAGCACCTGTTAGCGCTGGTGGGTGGGGCGGGGAGATGGGGAGGTGCGGCGGGGCGGGCGGTTGGATGGCATGGGGATAGAGGGCGTGGGGGCCTACGGCGTTGGTTTGGGGGCGTGGGGCGTGAAGTGTGTGGGCTTGTCATTTACTTCCTCACCCCCTCCCCCTCCCTGCCCTAACTTGTGGTTTGGGTCTCTCTCCCACCCCACCCCCTGCAGGCCAGCACCGCCGACCCCAGCTCCCCCGAGCCCGCCCAGGCGCTGGCGGCGCTGCGCTACCAGCAGGGCAGGTCGGCGGAGGCGCTGGAGGTGGGGGGAGGGGGCTGGGGATGTGAGGGGGGGGATCACGAAACGTGTGGAAGGGATGGGGTTTGGGGAACAAGACGCAGCACACTACCTGCTCGCCTCTCCTGTCTCCTACCGCCTTCCCGCCCTCCCCTCCCCTCTGACCCCTTCACCCCCTCTCGCCCCCCGCCAGGCCCTCCGTCGCTCCATGTCCCTCTGGTACACCCCCTCCAGTAAGGAGGCGGAGGAGGGGGAGGAGGGGGAGGGGCAGCAGGCGGGAGGAGCAGGCAGCAAGGGTAAGCGGGAAGGGGGGAGGGGAAACTCTCTGCTTGGTATAGGTTGGGTTTGGTGGATGGGGTTAAGTATGGGGTAGGGTGTGGGTTAGGATCGGCATGCTTTGCACATCTTCTTCGTCCATACCTACTGGTCTAGTAGGGACGCGGGGAGGCGGAAAAGCGGGCGAGGGGGAGGGGGGTCATGTGCGGGTTGGGTAGGGCTGAGGCGTGGGGGCGGGGAGGGAGGGCGGGAAAGGGGCGGAAGAGGGCTCTCAACCATTATAACTCTGCGACATATGGCTCCCGCTTGACGACCCAAGTGGCCCTCCCTCTCCCCAGGCGGCGACGATGAAACCATGGAGGACGCTGGGGAAGAGGGTGACAACGAGGAGGAGGGTGATGATGATGAGGAGGCGGAGGAGCAGGGCGGTCCCAGCTACGAGTTCCGCATAGAATGCGCCAAGTTGCTGTTGGAGCTGGAGGACACAACCGCCACCGCCATCGACGTGAGGGCAGCGGGGGGGCACGTGTGTGTGTTTGTGTGTGTTTTGGGGCGGGGAAAACCCCCGTGTGGTGGACGGGGGAAAGGGAGCATGGCGGGTGGGTGCCCCTCTCTCCCTTCTCCTCCTCCTCTCCCCCCCCCCCCCCCCGCGTTGTCACCGTCGTCAACACCTTGCTCTTCTTTCCCCTCCTCGCCCCCCCCCATGCAAGGTGTTGGAGGGCCTTATCGAGGAGGACGACCGGGTGCCCGAGACCTGGCACCTGCTGGCGCTGGCCTACTACAGCGGGCACCAGTACGGCGAGGCGGCGGAGGTGCTGGGCCGGGGGCAGGCGCTGCTGGCGGCGCTGGGGGCGGAGGGGGCGGAGGAGGAGGTGGTGCAGGTGGGGGCGGGGCGGGGGCGGGGCACATGGGGCCAGGGAGGTAGGGGAAAATGATTGATAAGTGCAGCAACGGAGTCTACACGGAGTCCAGGGGAGGGGAGGGAGGGAGGGGCGGGGAGGGCAGGCCGTGTGAGGGTGTTCGTCGTCTCGCCAATGTGGATCAGCCTAGGTAGGGGCTGCTAACTCTGCCTAGACTTATAGCACTCACCTGCCGCCTATCATGCGGTTCCATTTGGTTAAGTTTTCTCTTTGGTCCCACCCCTTGCGCTGCTGCTCCCTCCCCTCTGCTGCCGCCTCCTGCCCTCTGCAGGAGTTTGCCGAGCTGGAGTCGGCGATCAAGGAGGCGATAGCGCTGCAGCAGCAGGGGGGGCAGGGGCAGCAGCAGGGGAGCTAAGAGGGGGCTAGAGGGCAGGGGAGCTCACAGGGAGGTGAAGCGAGACGAGGGGGGCGGGCCAACAGGGGGAAAGGGCGAAGGAACACAGAAGGGGAGGTAGGGGATTGGGAGGACAAGGATGAGGGGCAGGGAGGGGCGGGGGTGGAGGAGGCTGTCCTCCTCTGGAAGGCCATAGCACTGCGGCTGAAGGGGGGGAATGCGTGGGCACATGGATGAGTTGAGGCAACAAAACTGTAACAATGGATGTTGAAATGTGGCATAAGATAGAGTAATACCTTGTTGTGTAGGTGGGAGCGGGGAGCGGGTTGGGTGATCAGGGTATTTGCATGGAGGGGCGATAGGAAGAGGCCGGATAGCCAGCTGCTGCCGGCTTTGGAGGACCGAATGCCGTACGTGCAACATGCACGGCCTGTGTTTTGCTGGTAGCTTCATTGTATGTTGGGTGTCGTACGTACGACACCCTGTCACTCGCACTGACGTGTGTTTGTTAGCGCATGCAGTACCGCGGTAACGAACTACCTAACTTGGGGGCACGCTAGCTAATGGCATGATGGCACGTTTGCTGATGCCGGTTGTTGGCTTGATACCGGCTGGCTGTGCGCTACTGCCTCACAGGTGACACCGGATTGCCGTCGTGTTAAGTACCAGTAAACGGGTCTCATCGTGTTACTGCGTTTGTAGGTATGATATGTATCCCCATGCCTGTACCTCAATCAACACAGTGGACCTGGCAGCTGGACGGGTTGCGCGAGTGGGTATGAGTGTTGCAGCTCCCAACACGGTGTCTTGTGCAGGACCGCTGTGACACACCGCTGCTACCGGCATCGCAGCAGCCACTCGGGCCCCCGGGTGAGGCAGTGTCGTGCCCCCTGCCCCGGCTCCTCTATCAGTTGACCCGGGCACACGGGGAAAGGCATGTGTTGCCTAGTCCTGGTACTCTTAGGGGCGACAACAACTCCATACTAGCCGTCTAACCCCATCCTTCCTCCATCGCTTTGCCCCGCTTCTGCAACCCGTTTCCTCCAACACTTCCCTCCAACACACGCAGCGACTTGGGAGGCTTGCGACGGCACTGGCACGCTGGCGGGTTGGCGGCCACCTATGACTACTAATCCTACTACACCACTCGCAACGCAATCCTTCTGCATCCCTTCTGCATGCATGCATGCGTGCCTGCTTGCTCGCAGCGTTCAGTCAGTATTATCCGCCAGTCCAGGTTCATGGGGCCTCACATTCCTCTTCCCGGACCCCCCTCAACAAGTCAGTCTAGTCTCCAGTGGTAGTTCCCAATAAATGACTGGCTCTTGACATAGATTTACCGCACCTCCCTTAAAGGGCAAGGGACTCCCTCCGATGCAGGTTCAAAGCCCCTCACGCTTCATCCACCCACTCCTCGCCTCCCTCCTCCTCTCCATCCCCATCCCCCTCGTGCTCCTCACCCTCCCACTCCTCCCCTTCCCCTCCACAGCCCGTTACCACCCCCACCCCAGCCCGCCCCTGCAATGCCGCCCCCGCCCCCGCCTCCTCAACACCCCGCTCCGCCTCCACCTCCAACCCCAGTCCCTCCTCCTCCTCCTCTTCCGCTGCCTCCCCGCCAGCCGCAGAGGCCGCCGCTGCTGCCAGCTGCAACCTCAGCAACTCCTTGGGGTCAAGCGGAGCCTCGGGCATCCCGGGGGGAAACCAGAGCTGCTGCTGCCGTACAGGGGCCGAGGGAGAGGCGGCGGAGCCGCCGGCGGCGTCTGCAGCTGCATGTGCGTCGCCTGACGTCGGTTGTTGGGTCGTTGGCGGTTGCAGGAAGTCGTTACGCACAATGAAGCGGATGGCCTGCAGCAGCCAGCTCCGCTCCTGCCGCAGCTCCTTCTGCAGCAGCTTCTCCAGCAGGCTGGGAGGGCGCGGGCGGGGCACGAAGCCTGCTCGACCCCGCCCGCGACCGCCCTCGCCGGCACCCAGGCGCCCCCGACCCCCCTCGCCAGCACCACCTCTCCCTCCACTGTTGTAGTACCCGCCGCCGCCGCCGTCAGGACCGTACGACGAGGAGCCGTACCCGCCGCGTCCGCCGCGACCCCTGCCGCGACCGCGGGCGCCGTCATCCCAGCCCCTGCCTCCGCCCCGGGGCCCCCGGCCCCTGCCGCGACCCCGGCCTCGACCCCATCCGCCGTACCCGCCGCCATCCGCCGCTGCAGAGCCCTCGCCGCCTCCGTTACCATCGCCGGCGCCGTCAGTCCCCGCCGCGGCATCCGCTGATGGCCGCTGACCCTGCGCATCACCACCGTCCGCAGCGGTGGCGGAGGCGGCGCCATCGTCGCCGGCGCCGTCAGCAGTGGGCTCCGCGCCCTCTCCGCCGTACTCTTGCCACTGCGCATGACGGCCGCCGAAGCGACCGCCCCTGCCCCGCATGCCGCCGCCAGCCCCCTGTCCGCCGTACCTCCCGCCGTACCTCCCGCCGTACCTCCCGCCTCCGCTGCCGTACCTCCCGCCGCCGCCACCGCCACCGCCGCCCTCTTCAGGCAGTTGCATGTCCGATGTCCCAGCCGCCCTGGAGGCAAGGAGGCGGGGTTGCGGGGAGCCGGGATGTTGAAAGCATCGGGTGGGGGCCGGGGTAGCGTTGCACAGGAGGCAGGATGCCCTTTCATGACGGTCATGCGGCATGTAATTTTTGTTTTGCGAGCAGACCGACGGAAACTGCGATCTCAAGCCCTGGCATCGGAACTGCTTCCTGCGTGAGGCGTGATGCGCAAACCGCCCAACTCGTCCACAGCTGCCGTACTCGGGCCGGCATGGCAGAGCCGCCTCTCCTCATCAGGGGCCCTATGTGCCTATACAGGGCACCATACCCCACGCACACCCCACAGCCCCCTGCGCCACCCTCCCTGTTCCCATTTTACCCATTTTGGTATGGTCTTTGACCCCCCCCACCCCCCCCACCTGTCCAGCCCCATGGCCCGCTGCTTCTCCAGCACCTCCCGCAGCAGCCTCCGCCGCTCCGCCCGCGCCGCCTCCGCGCTGGGGTCCAGCCCACCCGCATGCGCCCGGGCAGCCGCCTCCGCCTCCCGCCGGGCCACGTTGGCGGCGCTGGGGTAGTGGCGCTTGCGGTCGGCGACCCACCTGGGAGGGAGGGAGAGGGAGGGGGGAGGGAGGGAGATGGGTTAAGGAAAGGCGAACGCGTGGGGCGGGTCTGCTTGACTGGTAAGAGGGGAGGGTGCATCCGGAGACACAACAGTAACATGTCGGCGTAAAAGCCGCTCCCAGGCCCAAACGCTCACCCCCCACAATCCCTCCTTTTCCATCCGCCCACCTCACATCCCCAGCCCCTCCCCCCCCCACATAAGCCCCACCTGGCCACCTCCTGCCGCTCCTCCTCCGAAGCCGGCTGCCGTACCACCACGGGCCCGATCTCAATGGGTCGCGACAGGGCCTCTCGCTTCTGCGCCTTCTTGCTCAGGGGAGCAGGGGCCCCTGCAGCCCCCCCTGCCGCATGCCCCTGCTGCTGCTGTCCCCCATGCGGCCCCGCTCCCTCCTCGTAAGGAGGCGCTGTCGCTATCATCATCATCTCATCCGCACTGCGCTTCATACCTCGCCCGCCGCCACGACCTCCGCCGTACCCTCCACCGCCCTCCCGCCCGCCGAAACGCCCCCGACCGCCGCCTCCACCACCCGCCCACCGCCCTCCTCCTCCACCCCTACCACCACCACCACCCCCGCCAGGACTCCCACTACCGCCCCCTCCTCCTCCTCCTCCTCCGAAACCATGGGGCGACATGATCCTGGGGCCAGCACCCCCGCGACCAGCCCCGCCACCCGGACCTCCTGCTCCCCCCGCAGCTGCATGCGGCGGTTGCTGCGGCGGTGGCGCAGTGTATCCGCCGGCGCCGTACGGATGACCGTTAGGTGGTTGCGGTTGTGGTTGCGGGTAGGGGTGGTTCGCATGCGCTTGCGGTGGAGGCGCCGCCTGGTGCGGCAGTGCGGGTGTTGCAGCGGTGCTGTAGGGGTAGCTGTGGTGGGGGTGGGGGTGGTGCGGAGGAGGTGCGACAGCGGCGGCAGGGCCGTGCGGCGGCTGCGCAGGCCCCGGATGGTAGTGCTGCTGCTGCTGGTGGTATTGCTGTGGCGGGGGCGGCTGCGGCTGGTAGGGCGCGGTGGTGTGGGGTGCGGGTGGGGGGCCGCCGGAGGGCGTCATCACCCGCCCGCTGAGGCCGCCTCCTCCGGCTGCTCCCACCGCCACCCCCATGCCGCCGCCGCCGCCGCCAGCTGCAGCAGCCGCAGTCGCCTCGCCTGCCCCGCCCGGACCCTGCTGCCCGCGTCCCCCCCGGCCCCAGCCCCGACCCTGCGCCCCGCCATGGCCCCTCCCACGCCCTTGCTGCTGGTGGTGGTGGTGGCTTTGCTGGTGCTGCTGGTGATGGGTGGGGTGCTGCTGTTGCGGTGCGTGGTGGTTGGGGTAGTGCGGGGGAGGCGCCGAGGGCGCAGCAGCAGGGGGCCCCTGCACGCCGGGGTGCGGTACGTTGTGGTGGGGGTGGGGGTGATGGGGAGCGTGGGTCGGGGGAGGAGCTCCGTAGCCGGTGGGGGCAGCAGCTCCGTAGCCGGTGGGGGCAGTACCATACCCGGTTGGGGCTGCTGCCGCTGGAGGGGAGGTGGGGTAGGGCTGGTGCTGCTGCGGGGCCGGCAGGGAGGATGGTTGGGTGGGAGGTGGGTGCTGAGGGTGGTGGGGGCGAGGTGGGTGCTGCTGGTAGGGGTGCGGAGGTGGGTGGGAGGGAGCCGCGGCTGGCGGGAAGCCGTGTGTGGGGTACCCTGCTTGCTGCTGGTGCTGCGGAAGGGAGGGGAGCGGAGGAGGGAGAGGAGGGAGCGGGAGGGACACGTAAGCGCCGGTATGACAGCCAGAGGGCGGGGTGCACGGGAGGACGTGTGGAGTGCAGGTTAAGAGTATGTGACAAACGACGTCGATCCCGGTTTCTCGAACAAGTGCAGGCTCTAGGATGCCATAAGGTAAGAATGCTCTTGCAAACCCAATCAGCAGCATTGGCTCGAAGGACAGTTCCAGGATGGGCTCGTGGGAATACCTGCGGAGCCCCAGCGTAGGTCGGAGCGCCGTTAGGGGGCGGGTAGCCGCCTGGACCGTACGACCCCGGGTGAGCCTGCAGGTCCCAGGTTGTAAGCAGATGACCGCCCATACGATAAAGGTTAACAGGCAAAGGTTGGTAAATGCGAATTACAGGGAAGCGTATGGTGAATGACTCGGGCGGGCAGACCTTGATGGATGGTAGTTGGGCTCCGCATGTCAAAGATACGTGAATTGTGAATGATGCGTGAAAGAGTGGAACGACATAGAAACAACATGTAATGAATAAGCAGAAATTTCGCAATAAAAGCACTTCAGTCAGAAGGGGCTGACACTTTTGTTTATCAAAGCTTATGTATGTCATCGAAGCAAGTTTGGACTACTTGAAGTATATTGCGCATTTCTTGGCAGACTGCACCGCTAACATACCTGCCCATGCGGCGGCTGTCCGACGCCATAGCCAGTTGGCTGCCTATACATCTTATTGATTGGAATCAAAGCTTCTGTCTAACAACCCCAGGGAGGCAAGCGGCATGAAATCGGCGGCGGTAACGGCCACGTCCAACGAAGGCTAACGTCAGCGGACAGAGGAAATACTAGCAAATTAAAAGCTACCATGTACCAAAGTACCCGATGGGCTCTGAAACCCTGGACATTGACTCTCTTCTCCTTGGCTCCTTGAGGTTGCCGAATGGCCTTCGGAGCGAGACACGCTCCGGAGCCTCAAAGTGCACTGCTAAACACCAATGCCGCGGATACCCAAACAAAAACGTAATTCTTTCCCTGTCACTATGGAAGGCCGGAAATGATTCATAGGCTAAAGTCGTGACGACATTGTGTGGCTTTCGCGCCTGCGTACGGAAAGTATCGGCTTTAATTTGTTCCGCATGGCGCATTAGGGCGCGTAATCAGCCATAGATGCTTTATAGGCCAGAACTGAAGTCCGCAGCTATCTGCTATATGCGCGCTTGCATTGTAACAAAGTCAAACTTGCCTCGACGGTCCAACTTCGAAACTGACCAGAAAGCGACTGAGAGCACTTTCGATTAGTCACTTGGTCACGAACTTACACTTATTCCGCATAACGGGCATCGAAAGTTGCTGCTACTTGTGTGTAAGAAAATAACGTGTCCCTAAGCCAACGGCTTTCCGCTCGAGCTGCTTGTGAGGACCTCCCCAAAGGTGTGCAAAGCGCTGCAGCAGTATAGCATGGCCCCTATTTGTTTATTATACGCTTATTGCGTTTCTCATCCAGGTTAGGAAGGGGATTGTTGAATCGTCGGAAGCCGCGGAGGCAGCCGCGCGCGCAACCTAGCCGCTCTACACGGTAAGCCGGAGAGCTGGTAGCAGGCGTGGATAAGGGGTCTATTTGTCGTGTAAGAAGGAAGGCACGTTAGGGGACTCTGTCGTGCTTTTGTTTTGAGCCCATTGTTGCTCATCGTTGCCGCCAGCTTCGCCACGTTGCAGGCTAGGTTGAAGAAGGACCGTTGCACTGCTCTCTCGCAGCATATAGGCATTAGCATTGCTATCGATACTGCGCATTTAGCTCGCTGTTTCCCGCTGTATCCACCTGCTGATGCGCAGGTGCTTTTGCAACTACGCTTGCTGAGATACCGCCCTAATGCTGAAGTCAACCTAAAGAAGAGTAAAAAGCGACCGAGTAGAGCTACCAAAGCCCCTTGACGTAAAACAGAAACGTCTCCAGCCAACGACCGAGCTTTTCAGTGTAGCTGTGCCCTCTTCGCAAGCTGCAGTATCCAACGAGCTGCGACAGTAACACTAATCGCAGCCGCCATCTAACCCGCTTCACAAGCCTCAACACCAACCAAGCCCGACGCCATGGCTGCCGCGGAGGCTGCTCTTGAGGCTCACGTGCAGGAGGAGTAAGTCCGCGTGGCGGGGCGGTGGGGCCGTGGGAGGAGGGGGGGGCCTTGTTGTTGCTTGGCAGTCGCAGGCCGCAACAGGAGGGCTACGAGGGGAGACGTCAGAGAGGTTTGACCGCTGGTTGCCGGAAAGAGTGGGTGGATTGGAAGTGGGTTGCTGGGCAAGGTTCTTGCCCGTCACGGCAATGCTGTTGTAGGCTGCTGGGATGCCGGTAGATGCATCCTGCAGAGATGGCCCTACCCAGTACTCCCGTCGGGATTTAGGTCGGCATTCGGTCGGTAACGTACCGTATGTGGGTCGCCTTCCATCCGTCCTTGATCTGGGTCACAGCTTGCTTCCTCCTGAGCGGTTCCGGGTGCTGCCGGTGCAACCAGACGAAGTCATCTCCCTCCGCTGCGACCCGAGCGACCCGCTGTTGTGCCTGGGGAAGCGCTGGCGGGCTTGCCTTCATGGGGAGGGCGATGGGGGAGCGGTGATGACCTCCTTTGCGGTAGCTCCCGGGGTGCAACCTGCCTGCTAGTGCGCTCCTCACCTCGCCCGTCCTTCTCCTTCCACCTCCATCCCGTTGTTCCTGCAACAGCCCTGCACCCCTCCTCCCTGTCCCCGCCCTTCCTCTTCCTTCCTCCCTCTTCCTCCCCCTGCACCCCTGCAGGGCGGGTGCCGTGGATGATGACTTCGACAGCATTGACAAGCTGCAGCAGCTGGGCATCTCAGCAGGTGGGCGGGGAGGGGAGGGGGCGGGGTGGGGTGCATCTCAGCAGGTGGGGCTGGAAGTGGGTGGGAGGCTGGGCGGGAGTGTGCGAGGTGAGTGGCGGGCTGCATGGAAGTGTGGGCGAGGGTGGGAGGCCTGGAGGGAGGTTACAGCAGCTGGGAGTGCTTTCTCAGCAGGGGTGGGGAGGGGGAAGGCTGTGTCCCGCCTTGCCGCCCCGGGGGCCCACACCGCAGCAATACGTATCAGACACCCCGCTGCGTCCCTTCCCCCTTCACCTCGGTTGCATGCCTGCCTGCCTGCCTGCCTGCATGCATGCATGTTGGATAGCGACAACCCCCCTCCCCCTCCCGACCCACATCGCCAGCTGCGCACGCCGCGCACCTCTTCGCTCTGCCACAAATGCTGGAGGGAAGCCTGTCCCTCCCCTCTCCTCCTCCTCGTCCGTTGCTCCGCCGCTGACCCACATCGCTGGCCGCCCCCCGTCAACTCTCCCCGATGTCTTCAAACCAACACCCCCCCTAACCCTCCCCTCCCGCCTCCCTCGCCCCCCTCCCCAGCTGACATCAAGAAGGCCAAGGAGGGAGGGGTGCACACCGCGCAGGCGCTGCTCATGGTGCCCAAGCGGGTGAGGGGGTGCGGGGCGGGTGAGGGGGTTGCGTGTGTGTATGGGGGGAATGGCGGTTTGGGAAAGGCGGGTGCGCACGACAGTGTCCTGGAAAGGCGAAGGCGCAGGCGTCGCTCTCTGAACCCTGCTGCCCGTCCTGCTGCTCGCCACCCATTGTTAGTGCCGACAAAAACCCTCTTCCCCTCCCTCCCCCCCCCTCCATGATGCATAAGTCGGGATATGGGATTGGGACTCGTTGTTTCATTTTTAATCCCCCCCTTCCCCCCTCTTCCCCCCTCGCAGCACCTGGCGGAGATCAAGGGTCTGAGTGAGGCCAAGGTGGACAAGATGGTTGAGCTGGCGCGCAAGCTGGTGCCGGCGGCGGGCTGGCGCACGGGTACGGAGGCGCTGCAGGCGCGGGCGAAGGAGATCATCAAGATCAAGGTAGAGGGGTAGCGGGTAGGGGGATTGTAGGGGTTAATAGGGGTGAAGATTCCGCATTAGGCTGGGTTTTAGGATAGCGCATAGTAGAGGATTGTAGGGGGGTAAAGAGGAAACAACTAACTGACTGAGGGATAAGGCGACAACATGGGTTGCAACATGGCAGAGGTGTCCAGCGAACGTGCGAGTTGGGTGGGAGTATGGGTCGGTGAGGAGGAGTTATCGCCATTGAGTTCTTGTAGTGCGGCAGACATGGACACAACACGGTGACATGGTGAGCCTGCATGTCATGTAATGCGATGTGGGTCGGGTGGGGGACAGGTGGTGGGTCGCTGGCAGGTGGTACGCTATGTGTTTTGATGTGGGTCGGAGCTGCTCTGTACCTTCGATGTCCCCAACAGAGGAGGTGGACTTCACTTAGTACGGTTGGTTAGTTTGGTTTGGTTATTGACACCACCCGACACACCCCTCCTTGCGGCCAATGCGGTTCCAAACACACACGTTTCCTCCCCCTCCCCTTCCCCCAGGGATATGCGCTCACTGCATGAGTCGGGATATGGGATTGGGACTCGTTGTTTTACTTAAATAATTTTTCCCCCAGGGATATGGGATATAGTTGGGATATGGGATTGGGACTCGTTGTTTCACTTATATAATTTTCCCCTTCCCCCCCAGTCTCCTTCCCCCATTGCTTTGCCCTAACCTGTGGTCTCCTATGGTTTGGTCCTATGGTCTTTGGCCCCCAGACCGGCGCCACCGCGGTGGACGAGCTGCTGGGCGGCGGCTTCGAGACCAAGAGCCTCACGGAGATGTTCGGCGAGTGGCGCTGCGGCAAGACCATGCTGGCGCACACGCTGTGCGTCACCACACAGCTGCCGCAGGAGGAGGGCGGCGGGTCGGGGAAGGTGTGTGTGTGGGGGGGTAGATACGGTAATGTAGATAAGTGCATCAACGGAGTCCCAATCCCGGGTCCGGACGCATGACGTGAGCGCATTCGGAGACACTATCCGCAACTCAGAGGCTTACCGTTTGATTGATTGGGGTAGGGCGAGGGGAGGGTGGGGAGGGGGGAACAAATAAAAATAGACCAGACCACAGAACACCATAGGGAGGGAGACAGGGTTTGTGAGCGGGAGGTGGGAAGGGGTGAGATATAACATTGCCAGGGTGGGGGGGGAAGGGCAGGGTGGGGTAGGGGCCGGGGGATAAGTAAGGTAGCTGCTCGTTCCCTTAGCTCCCCTCCCTTAGCTCCCCTCAGTTGCCCCACCCCCTCCCCCTACTACCGGTATCACACGGCCGCAGCAACCCGCGTCCAGCGCCGTCGGAGCGAGGGCACAGCTCCCTCTCCCCTCCCCTGACTTGAGGCACCCTGCCTGCCGCCGCCTATCCCTATTGCCTTGCCCTCACTTGTGGTCAGGTCTACCTCTACCCCCTCCCTCCTCCCCTCCTCACCCCCCAGGCCGCCTTCATCGACACGGAAGGCACCTTCCGCCCCGAGATCATCAAGGACATCGCCGAGAGGTTCGGACTGGACCCGGAGGTGGGCGGGGGGGTGGGGGTGGGGGGGTGGGGGGGTGGGGGGGTGGGGGGGTGGGGGGGTGGGGGGGTGGGGGGGTGGGGGGGTGGGGGGTGGGGGGGTGGGGGTAAAAGTAAGGAAACTGACAAACTGAATGACGGGGCTGGGTGGGGGGTGTTACAAGACACCTGGCCGCGAAGGGAAAAACGGGCGGGGGGTGAAACCGCCCCCTCCTCGCCGAGCAGCACTGCACCGCACTCGCGGCCAGTTGCACAGCACCCGGTTTTCAACACACATGCACCGTGTGTGTGTGTTGGGCGAACCGTCGTTCCCCGCCCCCGCGCCTCCTTACCCCCTCCCCTCCCAGTCGGACCACGGGATTGGGACTCCGATGCTTCGCTTCCTCCTTGTTACAGTCTTCCTCTCCTGCGTCCTGGCCTCCCCCTCCCCCTCCCCCCTCCCCCTCACCCTGCCCCCCTCAGGCCGTGTTGGGAAACATCGTGGTAGCGCGAGCACACACCTCGGAGCACCAAGCGGGTGGGGTGGGGCGGGTCTTGGGGGGGGGGGAGAAAAAGAGGAAACGGACGAGCTGTAAGACGAGGCTTCACCATGGGTTGCTACATTGGTACTACATTGGTAATACAGATAAGTGCATCAACGGATAGGGGGAGGGAAGGGGTGGAGACATGCAAGGGGGGGAGGGGCCAGATGCTTGCTGGCGCTGACGCCCCTCACCCTCTCTTACTAAACACACCAGCTCCTCCCCCCGTGCCGCCCCCTAGCTCTGCTCCTCCCTAGCCCACCCCCGCCCTCAGGCCCTCTCCCCCCGCCAGACCTGCATGCATGCGGCTCCCTCGCCTTCCTCCTTCCCATGGCTCCTCCCCTTAATCCCCCTCCTTCCTCCCCCCCCCTCCCCGCTCTCCCCGTTGCTGCACTTATCATTTATTCCCCCTCCCCCCTCCTGTTTTGTGGCACCCTGCCGCCTCCTACCCCCATTGTTTGGCCCCGACATGTGGTTTCCTATGGTTCGGTGTGGTCGTTGCCCCCCTTCCACCCCCCAGACCTGCTCATCTCGCTGACCGCGCTGATGGCGGAGGAGGCGTGCTTCCGGCTGCTGGTGGTGGACTCCATCACCGCGCCCTTCCGAACCGACTACACGGGACGGGGCGAGCTGGCGGAGCGGCAGCAGAGGCTCAACAACGTGCTAGCGAAGCTGAAGAAGGTGGGGGGAGGGGAGGGGGGGTCGCATATTCACGAAAGCACAGGTTAGGACAAAACAGTGGGGAGATGCCGGTAGGAGGCTCAGCAGGATGCCAGGAGTCACAAGGGGGTTAGCGGCCCTACCCGCTTTCCCCGCTGCCGCCATTCCCCCCACAGATACCTTCCCCTCCGCCCCCCACCCTTTACCCCCTTGCCCTAACCTGTGGCTTCCTATTATGTGGTATGGTCTTTGGCCCCCCCCACCCTCTACCCCATTGCGATGCCCTAACCTGCGGCATCATTTGGTTGGGCTCCCCTCTGAACCCCCCTCCACCATTTCGGCTCGACCCACGGTTGATTCCACCAGGGATTGTCAGCAACTTGTTTCATTATCACACCACACTTTGGAACTTCTTTTTTCCCTTCCCCCCCTTCCTGCTGCTGCTGTTGCTGCTGCATGTGGTCAGATCTCGGAGGAGTTCAATGTGGCGGTGGTGATGACAAACCAGGTGGGGGGGCATGGGGGCGGGGGAGGGGCAGGGGAGGGAAGGAAGTTGGGTGCGGGGGCGGGGAGGGGTGGGGCGGGTGACAGTGCCAAACCCGTGGGTGGAATCGAGGGAGGCGGGGTGCCTGCCTTCCCCGCGTGCCCAACCACTGTACCTCTTGCAGTGTGGACGGCTGGGCACCCACCCGTGCAGCAGCCCTGGTAGGTGGAGGTTCATCACGTGGCCCCGGGGTACTCCCCACTCCCTTCCTTCCCTTCCCCCCTTCTCAACCCCCTCCGGGATTGGGACTTGTTGTTTCATTTTTTACATTTTTTTCTTCCCTTCCCTTCCCCCCCTCCCCGTTCCCCAGGTGGTGTCCGACCCCGGCGGCGGCGCCATGTTCGTGTCCGACCCGAAGAAGCCGGTGGGGGGGCACGTGATGGCGCATGCCTCCACCACCCGCCTCTCGCTGCGCAAGGTGGGCGGCAGGGGGGGAGGGTGGGGGGGGAGGGTGGGGGGGGAGGGTGCGAGGGGTGGGTTGGGACCTGGTTGCACGGATGTAAGAGACGGTTACAAGACGACACTGCGACAGTTCAGGGCTAGCCGATTCCTCGCCATCATCTCCTCGCCTCCCCGCTCCCTTTCGCTTCCACCCCTGGCCCCTCCCCCTCCCCCCCTCCTCTCCCCTGCGCTCACTGCGTGAGTCGGTGCATGGGACTGTGCTTCACTCCTCATTTCGTTTTCCGCGGCTCAGTTCCTCCCCTTCCCTCCCCCTTTGTGTGCTCCTAGTAACCCAACAAGTTTGGCCATGCGCAATCCCAAATCCAGCCTAATGCGGAATCTTCCTACTCCCCCCTCCCCCTCCCCCCCCCACCCCATCCCCCAGGGCAAGGGCGAGCAGCGGCTGATCAAGGTGGTGGCCTCGCCCTACCTCGCGGAGGCGGAGGCCAGCTTCCAGTGCAGCGCGGCGGGGGTGACGGACCACAAGGACTGAGCAGGGGGAGGGGGAGGGGGGAGGTGATTAGGTAAACTGAGCCGCGGCCGGGGAGGGGTTGGTAAGGGGTGGGAAATGATAGTAGGAGTGAGGTGAGTGCGGAGTTTACCCGGAGTGAGAGGTGAGGGGCGGTTGGGGGCGGTAGGATGAGAGGGGACATGTGTGTAACCTACGAGGGCACAGCAGGTGGGCTATGTCGTGTGTCCTTTGTTGATCGTCCTGGTTAGTACATACGTGTGCTGCACGTGGCGGCGGTGTGCTGTGTTCGCTTGTACCATACCTTGTTCAGGCAGGCATGTGCAGCAGCTGCGGTGAAGGCGGAGGGGGGTCTGGTGGCTGCGCAATCGCGGCATTGGGGCCTGAGGGGCGGCAGGAGGGAAGGAGGGAGGGAGCCGGCTTTAACGCCGGCTTCGATACATGCATGTTGGCGTGTCGGACAGTAGAGAAAACCGAACATTCTTACCGTTCACCTTACCGTAAAGTAAGGTAGACAGCTAGCATGGCTTTCTTCGGCGGGATGATGAAGAACACTGGGGGGGGACTCTTCTTGTGCGTGGATGCGGGCGGGCGAGATGTGTACGGCAGGGGGGCTGCTGCGTGTCTGTCCGACTGTCCCTATCATGTTGGGGTGCCCTTTTGCCCTGCCCTGGGGCTGGAATAGGGCAGTCCTTTGCGTGTGTATTGATTGTCCTCCTTTTCCTGTGCAATCATCAGGGCTGGAACAAGGCAGAGAAGCAGGCTTAGCCGCTTGGGGTGATAGCAGGAGTGGCGGGTGAGGGGGCAGGATGCTGGTGACGTGCGTGTCGAGGTGCGGCGCGGGTCGGTTGGGCAGCGGCGGTACAGGTGTACGGGGCTGTTGACTGGCGTGTGAGGTGTGTGTAGAGTTCTGCACGACGTCGCAGCATTTTGCACGACATCCTGTGTTTCACAAGACAAGTGACAGTTGGGGACTGCGAGCGGGCTGCCTTGCGTGGTGGTGTGGGCAGCTTCGTGTTGGCCCACGACAAGCAGGAACAGGTGGTTGGAGTCCTAGGTACGAGACGCAGGATTGATTGACGCGAGAGTTTTACGTTTCCGTGAGTGTGTGTGTGATGCGCGGGTGTGCATTGAAGCAATAGTAGGACATGTTATGTTAGACCACTACTGTCATAAAGATTGAATGTGTATAGTACGCATGCTTGGAGGTGACATACGTGTTTTGCGTTTGTAAGCATAGTGGTGGGAAGAGGATGAGTAGACAGGCTGTGGCTTGGTGATATTGTTGGTTGCTAGCGCGTGGTGCATGTGACCAGAGAATGTAGGCCTGCATGGATAATACACGTGTAATACGTGTATCTGAAACACCGCTCCGCGTCTGTTCCCAATTCTCCCCTAAGTTGCGCTTTGTGCAGCCCCGAACGAGCTTGCCATGCCATGGATGGGCGTGTGGAGAGATGGGAGAGTGCCGCCCAAGCCTGTTGCATCCGATGGTCCACAAGAGACACAGACGATAGCTGTAGCGTTGCTACCTGCATCCACTAACAACGGCAGCGGCACATGAGAGTGGCCGGACGCTGAAGAGATGCCAAGGATGGGTTCGCCGGAAGAGGGCTGCTTGCCTTATTTAACGAGGGTAGGCACCGAGCAGCGTAATTTGTAGGCGATCTTCAGCAGGGTTCACCTTCAGACCTCGCTACCGAAAATTGAGGAACGGACGGTCAGTTGGATTCATGGCACGAAAGAGTTGTACGGCCCAGGGTGAGCCATATGTGTTGAATATGGGTCTTGCAGGTGTCGCGGGATTCCTGGCCTATCAATCCCTATCTTTTAGTTACGTGTTAGACGTGCAAAGTTCAGCCACAGCAACGCCCTGGCGCCGCCAGATATCAAGGTTTCCAGGTTTTTTTACGCTCGCACCTCCAAATGCTTACCAAACAAGCCATACGAGGCCAATTGGGAGACGCCTATAGTAGATTTGGGTTGCAGGACGATGGTATGACGCGCTCTGTATGCAGGTGCGAGCGCTTCCGGATGGAATTGCCATGAAAGGCGTCCATAATTATTAAGTTGTTTCAATTGCGAGAATTGAACTCATCGTTGCGCTCTCGGTTGACTGCAGAAGGGTGGTCGCGGACAATGCCTGTATGAACCGAACGCTATCGTCCACAAGGCCAAAGGTACATCGAATTGTCACGTAACCGAAATTCGTAGGCATAATAACAATGCCGTTACAAGTTTGTGCTTACATTTTCTTCTAGTGAAGGGTATATCAGTCCCATGACGGTTGCATGTTCGTGTGAAGACGGCTTAATCCTGGCTCCGGCTGGTTGCTTAAAGCCCATAGACTAAACGTTGGGGAACGCTCACCGTTTGCTGAATTTAAGAAGCCATCAAGACCATTAGCACTCTCATAATTCGCTCCCTATCACAAACCCATTCCCCAACCCAGGCCACCGCAGCTGCCCACAAACACCGCAACAACAGCAGCAATCTCCGCAACGCATCTTCGTGTCTTACGGCAGCAGCAGCAGCCGCTGCAACCTCGAGGACATCCCATCTAGACACCACACCATCCCCATTCGACATCAGCAATCCCGATAGCGCCACTGCTGCCCTTCGGGACGCCACCGCCTCCGCCTCCACCTCAGGTCAGGGAGGCAGCGACCCTTCCTCTCCCTACGATCGCCTGCTCTTGCAGCGCCAGCAGCAGCGTCAACAACGCGCTCCTCGTGGCAACAGCACAAGCAGCAGCAATGGCAGCAGCAGCACCACCACCACCACCCGTCGGACCTCCCTCTCTTCCTCCCTCGCCTCCCCCACCACCCTCTCACACTCCCCAAGCCAGCAGCAGCAGCCGGAGGATGAAGAGGAGCAGCAGCCTCCCCAGACCCGGTCGCGGCTCGCACGCAAACAACAGGCGGCAGCAGTGCCCCAAGAGCACGTCTCCGAGGAAGCTGCAACACCAACAGCAACAGCACACAAGAAGGAAGAGCTGGCCCCCTTACACCACCTCTCCTCCTCCTCCTCCTCTCCTCCTTCCGCCACCGCCCTTCGCGATGCCGACCTCCAACTCACCGGCGACCAGCCAACATCCCTCCCCGCCTCCCGGCCACCTCCCCCGCCGCCTCGTGACGCCTCCCCGCACCCGCTACCCACGGGGGTGTCTGCCGCCCGCGACCGGGACATGTACGAGGAGCTCCGCAGCTGCGAGGACTGGCGGGACGTGGTGGACGTACTAGCGGACGAGGCGGGGCAGCTCAGCGTGCGTACGGCAGTGCAGGCGCTGACGAGGCTGAACGGACTGACCCGTGGGTCGGAGGCGGCGCGACGGGAGCTGCGGGAGCTGCCGGTGTTTGGGGTGCTGCTGGAGTTGCTGCACTCGCAGGTGGCGGTCATGAACAACGTGCAGCTGTCCAACTGCCTGCAGGCCTACTCGCAGCTGCAGGTGCCGCTGCCGGAGCCCACCCTGGAGGCCTACTATGCCGCGGTGGTGGCGGCGGCGGAGCGGTTCTACCCGCGGGACATTGCCACGGTGTTTGCGGCGGCGGCGGCGCTGAAGGGGGCCGGCAGCAGCAGTGGTGACGGCAGTGGCAGTGGTGGGCAGCAGCCGCCTCAGGCACTGCTGGACAAGCTGGGCTTCCGAGCCACGGTGGGTGGGGGGTTGCGACGGCGGTACGGCAGGTAGTGGTGGGGTTGGTACGGGTGTTTTCTTCGGAACAGCTTCCGCTAAGCTCAACCCTTTGCCTACCAGTGCTACTCACACCAATCCCCCCCTCCCCCCCCAGGCCTTCATGACCGCGGGGCAATTCGACTCCCGCTCGCTGTCCTCGCTGCTGCACGGCGCCGCCCGGCTGGGATACAGCAACTCGCTGCTGGCGGGTGCGGCGGCGCGGGCGGCAGCAGCGCAGCCGGGGGGCGTGCGAGACATGGCGCCGCAGGTGGGCGGGAGGGGGGAGAGAGGGAGGGAAAGAGGATGGGTACGGTAAAGAGGGAGGGGAAAGCGGGAAGGACTAACTAAGCGTACGATGGGGGTTGGTAAAGGGTTGCGAGGGGGGCACGGGTGTGTTTGGCACGGGTGGTTACCGTGACCGGGTTGCGATGAGGGGAGGGTGACGAGGGAGCTGTACTGGTAAGCAGTGTGTGTTTGGCACGGCAGCCCTCCTCCTTCCCCCCCTTCCCTCTTCCCGTTCATGTCTTCGTATGCGCTCACTGCATGTGTCGGGATGAAAGATTGGACTCAAGTGGATGCACGTCTCATCTTTGTTTTTCCCTTATCACACGGTCAGTTAGCTGTGTCCTCTTTACCCCCTCCCCCCCTCAGGGTGTATCCAACACGCTGTGGGCCCTAGCCCGGCTGGGCTGCTACCACCCCCCCGCGGTGGAGGCGGCGGTGGAGGCCTTCTGCGCCGCCCCCCTCGCCTTCAAACCGCAGGAGGCGGCCAACCTGCTGTGGGCGCTCACGGCGCTGAGACACCACCCGGGGCCCGCATTTGCGCTGCTGGTCAAGAGGTGGGGATGTTGGGTGACCCGCGGGTCGTTTGGCCCTAGTCTGTAGGGGGGCGTAGTGACCCACGGGTCATTCTGAGCATCTCCACCACCACCTCGCCCCTCCTCCCCCCCTCCCTCCTACCCACCACACTTTGGAATTTCTTTTTCCCTCCTTCCCTCCCTCTCCCTCCCTCCCTTCCTCCTTTCCCCCCACCAGCCTCCTGAAGCACGGTCCGCAGCTGCTCCCCGCCGACCTGGCCACGCTGCTCTACTCGCTGGCCGTCTTCAACGTGGCGCCCGGGGAGGAGGTGTGGAGGCGGGTGGAGTCCCGGCTGGCGGCGCTGCTGGAGGGGGCGGCAGGGGGGGCACAGCAGCAGGGGCAGCAGGGAGGGGAGCAGCAGCGGGAACAGGAGGAACAGGAGGAGGCGGAGGAAAAGGAGCAGCAACAACAGCAGCAGCCTGCGAGGGGGCAGCCCGCGCCGCCCACTGCCATGGAGCTGTGCAACATGTACTGGGGCCTGGCGCTGCTGGGGCGGGTGGAGGGGGCGGTGTTCGGGCAGCTGGAGGCGGCGGTGGCGGCGGAGTGGGGGCGGGGGGGGCTGCCGGAGAGCCTGGGCAGGATGGCGTTCCAGGTAAGGGGGCGGGGGGTGGGCGGGAGGGGTTGGGGAATAATTTATAAGTGAAACAACGAGTCCCGATCCCATATGGGGGATGGTAGAGGATGGGGTAGCGAGGAGTGAGAAGGGAGGTGAGAGGGAGGGTGAGGAGGGAGGCAGTAGTGCGGTGGTTAAACCTGCCTTCAGGTTTCACCACATGTTGGGGTTTCCTCGCGGCTCCTCCCCACCCCCCACTGCCTTCCCCGTTCCCGTCTCTTCCGCTTCGCCCACTCTACGCTCCCTCTCGCCACGCCCTAAGACCTCCCTCCCTCTTCCCTGTCCTCCCTACCCTCTCCCTACCCTCTCCCTCCCCTCCCCGCCCCCCTGTCCAAAGGGCTTCCTGGCTTCCCGGCTGGCCGGCGCCACCCGCCCGCCCGCCTTCCCGCCTGCCGCCCTGGAGGCGCTCAAGGGCAGCTGGACGGACACGGTGACCAAGCTGGCGGCGGGGAGAGGAGGGTGGGTGGAGGGTGGGAGGAGGGGGCGGGCGGGCCTGTGATTGGGATGTTTGGGAACACTGGCCGCGAGTAGGAAATGTGTGTGCGTGTTTTAGGCGGGTTCTAGCTCAGGTGGAAGGGGGGACGAGCGACAGGGAGGGGGCGGGTTGAGGCGCTGCCGAACTGCCTGCCGTCGCCTGGCTGGCGGAGGGAAGGGGAAGGAGTCCAGGACAAGACACGCAGAGGGTTGCCGTAGTATGAGGTTGGGCGTTGGATTCCTCTTCCTCTGTCTGGCTGTCACCTCACATTCTGGCGGCTTAGCTGGATGGACCCCTTGCTGCTGGACCCGCGGTTCCACATATGCTTGCTGCTCCTCAACGACCTCAAGCCACTCCCCCCCCCGCTTACCTCCCCCCTCTTACCCCCCGCCTCTCACCCCGGCTGCAGGCGTGTGTGTTTGGAGGAGGTGGCGGATATACTGGACCAGCTGCAGGTGGGGGGAGGGGGGGAGGGAGGGGTTGGAGCCTCACCTAGGGTGTTGGTGTGGCGTGCTGGTAGTGGTTAGCTAGGTACGGCTCATGTGCGGACACACGGCATACGCCCATACGGCTTTGCAGACCTTTATGAGACACTGTCGTATGTGCGACTCGCCGCAATCACAATATAACAGATGTTGTTGTACTCTGATGCGCATCGTACGACATACGCCCAAAACACCCCACGCATACACAGGTGGTGTACGACAAGCGGCGACCCACGGGTGACGGTCTGGCGCTCATTGACATTGCGCTGAAGGCGGGTCCGGAGAAGTTCGTGGCGTTGCAGGTGAGAGAGACCCGTGGGTCGGTCGGTGTTGTTGTTGAGGGGGCACGTGTGTGCAACTGGCTCTTTGGTCTGGGTTGGCTTGGTCCTGCGCGCAAGGCTGATCGAGGCCGTTCGGTTCCCCAGCACACATAATATGCCCCCATCGCAGTTCTACTTCAAGCTTGCCCCCACCCCCACCCCTCAACCCTACATGCGGCCCCCCCCCCCCAACCCCACCCCGCCCAGGTGATCGACGAGACCTTCCACTGCGCCAACGGCTCCCAGCTGCTGGGCCAGGTGGTGATGCAGCGGCAGCTGCTTGAGAAGAACGGCTGGGAAGTCAGGTGAGGGGTGGGGTGCGGAGAGGGTGTGGGATGTGGGGTGCGGAGAGGGTGACGGGGGACACGCACAGCCAGGGAGCACCCCTCGGACCCACCCTCGTCCGTCTCCCCCCCCTCGTGCTCGTCAGTTTCCTCTTGCCCCGTTGTGCTGCATGCTCCTGTTCGTCTCCTGACGTGTGCACCTGCGCACTTCCCCCTTCTCTCCCCCTCCCGCCCCTTCCCGCCCCCTCCCGCCCAGGTTCCTGTTGGGTCGCGACCTGGCCCGGCTGGCCCCCGACATGCGGCCGCTCTTCGTGGCGGACCTGCTGCGGAGCATGGGCGTGCGGGTGCGCAAGCAGCAGCGGGAGGGGGGGCAGGGGCGGGAGCAGGAGGGGCAGGGACAGCAGCGGCGGGGGCAACAAAAACCGGCTAGGCAGCCTAAGCGGGGCTGAGGCTGGGGGCTGAGGCGGCACTGACTATTGACTCGTACATTGACCGGGCAGTGGCGGTGGGGGAACAGTTGGTGTTGGTGTTGGAGCCGGGATGGCGGCGGTGGCGGTGGGGGCGAGCAAGCCGGTCGGAGGAAACTAGCGTAGTCCGCTCACGTAGGTTGTGTAGGGGTGGAAAGGAAGGACGCAGCCATGTATGACATGTGGGGTGCACCATGGGGTGCATCATGGAGGGGAGGGGCGAGGAGCACCGTACCGGCGGTAGAGGAGAGGTCCTTACAAGGGGCAGTGGAGGAGCAGGGCTGCGGAAGGGGTGGCTGGGGGACGCTGCTGGGAAGCAAGGTGGGAGAGCTGTACAGGAGGGGGTGCGGGAGGTGGTGCATTGGGATCTTGGAGAGGCTAAACGTCCATGTTGGTCGGGTTAGCAAGTTAGGTGCGCAGCAGCAGGGGTGCCGTACTCGTACCACACGTCATGGCATGTGCTGCAAAGGATGTGGCAGCTGCAGCCCTGCAGCGGGGTTTCCGGCAGCTGCCGCCCACACAGCAGCAGCCGAGTGCGCCTGCGTGCGGTACCTCTGATGGCAAGCCCGGTTGTGCACACAGCAGCTGGGATGGGCGGCTCTGTGGACGTGGAGCAGGAGGGGTGACGTGAGGAGTGCAACGAAGTCAGCTGCTCGCTCGTGCATCCACCGGAAACGCGTGTAGATGCGTCACCAGCAGTCCAGCGGATGTTTCCGAAACTCGTTATTAGAGGACTTGGCCTTGATGTGCACACGCGACAATGTATGCTTGTATCTTTATCGTTCGAACGCTCGTGACAGTGACGTGGAAACAAACGGACACTTGTCAACGGCGCTTCCAGGTACTGCTGGATATACCCTGCCTTGCTGCTGCTGCCTGTTCAAGCACATACCATCTAGGAACCAAGCATTCAGGGCCCTGAAGGGAATGTGCGCCTTCGTTACATGCTTGAGAATGGCAGGCAGCCCCTCCCACTACACCACCGGGGGGTGCAGGGGCAGTGCAGCTGCAGCCGTCTGACCCACGGGTCATCACTCTCCATGGAAGGCCCGTCTTGACGCAGAGAACGACCCAAGAGTCGTTCTTCTACATCCTAAGGTTATATAGTGCACGTGTTTCTTCTTCTCTTCTCTAGTTACAACGGACCGCGAGTATCACTTGCGCGTGAATACCCTCGCTTGGCCTGCCCAGGTATTCAACGCCCCTCTCGCAACAAAATTACAGTTACACGACCCCTCACGATACAAAACTGCACACACAAACACACGTGTCTCGTCGACACTGCCGCAGCCGCCAGCTACTGCGTTGCATAGGCTGTGCCTCATGAGTCAAGCCACCAAGATCCTAGCCGGGACGCCGCCTAGCATGTGCCATGCTAGCGGGGCTGTCCCTAGCGAGGCGCCTCTTGCAGCTGTCCAGGCAATCCCCCAGCTCGGCCCAGCTCAGCAGCCGCTCCGCTTAGCGGGGGCTGACGGTGATGTTCTCGGCCTTCTCCGTCAGGGTACCGGCGCGGAGCTCCTGCGGGTTGAGGTGGGGGGAGATGAGAGGGGGGATTGGTGGGTGGGTAATTGGGGTTTGCGAGTATCGTACAGTAAACCCCTTCACGGAAGGGCCAATGCGCTTCGCTGCCGGCGAGGAGAAGTGCGGCCTCGCGCGGCGCCCCTGCTGCTGCTCTCCAGCTGCCGCCGCCGCTGCATGCCCCCGACCTTACCGCCCTCTCCGTGCTGGCTAGCGCCCTCTCCTCTACCATTACCCCCTCCCTACAGCTCCTGCTGAAGCAGCCCTGGGATTCACGGTGGCCGCCCCTGCCATCCCCCTCCCTCTACCCGCCTGCCTCTACCCCACCCCCCAAACAGCAGCATGGCAGCTTGCGTGGCTTGGTGTCATCGCGGACGCTTCCCTCGTCCCCGTTATTAGCTCCCACATAACTTCGCCCTTTCCAGCCTGGCCTACATCCTTCCCACCCTACCCAACGCACCCAGCCCTTCAACAAACGACTCCCCTACCAGATGTCCTAACGCGCAACCCTACCGCCCCCTCCTTCCGCCCATTTGAATGCGGCCAGCCGGCACCCCCTCACATACCTCCCTCCCTTCCTTTCGGCCAGCCGCCATGTCGCATGGTTACTTTCCTTGCCTACCACTCCCTCCCCTGTTCCAGCTTCTGCTACCCCTGCCTCCCCCTGTTCCAACCCCTGATACCCCTCCCCTCCTTCTCCCTGCTGCTAGTTGTTTGCATTTCTAATATAAATTTTCCCCCTGCTGTCCCAGCGCTCTCACGTTGAAGGCGGCCAGCGGCCAGCCGGCGCCCTGTCCCGCCAGGCGCAGCGCCAGCGGCACGTCGATGATGATCTCCTTGTCGGTGGGCTTGGCGGCCTGCTTGGCGGCCAGCAGGTACTGGCGGCCCACGTAGCCGATGTAGCCGGCGACGTACAGGAAGCCAAAGGTGGGGATCTGGGGAGGCGGGGGGAGGGAGGGGTGAGGGGAGGAGAAAGGGGAGGGGGTTAACTCGGTGAATTGTGGATGGAGGTAATGGTGAGGTTGGGCATGGAGGGGAAAAAGAGAGGGGAGGTGGTGGGGATGCGGTGCATGGAGCGGTGGAGTGCATTGAAGTGAATGGAGGAAGGCGCATAGAGCTGCAGTGTGCATAGGGGTGGTGAGTAGAGCATGCCTGGAGGTATGGAAGAATGGGGAGCTTGCTGTAAGGTTCGGGGTATGGGTCGAGTAAAGCGGCGAGGCTGGAGCGGCAACTAGAGGAGCATCAGAAGCGTGCGTACATCCATGGCTGCACGCCATACAAAATAGACACATTATACAAACGTGCAACCGGACCAAGGTGCATAGCGTATGTGTATTTGAGGTTGTATGGCGCCCGGTAGATTACTTACAAAGACCTCGCCAGCGTGGCCGTACTTGAGGGCCAGACCGGGGTCGGAGATGAGGTGCGGCAGGCCATCGTTGCCGCACAGCAGACCGGCCTTGGCGTAGTTGGCGAAGCGGTTCTTGGTGCGCTCGATGGTGGTCTTCAGAGCCAGAGCAGGGGCGCTATCGGCCTCGTACTGGGAGGAAACGGGAGCGTGCATATGCAAGTGTTGCAATTAAATGAGCTTCATGCGAACTTTCGCTGCAGAGGTTGTTATTAAATAAGCTTATCATTTGCAAATGCTACAGGATACCTGCTTCAGGCGCCTCTCCAGGCCCTTAATCTCCTTCTTCTCCAGCTTGGCATACGCCTTGCTCTCAGAGCAGGGCGTCAGGCCGGAAATGTCCGCGAACGCAGCGCTGGGCGCGGCCAGGGTCACAGCTGCAGCGAGAGCCGAAGCGGCCATAGCAGTGCCGATCTGAGCAGTTGCATCACTGCGCGCCCGGCAGACGATGGGCGATGCACGGCGCGACGTGGTGGGGCGCGCTGCAGGCTGGGCCTGCATAACATAATAAATGTTAGCGCTATATAACAGTAATGAAGTTTGCTTTGTTATCTACCTTAACAGAGCGCATAGCGACGGCCATGGTTGCGGATTGCTTGCGCAGTAACGTCAGGTAGAATACCCTACTGGTCTTCTCCACTAATGTTACTTGATCGACTGTAGCCTGTGCAAGGTTGACTGAGAGACGCCTTAGCTCTCTGACATCTGGAGATCCCGCCGTACCCTTCCTGGAGTTCCTTCAATGTGCAGCTTTAGCGTCTAATTACTTCCACGCTACGATTCTCATTCAAGCCTTACGTCATGTCGCAATATCTCCAGCGGAATGGGCATGGGCATAGTTTTCTAGCTATTCTTACACAACGGTCGTGCGACGATGCTGACCCACAGCTAAGACGACCTAGCGCCAGTTCAATGTCAATGCAGAAGGAAACCAAGCCTCCACGTTGGGATGTGCGGTCCCGCCCCATCCATACAACTCTCAACTCGCCGGGACTTGCCCGTGAATGCCAAGGCTGCTTTACTCAGTTGTCCTCCTGAAGCTGCTAGCTTCTTCGCTGAGACTAGTAGTCCCGGGGTTCAATTGTGTAGAGGGTGCAAGTCAGCTGAACGCTCCTTGGGTGGGTTTGGAAAGGTGCGTTAGAAGTGCAAGTAAAGCCCAGTTGTCTGGCATACCAAACCCGTAAATATATACGTGGGAAACCAGTTGTGGTTCCACCCTTGCATAGCGGGTGCTCTCATGTCGTGCGAGGTACCGGTACGGCAATGCAGGTGCCAGCCCCCGCACGTGCGCAGATGACCGGATGGCGACTGGAAACCAGACGCCAGCGAGGATGATCAAGCCAGCAGCCCCAGAGCTGATCTGAGCTCAGTCCGACCAAAGTTAACCCGGTACAAGCTTGGGACTCGAACGGTCGGAATCCAGGAGGGCGAGATCCTCCTAACACACCCGCCGGTGTCACTCCCCCGCCCAGGAGGCGTGTGTCTGTCCTCATAGAACATGACAACAGAGCACACGACCCACCTTCAATACACACACATTTGCCCCGCTGCATTTCCCCACTGACAGCTATGTTTCCCCCAAGGAACGGTCCACTCATCGTACCTCCCTCGACCCCAAGCGCTCGAATCGCACTCATTCCTCCCTTCTCCTTCTCCCCTATTTGAGTTCCTGAGCCCCAGCTCCAATGCTACAATGCTACATACATACACATGTTGTATCACCTTTCCTCCAACATGCTCTCCGCCACCACCACCGTCACCCCTCCCATGTCACCTCCCACCTGCCTGCCACGCGCCTTCGCACCACAGAGCGAACCCCTAGCGCGGAACTTCCACCACCCCCCATTCAACACACAGCAAACCATGGTAACCTCACTCTTTGCGCTCTGTTACCAAATCACACACACCAGCCCAGCTCCCCCCCCTGCACCCCTGCCTCCTCAAGGGCCTCTCCACAGCGGCGCTAGCAACGCCTCACGACGTCACATGCCAGCTAGCAAGGCACCCTCCACTCCTTCCGGAGTGGCACCGCCCCCCGAGGGCCTCCCTCCAGCCGTCACCCTCCAGGTGTCCACACACCCGCAGACACCTCCATGCGCCCTCACCCCCACCCCCCTTCAGTCAGTTAGTTGTTTCCTCTTTACCCACCCCCCTTCAGAAGGCGCTGCTCTTGGTCGCAGTGGCCCTCAGGATGCGGCTGATGACGTCCTGAGGGGGGAGGGGGAGGGGGTGGGGGAGGGGGCGGAGAGGGGTAAGGAGGAGAAGGGGGAACGAACGATTGGTGGGAGAAGGGGTAAGGCCAAGTACTGGGGGCAATAGCGCGTACGAAAGAGAGGCACCCCGCATGTCTCTCAAACCCCGCAAGGCAGGCGAGAGGCGCCTGCGGGCCCTCAAGCAGTGGAAAGGAGGAGGAGGGCACAACGGCCGGAAGTGGGGTGCATGGGCCCCCCCCCACACGGTTCCCAGGCAGCCCCCTCTACCTCCCGGCCCCAAGGTCGGAAGACTAGCCGCGAGTCGGAACATGCTGTGATTCTCGGAAAGCGAGGCGCGTGTTAAGACAACTGGCCGCGAGGTGAAACGTACTGTGATTGCCGAAAGGTGAAGTCCTCCCACCCCACCCCCCATGTTCCTCCTTCCTTCCCCGCCCCCCCCCTCCAACCAATGCGCTCACTGCATGCGTCGGGATTCGGGATTGGGACTGCGTTGATGCACTTGTCTATATCCCCCCTGCCCCCACCTGTGTGGGTATCGCCCCCAGCTCCTGCCCTCCGTACAGCCGCACACTGAGACTGCCGCCCTCCACCTCCTTGGCGCCCACCACGCAGATCACCGGGGTCTTGGCCTTCTCGGCGTTGCTGCGGGGGTGGAGGGGGGCGGGGAGGGACGGACGAGTAAAGCCAAGGAAAGTGACGGGCGTTGGGGCGGGGGAGGAAGGCGGTACCGAGCGCGTGCCAGAGGGACGGTGAGAGCCGAGCGAGCAGCGGAGCAGGCTCGCCACCTCCACCCGAACATCCCCCACACGTCAAATGATGCCCCCCACAAACATTCCCCCTAGTACGTTCCTACTGCGGCCAGTAATCTACCAGTACACACTTCCCCTCCCCCTTCCCCTCCCCCCGCCCCTCTCACCGGATGAGTTTGCCGATGGACGCCTGCCCAGTCACCTCCGCCCGAATGCCCGACCGCCGCATGTCAGCAGCCACCCGCTGCGCGTACTCGGCAACCGAGTCGTTCACAGGCAGCAGGCGGACCTGGGGAGTTGGGGTTTGGGGGGCCGGGCGGGGTTGGGTTATTGGGGGGAAGAAAAAAAGAGAAGTGCAGGGGGGGCATTCTGGATGGGGAAATGACTGCGACGTGAAGCACCGGAATCCTGTTTGGGAAGGGAGGTGATTCGGGAAGCCCATGAAACACCAAGAGTTGAGTGGGAGTTGGGTGGTAGCTTGGCGAAAGGAGCGGAAAACCAACTAACCACCCACCCACCCACTCAACCATATCCAAGCGGCAACACCCACCCACCCACCCCGCTTCTATAATCGCGGTCAGTAGCACCCAGCGCAGCCCACAGTCCACCTAACCCCCCAGAACGATACGTACTCGTGTATACTATTCACGGTTATGTGGTATCCCCCCCCCGACCCCGCCCCCCCATCAACTGCACGGGGGGATACGGGATTGGGACTCGTTGTTGCCCATATCATTACTTTCCCACCTGCACGGGTGCCAGCCACAGCGGGAATGCGCCCATGTAGTTCTCGATGAGGATGCCGAAGAAGCGCTCCAGGGAGCCGAAGATGGCTCGGTGGATCATGATGGGTCGCTGCTTGCAGGCGGAGGCGTCCGTGTAGTGCATGTCGAACCTGCAGGGAGGGGGGGAAGGGGGGAGGGGGGAGGGGCGGGGGGAGGGGGGGGAGGGGGAGGGGCAAAAATAAGGAAACTGAGGGTAGGATGCGGGGGCGGTGTGTTACTGATTAGGATCCGCATCACGACAGCAGGTGCGAATACCGGACGACCCCCGCGGTGTGGCGGGGGTCTGGCACGAGGGGAGCTTCATAAGATACGCATGCACTCGCGGCATGTTAACACCCACACACCCCCACACACATTCGCGGCCAATTTCTCAACACAGACGCGCACGTCCCCCGCCTCCTCCCAAAACCTTTTTCGTCTCGTGACAAACTGCTGCACTCTATCTCTCGTGGGTCTTTGCCCTAACCTGTGGTTCTGGCAAAGACCTTTGACCCCCCCTCTCCCCCCTCCTCTCCCCCCTCCTCCCCCACCACACACCTCTCCGGCAGGTTGAAGTCCAGCTGTATGGTGGAGCACTGCCACTTGCGGCCGATGGCGTCCCGGATCTTGATGTCGATCTTGGGGCCGTAGAAGGCGCCGCCGCCAGCGTCAACCTGCGCAGGGGAGGGGGAAGGGGGGGGGAGGGTCGAAGACCATACCGATCCATAGGAAACCACAGGTTAGGGGGGTGGCGGCTGTGCATGTGATGCCGTACCGCACGCATTCCTTGGGCTGCTTCCAGCCTCATCCAGCTGGCCTCATCCAGCTTCTCTCTCTTGAAACCCTCCAACCCCCCCGGGAAGCGCACACATAGCCCTGGGCCCCCGGTATCCCGCAGCCTCTCATCTACCCGTACGGCACCCCATCCCCGCTTTCGTACGGCGAACATGCATGCAATCCCTGCATGACGCACCCATGTGTATCCCCTGTCGTACAAAGCCCGCCCGCATGTGTAAGGCAGCAAGCACGCGTGTCGTACCCCGCCTACCTGGTACGCCCAGCCCTTGGCCCCCAGCGCCTCCACCAGAGCCCCCTCCGCGGTCTGCCAGATGGCGTCATCGCCCACCGACTTCTCCGGGCGGGTGGACAGGTTCACCTGGGGCGCGGGGGGGGGGCGGGGGTCGAAGGAGGACCAAACCACAAGTGAGGGAAAGACAAGGGGGTGACAAGAGGGTGCCGCAAGACATGTGATGGTTAGGGGGGGGGTAACATGTGCGGGGTTATACTGCATGTTCAGCTGTCCCAAGCAGACAAGCCAGGCCAGCATCCAGGCGAATGGAAGGGGGGAGCCTGACGCAACTGTATGGAAGTGGGGGAGGGCGCCGGAAATGGGGGCAGAGAGGAAGGCTCTGTGGTAGGGAGGGGCACAGGGTCTACCGATTTCTACACTGCAGCGGCTCGACCCCGCCACGACACCACCACCACCCCGACCCGCAACTCCTCCCCCAAGCCCCCCCCCCACCTCGTACTCCGTGAACCCAAACGTCCCCAGCGTCTCCTCCACCAGGTCCAGCACGCCCTTGATCTCCGAGGTAATCTGGAGGGGTGGGAGGGGTCAGAGAGAAACCCAACCAAGCGAAACCGCAGTTAGGACAAGGCAACAGGGGGGGGGGGTACATGTTAAGAGCCTGCATCCCTCCTCCCTCTCTTCCGAATCCTGCTGGGATGCAACGCCTCACCTCCCCTGCCCCTCGCCCTCCCTCTCTCCCCCCAGCCCCCGAACCCCGCCCCTCATCCACTGCATGGTACTGTCTTATACCTCCCCCCTCCCCCTCCCCGCCCCGCCCCCACCTGGCTAGGCAGGCAGAAGATGTGTGCATCATCCTGCGTGAAGCCGCGGACCCGGAACAGACCGTGCAGGGCACCCGTGCGCTCGTAGCTGCGGGGGGAGGGAGGGAGGGAGGGGGTGATCAAAAGGAGGAGTGAAACACTCTAATCCCATGGCCCGCCTACTCTCCGGGGGGGGAAAGGAGGGTGGGGCCACGGAAGAACAATACCCCAGAGGTCGGTTGGTCAGGGAGTGGTGTCGCCATCATATAGTGGATGAACAGGGTAGCGAAGGCAGTGAGGACATGGGACGCATGGCAAACCGTAGCAAGCTGTAGCCCACGGGTCACTCCCTCATCTCCCACACCCCCGGTTAGTTAGTTGCTTCCTATTTACCCCTCCCCCCCCCGCACCGGTACACCGTCCCCAGCTCCGCCAGCCTGAGCGGCAGGTCGCGGTACGAGTGCGGCGCGTCCTTGTATACGGAGATGTGGAAGGGGCAGTTCATGGGGCGCAGCTGGTAGGACTCGTCCTCCACCTGGGGTGGGGTGGGGGCGGGGGCGGGGGCGGGTGGGTGGGTGGGTAAGGAGGAAACAACTAACCACGTGACCACCACGGGGTGCAACTTATGTGCTTGGTTCATGGGAGGGGTGGGTGGGGTTCAGAGAGGGTGGAAATAGGGTTTTGCAACGGTATTAATTGTTTGTTTTGAGGGTTGTGGAAGTGGGCGGAGGTACGGCAGCAGCGCAGCAGGGTAACACCCAGTGTGCCCTCCCGCGGCCCCAGCGCCCTGCACCCCCCGCCCCAAGCCCAAGCCCAACCAGCAGCAGCAGCCAGGTGCGCGACCCTTCATCTTCCCGTACGGCCCCAATCCCGCCTGCCTTACCCAATCCCGCCTGCCGTACCCTGTCGTACCTGCATTTGGTCGTACATGTTCTCCCGGTAGAAGTCCAGATGGCCCGAGGTGCGCCACAGGTCGGTCTGGGGGGGTTAGGGGACGGGAGGAGGGGGAGAGGAGTTAGCACGGGAGGTTACACGTCAGGAAGGGACTGCTGGAGAAGGTTGGGGAAGCCAGCCGCACACTCGCCCGGGGGCCTGTGCATTAGGTTTCACGCCACTTCACTTCTGGCGGCTGATGTTGGGGACTTCACACTTCCGGCAGTCACAGTACGTTCGCGCTCGCGGCCACTTCTGTTAACAGCTGAACACCCCACCCCCCACCGGAATGCCCATCCCCTCGCTACCCATTACCAGCCTCACCCAGAGCGCGAGTCGGGCCATGGGATTGGGGTTACCTTCCACCCCCTTCACCCCCCCACACACCTTTGCAATGTGCGGCGAGTATACCAGCTGGTAGCCCCGAGCCAGGTGCAGCTCCTTCCAGAAACCCTCAATCAGGTGCCGTACCATGGCGCCCGCGGGGTGCCAGTACACCAGACCGCCGCCTGCAGCCGACAGGAGTGACCCGTGGGTCGGCGAAACACAACATGCCTCCAACAATCACAGTACGTTCGGACTGGCGGCCAGTTGTCTGCACACAAATGCGGCTACACTCCCAGGCAGCTCCTGGCTTCACTCAGCACACGCACGCACACACACCTTGCGACAGTGCATCTCTCCTTGGACAAGTCGATATCGTTACGCGGTTCAGTCGATCCAACGCACCTCGCGGCCAGTTTTGTCAATCACACCTCCCCTTCTCCGGTCCCCTTCCCGACCTCCATCCCTTCCCGAGCGTTGCAAGTCGGGCAGGGGGAACTGCGGCACCTGCGTTTCACTTTACCCCCTCCTGCCTTCCTGCTACTTACCGCTGTCCTCTTGGATGCTAAACAGGTTCAGCTCGGCACCCAGTTTGCGGTGGTCGCGTTTGGCCGCCTCCTCCTGCAGATGGGAGGGAGCGGGAGGCGGGGGGTAGAGGAGGAGGGAGCGCGAGGGGTTAGCGGAGGGAGCGGGAGGGTTTAGAGGGTGATCCATCTGAGCCACGACAATACCCTGACAGGAGGGGAGGGAAAAAGAAATGTGCGGGGAGGTGCGGCGCGGGGCGGGATGGAAAGCAAAAGCTCTTAAGGCCACAGCTGCATGCACCAAACCACCACCACCAGTCCACCACCACCACCACCACCCCTTTCCCCCCATTCCGGGTACCTTGAGTTGCTTGTACGCTGTCAGCTGCTCGGGTGTCTCCCAGGCGGTGCCGTAGATGCGGGTCAGCATGGCGTTCTTCTCGTCGCCCCGCCAGTAGGCGCCTGGGGGGGGGCAGCGGGGGGGGGACGAGGAGGGAGGGCGCAGTGGGGAAGGGTGAGGATGTGGAGGGGGCGCCAACCAGGCGGAGCCATGTGCTGCACCCGCCGAGCCACTGGCCAGGTCAGCCGGGTCCTAGACAACTTGGAGCAGCGGGCGGGAGGGGAAGTGCGGAGGGGAAGTGGGTGACCGGTGGGACGGGGTGGGGAGGAGTGAAGCGGTGCGGAAGGAGGGGCGGCATGGCTTCCCCCTCCTCCACTCTCCGGGCACCCCTCCTCCTCCTGCCCTCCCCTCTTCTGACACCCTCCCCACACATTGGATATCCTTCTTTTCCCCAGCCTAGGCACACGGTTAGCTGTTTCCTCTCCCTCCCACCCTCCCTTCCCCCCACCCGCAATGCTCTCCAGCTCCACCGCATCCGGGTCGATGTCCCCGGTTCGAGCCACGTGCGGACCCGCGCACAGGTCCCACCAAGGCGCCACGCCAACCGAAGTAGCAACAGCAGCAGCAGGGGAGGAGGAGGCGGCAGCAGGGGAGGAGGAGGCGGCGGCAGGGGAGGCGGCAGCGGGGAGGCCCTCCGCGGCGGGTGCTGCTGCTGCTGTTGTCGGCTGGCCGATGTGGTAGATGGTGATGGGGGCGGTGCTGTCGCGCTGTTAGGGAGGGGGGTTACAAGGGAGGGGTTATGTGAGGGCGGGGGAGAGGGGAGGCACCGCGCTGCCATCCCGCTCCCCGCCGTACCTGCAGGATCGACTGCAGGATCTCCAGCTTGTACGGCTCCCCGGCCGCCCGGATGCGCGCCTCAGCCTCAGAAGCGGATACCTGAGGAGGATGAGGACGGGGTCGGGATCGGGAGGTAGAGAGGAAGCAGGAACCATGTGACATGGAAGCTCCCGCAGGGTTGGGGGAGGGGGTGGGCGCGGCGGAGGCCGGCGGGCGCAGGATGAGGGAAGCCGACCCTCTCCAACCGGCCTGCGCCCCCCACCACCTGCACGCTCACCCCAGCTGCTCCTATCCCGGTCCCTCTATCCGACGGGCATCTTCGGACAGTTAGTACTTCTTCACCACCGCTTCCTTCCGCACCCTGGCCGCTGCATCCCGCTGGGATCCAGGTGCTTCAGTACTTTATCTTCGCCTTCCGTCACCGCCTCTGCGTCTTCTCCATCTTTGCCCCCGCCCCCACTTCCCTCCGCCTCCCTCCAAGGGGAATGTCCCTCCCCCCTTAGGATGCCCCCACCTCCTCCCGCACGAAGGGCAGGTCCGCCCGCATGATCCGCGCCATCTCCTTCTTGATGCGCTTCAGGTCCTTGTCCGTGATGGGGCTGTCAGCGGGCCAGTGGAAGTCGTAGAAGAAGCCGCGGTCGGTCCAGGGCCCTATGGTCACCTGGGCGTGTGTTTGTGAGGGCGTGTGTGTGTGTGGGTTGGTTGGTTCAGAGGCTTACCATCAGTCACCACGGCGCAGTGAACTTCACATGTCCATGCCAACTACCAGTATGTCGCGAACGTCCTTGGGACCCCGGACGGCCTTCCTCTCCCTTGAGGTACCCCCCTTATGCCCGCCCGTCGTACCCACCTGCACTCCCTTGTACAGCCGCTGCACCGCCATAGCCATGATATGGGCACACTGCGGCAAGGATGAACAGGATGTTTTGGGTCCGGTCGTCGCAGCCAAGAGATACCGCATATAGACAGCAGTTTTGCAAGCGCTGATGGGAATGGCTCAGAACCGAAGCCCGGCTAAAGTGAAAGGCTCTGAGCAAAGCATTTTGCATCATTGCCAGGCGTCGAGTGGCTTACACTGTGACGAATGCGCAAAAGCTGGTCCGATTCATCGCTGGACTTCAGCTCCAAAAAGACAGAGCGCTTTATCGGGCTGGATGGAGGAGCCTCTGTGGCTGGGGGGGCTTCAGCCACAACTGCAAGCAGTCGCGAGCTCCTGGAAACGGAGACATTCCCTCGCGCCGAAATGCCGAGCGCGAGGGAAGCTATTGAGTAAATTGGGCTATTCCTTAACATTGGCTGGCCGGGCGCAACTTGACGCGTCGCCCGGAGCCATCCAAGTGCGCTTTGGCGGCAGGATGCCCGTTGAGTGCCTGACAACAAGTGCATGCTGTCTAACTACTATTCTAGAGTTGCAAGAAGCAACAGTTGGCAGTATCTCACTACACTGCCGTACAAACGGGTGTAAGCACTTATGCACGTTTGGAAAAGGGGGTGTTGTTCCACCTATGGATTGTGCACAGGTCGGCTTGTACTAATCTATCGACGTGATAACCGGTGATTCTTGACGGTTTTGCACGCCAAATAAATAAAAAAACGTGCGGTGGTATAGTGTCATGAATATATATCCTTTCCGAGATGTTACAGCACAGATAGCACTGAGATGGGCACCAAATAAGGGGTCCGTGATCAGAACATGGGTTTCAGTGCCCTTGGAACCCCCGGATAGGGGGGCTTTCGTGGAGAGGAAACGCCGGTAGCACGTGCCGCCAAGTGAAGGACATTAAGCAGCTATGCACTATCGCGCACAGCTACAGCACACACCAAAGAAACACTACCCGGCGAGATTTATCCCCCTGCACAAGCCTCAGGATGGAAAGGGATACGCACGTATCCTCGTGTCAGCCTAACAATTCATATTGCACCACTTCAAACCCGGTTATGCAGGTACGGATCCTAATTTGACCAGAATCACGAGGTCATGATGCAAGAATCTGTCCTGTGCATACCCCAAGCAAACCGCACTCGGCACAAGCCAGGTATAAATTTGAATGGAATGTCACCTGCACATGTCAAGTGTTCCCGTCGCCAGGAGACGCACATCCCGAGAGAAGACCACATCATTTATTGCTGTAGCGATTGCTGTTGCTACATAACCCCTTCATAACGTAATGAGTTTCAGTACGGCCTGCTCTGCGCTCCATGCAAATCCAGCCATGTCTCCTATCCGCATCCTATCCTATCCCATGCACTGTCACGTCACGTAACCATATATGACTCGAGGGCAAGGAAGCTCGCCAGCTGACCCGCACAGATGCGCAAAAACCCTACGCACTCCTGACTATCACGTTGCTGTGTGGCGGTTAGGCTGGGCGGCCGTAACTGGTTGCAGAAACCAACGACATTTAGTGGGGCACCTGCGCGTGCTCTCGGAGCACTCGGACGACGGACTTGAAGGCGAACCATTCGGGGATGTCCTCGCCGGCGCGCAGCATTTGCCGGAACTTGGTGCCACTCAGCTTGCGCACATGGAGGCCCTCCTTCTTGGCAATGTCAACAGTCACGTAGCCGCGCTCCTCGGTGTACACCACGTCAGCGCTGGGGACCGTCTGCATGCCCAGCTCGGGCGCGTGCTGCTTGGCAAAGTCTTGAGCGTCGTACATGCCGTAGAAGTCCTCGCCTGAACGGATGGGACGGCAATGGGAGGATGACGGAAGAAAATCAAACAAACGGCCACCAGTAACATGAATTAAGGCGGGACCGCAGGGACATGAGTAACTGAGGCGCAGAGGCATCCCACCAGCCCAGGGACGCACCTGAGAGGCAGCTCTTGGAGCCTGCCATGTCCCTGCCCACGATGAAGTGCGTACACCCGTAGTTCTTACGGATGAGCATGTGCTGGATGGCCTCGCGCGGGCCTGCCATGTGCATGCTGTACGGCAGGTAGGCCCACTTGATGGCGGGGTTCTGCAGCTCCGCCTTGAGCACCTCGTACGTGTGGTACCGCACAATGCCGGGAATGTCGTCGTCCTGCGTGCCAAGGACAAGGAGGTCGGCAAACAAGTAGTACCGTTTCACTCCGTTGTGGAGGAATAGAAAAGGTGGGGGATGCCCGGGATGTCGTCGTCCTACAAGGTCATATATGGCTTCCATCGCTGTAGGTGACAAGAGTATGACCCAGCTGCATAAGGGAGATGCACCTATTAGGACGTGTAGCTGATTAGTCTTCATGATAACGTGTCCACGCTCACCTGCGTTGGCCCGCACGTCGGGTGGACTAGGCAGACCGCGCCCGCCCGCACGTTGGGTGCGTACAGCGCCCGGGTAAAGAGCTCGTAGTGGGCCCGGTGCACAGGGTTGCGGCACTGGAACACCACCACGTCCTGGCCCGCCGGCAGCATGGCGCGCACCTCCTCGGGCGTGGCACATGGGAACACCCTGCAAACATGACGAGGAAAATGATCTACACAAGGAACCGATAGTCGTGTCCCACACGCCCAAAGCCACCGGAACCATGACCCAGTTGTAAGAGCCATTTGGGTCGGCTTGAAGTCAACACGAACATAACTACGTGTCAAAGGAATACGTACCTACAAGCTGCATGCTAGCGAACACAGAGCAACCCTGTACAGCAGCTCTCGCCCCTACTGCATATAATCCGCCAAAATCACTACTGACCTCTTGGGCAGCTCGAAGCCCCACAGCTTGCCGCCCAGGTAGTACTTGCCGCGCTCCATGGCCACCATCTGCACACCAGGGTGCTCCAGGGAGGAGGTGCGGTAGCACTCCTTGACCTCCAGGGCCTTGTTGGGCTGCCACTTGCTCTCAACCTCCAGAACGCCCAGGTTCTGCCCCTTGTACGTAAGCAGCACCTGAAGCAAGAAGGAATGTTTCCAGAGGTGTTAGGAGCGATAGGTCGCGTACTGAGCTTAACTTGTGACAGTGTAGGACTACATACGGTAGCTGCACTCCTCTACCCGTTTCCTTCCTCTTCCCCCCACGTACCCGCTCGCCCTCCTTAATCCCCTCCTCGTTGGTATCCATGACGACTGGAAGGCCGAAGATGAGGTTGCTGCCTGGCAGCCTTTTTGATTGGCATCGAAAGAGATGGGATGGAAGTCAGCACCCAACCTGACGAGGAGATAATGGTAACAGACATTACCTCATGTTCTTTACAACGTTGGAGTATACGTCGTGGTTCATGAAGCCGGTCAAAGGCGAGAACGCCCCCACAGATAGTAGCTCCACATCACACGCGTTTCGGTCGCTGCACTCCTTCTGGTGTTTGCAAGAAGCAATTAGGTCATTCTGCTGGTTTGTGTCGCTCAGCACCAAGTTCTTCAGCTCCCCTCCGTGTGGCAGAATCCGTCCCGTTGCATCCCTGCACGCAAACCAAGCACGTGGTTAAGTTCTAGCGTTGTCTGAGAAAGAAGTACACAGGGCTTACGTCTGGAAACGGGCCACGGGTGAGCAGCTGCGCGCTCCACATGACGACAACAAGTTCTTCCCAAGCGTCCCAACAGCGAACCGACTTAATTGTTGCAGCATCGTGTTTATAATTGATTTCTGTATAACAAGATGTATGGGTTACGTGAGTAGTTGATTTCACTTTATACATTGACCGACTGTCATGTACGACGTGTGGCCTAGCGGCCTAATGAAGGGCGGACGGGCGGATGACATGTCATCAAGAAGCAATATTTAATATCTGCGTTTTAGCAGTTTTGCAGCTGAGCTCTATCCCTTACTAGTCGCCTGCGCTTACAACGCAACAGCACATGGGTTACTCATATACCAGTGATATGCCAGTGCGACGGACGGATCACAGCGCGAGAGGCCTATCAGATCATAACAGTCTCTTTAAGTAGCAGGATGCGGGGTGGGGTGCCGTGTGCCAAGGACGGACACACACTTATCTAGCCCTGTTCCTGTAAGCCACATTCCGGGCTGCAACTTGCAACCGTGGCCGCCAATCAACCTAAGCTGTTACCGTGCTTGGAAAACAACAACCTTCTCGCCTTGGGGCCCTGACAACATAATGCTCGGCTGGGTAAAGTAGTAAACACGCCATCCACCTCTCTACAAAATGCACTAACAATAGCGTGCAACCTCTTGAATTGGCCGTGGCCGTGTCAATCATGCGACGTGCATATGCTAAAATAGCGATATGTGTTACACGGAAGGAGCCACGGTTAGGCGTGTGCCCAACCACTAAAACCGTGTCTGGCAGTGTCCGACGCAGCAAATGTCAGTGTTGGCTTGAACCATAAGGATCATAGGAACGAGGATGGACACCCCATCACAACTCCCCATAGTGCATCATCGAGACCCGGATAGGTATGGTGGTAGTACAGTACATCATGTTTCCCTTCCTGCTTGCGTTAAAAGCAGTCAACAGTTCGGCAGCCTGGCAGTTCTCTAATCACGCGAACCAAAATACGCTATAGCCCTGAAAGCCCAAGCCGGCAGAAACTGTTCATAAACCTACGAGGATGCCTACATACGCACACTGCACTCACAAACGCAGCCCACGGTATCACACAAACATAGGCCAACAGCACTTATAAGCTCCGAGCTCCATGGTTCAAAGACGTAATGACACTCTCGCAGCAACAGATCCCCTCCTATAACGCGCATAGTATCTCTTGAGCAGTTCCCCGCAACCAGCATCTCGCACAGTGAGAGTGAGCTCATGTACAACCTCACACCAGCATCACACGCGGCGAGAGAGCGTACATGCACATGGACACCGCTAGCGTCGCCAGCACGTACAGCTTGTAGCCCATGGCTCCAGAGGGCAGCATCAAGACTCCAGAGCCGCTGCCACCGGCGCCAGCATCACGGGAGCAACCAACACCCGAGCTCTGCGGAAGAAGGGAATACGGGGTCGAGGGGGTTGCCAACCTCCAAGTGCTGGCAGCTGCTCCGTCCTAAGCGATGTCTGGTGGATGCAAGGCATCCGTGACCATGGAAGAGGTTTTACCCCCCTACGTTGTCGGCCTTTGCCAACACGCTTCAATCACATCAATGTCCACATGTACATGCATGTGCCACGGCTTCCACTCCCAACTGCAGAGGATATATACGCCAAACTCTCAAAGGCGCATTGAACCATCCCACCATTTAGCTGCCACGCTCAGAGGCAACCCCCCAGTTCCCGCTGTCCGACCCACCTGCAGCAGCCCCTCCACAGCGCCGCGTGTCGCCTCCCTGCTGGCACTCTTAACCACGTCCACCGCCAGGCTGCGCACGTCGCGCTCGCGAACCAGCTCCACCACCTGTTGATGGGCGGCATAAAGAGGGCAATGCAAAACCGAATGGTGGTCCAGAAAGCTTGCACATGTGACAAGGCTAGTTTGCGTGCTTAATCCTCGCAGGGAGACTAACGCGAAGCTAGAAGGCAGCAAAGCATGTCCCCAACAGTGGCACCGATAGTAACCTTCTGGTGCTAAGAATCCCTGTTACTCGCATGGTGCACTGGTCGTAAGTACCGTTGCCCCACTCGGAACCATCCCAACCAGGTAATATGACAGGCAAATAGCCCACCTGGCGTAGCCAAGGAGGGGCCGCCTGGGCTTGGGCCAGCAGCGTACGTCCAAGGCTTCCCGCCGACGCATTGGCGCCGCCACCTGCCGCGCCTGCTAAGCCGTTGACGCTGTGCTGCTTGTGCAGTTGCAACGTGCCCTGCGCAGGACGTGCGTGCTGGTTGCTGGACAGCTGGCCGTTAGACTTGATGACGGGCGGTGGCGTCGGCGGGCCCACATGCGAGCCGTCGGCTGAGGTCAGGCCATCGCAAGCAGCTACTGAAGCGACTCCACTGCTGAAGCACGCCGGCGCCGTGCCCGACATGCTGACCGAACAGCCCTCCCTGTTGCTTGCATACTTGGCGGTGGCGTGGTTGACGGCGTTGACACACGCACCCGGAGCAGCAGACGCAGTAGAGGAACGGCGATACGAGACGACCAGCTCGCGACAGAAGGAGGCCGCAACGCGCGCCAGCAGATCCGTAAGGGCATCGCGGTGGTCCTGCTTGGCAATGCTTGCTAGCATGTCGTCGTACAGGTTGTAGCCGGTGGTGGACTCCACGTAGGATGCTACCGCCGTCCGAATGCTCTTTGTGAGCAGCAGGGTGAGGAGCTTCTCGCCCTGCTCACTCGAGAGCATATCTAGCAAGTCCTTAATACCCAAGCCGCTGCCTGAGCCGGACAGTGCATCCAGCCGGCGGTCCATAAACTCGCAGAAAGCAACAGTCGCGTTGCGCGTTGCGACGCCAACGGCCATACCGACAAGGCCGCGGCCTCGCTCGGAGAGCATGGCCTCGATAACCGTGTCCACAAGAGGCGGCCCGGCGGATTCTTGCCCTTGGATGGCTGTGGCCGCGCCGCGCACGACAGACGCGGTAACAGTGGCAATTGTTTCCTGCAATTCTTTTGCCTGAAGCAGCTTGCTAAGTTGGCACAGGCTCTGGGGTAACTCCGCCGTGTCCGACGTCAGAAACGAGCGCAGGTCCCCTGACACCAAGGCTGCTATGTCAGCGAACGAGGATGCTGCAGATGAGTAGTTTTGAAGCGTATTGAACAGTCTCCGAAACGAGCTCAGTGGTCGCTGCTGCCGACGTGTACCACCTCCCTCTGTCGCGGTAGCGATGGTTGCGGCCTTGTAAGTTGCATACAAGGTAACGGCGGCTGCAGTTGTCCCCCATACAAGAGTCTTGTGTTGTTGATACCATTGCACGTAAGGATTTCGTGGACTGGGTCCCGCCATTTCTTCCCAGAAACAAGGAGGCTGAGCTCCCACTTTATATGTTCGAAACCTCTATGTTTCTTTGTTAAAAAACTTAAAAGCTACATCACTTAGCAACGAAGGCAAAAATGGCAGGTTGGCAAGTCAATAGCTAACAAGAGAATGAAAGGTACACTGTGCTTGCCCAATATAATGCACATAAGGGCAGCTTGGCTTTGAAAGCGTGTATTGAATGCGTTGCTTGTATGTAAAAAGCCTAGCGTACGGCAACGAGGGCCAGACCACAGCAGAGCCAGTTGCCCACTTGTCATTAGCGTGACGTTATGCAGCTCTTCTTTGCGAAAGCGCTCCGCTAGCTTTTTGTCGGTCAGGTATGGCCTGGCCAACACCCTAAGACATGTCCCTAGGGTGACTCCCCAGTCTACTTGACAAACCCCTTACAAGCTGAAGGTGTCTGAACTATTACCCCTCCAGTCACATTAAGTAATCTTTGACTTGTAAGCGATAGCCTACTTGAGCGCGCGGCTGACAGCGTGTGGACTGTGGAGGTCTGGCAACGAGACTGTGATACAACGTATTTATTGTTGAGCATATTTCCCCCTCTTCATTCCTGGCCTCGGAAATCTAGCAAAGTGTCCTCGTCTTATCGGCGTGCGCGAGGTGACTGCGCAGGCAAGTAAGTCGGGACTGCAAATATTTATGCCTTTAGGTCTAAGAAAGGTGACTGTACACCATATATGTCAAACTAGTAAGCTAGCGTCGTAGGTGTAGGCGACATGTCACCTATCTTTAGCTGGGATGACTTGATATTGTCGCCGTCATGGCAAAATCCAGGACTAATACAATGCTTTGTTTTGCCATCCAGGCTGCTCGACGGCTAATCGGTGACTCCTTGCGCCACTTCCAGTCTCAACTTATTTTGCCATCCGCGTTAGCGTTGCGGCACGGCGGGGATGGGTGTTTGCGCTAGTACAGACAATGCTGTGCCCGAGGGGTACAAGGCATTGAAGGTGCAGGCGGTGGTGCAGCAGACAGGCGACGTGCGGGACTTCTATACCTTCGACAAGCAGCTTGGGAAGGGTAACTTCGGCATAGTCCACTTGGTGTATGACAAGAAGACACTTGAAAAGTTTGCTTGCAAGTCTATATCAAAGGTGCGACGGGGGCGTAGAGTTAAGTGAGTATGGGGGTACTGGTTGGTGGGGCCGTTGGAGGGAAGGGCCTGCAGTACAGGCCCTTTCGTCCACTCCCATAGGACGGCTGGCTTGGGCTACCCGTCATATAAGCGCTGTACAGTTGCTGTACTCGGCCTGCAGCGGGTGCTTGCTCCGCAGCACTGTGGGCTTAATGCGGTTGGCACTGTAGCTAGTCGTAGATGCGCAACCAGCCGTCCACACATCAGGATTGCAAGCACCACAGGTACTTACACCTATCATCATATAATGCATACAAGTCGAGGATCGTATTGTCCTAACAAGTCCACAACCGGATCACTTCCGTTGGCTGCCCTGTCCTGTGGACGGGGTTAGGGTTGGGACCCAAAGCGCCGTGAGGGCATGCGAGGGCTGCAACAGTAACCTTGGGGCAATAGCATTACCACCGCATGCCCATATGGGTTTTGAACCTCCAAGGGCGAACCCTGCTTGCAAGGTGGCATACAGTTGTAGGCATGGGCTACGCACACGAGTATACGGCTGGTAATGGGCATGGCTGAAGACTTGCCTTCTGCCCAGTTCTGCGAAGGCTCGCACCTACTCCTTGGGCCATGGCTACTGTGGGTTCCTCCCTGTTGACCTCCCTGGTTACCGTCCCAACACATAACGCCCCTCCTCAATGGACTTTTAACCCCACCCAATTGCCGTCGCCTGCTGCCCGTAGCGTAAGCTGGTTACTCCGGAGGACGTGGAGGATGTGCGGCGTGAGATCCAGATCATGAATCACCTGGCGGGCCACAAGAACATTGTATCCATCCGCGGCACGTACGAGGACAAGAACTTCATCCACATCGTCATGGAGCTCTGCACGGGAGGAGAGCTGTTCGACAGGATTGCGGAGGCGGGGCACTTTTCGGAGCGTCGGGCGGCTGAGGTGAGCCGGCTGACCTGGGGTCAGGGAAAAACGCAGCCACATGCAATCAGACATGGGATATACGCAACGGTGGAGGCGCATGGTACGGCGATGGGAGCCATCATGCACTTCAGGCTGGGGAATTGCGACAATGGCACGGGGATGTGAACTCCACGATGCCATGTCTCCGCCTACCTACCATGACCCTCAACCGCAGCCGGCGTCAGCTCATTCCGTCCAACCTTCTCCAACGCGGCTGACGTATGACCTTTCCGCCTGACACATGCGCAGGTGATGCGCACGATCGTGTCCGTCGTACACCATTGCCACACCATGAATGTCGTACATCGGGACCTGAAACCCGAGAACTTCCTGCTCACGGAGCGCGGCCCCACGGGCGTCATTAAGGCGACGGACTTCGGCCTCAGTCGCTTTTTCAAGGAAGGGCATCCCCTGGACGAGATTGTGGGCAGTCCCTTCTACGTAAGTCGAACGGTTGCTTTGTAAGAGCGCCGTAGCTCCTATAGCTGAGCCCTTAAGCCCCTTCCTGCTGACCCCAGGTGGCTCCGGAGGTGCTCAAGAGGGCGTACGGCAAGGAGGCCGACATCTGGTCCTGCGGCGTCATCCTCTACATCCTGCTCTGCGGCTGGCCGCCCTTCCACGGCGACTCCACGCAGGTTGGTCAGGAAAGGCGCCCTGGAGTAGGGGGTCTCAGGCACGTTGTGGGTTAACTTGGGGTGCAGGGTGGTGGGACAGGAAGGCACGATGGAGTACGGCACGTAGGTAGGTTGGGGCGCCGTGACAGAGGAGGGTTGACGACTGTTCGGGGGCAAGCATGGGGCGATGGAAGAAGGGGGCATGGAAGGCACGACGGGGCAGGGGCGACTCCTAGCTTGTTGGTAAGCGCCTCGGAAGGTAAAGCCTCAGAAAGTAAGCGCCTCGGAAGGTTAAGGGGAGTGTGGTGGGGGCAGTGTAGCAGGATAGCAAACGCTGCCTAGCGTCTCTTTATTTTTAACAGCGCCAGTGTCAGTTTTGCGGCCAGTTGATCTAACACATGCACCGACAGCTCATAAGTACACACGTTATGGTGGTTAGGCCGCACGCAAAGCCCCATTTGAGCGACTGCACAAAATAGCTGAAGCTTGCCCTTGTTCACTGCTTTGCCGGCCATGCAGGGCAATTGTCGTTCCCGGTTGCTTATGTCGTTCCTACCTTGCCACTCATAGCCACGTGTCCCCACCATTGGTGCCGAAAGTCTCCTAACTCCAACTTCTAACCCCGTGCCGTTCCCCCCCAGGCCATCTTCAAGAGCATCCTGTCCGCCCCTCTGGACCTCAAGTCTGACCCCTGGCCGCGCATTTCACCTGACGCGAAGGACTGCGTACGGAGAATGCTTGCCAGGGACCCGCGGAAGCGGCTTACGGCGGAGCAGGTACGGCAGCGGAGCGGGAGCGGGGCGGGACCGGGGTTGCAGTGATAAGGGACACTAACGGGTGGCCCGGATGGCGATGGGCTCTCCTGTGCCTCAAGGGCATTCATGACCCATGCCGCCGTGCGTGGACCGCTGTAAGTGTGCTAAGGGTTTTATAACCAGTGTTTCCTAATCAGTGATTCCTAACCAATGCCTCCTAAGCAATACTCTCTCGCATGCTGCCTCAGGTGCTCAACCACCACTGGATGCGGGAAAACGGCGCCGCGCTGGACGAGGCGTTTGTGCCCGAAATCCTCATCCGCATGCGCCAGTTCACTAAGGTGAGCTGTCTCTTGCGAACTGAAGCGGGTTCTCAGCGGAGATGCCTTTGATCTACGGTAGAGGGACAGCAGCAAGTTACTGCGTCTGTATCAGGAGTGCTGCGCTCCGCCGTACATCCTACACGGCTTGCTAACCACGTCAGCTGCAGCTGAGCTTGGAGTGTGGGTCGGTAGAGGGGCCCCTAGGCCGAAGCAGGAGGCACTGTCCGCCATGCACTGTTTGCCGCGGAGCCCTGATACGCACCCTCCTCTCCCAATTCCACGGCCCCAATCCACGTTCCCAACCGCCTTGGTGGCGGCTCCCTGGAAGCTTATCTTGCATGTGCATTTGCTTGCACTCCTTTTGTACACTCGGCTTGGGAGAACCATGCCTGGAAGCCCGTTTCGCGCTCCTACCTAGCACCCGTCCTCGCCTCCTCGCGCTGGACCCCCCCCCAGATGAACCTGCTGAAGCGTGAGGCGCTCAAGGTGATTGCGCGCTCGCTGCCGCCCATGGAGCTGGCGGGCATGCGGGAGATGTTCCACGACATGGATGAGGACGGCTCGGGCTGCATCACCGTGGACGAGCTGCGGGAGGGGCTGCGGCGGAAGGGCGCGGAGATGGCGCTCAGCGAGGTGGGCGGGGCTGGGGGCTGCAGGTGCTGTCATAACAGCGATAGGAGGAAGAACAGCAGCAGGGGGCTGGTCATTGTTGCGACCTATGCTTCCTTGCCCTATCATGAGTAAACGTGCCAATAGAGCGCATGCATGGCCTTGCAATACTAATGGCGTGCGAGCCAGTGGGTCATAGGTGAGGAATCCTGGGAACGGCTCTGCCGTTGCCGAATGCCTTTACCACGAGCCCTCTTACGGAGTCAACCAAAGCAGGATGCTGTCGAATACTCAGCTGCTTCCCCGCGGACCCTCACCCCGCATACACAGCCATAAGCAGAACCTACCCCAGCACGACCACCAAAGGACCGCATACACATCGGCGTTGCCTTGTCACACTTGCTGGTTTCCCCTTACCACCAGTGTGCACGTGTGACCTTATGGCTTTCCTTCCTCTAACTCCCACCATCACCGCCACCACCAACTCAACCCGCAGGTGCAGCACATCCTGAATGACATTGACCTGGACGGCAACAGTAAGATTGACTACGAGGAGTTCCTTGCCTCCACCATGCACCTCAACAAGCTCAACCGCGAGGAAAACATGATTGCGGCATTCGAGTACTTTGACAAAGGTGTGCTGGGTTGGGGAAGAAAGGGATACAAGGCTGGGGTGGGTTTTGCTGGGGCGCCGGATAGGTGTCTTGGGTCGGAGACGGTTTGGGGCGCGCCAGGGTCTTAGCTTTGAATTGCTGCTAGAGGAGGCTGCTGCAGGGGCTGTAAGGCACGCCACAGGCTGTGCAGGGCCACACGCAAGTCCCCGCACTACTGTTGCCGTATTTGGCTGCCGTGTGGCTGTTGCCGTACTCCTACTTACCACCCGCGCCTTGCATGCACCCGCAATGCCACCACCCCCCGCAGACAAGTCGGGCTTCATCACGCGTGACGAGCTGCTGACGGCCATGCGGGAGATCGACAACGGGACGGACGTGGACGCCATCCTGGCGACGGTAAGAGGGGCAGGAGGCCGCGAGGAAACCGAGCCGCGAGCAAGCACTGGCCGTGACCATAGGAAGTCTGGAAGATGAAGCGGGGTGTGAAGGTCACAGAAGGTGTCGTGGATTAAACACAAGGGGCGCCGCTGCTTGAGAGCAGCTGAGGGCAGCAAGGAGGACTGAAACGGTTGTTGCACATGCGCGACATGCGGATGGAAACGTCACGAGGACGGAGCGCCGTGCACGGCCTTGGATAAAGAGAGTTGTCTACTGGACTATCTTTTGCAATGCATGCTCTGGGGTTCAAGGCATGCCCCGACATGAGCTCCTCGCCTGGACACTGTACTTCAGCCCTCCCCTTCCGATGCCTCTTTCCGTGCAGCCGGTCCAACTCACCCATGCGTTCTGTACCGCTGCGCATGCTGTTCCACTTACTGCTGCGGCTGCTGCTCCCTCTTAACAGGCTGACAAGAACGGCGACGGCCACATTGATTACGAGGAGTTTTGCCTCATGATGCGCGCATCTGACCTGGATTTGCTCAAGACTGCGCACGAGGTATTGGGAGGGGGCCAGGGAGTGTGAGGTTCTGGAGCCGTGTATCGAGTTGGTGGGGAGTGGGTAGTGTGTTGGCTACGTCACCCTAACCTGCAGGCCTCTCCGCCTCTGTCTACCGCTTGCTGCTCTTCGCTGCTCATTCGTCATTCCACATGACCACCTCATCCCTCTCTAATATGTTGCCATGTCGCTTTCCCCGTTTCCCCGCTCCCCCATCAGGCCCTCAAGACCAAGGTGGTTCTCAAGTCGGCTGTTACCACGGTGCAGTCGGAGCCTGTGCGCGAGGACTCCTCCTTTGAGCTCCGTCGACCCTCTAACCTGCCGGCGTGAAGCCTACGTGCGCGTATGAACTGATATCGTACGACAGGACGTCGTACAGCACCATGTCGTACAAGGTTTATGGCGCCGCAGTGTGAGCAAACCTCCTCGCCCGCTGTCCTTCGTGTGCATGTCGCCGCACCAGCAGTCTGCCCCTCCAATCCAAGCCCTCTTCAAGCCGCGTGCGAAACACACTTGGTATCTGTACAACATGTGTGGGCGCCGCGGCCCGACCGGGCTACCATATTGCTGTCGTTAATCAATGCATGTTACAGCTACAGCGGCAAGCGACAGCCAGGCTTGTAGTTTATATTCCGGTGCCGTGCTATGGTGGTGAGAGCCTTTGGCAGGGCGCGGGGTTTCTGAGAACCTTCTTAGGGGTAACCTTGGGCGTGAGGTGCATCCGAGCATGGCCTACCCAGATTGGCATTCAGTTTCACTGTTGACGCCGCTTTTCAGCGCTACTCGTTAAGTGGTACGATCTCTAATGAGGTTGGTTGTACTCTCGCGTCTTCTAGTCTTACGCACTGTTTCTGTACCGTCGCTTTGCATGCTGTTAGACGATGCGGTGTCCTTCCGAGGCTTTGGGAAGGCGTGTGTTTGTTGGGATACATCTGTGTCAGCGTCGAGCCCCTGAGCAATGTCATGCCGCATGTCAACGTCTGGGGCGCAACACTTATGGGAAGGGCCATTGTGCTTGAGCCTGCGAATGCCCAGGTAAAGTCACTTTCCTTAGCAATTTGTTTAAGCGTTGAAGACGTTTACGACACGAAGTCGTTCGCGATTTGACAGTTCATGTATTAAAAGTGTGATTGCTCTTTGCACATGCCCCGTTTCAAGGCACGTGCCCTTCCCGTGACTAATGACATATTGGGAGTGGGTCCTGGATGCATGCGTAAAACGGTTTTTAAGGTCCCATTTCACTGGCATGTTTGTGCGTGCTGAAAGGCTGCGCTGCAAAATGGGCGATTGTTATTACCCCTTGTGCCAAGTCAATGTTTGGAATGCTCAGCGCTGACGTATTCAGTTGTGAACTTTTCCCTTCGGTACCCCTCCTTGAATTCGGATGCGGCTCACCTACTAAGGAGCTTTGCCCAGTGCGCTGACCTTATTGCATACATCGGTGGGCTTCATAATACGGGAGTCGTAATTGCTACTGGGGCTTTGGAGCAGGCGCAGGGTGTGGTCTGCGCGCACTCTGCATTCCTGTGACTAAAAGCTGTGGGGTTGCGGTGAGTCGGCTGCCTGGTGTATCATGGGAATGTATGGCGGAGGCATACACAGGGAAGACGTCAACCGTGACGTCAGCCATGTGCGAAGATGGATACCGCAATGGCAGCGCAAAGGCAGCATGCATAGGTGGGGGCTAGTCGGGGCCGTTTGTATGTGTATTACGTGGGAGGCACTGGTTGTCGAAAGGTCATGTATCCTGTGACGTAGGTTGGCGAGGGGCGAGAATGGCCATTCCAGCGAGGGGAGCGTCTAGGAGCCGGCGATAGCGAGATAGCGATGGCTGCTTCAGCGCTTAATTGGTCTGTGGATGGGGTGGTTATTGACACAAATAAGGATGTCATGCACTGCGTGGGTATGTGTGGTCTCCGTAAGGCTTTTCACCTGCTGACAAATTTGGCTGGTCGTCTTTGTTACGGGGAGGGTGCCGACACAATAAGCTTTTCATTCATCTACGGAGCCAACGAAGGCACCAGCTTTCGGAATTGTGGTTTTAGGGACATGCACATTAAGGTGGTGTGGCCATGTCGAGTGAATGTAAGAGCCTGGTGTTAACTGTCCAATGGTGCATACGGCACGTTACTGTATATTGTTGTAGAAGCGCCAACTGTTCATTATACTGCATCGTGCCGCTCACTTGCCTCCCACTCGTTGACATGCCAGACATGGTGTTGCACGCCTGCCGTCATCAGTTTCCAAGCGAACAACTTTGCCAAGTCAAAGCCGTGCACACAGAACATGGACATGACGACTTAAGGGGCTACAAGAAGCCCTAAGAAGCAAGCGTGCGGTATTCGTAAAACGGTTGTGCTAGCTGCATTCAGGGGAAATTGCACTGCGATCATAACCACAGGGTTGTCATGCGAAACCTGTGGACTCACCAAACCTAGCGCTGAAATAATCCCAGGCGTTGGACCAGTTTCCAGTCTCTTGCATACCCGATATCGCAACATGTCAGGACGCGTGAGCGCATGAGATGTTTGGAATGCCGACCGGCAAGCATTTGCAGCGAATGCGAGTCTATCCGGGCAACAAATAGATAGCCCTGGAGGACAATATTACAATGGGAACTTGACACGCAAGGACCCAACTATCCATGTTCGACCCCAAAAGTGAATGCGTGCTCATATTCCCAGCAGACGTGCACATCACTGCTTTCCCTGCCTATATTCCAGGACATGGATGCGACCGCTGGCTTGCATCCTCAATGCCGGGGGGTGTGCTGCATACACAACACTGTACGATTGCCCAATAGCTGCACTTGCAAGAGAGCCCCCCTGCTCAAAAAACAAATCACTAGGCAGAACCCACACACCAGGGACTTGACCTAGACTCTCGACAGGTGAACTTTTTGCGAAACATGAAGAGGGGCCGCCCTGCCAAAGTGCAGTCTTTCCAAGCCACTTCTTCCAGGAATACGTACATCCATTATTGTAAGACCCCCAAGCCGCACCCTGTTGTGCCATTTCCACATGGGGCCCAACTACACAGTCCTAGGCGGCCTTGCAGCCTAGCATGTACAATACATCCGGGTCCGAGCCCATAGGTGCAGCAGGTGAGTGCGCCTCCCGCCCTGCTTCCTTTATCCCAGACAAGCCTCCCACATGGCCGTACAGGGTGCCCTTGTAAACAAATCGCCGTGAAGAAGCCGGGCGGCGAGTCGCTAGGCCGGCACGATGGCCAAGTAGGTTCCCCCAAGCAGACACGCGCTGACGGGCTTGCCTGGCAGCTCGACACCAGCAGTGGGAGATCCTCATTGAGGAGGGCAGTACCTGCGCGGCAGGGTAGAGCGGTGGAGGTCACCGGAGCTGCAAAACCACCATTGAGCGCGGGTGGGTTCCCTCCAAGGGGTTCGTGCACAGCTAGTTTCTCTCCTCCTCCTCCTCCACCCCCACGCACCTCTCCGGCGGGTCCACGGTGTTGCTGAATGCGATGTAGTTGACGAACTCGGGCTTGTCGTCGTGCCGGAACTTGGCCACCAGCAGCGCCATCTCGCTGTCGCTCACCACCCAGTCCAGCTTGGTGGTGAGCACCTGTTGGGCGGCAGGGGGGGCGCGGCGGGGGATTGGAAGGGGGAGACAAACAAGGATGCATGGAACGATAGGGGCATACGAGGCGACAAGTTCGTATGCCTCGAGGAGGAGGAGGGAAGCCGGGGAGGAGCCAGGGAAGGGGCGCTGGGTAGGGGCTTGGGGTGATGTTCGCTTGTCCCGACAAGACACGGGTGGAATTAATTTTCCCCGTGCCTTACGGTAACGCCTCAGACGCACACAGTGGTGGTGTGACGGTACAAGGCTACGGTAGAACGACATGCCGAAAGGGTGGTTGGCGACGACTGCATCCTCGCATGCGAGTAGCACCACCCCCAGCGCTTCCAGTGCCAAGGTGACACGCCGAAAGCCCTCACAAGCACGCCTTTGCCCTGAGGCTTCTCCCATGCCAGCTTTGTGCGTCAACCTCATGGGACAGCTATCACCCTCCATGAGCCCCTACGCCGTGTGCAGCAGACGTTCGCAGCGCTGCCCGACACGACCCACCTGCCGGAATTGCGGCACCGTCACGTGACCGAAGAGCTTGGCTGAGTGGTCGTCCGCAGCCGCATCGTCGAAGAAGGCCTGCGGACGAAAACACAGAGGGTCGGAAAGTCAGCAGCGGCGCCTGCAGCTCCTACAGGTGCGGCCTTCGCAGGTCTGAACAAAGGGTGCGACCGCTGTCTCATTCGTGCAGTCCTCGCTTCCATGCCGCAGGCAATGACCCTCCTCCTCCTTCGGTTTATGGGCTGAAAGACTAAGATAAGGATAGAAAAGCCACCACCTATCCTGATCGTCTTTGAGCTCCGCCTGCGACCAACCCCACCTCAGGCGTCATCTTAGTAGCTGATGCCACACCCACTCTCCATATCCGAACGCCAACAGCTGCTGCTATCGGTAGCGTCCCGTCCCATGCCTCACCCTTCCTTTCCTACAAGACCCAAGCCACACCCTTTCCCCACCTTGACCGGTTGCCCCCGCTTGAGGCAGGTGTCCCCCAGGCGCTCCAGCAGCGCTCCCACCGCCTCCTCCTGATCCGCCGGCAGCACCCGGCTTGAGCGCAAGTACCGCGTCTTGTCCAGCAGCTCCGCGGGCTCGGGCGGCACGTCCACCAGCGGGTCCTTTTCTAGGTGCTGCAAGCATATTGAAGGAATTGGAAAGTGAAAGGGCGCGGCAGGAAGAGCGTGTTGGTGTACGTGATACAGAGCGGAAATGTCTGCGAGTTGTTAAGTCGTCTGGCTTACCGGTATCGTGAACACCAGCTCAACCTCGTGCAGGAAAGACCGCGTGTCCACCATTACCAACGTGGCATCCCGCTGCACCTTGAAGTTATCGCAGATGATTTCTATCTCCTTTGGAGTCAGATACCGATCAATACCAGCCATGCTACACGGGGGAAAGAGGCCCCGCGACGATGGTTAGGTGAGGCCGGAGGAAGCACCAGGCACGTCGACGACATGGATTGGGCCCTGCAAGGAATTGCTGCATGCCACCAGACGGCAATTACCACACTTTACCAAAAAGGCCCACCTCAGCGCGCTAAGGAAATGATTTGGGAATACATATCCAGAGTTCAGCTTATCGAAGTCCATCAGGAAATCCTTGACGCGCAACCGATTCTTGAAGACATGCTGTTTAAGCCGTCTCATGGCGCTCTCGAGAGTTACGGTGTCAACCATTTCTTTGCTGAGAAAGGCAAGAACTCGTGAATTGCTGAAATTGTGAACAGCCAGGTGTGGAAAGCAGTCCTAGATGTGGTTCACGTAAGTTCCAAGCTAATAGTGATCTGCCAGTTCGTGAATGGCCGCGCTCAAGAGCCTCTTAGAACATGTACGGCAGACGGCATGCACGATGGGGACTGGCGGGCATTCAATCCTCAAAAGCAAGTTCCTTCCCTCTTGAATGCAATGACTATTGTAGGAGCTTGCGAGTTTACAGAAGGCTTGTCATGGTCGAGGTATACCGGTTCCGGTAGGCATGTGTGCATGCCCCTGACCATTGACGTCAGCCCGCAGCTTCGTTCCCCACTCCATCTAAGGTATGCATCTATCTAACTGTCTTAGTGTACAGGACGGCGTTGCGTAGTGAATTAGCTTAGCATTCCAATAGTCCAAAGCGCGACAGAACCAACTGTTCACCATCGCAGAAGTACGGCTTCTGTCAGAAGCGGCTACCTAATGTCTCTTAGGAGGGCCAGAGCGTAAACACACCCCAGGTGGTCATTTCTGGACGGGTCACAAAGCGGTCACTTGGCAGAACCATCTGCTCTTAGGCCGTGCAGGCGCGCTGCCATATGAGGTGCATAGACATGTTCCTGGCAAGCTGCGCTGCTTGCTGGAGTAGACGCAGGACACCGCTCATGACTCTGTCCCCGTGTTATGCTGTGTCCCTGGCAACTATCCCATTCGGTATGTACACTGGTTGGTGTGCCAGCTGGGGTACCAGGCCTTCTCAGGCACAGGGACTTTTGAGTCTAAGATTGAAGTAATGTTCACACATGTTCCAGGGCAGGATGGGTTATGCCGTTTGCTAAACTGCTTACGAGCAAGGAGGTCATGGGCAGGTGTTCACAGGCATCAGGCCGAATGGCACGGACATGAGGGTATGGTTAGGAGATGATACGAACACACGAACTGTTGTACGGAAGAACGTACTGACCATTACCAATTGCCTGTGCTGTTGGGCAGCGTATCCGTTGCCCAATGGCGAGGTTAAAGGCAGGTTCTTTCCTCTACGTTCTGGGTCTCCTGCATCTCCTGCGTCAGATCGGAAGCAAGTTATAAGTCTTATAAGTTCTAACCCATAACGATAGAGAGGTACTGCAGTCTGAAGCTATGAAAGTGCCTTCAGTGGAGATAGGGGGGAAAAGAAGAATACCCAATGTGTTGGTTGAGATGTGAGATAGGAGATGGAGAGGCAGAAATGAAAGGTGAAGCAACTGGAGTCCCAATCCCATGAGGGGGGTAAAAATAAATGAAAAGTGAAGCAACGGAGTCCCAATCCCAAATCCCGACTCAGGGGGGGGGTTAAATAAGGAAAACTGACGAACTGGATGACGAGGCTTCACCAGCGGGGGGGTCAATGACCATACCGAACCATAGGAAGCCCCAGGTGGGGCAAGACAATGGGGATAGGAGCGGTAGGGTGCCAACAAACAAGTGTGGGTTAGCGTTCCCCACCGATAATGAGTTCGGGTTGGCGATGAAACAGCGACCCACCAGCGAGCGAGCTGAATGCTGGCTGTGGTAGTTGATGCCATATACCGTCACCAAGGCCCCATATGTGCTCGGGCATGACAAAGAGGCAGGGGGAGTCTCCGCGGTTGCATTTTTTCTGGGCTTGTCCTGTTGCTCGTGCTGTGGTTGAGCAGCTTGAGGTATCGCTGGGTGTTGCGGTTCCTCGGGCTGCCTTGTGGTTGGCGTTGCCTCCTTCGGGCGTGCAGCAGTGCGTTTGGGATGTTGTTTTGGATGCTTTGTCCGCTATGGAGGAAGGTCGGCGGTTGTTACGGGCTCGTGTACGTGAGTCTGGTTGTGCGGGTGTTGTGTCTGGGCTTGCTGATGTGGTGGCCCTGTCTGCTGTTTCCTAGTTCTGGGGTCAGCTTCGGGGGTTTGCTTGTTTGGGTGTTCCCCGTCGTGGATGGGCTGGGGTTGGCCCTTCTCATCCTTTCTTACGTATTGTTGGCGGGCGGTTTTCTGTGTGCCGTTGAGCGTACTGTTTTGGCCCTGTCTTTGGGGTGGTGTGTTCGTGGCTTCCCGTTTGGGTTGTCTTATGCCCTAGATGAGGTTTGTCGAGGTTTGCTGAGGGGCCCTTTTTTGGCTTCATCCCATCTTGTTGGCCCGTTGTGGTGCTGTCTTTACGGTTTGTTCCTTTTCTTTTGCAATGTAGGGTTGGGTTCATCGCCCGTGTTCCCTTATAGGGCACCATTGTAACGGTCATTCATTCAGAAATCATGTGTTAATAGCAGAATGCAAGCAATCTAGCGATAAGGGGATTTCTAAAGCATAGGTTTACCTATGCGATGGATGGATGCCATTGGAGCCGCCAGCAAATTGCACGAATGAGCAAAGGGAAGGGCGAGGGAGAGGCAACAGGAGGGGTAAGTTTGTTGTATCTAGATAGTAAAAAAGGCGGACGGAGCATACGAGCAATGGATGGGGAAGGGGGAAGGGGATGGGGAAGGGGATAGGAACCAATTACGATGAACACCAACTCCTTCACTTGGGACTGCACGTCATTGCAAAATACTTACGGTTACAGGTACGATCTGAACATAAACTTTGGTTATGCGCTGCGTGAGTAGTAAGCAAGCTCTTCGGAGCAGTCTTGCTGTATGTGACCTCGGTAGCCGTGCCGGCGTAATTCACAGGCATCGTCAATTCATTACATGCACGAAGCTCGTTGGCAGCGCCTATGGCGTAGGACAAGTCAACATGTAAAAGGTTGGCCTGCGGTTGGCCTCGACGATGGCCTCAGTCGTCAAGTTTATGGAGTTCAGTCGCTAGTAATAAGGCCTTCAGTTTTGAGCAGTGAGAGGCTAAGATACTAATAGCAGTCCAGTGCCACTAAATGAGGAAATTCTCACCTTCCGTTCGTAACGCCTTCACAAGGCCCAATGCTGGCAATGTTCGTAAACGACCAGAGGCACGTCTAAAGAACATTCTCGATTCTACGCCCCCGAAATGTTTGGTTTAATCCGCTTGCTAGTTCTAACTGTCGTTTTCGCTTCTTTTATCGAGGCGAAATCGTGGCTAGGTTCACACCACAATAGCACCACGAAGTCGGATATTGCAATTTTTCTCACAGTTACACGTAGTCCACCTCCAGGAGATGGCCAATGGCTCCAAGCGCTACTACACGTTACCCGACTCTACAACCCGGCCACTACCATATTTGTTTTCCTCAACAAAAGGACATTCTCTGAGGATCCGAATTTTATAGATCAGCTTGCGAGCTTGCGCGTGCAAGTTCGCGTGACTGATACTTACAGATGGAAGGATTCGCCAATGGCACGGCTTCGACAAAGCCTTCCAGACTTATTCTCGGGTGAAGAGTTTATGGACAGGTTCTGTGCATACGCTGCAGCGGCTACGACTGAAGGTTAGTCATGGTCACAGTCGAGACATGTCGCCCAAGCCAACGTGAGCTGCGCACGCTCTGAATATCGTGTAACCAATCTCGTAAATGGATGATTTGTGCATGATCTGGCACATACGTTTTGCTTAACTCGCGGCTACGACTTGTCCGTTGCTCACTTTTCGGATGTCGGATGTTCGTCTAAAGCAGCTGTTCCTCCAACAGGAGTAAAGCGCATCCTGGCTGTGGATGGCGACATGGCGCTTTTTGCAAAAGCAGAGGACATTGTTGCCCCGTACGATGAAGACATCGTCAGCGCTTGCCACCACACCAGCCAGATGCTGATTGTCAACAGTGTGGACGCACTGTCCAAATACTGCAACTTCATAAGCAGCTACTATACTCAAGACCTTAGCGTACTGCAAAACAATGCCGTCTTAGTTGGAAAACGCAAAGACGAGTACAAAGACCTGCACGACATGGAGCTCCTCAACCTCTTTCTGCTCCAGAGCCCGCACGTCTCTCGCCACATCCTGTGTCCTGAGGCGCCCAACCAGCCACGTTGCGATGCTAAATACTCAGGTTGCATCACAAGCCCACAAGTCCAGGCCGTGGAGAGCCTTTTCAAGCTCGGCCATGACCCTGCTAACGGAGACTTTATTGCTTGCTCTTCTTGGGCAAGCTTCACAAGCTTGATCGGGTGGGTTCCGAACGGCCGAGGACTGCCAGTACCATACCACAAGGCAACTGGAGACTGCCTGCCGGTAATTCATTTCCAGGGGCCATGCAAGAAGCTTGTGCCGGCATTTGTTATGCAACTGCGCAACATGTTACAGGGCTTGATGTCAGCACGCAAAGCAGGAGTAGGGCGGCAAGGAGCGGCCATTGGGAGGTTTAGAGGGCCGCTCCTTAGGCCAGGGTTTGACAGACAGGAAGGGAAGGGTTGGGGATGCCGATGGGCCGGCAAGGTGTAGCGTTGGTATCCACCTAATGCTAAGGACGCGCATAAGCGATAAGCCATACCGGCTTTGCTAGGTATTTAGGTATTACGTTATACTTAGGACCGGGCTTCGTCGTTATTCTTTGTTTGCCTCGGCTGCCCTTCGGCAGTGTGATTGGAACAGGAAGAAGACGGTGCACGGATGCAGCTTGTTGGGCATTAGCAGCTCGCCCTAGGTACGAGCTGGTCGAACCACACTAGCGTATAGCTACTGAATTGCGGCGCGATATTCATTATGTGGGCAATCGGTACGAGTAGTACATGCATCAGTACTAAGAGTATATCTTACAGTACGGCGTACCTCATGAACCTAATCAACCGTCTGCCTTGTGCGGCGGCCATTATTGTTTCTCCTCGAAAGGTGCATCATAACTCGATCGGGCTATGGTGATTTGGAGCATAAACTTTTATATATATGTCGCCCGCTGTGGTAGTTGAGGTACAAATGGATGTGTTGTAGCCTGGGTATTGACCAGCAGTGCCGTGGCGTCGTACAATAGAGAAGCAGGATCTCGCATGACACAAGTGACCCGCGGGTCATCGGCATTTGCTCCTTTCATGCCCGGAGCGCCATGATACATGGCATGTCTGTGTTCCTCTTCTTACAATGCATGTGCATTGCAACTGGTTTCCCTATCCTGAGGACGTTTCCAGGATGGTGCACCTGGCAATGTTTCCTTGGTCCTCCGTACGCCTCTCGTTACTGCATGTAGCGGTCTCCCAAAGGCATATCGACGTAACGAGATCAGGAATCTTCCTTACCTTTCTGGGGGCTGGGTTATAAATTAGGTCAGCAGATCTGGGTCTGGGTTGCACGCCGCTGAGCCAATAGCTTAATCAATGGGTTTGGAGGCATGCGGCTGGGCGGTTAAATGCATGCTTTAACCCCCCCCCCTTCATTCTGTTTTCAGCCATGAGCCCACGACGTGCCTTGTTGACGGAGGTTGCAGGATTGCTGTCCGCCTTCAGGGGTGGTAGAGTCGTCCCTCAGCTGGCCAGGGGTCAGTGGGGTTCATGACCTGCGGCGGGTCGCCCGTCCTTGTCCTCATCCGGTCTGGGGTTTCTCTTCCCGCTGGCTTTTTTGTTTACCCATCCTATCTCTGTATTCATTCTCCCACACAGGAAAGAAGGACAGCAACTTCCTGAATCCTTTACGAACTCTACTCCGTCCCGAAAGTTTAGCATCTGCGCAGTTTGTGTGTTGGATGCTCCTCTGTCACATACCCTCCAACGCATTTCGCCTGTACCGTCCACTACCGTCCATAGACTGAGACAACAACGGATAACGGCAAGGAACGACGGTGGTTGGACCCAACTTTCCTGCGGACCGCTGCCATCAGATGACATGTAGGTATTGCCCTCATGTATGTGGATACGCAACCCCTGCCGGTGGGGCTGGAAGAGGCAACCCTAGGCTGACTTGCTAGGCCGGGAAAAGCGGGGGATCTGCCGTGACACGTGTACGCTTGCCAAGCAATTTCGTCGTCGGTAGCGGCCCCTCTCCTAAAGCACTACGTATAGGGAGGGTGTGAATTGGTAACGGCGTTGTGCAAACATCTATTATTCGCCGTGCTGAAGGGAAACCGGAAATCGATTTCAAGGCTCTCATGGTGGCAGTTGATTGAGTGCATGTGGTGCATCAGGTGGCGTAGCCCAACCAACAACAATGTCATCTGCTTGCCATCCTCCCTTCCCACACATCATTTTGCCACGTTTAAGATTGGGAAGAGGTGCTCGTGGCGTGGATTGGGCTCGAGGCATTGGCGCAGGCACGTCGTCGGGCGCACTGCAAATGTCTATTGTGGGTAAAGCATGCAGTACTATTTTGGCTGACGCGTAGAGAGCTCATGTGCAACTACAATTGCATTCGTGTCCAGCGCATGGCAGCGCCCATGTGCCTTCAGTCGGTGGTGGTGCAGCGGGGCGAACCCCAAGAGCTAACTTCCCGCCATCCCATTCCAAACCCATTCCTGGCCATCCTTAATGCTCCGAAATAAATGGTCTAAGGATGCCCATAGCGCAGTAGGCAAACACTGTTATGTGTGTCCTGCGCAAGTGTGTTCGCGCGGGCAACGCATGCTCTCCAGTACACCTTGGACACCACCTGCCAGTAAACCGAAGCATAACAAAACCCTTTGGATTAACAGTAGCACATCATTGCCGTTGCTTGCGAGGAAAAGGGCGATCGTCCTAGGTTCAACGGACCATGAATTGCCATCTACAGTACTGGCAACGAAGTTAAGCGTTATCGAAAAAGAGAAGCCCACTAGCCCTGCGCTCAAAGCGTACTTTTAATGTGTCCAGAAGGCGCGCTTTGTCTACGCTATGGCGCCGTATCTGTCTCTGGAACGCTCTGTACGGCACGGACCGTTCCAGAGGGAATGAAAGCCATTTATATTCACCTATTCTTTCCTTTTCGGCAGACAACTGCTCAAGCGAAGCATACCGTTTTCACTACAGCAGCTTGTTGATCTGCTTCTACTCCGAACGCAAGAATGGGTCGCGAGGCACCTGCCATCGGTATTGACCTGGGCACCACCTACAGGCAAGCGCGGGTCTTACGTTATCTTCGATGCAGTTGGGCGCGATTTAGTACTAAATTGAGGAAGCGTCTGCAGCCGCCGGCATGGATCATAGGATCTGGCCGCGGTTTTGGTGCCCGCAATGGGTGTATGGTTGGAATTTAAAAGCTTCATGGAATGTTCTTTGCTTAGCAGTTCCACGTTGCGACCAGGCTTGAGGAACTGAACTAGCCAATGCCGCGGCCGCCCATGTTCGTCAGGCTTCCCTTACTGAACAAGCTCCTCTGCCGTTTGCTTTCCCCTCATTCTTGCAGCTGCGTGGGTGTCTGGCAAAATGACCGCGTGGAGATTATCGCCAACGACCAGGGTAACCGGACGACGCCCTCGTATGTTGCCTTCACGGATACTGAGCGCCTGATTGGTGATGCCGCTAAGAACCAGGTAAGATATGTTCCTCGCTGTACATATGCCTTGTTACTTCGGTTGTGTTGCAGTAAATTAACTTGCCTGCGCTCTTGTGTACCACAGGTGGCTATGAACCCCAAGAACACCGTGTTCGATGCTAAGCGCCTGATCGGCCGCAAGTTCTCGGACCCCATTGTTCAGTCGGACATCAAGCTCTGGCCCTTCTCCGTCCGCGCCGGCGCCCACGATGTGCCGGAGATTGTTGGTAAGTCCAAGGCTAGGGGGGATCCGGGATGCCTCTGCTGAATCGGGTTTTGAAGGTATGTGTGCCTATCTCAACACATTAACCGTCTCTCCATATTAGACCACCTCCCTCCTGTCACGCGTTGCATCCTCGCGGCCTATAGCCTTGCCCCCACCTTCCGAACCCCTCTCAAACCCTTACCCGGCTGACTCTCCCCCTTCCCCTTTCCCCCCTTCCCCCCTTCTTTCTCTCCACTCTGCAGTCCAGTACAAGGGCGAGGACAAGGTGTTCAAGGCTGAGGAGGTGTCTTCCATGGTGCTCATCAAGATGAAGGAGACCGCGCAGGCCTTCCTGGGTGCGGACCGCGAGGTGAAGAAGGCGGTCGTCACCGTGCCCGCCTACTTCAACGACTCGCAGCGCCAGGTGGGGCAGAGGAGGTCCTAGGGGCAAGGGATCTGACGGGGTAGGACCATCTGGATTTTACGCAGCTTGGCAAAGAAGTAACAGTGCTAACAAGCATGGGATTGGGATTGGTGGGTATCCGACGTCGCTGAGTGTGGCATGCAGCGGGAGACGGTAGTGTGCAAAGTCTGGGTGGCACTGTTTAGCGCCAAGATCGCCACCACCTTGACCTCTGGTCTCACCCCTCTTGTTCCTCTTATCTCCCTGCAGGCCACCAAGGATGCCGGTATGATTGCGGGCCTGGAGGTGCTCCGCATCATCAACGAGCCCACCGCCGCCGCCATTGCCTACGGCCTGGACAAGAAGGACAGGTGGGAGGAGGGAAGCGGCGGTTGGGCGATTTGGGTTGGCTGGGGGACGCACGTCTTTCATGCACCAAACCCTTTGCAAAGGGATACCTCCCGCCTTGGGGGATGTGAGGTCTGCTGAGGTCTTTCATGTGTGCCCTTGCTGACCTAGCTTCCCCCAACAAACTCATCTCCCCACCTCCCTTCTTCCGCCCCCAGCGGCCTGGGCGAGCGCAACGTGCTGATCTTCGATCTGGGCGGCGGCACCTTCGATGTGTCGCTGCTGACCATTGAGGAGGGCATCTTCGAGGTGAAGGCCACCGCCGGTGACACCCACTTGGGTGGTGAGGACTTCGACGAGCGCCTGGTGAACCACTTTGCCAACGAGTTCCAGCGCAAGTACAAGAAGGACATGAAGACCTCGCCCCGCGCCCTGCGCCGGTGGGTGGTCGTGTGGGCTGGGTGTAGTTTTTTCAGGGCGTGCTGGATACTAAATTTTGGATTCAGATTGGGCTTAAATCCCAGACCAGCAATGCAAGCTCCCGATTTCAATCCTACCTCTTGACCGCCAGCTAAAATTACGATCCCTAGGCTGACACGATGCTCCGCTCCCTCCCCTACCTGACTATCCAACAGCCTCCGCACCGCTTGCGAGCGCGCCAAGCGCACCCTGTCCTCGGCCGCCCAGACCACCATTGAGCTGGACTCGCTGTTTGAGGGCATTGACTTCGCCACCTCGATCACCCGCGCTCGCTTTGAGGAGCTGTGCATGGACCTGTTCCGCAAGTGCATGGACCCCGTGGAGAAGTGCCTGCGGGACGCCAAGATGGACAAGAGCACGGTAGGTTGCTGGGGGCTTGAGGCGGTTGGTGGGCTGGGCTGGTTGTGCGGTGTGGATTGTTATAGTAGTTGGATTGAGCATGATCAGTTTGGAGAGGATTTCGCAGGATTATCTGTCTCGGCCAAATCCGTCCTCCTTCCCTCTCGGGGCATCAAGATTTCATTATTTCCTTCTTCTCCCTCCCTCCTCCCCAGGTTCACGACGTTGTGCTGGTTGGCGGCTCCACGCGTATTCCCAAGGTGCAGCAGCTGCTGCAGGACTTCTTCAACGGTAAGGAGCTCAACAAGTCGATCAACCCCGACGAGGCCGTTGCGTACGGCGCCGCCGTGCAGGCTGCCATTCTGACGGGCGAGGGCGGCGAGAAGGTGCAGGACCTGCTGCTGCTGGATGTGACCCCGCTGTCGCTGGGTCTGGAGACTGCGGGCGGTGTCATGGTGAGCAGCGCTGCGGGAGTGGGGTCGCTTGCGTGTCTTGCTGTTCCGCAGTGTTTTGTTTCTGCAGGAGGCTTGGTTTCTTTATACGAATTTGGCTCTCGTTTCGCGAGCGTCTTTCTGCCGCGAAAATCCTGGAGATTAACAGTTAACATAATTTAGTACACAGACCTCTGACATTGCCCCTTCCTCTTCCCCTCCCTCCTCGCAGACCGTCCTCATCCCCCGCAACACCACCATCCCCACCAAGAAGGAGCAGGTCTTCTCCACCTACAGCGACAACCAGCCCGGTGTGCTCATCCAGGTCTACGAGGGCGAGCGCGCGCGCACCAAGGACAACAACCTCCTCGGAAAGTTCGAGCTCACGGGCATCCCGCCGGCGCCGCGTGGCGTGCCGCAGATCAATGTAAGTCGCTGGGGGCCGGAGTTCGGGCGTTTTACTGTCGTTTTCTTTTTCTCGTCCTGCTTTGGCTTTGGCTTTGGCTAGAGGAATACTCGACTGCTTGATTGGGAATTATTAGTATATGGGTTCCAGCACATGTTTCATGACGTGAGCTAACGTGTCGCTGCTGCTCTGCACACACAGGTCATCTTCGACATTGACGCCAACGGCATTCTGAACGTGTCTGCCGAGGACAAGACCACGGGCAACAAGAACAAGATCACCATCACCAACGACAAGGGCCGGCTATCCAAGGAGGAGATTGAGCGCATGGTGCAGGAGGCGGAGAAGTACAAGGCGGACGATGAGCAGCTCAAGAAGAAGGTCGAGGCCAAGAACAGCCTGGAGAACTACGGTAAGAAGCGACATGACGGATAGGAGGAAATGTTGTTAAATTGCAGCTTTGATAGGATGTTAAGTCCCGGCGGATGGCCTTCTAGGCATGTATGGACACGCGTTGGATTTGTTTCCTGCGCTACTGCTGGCTCGACGTGTGTTTACTGCATGCTAACCTCTACCCTCGCCTCTTTCCTCCGCAGCCTACAACATGCGCAACACCATCCGGGAGGACAAGGTTGCCTCGCAGCTGTCGGCCTCCGACAAGGAGACCATGGAGAAGGCCCTGACCGCCGCCATGGACTGGCTCGAGCACAACCAGATGGCCGAGGTGGAGGAGTTCGAGCACCACCTCAAGGAGCTGGAGAACGTGTGCAACCCCATCATCACCCGCCTCTACCAGGGAGGTGCCGCCCCCGGCGGTATGCCAGGTGGCGCGCCAGGCGCCGCCGCGGGTGCCTCGTCGGGCGGCAGCGGTGCCGGCCCCAAGATTGAGGAGGTCGATTAAGCGATTCGCCCGTCGGTGTGATTTTGGCTCTGATTCGGCCCAGTTGTTGAAAGGACTGGACGGAACTTGTCGAGCCTAGATGGGTAATAGCTTGATGGCTTATGGCTTATTGTGGAGGTGTTGGTCCCCGGTCTGACTGCAACGAGCGAATTGGCCTGTGAGCAGAGAAGCCGTTGCGCGAAGTTGGGGTTTTCGGGTCTACGGCGTTTCTTGTGCGCTGCTTTGACGATGTTTCCTAGTGTTTGCTGGTGTTCTTTCCGCTCAGCTGCGCGGCTGTGCTTAGCAGGTGTTTGCCGTGGATGGAGTGTGGTATTGGGTGTGCCGGGGAGAGGGGTTTCAGAGTGAACCTTTCGAGCGTCCAGATGTGTGTAGGCACATGGATAGTTGCATTAAGTGAAAACCATGTTGAGAAGAACTGCAACTGCTGCTCTTTCGACTATTATCAAGTTGGGTGGCGAAACACCGCATCGGTGATATTTTGCCTTTAAGAACTGCAGGTTTTCATGTTTTCCACGATGCTTAGGCATCATATTGGGATCTTTGTAACCTTCTGATGACCTTTTCACGGCTTCTGGTCTTTTCCCGTACAACCAGCACCCGTCGACAACGTCCTTTGTCTACATGGCGGTTCGAGTTAGTTGCCATATACACCGCACAACTGTCCATCTGCTGCTCCGCCCATCCCACGCAGCTCCTCTATACCGCTCAGCACACGCGTGAGGATGCAGGCCGTGTTTGCGTGTTGGGGCGACACGACGTATAGAAAAGACATTTCATGTCCAATACTGGGTGTTACGTCCAGGTGGGTCCCCACGACCCTCATATAGCCATACGTTAGGCCACTATCCATACCTGACTGGGTATTTCTGCACACATTGAGCGCAGGCAAATTACAGATGTGGATACAATTTGGGGAGGCGGGTTTCGCTGCTGGGTTTTAGCGGCGGACGGGGCTTTTCACTTCGCCAGGTTTCGACGACCGTTACAGGCAGTGTTCTAGCGCCAGTTTGGCTTTACAGCGGCCAGAAGTAAGGCAATTTTAGGGCCTCGGCGGCCGTGCAAACCGCGTCCGTGTCCGCACCCCACAGGACGCAGCAGGACGCATGACGCGGCCGGCACTCCCTGGGTAGCTCCGGTGCCAAAACGGTGATGTCAAGTCACGGAGAACAGGCGGGGCACCGTATCAGCATTGCCGTACTGAGCTTACCACATATGGTAAAAAGCGGGTCGTTAGTCTCCTGAACGTAACGTAGCGGTAGTGCTGCCGCAGCCTATGGGGCCCGCAAAGACAGCCTACAACGTCCATCTGCAGCCTCTGTGTTGTAGTCCGACACTGCCTCCCCCCACTCCACTCCTGCAGCCGCCCGCGCTATAGCCCTCGTTCGCTCCCCACCGCACCCAGCACAACTCCACCATCCTCACACCGCCCCAGCACAACTCCACCACCCCGGCACACAAGGTACACAGGGCTCCCAGCCGCGGTGCACCTTCCCCGCTTTCCGGGCACCTCATGATGTCTTGGGGCTACTGGTACGTACCGACAAACCAGGTGTGCGTGGGAGCTCGCGCTGCTGAGGTGCCCCGCGCACACCTGCCTCCACCGGCCGCGGCTCAGCTGACCTAATCACCAGCACAACACCACACCGCCACCGCTACCACCGCCCTCGCTCCTGGCAGGACCTCCTTGTGTGTCCCAACCGCTGTATGTCCCAGTCGAGCGGAAGCCCAAGTGCTGAGCACCTGTTCAGTGCCGTGCGGATTACCAGCACTGCAGCTGCCACAGGCGACCGCACCTCGCCTACAGCACCATGTTCCTCGCTCTCCACCTCCAAATTGTCGATACCATTATCATCACCAGCAGCAGCAGCTACAACAATGCAGCTCGGTGCGATCCTCCGTCCCCCAGCAGCTGCTGCTGTAGCGTCCGACCCAACAGGGGATTCACAACGCCTCAGCGACACCCCACACAACCTCTCCAACCAACCAGCGGCCCTTCCTTCCCCGGCCGCCAGCCAGCCAGACACCCAGGGTCCCCCGCCACTCAGCCAGTCACCCAGCCCCTACATGCTCGCCCAAAGCGCCAAGCGCCACGCGTCAAGCACAGCGGAGGCCTCCCTCTCTCTGACCCCCCTACTTGGCCGCCCCCCGCAGTCAGCCCCCCCCGGCGCTCCAGCACTCCTCAATACGACAGGGAGCTCCGCTTGGCCTGCAGGGGGGTGGGGTGGGGTGTTGCGCGGGGGATGGGCAGCGGCAACACGTAAGCGCCAGTTTGTGAACACACGCGCGCCGAATGATCCGTCGCGTTGTTTATAATGCTTCAAGTCATCTTCTCCTGCCCCGCCGCCGCAATCCCAGCCCCCTGTTGGACTGTCCCAGCCCACCAGGACCTCCTCCTGTCCGAACCGGGCTCCCGGAACCCACCTCACCACCGACGGGTCCCCGTACAGGTCTCCGTACAGGTCCCCGTGCTGGTGCCCGTACAGGTCTCCGTGCGGGTCCCCGTACGGGCTCGTTTTTACCTTACACCGCTACATGGTCCCTGACAGCCCCCATGCGCCCCCCCCTTGCAACACCCCCCGCCCCCACCTGCAGGAATGTGTCCAGGTGGCGGTACAGCTCCAGCATGGCTGTCATGTCCTTGTGGCGGCTCTCGCGGTGCAGCGGAACCGTCCGTACGTTCCAGTCGGACACGGGGGGGCCCACCTGCAGGCAGGGGGGAGCGGGGGGGGGTTAGGAGGGGTTAGGAGGGGAGGGATGCAGGGGTGGGGAAGGAGAGGAGCAACAACGCAGGGGAGGTTGGGAAGAGATGGTAAGGTGGGTATACGCCTAACAAACTGCCACCCTACCACTACCCTACCCCCACCCCCACCCTCTCTCTGACCCCCCCACCCCCACCTTTTCATCAGCGAAGTGGATGTAGAAGCCGCACACCTTGGCCAGCGCCTCAACCAGGTCCCCGTCCTTGGCACCCTGAGGGGGGGGAAGGTGGACAGGTGGGGGGCTAGGTGAACTGAGCCGCGGAAACACTGACCCTGACCGTAGGTTACCGGCAGGTGGAGGCAGGTGGTGGAGGCAGGTGGTGGAGGCAGGTGGTGAGCTGCCGGCTCATGGCTGATAGGCGGCACCGGACTGCCAAACCCACCCACCCAGCCGCCCCACCCAGCCTAGCACAGCACGCTAAGAGGGCGGGGGTAAGGGTGCGTGGGCGGGGGTCGGAGTGAAGCTGGTGAGAGGAAACCCTAGGGGAGTGCCTCCCACCCCGGTTTTGTCTCTACCCCCCCCCCCATGCCCCCCATTATTCTGCCCTCTTCCGTAGTTTCCTATGGTTTGGTCTACTTTGGCCCCGCCCCCCTGCTCTTCCCCCCCCACCCTCCCACCCCCACCTTATGCGGCCAGTCCTTGAACTGCCACTTGGCTCCCTGCACCACCACCGCCACCACCCGCTCCCAGTCGGGGCTGCCGGCGGGCGGCGCGCGGTCGGTCAGCTGGTACTCCACCCCAGGGGGGTTGGGGCGGTGCGCGGAGCGGCGGATGAGCAGCTGGGAGGGCTTGGGGGCGCCGCCAGCAGCAGCCTGGGCCTGGAGGGAGGGAGGGAGGGAGGGGGGAGAGGTGGGGTGGGGTGGACGGGAGGGGGAGGGGTGGACGGGAGGGGGAGAGGGAGACATGCGGGGGAAGGGAGGCATGCGGGGTGTGTTGAGGACACTGTCCGCGAGGAGGAACGTACTGTGACCGTCGGGAGATGAACTCCCCATCAGACACGCCAGGAGGAAAGAAGGGTATGCTGTCGTTGTAGGTTAAGGGGATCCCAGTGCTGGTGCGGATTGTGGGGTTGACGGTCGCCCGATGGCATCGTCTGCAGCCCCCCGGACCACCCGGCTCTGGTAAGCAATCCTTCGGTAAGTTACGCTTTTCTGCGTGTTTCTAGGTTAGTGTCTCCGAATGCACTCACTGCATGAATCGGGATATGGGTCTGGGACTCTAGTTGTTTGCATTTATTATATAATTTCCCCCCCCCACCCCGCCCCCCACCTGCGCTGCCGGCACGAAGCGCCCCTCCTCCAGGAAGGCCCGCGCGTTGTACATGTTGATCATGGAGGTCAGGCCTGGGGGGGGGGTAGGCGGGGTAAGAATAAGGAAAACTGACGAACTGCGGGGGGGGGCGCAGGAGGTGGGCGAGCGACCAGCCCATAGGAAACCAGGAAGTAGGGGCGAGCGACGGGGGTAGGGCGGCCAGGATGGACGGGGGTGAAGCGGGGGCAGGGCGGGCGGCTAGGAGGGGGCACACGCGGCAGGTTCCGGGAAGGAGAGAAGGGAGGGGAGGGAGGGGAGCTACCGGTGGGTGGCGTCGGGGACGAGGGGGGAGGAGGAGAAGAAGAAGAACCAACCAACCCGTTCCGTGGGAAACCAAAAGAGGGCGGGGTGCATGTGGGCAGGCTAGCCCGCCCGCACAGCCACCAGCCCAGCCAACGGCACACTGGGAGCCGGCACGCGGCCACCGCCCGCGCCCCACCCCAACGAATGCACTCACTGCATGAGTCGGGCTATGGGATTGGGACTCTAGTTGTTTGCATTTATTATACAATCCCCCCCCCCAGTTCGTCAGTTTCCTTATTTTTACACCCCCACCCCCCCCCCACACACACACACACACATGCGGCCAGGCTTCTTAACACACATGGATTCAGCGTTCTCTCCCTCCCACCCCGCACCCCTCAACCCACACCCGCACCCGCACCCGCACCCGCACGGCTTACCCGAGGGCACTATAATGATCGGCACCCCGCCCCCGCCGCCCGACCCCTTCTTAGCCTCCGCTCCGCCCTTGCCCCCCTTGTCGCCTCCGGCACGCGCCGCTCCCGCCCCCGCCGCTCCTCCGCCGCCCTTGGTGCCGCCGCTGTTCGCATGCGGCTTGGCGGCCCTGCCACCCGAGCCGGAAGCAGGCTGCCCATTGCTGCCGGCAGCACCAGCACCAGCAGCACCGGCAGCAGCAGCAGCGGAGGAGCCGCTCTTGCGAATGGGCACGTAGCCTGCGGCCCCGCTGGCGGGGGGTGGGGGCTGCGAGGAGGCGGGGGGCTTGGCGGAGGAGCTGCCGTACATGTTGACCGCGAGGTTGCCGCCGGCGCCTGGGGGTGAGGGGGCCGGGGGGGGGATGTGTGTTAAGAAAACTGGCTGCGAACAGGAACGTGCTGTGATTGCCGGAAGATGAAGTCCCCACAGATGGGGGGATGTGTGTGTGTGGACTTGGTTGGTTGGGTGGTGGGATCTGGGAGGGCTGGGGTTGCTGGGCCCCCTTGCTGCTGCCCGCGCCAGGAAGGGAGGACGGGCCCTCTTCACAATCCCAGTGAGGCCTTCTCACGCTAATGTGGGTGCGACCTCCTCCTCCACGAGTAGCCCCGACACCCCTCCCTCCACCCCCACCCGGGTCGCCATGCACCCCCGGCCTCACCTGGCGCCATGGCTTTGAGCTGGTCCGCGGTGCTGTCCCGGCCGTAGCGGCTGGAGCCCTGGGGCTCCTGTGGCGAGGAGGGCAGGGGGGGGGGAGGGGAGCAGGCGGGGAGGGAAGGGAGGGAGGGAAGGGTTGGCACAGGGGTGTCGGGTTGGCCGAAGTGGTGTTCTGCCCTGCTAACAGCTCTGCTGCCCCCTCCCCCTTTCCCCTCCCTTCCTGCCCCCGCCGCGCACAGCGAGCCCGCCATGCAGCACCCTCACCCGGTGTGCCTGCTTGCCACCCGCGGCGGCGGCGGAGGGGGGCTGCTGCTTCCCCGCGGCTGCCCCCGCTGCTGCTGTCCCCCCAGTGGGCTGCTTTGCCGCCAGCTTCTTGACGTTGCTGACCGCCTCCAGCACGGAGCGGAAGTCCTTGTTGGGGGCGAGCTGGGCGGGGAGGGGGTTGCGGGTGGGCGGGGGAGGGGGGTGGGCTAGCTTGGGTCGGATAGGCCGGTTTAGCAGGTTGGTTTGCCCCTGTTCAGGTTGGTCGTTGCTTCGTCACTGCCCTCCCTCCCTCCCACCCGCCCCACTCCCCCGCGCATTCCACCCCACGTGCTTCCCTACACCTCACCCACAACGCCAACACCGTCCGGCCTACCTCCGATCACGGTCCGTGTTCCACAACGGGGCTCAGGTGCGTTGCCCCCCTCCCATTCCCTCATCAGTTTCATCATTTTTATCCCCCCCAGTCCCCCTGCCCCCCCCAGTCCCTGCCCCCCCCACCAGCATGGTGTTGCGGTTGCGCAGCTGCCGCTCCTGAGCCATCAGGCCCCGCATGGCGCTGGCCTCGTCTGGGGGGAGAAGAGGGAGAAGAGGGAGGGAGGGGGGGCAGAGGAGGAGGGAGGGGAGGCGAGGGAGGGGGGGGCAGAGGAGGAGGGGAGGAGAGGGATGGCACGTGGGGGTGCACGGGAGGACAGGGCAAGGAGGGTAGGGAAAGGGGGTAGGAAGAGGTGGAGGAGGCTACAGTAGCTTCTCACCCCAGCCGGCAAACGCAGCTCCTGGCGCCGCCACCACCCTACTCCAGCTCCACCCGCAGCGCCTCCACCCCGCTCGTTCCCCCTCCGGACCCCCTTCCCCCTGTTAGTTGTTTCCTCTTTACCCTTCCCACTGCAAGCCGCTGCTGCCTCCTGACCCGCGACTCCTCACCTCCCGGCCGGCCTCCGCCAGGAACCCGCTGCCCCCGCCTTCCTCCCGCCCTGCTTCCGCCCCCTCCCTGCCCCTGCCCGCGCTACTTCATCTCCCACGCCCTCCTCCGGCACTCCCGCCCGCAAACCCCTAAGCCCCCAGTCCATGTCTCCGCACGCCTCCTAGACTCCCCCAGTCCCTACCCCCCGCCCGCCCGCCCGCGCCCCGCACCCCCTAGGGCCCCCCCCCCCCACCCGACACCCACCTTCCACCAGTCGCTGCCGCTTCGCCTGCGGCTCCGCCTCCCTGCCCCCCTCTGCCAGCGCCCTGCCGCCCGCCGCCCCGCCTGCCGCCGCCCCCACCCCGGGCGGCAGGGCGCCCAGCGGGGGCAGCAGCGAGGGGTCCACGGCAGCTACACCATCCAACACGTCCAGCACTTTCTGTGGGGCAGGTGGGATGGGGGGGGGGATATAGATAAGGGGGGCGGGTTAGGGAGGAACCAAACCAAACAATTGAAAGCACAAGTTGGGGCAAGGCTGTGGGGATAGGAGGCGGCGAGGGGGTGGTGTGGGGGCGAGAAGGGAGGTTAGGGGGGGATGAATGAGGGGTGTGGCGGGGAAGGCTGGTCAGGCGGGATCGTTAAGTTGCAGTGGAGGCATGCATGAGGTCTATAGACCTTGTGCGTTGGCCTTTACATTCCACATGCCGAGCAGCTAGGGGGGCCACTGCTGTGATGGCATGGCACCCGGGGCGTGTGGTGATTGCGGGGATGTTGGCTGAGCTCGGGCGGTAGTCCCCCCTGGTACCGGTATGCTAGCACCCACCCCAGGGCTTTGGGGGTTTGTTCCATTCCCTGCTTTGCGGTCTCTAATGGTGCCAGAGCTTCTACAGCACCCCCGTCCCCAGCCTTGTGGCAGAGAGCTGTCCGAAATGATGGGATGGCGTGTGCACTAACCTTGCGGTCGACGATGTTGATGTTGGCCACGCCCGCTTGGCTTGCTGCCATCACATACTCCTGTGGCTTAAGATGCCTGTTCTTGAGATAGAACAATACATCTTGCAGAGTATAGTAGGCTGCCGCTGCTTGCATGCCGGCAGCCTTGTAGACCGGCGTGGCAGCAGGAAAGCTATAACGATCCCCGAATTGCACATTTCCTCCAACTTGCTGCACCAGGTTCAGGCGGTTTAAGGTATTGAAATCGCGAAGGACGCTAAGAGGATCCATGGCTCCCCGACGGGGCCCTAGGGCCCCCCTTTCAACTTAAGCTCGCTGCAAGAAGGGACACGTCTAACTAGTGTCAAACCATAAATAAATTGAATAAGGAAATAACACGGGGCACAGTCCGGTCGTAGTCGTCTTGCAAGTTCTGGTCTAGCAAAGGGCTTCCAATGTAAGTATAAAGCATGCAAACACTGTAAAGCGTAAAAAGGAACTTTCCGTTATTGTAACTAGGTGCAGCAGCTCAATTGCTAGCAGCAGTGCAAGTGCAGTTGATGAATATATGTCTATGGTGCCTGCACTGCAAGAGTGTGCCCAAACAAACAGTTCCTAAATAGCCTTACTGGCATACACATTTTGTAAATGGCGAACCAGGGGACGATCTGCCAACACGACCCCAGGGTTGCGTGCAACTGCGCGCTTGTAACATCTGGCACAGAGCAATCTCTGGATGAATTAGAGTTCGCCCGGAGTGCATGTGCTGCAGCGCAAGATGGCGATGTCACAAAGCTCCGCAAGCTTTTGCAGCGGGATGCCATGGCCGTGCGAGGCGGAGGAGGTAAGCCCATCAAGGTAGGGTGCAATATGTACATGCCCTATGAAGATAATGTAAAAGCTCGCGCTTGTCCGTTAGCGATTAACCGATCACTATTAACCATATCCGTACGGCTGCTCCTTGGCCAGCTGGCAGCTGCTTAGCTCGCTGCTTCGTCCATGGAGCCGCCCTCGCTAGACGGGGGTGCCTGTTTGCGGGCAACGCCTTACAACAATTTTTTTACCTCCTCCCCTCAGCCTTGTCACACGCGTTTTGTTAGTCCTCATTATCCCCCTCTCCCACCCTCGCCCCAGCTAACGGCGGCTACACCCCGCTGCACTACGCGGCCCGAGGGGGGCACCTGGCGGCAGTGGAGCTGCTGCTCAGCTGCGGTGAGAGGGCGGCAGGGGAGGGGGGGTAGGGGGAAGAGGTCAGGGGGAAGCGGTGGGGGCTTGGGGGAATTGCGGTAAACTGAGCGGCGAGGGGGGGAAATTATATAAGAAATGCAAACAACTAGGGCGAGGGGGGGGGTAAGGGGGAGGCAGTGTGGGGGCAGCTATGAGGGCGGTACAGGAAAGAGCTGATGGGAGGGGCTGTAGAGGCTATACCGGTAGCAGCCCGCTGCACGGTGAGCGCAGGGCAAGACCCGACCTGCCCAGCGGCCCACCGAACAGGAGGGTGCCAGGAGGTACGGAAGGGAGGCGAGCAGCTGGTGACCCCGGCGGCCAGTGCCAGGTACCGGTATACCGGCGGTGCCTCCCCTCCCTTTCCCTTGGGGCTGAAGGGAGGGTAGGCACCGCCGGTTCACGACACCGGCACTTCCTTCTTGCCACCCTCCCGCCGGCCTCTCCTCCCTCCCCTCCCCACCCACCCATTGGATTGGGACTTCGTTGATGCATTTCTCTATATTTTTTAACCTCCCCCCCGCAGGTGCCGACCCCAACGCCCGCACCCGGGGAATGGCCGCCACTCCGCTGCACCGCGCAGCCGCACAGGGACACACGGCGGTGCTGGCCAGGCTGTGAGTGGCGGGGGGGAGGGGCAGGGGGGTAGCGGAGGAGGGGCAGGGAGGGGGGGGGGTAGCGAGAACAAACTGAATGTACTGGGGGCAGCAGGGGCGGGGAGGAAGAGGGCGGCTCCGTTCCGAAGACAACAACAATCAGCTCCGCCGGGTTCCCCACGCCCCACCCAAGCACCCCCTCAGACACTGCCCCACTGCTGCCCTCCCTGCACCCGCAACCCTCCTTGCACCCTGCACATCACCCGCACTGCCGCGACTGCACGCACATGCAACCCCCCCCACACACACACGCAGCCTGGCGGCGGGTGCGGATGCGAGCCTGTCGGACTGCGACTGCGAGACGCCTCTGCACAAGGCTGCGGCGCAGGTGGGTTGGAGGGTTGGTGGTTAGCGGTTGGGTAACGGTTTACCTTGCATAAAGCGCCGTAATAGTTGCGCCCTTACGCGGGCTGCTGACCCCTGGGTCACCATCTCTATACTTCCAGTTGTGCAGCTGCTGCCCTCACCATGCTGCTGCTCTGGGCCGCTTGCACCGCCCCTCACGCGGAGTCATCGGCGCACCTGACTGACCGCTGGGTCTCTTGCCGCCCTCCTCCTTCCACCTATGTTGCCCCCCCGCTGCCCCCCCTGCTGCTGCCCCCCCCCGCTGCCCCAGGGCCACTCGGAGGCTGCTGCGCTGCTGCTGTCGCACTGTCCCCGGGCGGCGGAGGCGGCGGACAAGAGCGGCCGCACGCCCGGGCAGCGGGCCACGGGTGGGTGTTGGGGTGGGGTGTTGGGGTGGGGTGTTGGGGTGGGGTGTTGGGGTGGGGTGTTGGGGTGGGTGTTGGGGTGGGGTGTTGGGGTGGGGTGTTGGGGTGGGGTGTTGGGGTGGGGTGTTGGGGTGGGGTGTTGGGGTGGGGTGTTGGGGTGGGGTGTTGGGGTGGGGTGTTGGGGTGGGGTGTTGGGGTGGGGTGTTGGGGTGGGGCACCGGGTTGAGGCGCAGCTGGTTAGGCAGGCGGCGCCTCAGTGCCGCTGATGAGCGGTAGCAGCGCTGTGTTGCGGGAAGGGCCCACACCTACTCGCGGCCAGTTATTTTAACACACATCTGCTCCACCTTGCTCACTCCCCGCGCAGGCGCTGCGGTAGCCGTCTTCGCGGCACGGGGGCTGCGAGGGCCGTCCTGACCGCACCGCTGCTGCACTCCCCCCCTCGCGGCTCAGTTCATCTAATCCCCCCCTGCTGCTGCTGCTGCTGCGGGGACCGGAGACAGCGCTAGCAGCCACACACACACGCGCGCGCATGGCACCCAGCCTGCTGCCCGGGGCTCTGCTGCATTGCCCCCACATGGCCGCGACGGGCCCATCACTCGCTGCCCCCTCGCGCTCTTGCCGCAAGCAGCTTCGTGTGCAGTCTCCGCCAGATCACGCCCGCCCGCCTGCGTGGGTGGGTGGGTCGGTGGGTGGGTCGCTCCGGCGGGTGCGCGGCTCGGTGCCCGTGACGCGGCGCCCCACGCAGCCAGGACTGGCCTCCCACTCCAGCCGGGAGGGGTCCAGGAGGGGTGTGTGGGCTGCGTTGTGAGGGAACACAGCAGGGGTCGGAAAGGGACCTTTAGCCAGCAGCAGGAGGGGAGGGGGCGCATGGGGTGTGGAGCGCAGCTGTGCGCCTAGCTCAGCACCAGACCAGCGGCGGAGGACGGCTTGACCGGTGGATTAGGTAAACTGACCGGGGGAGGCAGCGTTACATGCATGTGTTGCAAGGGATGGGGGGGTCCCCAGGGGCGGGGTAGCGTGTGCTGCTCTGCTGGTCGTTTGTGGTGGTGGTGATGACGGTGGTGGGATCGACGATGATGATGGATGGTCGCACACGGGTTGCAATGTGATGAGGCCATTGCGCCTGCTGCCAAGCCTGGTGACCCATGGGTCTCCATCCCCTGAGTGAGAGCGGTGCAGTGATAAATTGAGAGCGCCCGGACTGTTGAATGTGTGGTGTGCATCATTTGTTTCGTAATGACTCTAGTGAGCGTCGGCCGGATGCAAACGTATGCGGGTGTACGGTGAAGGTTGCGACCCGGGGTCCCGCCGCCCCTGAGGCTACCGCACTTACCGGTACCCAGCAATGGATGAACGAGTGGGGCGCAAGGTTGCAAGTCACGGCGGATCCTGACGTGGAAGCGGGCGGGCGGGGGGCTTCACTTCGTTGATACACACCCGGTGTTGTAAGACTGCTACTGTGCAGAATCCGGCTGATGATGCGGCCGCCAGACGCAGGCGGCGGGGCTGGCAGCCAAGATGAGGTGTCATGACGCCACTTCAGTGAGGCCAGCCACGTACGACAGGCCACCCGGGAGGGCCCACCCACCCCAGGAGCTGCACTTTGCACGTCCAAACACGAGTCGTGTGTGCCTCGAAACACAACACCAAGGGAGAACCAAAACTGCTCTCAATCGCAATATCGTGCCAGTCATGTTCGCCGCTTGACCTAAGTAACAAGCCGTGGGTAATACTACTCTGCTTGATGCAACAGCGACATGCAACCAAGGTGAACAAACAGGAGTCGCTTGCCGTACGCCGTACGGACACAACTCCAAGTGCGCCCGCCCTCCGTTACGTCCTTAGGAGCACACGCGTGTGAAGGTAACTGGCTGCAGTGAGGGGCGAGCTGTGAACTCCGGCAGCATGCATGCGCGTGTGTCATTATCAGTGCACGGATCAGGGACCTGGCAGGGTTGGCAACCCCCCCCCCAGGGTTAGCACCCCCGCAGACAACCTACTACTTCCCCCTCCTCTCCTCCTCCTCCACCCCCTCGTTTCCTTCCATTCTCCCTCCTCCTCCTCCCTCCTCCCTCATCACTTCCCCGCCAGCCTCATCCTCTCCACCACCTCCGCCGGCAGCCCCCTCAGTGCAGCCGGCAGCTCCCGCCGCGCCGCCGCCTGCCGCTGCGCCGCCTGCTGCTGCTGCTGCCGCTGCCTCGTCTGCCCACTCGCGCTGGCCGCCTCCTGCGCGCCCGCGTCCGTCACCAGACGCAGGTCCGCCGGGGAGAGCGCCCTGAGGGTGGGGGCGGGAAAGACCAAAGCAGAGGAAACCGCGAATTAGGGCAAAACAATGGGGGAAGGAGGCGGCCCTGGGGGGAAGAGAGGTGGGGCGGTGCAAGAGCAGGCGGTGGCGGTGGTGCTAATGGGGGAGGGTGTTACATCATCGGGGAGTGGAGGAGGAGGGTGTGGGGTGGGCTTGATGAGGCAGGGAAGAGGAGGAAGGGGAGGCGTTAGGCAGGCAGGCAGGGGCTGAGGAGCCGCACCTTGTCCTGCTGCTGCCTTCCTCTCATCCGCCGCCACTCCCCACCCACCACCCCTGTGTGCCACCACCCCACCGGTACTCCTACATGCCCCGCTCCTACCCACCACTACATGCATGCAGGCTCTCGCCTCCCCAGGGCCCCTCCCCTCCCCTCCCCCTCCCCCTCCCCTCCCCCTCCAACCCCCCCTCCCCACCTGTACCCCCCCACCCCCAGGTCCTGCGGCAGGCGGTATCCCCCGATGCGCACCCGCCGCAGCGACAGCAGCTGCAGACCCGCGGCTGACACCAGCTCGCGAACCTGGGAGGGGGAGGGCGGGAGGGGAGGAGGGAGGGGAAGGAGGAGCAGCACACCGGGGTCGCGGTGGGGCAGGGGGAATTAATAGGGATACATATTCCGCATTTGGCTGCATTATAGGTTTGCGTATAGTCATACTTGGTATACGCTGTGGCAGGGGGGAATGTTTCCGGTGAGGGGTTGTTGTGGAGGCGGGGTGCACGAGGGGAAACGGGGCTAGGAAGAGTGGGCGCAAGGGAGGGAGACCACCGTTGCGCCTTCCCCCCTATTTCCCTCTTCTTTTCCTCCCTGCCCCCTCCCCCCCTGCCCTCCTGCCCCCCTGCCCCCACCTCGTGTTTCTTGCCCTCCTGCCCCCCCACCCCACCTCGTGTTTCTTGCCCTCCTGCACCACGACCCGCACCCGGCGCGGGTCGCCCAGAACCTCAACCTCCAGGGGGCTGATGAAGGTGCCCGCCACCTGGGGGAGGGAGGGGGCAAATAAAAATACCCATTGTGTTGAATGATAATGGCAAACGTTACGACAGGGCAGGGAGGGAGGGAAGGAGGGGAATGAAGTCAAGGGAGGGGAGGGGGGCAGGGTGTGTGGGTAGAGACGTGGACCTGGGGGAGCTAGCTGGGTGGGTGGGTGGGTGGGGCTGCGGCACGCGGGGGAGTCCAGTCCAGTCCAGTCCATGTCTGCTGGGGCCTGCCGGGCTGAGCCCAGTTGCCCATGCGCCCGGCAGCAGCTGCCGTGCAGAGCACACACGCCTGCCAGTGAGGAGCGCGGAAAGGGCGAGACGGACCTGCACCGGTTGTAACCCTCCCTCCCGCCCTGCTCCCTCCCACGCCACTCCCAACCCCCACCCAATCATTCAACGCATGGTGTTCTTCTCTTACCCCCACCCCCCACCCCCACCCCCCCGCGCCCCCACCTCGGTGCCCGCCGCCAGTGCCCGCAGCTGCGGCCGCGACGCCGGCTGCCCCAGCCCCACCACATACTCCTTGGTGACGCCCGAGGAGGGGTGGATCACGCGCTGGGCCCACTGGCCTGGGGGGGGAGGGGAGGGGGGGCAGACGGGAGGGGGGCGAAGATAGGCCAAATGCGGGGGAAGGGAGGCGGGTAATGCAATGAGCAGGGGAGAGTGGTGTTGCCTTGCGCCGCGAAACACATACGCACACACAATTAGTTTCCTCAACACACGGCCGGTGGTGTGAGCCTAATCAGCGAACGAGCGGTGGTGTTGTGGTGTGGCAGGTTAGGGGGATTCCAAGAGGTGCTGGGTTGACGCAGGGGGGGGTTGAGGAGTAGCCCCGGGGGGCCCGGGGATGTAGCTGGCGACGAACGAGGCAAACCCCACCCGCCGTACCCACGCCCTGTCGTACGACGTACCGTCATTGGTAATGAAGATGAGGCCGCTAGAAGCCACGTCCAGCCGACCCACGGTGAAGAGCCGCGGAGGCAGCTGGCTCTGCGGGGGTGGGGGGGGGATTATTTAAGTGAAACAACGAGTCCCAATCCCACATCCCGACTCATGCAGTGAGCCGGCAAGGGCGGCGGGGGGACATCAGGGGGGCAGCGGAGGGCAGCAAGGGGTACCAAGTAGTGACACCAGCAGCAGCATATGCCAGCAGCACCACCAACAGAAGCAGCAACGTGATGCTTTCGCACGCGGGGCAGCGACGCATAACAACAGCAACAGCAGCACCTTCCTTCCTCCCCTCCCTTCCTTCCCCTCCCCCCCCTCCCTTCCCTCCCCCCCCTCCCCCCCCCCCTCCCGGCTACCATGTTAGCACCCCATGGTGAAGCCTTGTCATACAGCTCGTCAGTTGCTTCGTCAGTGTCTCATTAGTTTTTATCGACCCCTCTCCAGTTGCTGCACTCCTCCTTTAGTATTTCCTCCCCTCCCCTCCCTCCCTCCCTCCCCCCCCCACCGTGTTCTTGTGCTCCCGCCGCCACTGCGCCAGCCAGGGCTGCAGCAGCTCGATGGCCAGCTTGCCACGACCGCCCACATCGGCACTGGAGCAGATGTAGCCCTGGGGGGGGAGGGGAGGGGAGGGGAGGGGGAGAAGAGCGACCATAGGAAACCACGAGTTAGGGCAAAGCAATGGGGGAATGAGTCGGCAGCCCTGCAGGGCTCCGCTCTCCCTTCCTCCGCACCCCGTCCTTTCCACCGACCTAACTTCCACCCCTCCCTGCCCCTCCTCGGATATTCTCCCTTCCATGTCAAAACCCACCACCCACCCCACCCCACCCCGCCACCAGCTACACCACTCGCCTTGGGCTTGTTCACAGCGAAGTAGCACAGGCTGTCCGGCTCTTGGTAGCGCCGAATCGACACGCCCTTCCACACCTCCTCCTCCTTTCCCTCCTCCTCCTTTGCAGCAGCAGCAGCGGCCCCAGCCCCCGCAGCAGCCCCCACCCCCGTCTGCCGCTTGCCGCCACTGCCGGCCCGCTGCCCCTGCTGCTTCGCGTCACGTGCGGCAGCAGCGCCCTTCGCCCGGCCCCCCGCTGCAGCCTCCTGACCGCTGCCCTGCCGTGGCTGCGACGGTTGCCGTACTTCCACTCGGTCGCGAAGTGGATCCACTGTCGTACCCTGCTCCGTAATCAACTGGCCGTTCACGCGCACGCGGCCTTCCGCGATGAGCGCTTCGCAGGCTCGGCGGGAGGCAACGCCGCAGCCTGCCAGAACCTGGTTTGAAAGGAAAGGGGTTGCGACATGGGTGTGGGGTGGTATTTAAAATTGGGATTGGGAGCAGGGAGGGGTGAGAGGGCATGTCGTGTAGAAATTACATTGGGGGGGGGGGCTGGGATAGGCAGCAGCCGGGTGGCATTTGGGGCATGTTACCTTGGCCAACCGGGCGATGGGCTTCTCGGGTTGCTCTGCAACTGACGGGCTGGCATTCTGTTTCCCCCGGCCACCGGTGGCAGTCGTTACAACGGCGCTGCGGCACCTTTCACTTGGCGAAGACTCCACGAGGATGGGCGTGCTGGTGTTCGGCTGCGCTGGAGGGCGAACTGTTGTGAAAAAGACCGTGGAGCTTCGCCTGTAACTCGAGGTGTACGGTCTGACGGAATCTATGCATCCCGTCTTCAAATTCAACGACGCTCTCCACATTGGTTCCGGCTCGACGAGAAAAACGGGGGCCACAAACTAAATGGGCAAGCGAATTCGCAGTTTACGTCTCAATTACACCTTAAGCATTAACGAGTGAATATTGATAGTATGCAGTGCCAAGTAGAGCTGCTTAATGCAGAGTCGGTATTAAGCAAAAGTCACAGAAATATCAATCGGCCTGTACGCAGACTATAAAAAATGGCACTTTGCGCTTGTGTAATATGTGTATCGATAGTGTAGCAGACAATGATGCAGACGTAGGGGCGTACGGTAAATGCCATAGTTTTGAGGCCGTCGTTCGGCTGCACCCCAGTCCGCAATCAACAAGCTTGCGTCAAAATCATAAGTAAACATGTTCTCTGGCGTCCCAAGTCACCTTTGAGCTTGCGTTCCGGGCCGTTCGCTACTGCCACCATGCATGCATGCGTCGTCCTCGCGCCAGATGCCAGCCACTGGGGTTCTCCATTCTCTCTCCCGCATGTCAACAACTATGTTAGCACAACACAGAACGTCGTTGCACGGCGAAAATGCAACGGCCAAGACGTTCGATGACATAACAACACATTAACAGCACACGCCGTGTCAACGGGCTAATACGAACAGCAATTATACAAACCCCGATGCAAACACAATTTATCAGGGCAAAGGCCACGAGAAACGGCCAGAACGACATAGTTCACAGGCAGGGTAGAGTTGATAGGCCCCCGCAGCAACATCCTGTTGTGCGTGAATAGACAATGAGTGCTTACCCATCCTATTACTGCAAGCACTGTGCCCTGGTAACTAAGCCATAAGGACTTAACTAAGCCATACGGACTACAGTATTCATCGCCAAGCACAACACCCTCATGTCGCCGCTTACAAGCCTGCGCGCGCTCGGACGCTACGAAGCCGACTCCGCTTCCGACTCGGTCATGTGCGGTTCCAATAACCGCAGCAGGTCTTGCAGCCGGGAAGGGTCCTCGAGAGACAGGTGGCCGATCTGTGGATGAGAGCACAGGGCACGGTTGCATGGCCGTCAGCAAGGGACAGCAAAGACTGAACCAAGCCGCATGGACACTCATTGCAAGCACCGGCAACCCGGAGGGGGACCGGCATGCAGGGCGCCTGGATGGATCTGCATGCAGAAACGCCGAAGCATCCTGAGGGATGGAGTAGTAGTACTTGCAAACAGGCGCAAATGTAAACTTGAACAACACCGCCCGTGGAGCCGTACCCCAAGTGTGCATGACCAGAGCGCAGGAAGATCCTACCCACGTGCGCACCTGACGTGGACCCATGGGTCAATGCACGCAACATACACAACTATCGCATCTAGAACTAGAACTCAATTCCCTCTGTGATTAATTCCAGTGGAAAGCAAGCCCACTCCAATCCCCTCCAATCCCCCTTTCCCTTCCCCTTTGAAACCCCCACGGTAAGCAACCAGCAGCCATCTTAGGTAGCGAGAGTGTTACGTTTCAGGCTTGGATCCCTACCCGGCCCCTACCAGGGCTTCAAACGCAGTAGCCTTGCGGTAGGTGTCCCGTTGCCCTCCGGCGGCGGAGTAACGGGGCCGAAACGAGAGCCCTGTCGTACTGCGGTGCGCCCAATCCACCAGGCGGGTTTCGGCGCTGCTCAGCTTCCAACCATTTGCAAGCAAGGCGTCCAAGTAAGACGCCTGCAGCATGACGGGTTGGGACCATGCAAGGCATGCAGGACATGAGTGGAAGGAAAAGTTGGGAGCAAGGATGCAGCAGGAGGCATCTGTAAGAAGAGGCTCCTTAAGTATCGTCCCAGTTAGAATCCTTGCTAACCTGCCGCGCTGCGCTAACGTGTCGCTCGGCAGCTTCTCTATATGAGGCAAACCTCCTACGATGACCAAGTTGCACACAGCGTACATGGAGCTGTCGGGCGACATCCAAGTGAGGCTTCAGTTAGACTTGGCAATGTTTCAGACTGAGCCCGATTAGGTTTTTCTCACCGACCAAATAGCATCGCCTAGGTATGCGAGCTGCTGCGGTGTCTGTGCACGTGAGAACGTGTTCACGTTCATTGCAAGCTTGCCCAGCTAGCCGATCGCCAGTGCTTTTCGGACGACCAGGCAATTGAAAGCCGTGCCAATTGACTAGAAGTCGTTTTGAACACAGCTGCCCAAGTTTCTTCAGGTACGGAGTGCTGGTACGGCACAATTGGCCTGTTATTGGGATATGGGGGGCCCGTTCACGTTCTCTTAGGTGTTAGCACCTCCTACAGGCAGTTCGTTCTTGTAGGGAATTTTCTGGGAAGCGTTACTCCTTACCTCTACCACGAGTGCGCAATCCAAGCCGCGAATACTGCTTTGCGACGACCTTTAACAACATAACAGGCACGTGGGGTTGTCTTTAGTAGTTTAGCGACTTTGGTGGTGTTGCTGAGCAACACTCTGGGGAGATCTTATTCATAAGAGCCTAAGCTGGACGTCGCTTCTGCCCTGGACTGCAGGCTTGAGGGAGGAATTCCTACTGTGCTTCACTGCGAGTAACGAGTAGTAGCGCTGCTGCAGCGTCACTAGCCAACTCGGCGGCGGCAGGCCCCTTTTACAGCACAGATGCCTAAGAACAAGGGCAAGGGCGGTAAGAACCGCAAAAGGGGAAAGAACGAGAACGAGGAGGAGAAGCGCGAGCTGGTCTACAAGGAGGATGGGCAGGAGTACGCCCAAGTGGTCCGCATGCTCGGGAACGGTCGTCTTGAGGCTCAGTGCATAGATGGCAAAAAACGTCTATGCAACATTCGCGGCAAGATGCGGAAGAAGGTCTGGGTTGCCCAAGGTGATGTGGTACTGGTCGGCCTTCGCGACTACCAGGACGATAAGGCGGACGTCATCATGAAGTACACGGCTGATGAGGCGCGTGTGCTAAAGCAGGTACGCACACACCCTGCTGGATCAACCGGAGGTTTTGCTGGCTCGCATCGAGTGTTGCACATGGCGTGTATGAGGTATTAGCCGCGGGTAAAAGGGGCTTTGGAGCATTGTTTCATGCAGGGGAAGAGGGGGGAACGAAATCATTGCTTACCGCCGTTGCTCCCTCGCGCGGTGCTTGGCGTTAACCCCTCACCGATGTTGCACGTAGCGTTCGCACACACGTGCATTTCTCTTGGCTTTCACTTCACACCCGTCATCCCGCATCCGCGTAAGCGCTCAGCCGCGTTCTGTACGTCTAACATCGCACCCTGTTTCACACCCGCGTTTGTGAACACCTAGTGCCAATATAATGGTGTTCCTCCCGCCGTACATCTTGGCCCCACACATCTCTGCTTCCCTCCTTTCCCCTCCCCCCCCCGTCTTTCTGCGTGTGTTGTACGGCAGTACGGCGAGCTCCCCGAGCACATCCGCATCAACGACACGGACGTCATGTTTGAGGGCGAGGACAAGGAGAACCAGGAGTACTTCGATTTCGACGACATTACAGGTGGGTATCGCAATGGGGAGGGCTTGGTGCTGATCACGTTACGTATGCGCCGGGAATGTGTGGGGTGATCGGAGTGAGGTGGTTTGACGCAGTGAGCTCCAAACACACACGCGCTTTCTGTGCGTGATCCTGGTCAACAACCCGTTCCTGCGCCGTCTGGGCTTCATTTCCTTTCTTGAGTGTATGCTAGGACGGGTAACGCTGGCCTGGTGTTGAAGCGCCCGGGTGCATGCAAATTGGAACTTGCGTGCGTGCCAACGACAAACAGCTTCACATTGCACTGCTGCTGCACCCTGCCAGATGTGCTTGTCTAGCCTTCCCTCAGGCCTGTCTATCTGTAAGAGTCCTTGTTAGCACGGGTTGCACAATCCTCAACGCCTCCTCACGCTGCTGACGACCCGCTGTGCGGTTCCCTCCTCCCCGCTGCTCGCTCCCTGCAGACATTTAGAATTGCGGCACCGTCACTGCGCTTTGAAGTTTGTTGGCATCGCATATCCTTGGCTACGGTCGCGGCGAGGTCTGGGGGCTGCTGCAATCCTAACAAGTCCTAGAGGGCCGCCGAGGGGCGCTCCTTCGCTGGGCTCCACACGTTCAAGGGTGCCCGCGCGTCCTCTCCTCGAGAGTGCGATTGTGATGCCCTTCCCGCTGCTAACAGCCATCGAGGGAGAGTGCTTTGGACAGGCTGTGAGGGTGAAAGACTGGAGGGGGGTCAGGAGCAGCGGCAAGACGCTGATGCTGATGACATTGGTGGATGACTATAAGACGTTGTTGTGTGCTACTACAAGTATTAAAGCTTGTGTTTCTATTGTAAGACGAGGGAAAACAATGCGTCCGTTTCCTTCTTGCATTGTATGATATGTACGTGCCTCACGCATGGGCTCTCATTCCTGTTCGGAGGGAGGGTTGTTGTACGGCTACAGAGGGACGCCAACTTCCCTCCCAACTGCACAGCTCTCGACCTCCTGACCCGGTGGCTGTCTGCAGCCCCTCCCCAGTCGACCGAGCGCATCAACCCGCTTTCAACACGTGCGAGCAGTACTCGTCGCGTGTAGCTACTCGCCCCCTTCCCCTTCTGCTGCCGCTGCGAAATGATTTACATATTGATGACCAAGCAAGGACGTGTCTCCTTCCCGCGACCAGTCCAATTGCAGTGTCTGGTGCAGTCGGCACGACAAGACACGTGCTTCCATGTTGAAACTCCTCATCACTCCTCTCATTGCTACCAGGAGTCATGTCCTGCTGCTGCTGAGGAATATAGAAAGGAACCGCACTGCAAAACTTGTGCTGTACGATCAAACAACAGCAGTACGACAGCACTGCACACCGCTGCACTCTTTCAGCAAGACTGACGCCCCTCACCGCACCTCACCTCACCGTTCAGACTCGCCTGTAAAAATCGCATACTCACCGCACGCGCACTCTCTCCTCATCTGGTCTCTTCTTGTAACACACAACCATCCCTACGCCTGTTTCGGTTTCGAGGAATTCTACTGCGCCGGTCTCACCTTCGGCATTTGTCACCATCTGAGCAATCATTCGGACTTGTACGATGTACAACATAATAATTATCATCGCTTCCGTGCACTACACATGCGATCAGGGAGCCTGCGCTGCGGTACATGAGATATCCGCTTGGAGGGGAAAGGCTGCTAGTCGGCGCATTCGCAACAAGACAGCCGTCTACTCATGAAGCTCCTAATCATTACATTCCTACCCTACCTACACACATCCACGCCAGCACACGCCCACTCGACCTACCTGCAGTCAACACCACAAGGCAACCCAACATCGGCACGCACAGCCAACTAACAACATCAAAATGCCGCGCCAGTGCCCTTCCTCCCCAGCATACATACAATCTCAGCCGCCATGCACCCATGCGTGTCTGCGCCCCGCAGCAGCTGCTCCACCCCAGCCAGCCAGCCCGACAGCACCCAGTCCAACCGGGACAAGGGGGATGAGGTTCCGGGGCAGGCACCCCCAGTAACACTCACTCACAAACCAGCTGAGCCCGACCTCCTCACACCCTTCCAGGTCCCTGGATGCACGTGTCACCAGCACCACAGCCACCATGCTACCACCCCCATCCCCTCACCCCCTCACCCCTTACTCAGGTGTGCCGCCCCTACCCCCTCCCCCCCGACCCCGCCCTATCCTTCCTCACGGCAAGCTCCGCACACCTATCGCGGCGGCATCCCTCGCCTCCTCCCACCACCACCACCACCACCACCACCACTACCACACCCCTGTCTTCACCCGCCCAACAGGGATCTGGAATTGCAGTGCCTCACCACTGTTCCTTCACCCACCCCCACCCCCCTGTATAATTTTTACCTCCCTCGCCTCTTCCTCCCTCCCTCACTGCAATGTGGCCACATCCACCGCTGTGGTCGCCCTCGCCTCCTCCAGCCGCCTGCTCTTGGTTAGCAGCTGGTAGCACTCCAGCACGTCGCCCTCCGCCCACTCCCAGAAGCCGTCGCAGCCCAACCCGCACTCCAGCCCGCTGCCCACCTCATCCACCGCGTCCTTCACGCGCCGCAGCGAGGAGAGCTTGCCGTCGTACACAACAGCCTGTCGTTGGGGGGGCGGGGTGGGGGCAGTAAAGAAGAGTGCCCATTGTGTTGATGTGTTGGGGGAGCGGGGGTCAAAGACCATACCAAACCATAGGAGACCACAAGTTAGGGCAAAGCAATGGGGGTAGGAGTTGGCAGGGCGCCACAAGACAAAGTGTTGGGGTAGCGGGGGGGGGGGGGCGGCAGCAGGCGGAGGGTGGTAAAGAGGAAGAAGTTTAATCCACCATGGGTTGCAACTTGCATCACATGAGTCCCATCTGACCCACGGGTCAGCATACACACCCGCGGCCCCCCCAGGCTCGTAAGCTTCTTTCTCCCTACACCCCCGCTGGCTGCCCCCAGCCCCCAACTGCCGTACCTTGCCCCGCCGTACGGTTACGTAGGCGCCCTTGCTGAGCTTGCCCTCCGTCACCGCCGCCCCCGCCACTCGCTTCTTGCCGCTACCAAACACCGCCTTCACCACCGCCGAGCCCTGCGGGTGCGCGTGCATGCGGGTGTACGGGTGTGGGAAGAGGGGTGAGCAGGTTGTCGTACAGGTGGTTGGAAATACACATACACACACATGTGTTCCTACTCGCGGCGAGTCTTCTTGGCACACATGTGCGAGGGTACACACGGCCCGGAGGCCCCCCCCCTCCCCCCCCACCACCGTCATCACCCACCACACCTCCAGTGTGCGTGCTTACCTCCACCCGCCTGCACCCCACATGGAAGGCAGTGCACGCACACGCTACCTTGCACCGCACGCGGAGCCCTCCCCCCCTGACCTAACTGCTTCAGCCTCTTCCTGCCTCAGCTCTCAATCCACCCGCTTAGCAGTACGCAGCGGCACAATACACGCGTTTCCCCCCACAGTGCTCCCCCTCCCCACCCTCCTCCCCCCCCCCCACCTGCGGCACCCGCTCCTCCACCAGCTTCAGCTTGCCCTCCATGGCCGCCTTCACGTCGTCCAGCAGCTCGTAGATGATGCGGTAGCTCTTGATGCTCACACCCAGCCGCTTGGCGTGCGCGGACACGGAGTCGTCGGGCTGCATGCAGGGGTGGGGGGAGGGTTGGGGGTTGGGGGGGGGGGCGGTTGAAAAAAAAAGGAAACTGCCGAGGAAACGAAGTTGGGGCGCATAAACAGCGGAAGGGTTTTGGAGGCCGACCATCGGTCGGCTCCTCAATCCTCAGAGGAGCCGACCGAGGACAGAGGATGTAAAACAAAATCCCAGCCCCCCTAACCCCTCCTTAGCCCCTCCTACCCCCCCAGTCCCCCTAGCCCCCAAACCCTCTCCCCACCTCCAGGTTAAACGCCAGCACCATGGCCCCGCTGGCTGCCGCCAGGTCCACATCACTGCCGCTGATCTCCCCCGCCGCCGCCAGCAGGAAGCGCAGAGCCACGGAGTGCTGGGGGAGGGCGGAGAGCGAGGACTTGAGCGCCTCAACCATACCCGAGGTGTCGGCCTGGGGGGGGGGGAGGGCGGAGGGAGGGAGGGAGGAGAGGCGGAGTGTGGGAGAGGAGGGGAGGATGCATATAACAAACACAGACACGTGCGCTGTCCCTCCACACGGACATTGGGCCCAAAGCTGCAGCGCCTCCTGCTTTGCCCTAACCTGTGGCTTCCTATCGTTCGATATGGTCTTTGACCCACCTTGACCACCAGGTTCAGCCTCTGCAGCGCCTCCTGCTCCTCGTCCACCGTGGCCAGGGAGGCCAGTGTCACCATGCTGCCCCCGCCCCGCAGCTCCATCATGCGCTGGTACTGCAGGGAGGGTGTACGGCAGGTTGGGGGGGGGAGGGAAGGGGCAGGGGAGTTAGGGTTTGGGTATGACACGCGTCCATACACGCATGCACGCGCCACCTGACTTCATCATGCGGAGTGCCTACAACCGTAACCGCTTTTCAAACCAACAACCGCAACCAAACCCTGACGAAGCAGCAGCAGCAGCAGCACAAGCACCACACCCTGCTCCTCACCTTGAGTCTGTCCTCGAACTCCGCCGCCGCCTCCCTCGCCTCCTGCTCACTGCCGTACACCTCGAACGCCTCGCCCGCCGCGGGAACCGAGTTGAGCCCCGTGAGCTGTACGGCGATGGAGGGGCCGGCGGCGGGGATTGCCTGACCCAGGTCGTTGGTCAACGAACGAACCCTGCCGTACGCCGCACCCGCACGCAGCACGTCGCCGGGTCGCAGCGTGCCAACCTGCGTGTGTGTGTATGGGTGCAGGGGGGTTGTGAGTTTTGGGTGCGGTGGGGATTGGAAGGGCACGCCTCACTGTCACAAAACACACACACACAACCCTTCCCCTCAACTACACACAACCCTTCCCCTCCCTCCTCTTCCCCCTCTCCGTTTTCTTCTTCTCTTCCACCTCCCTTCCCACCTCCCCTCCCCCCTCCCCCCTCCCCTTCCCCCTCCCTCTCCCTCCACACCTGCACCAGCAACGTGGCCACGGCCCCCCTCTTCCTGTCCAGGTTCGCCTCGATCACCGTCCCCGCCGCGGGGCGGTTGGGGTTGCTGAGCAGCTGCCGCTCCTCCGCCACCCACAGCAGCTGCGTCAGCAGGTCGGGCACCCCCGTGCCCTTCTTGGCGGACACGGGCAGCACGGGCGTGTTGCCGCCCCACTCCTCGGGAACCAGGTTGAGCTCCAACAGCTCCTGGGGGGGAAGAGGGGGGGGGGGGGGGAAGAAGGGGGAGAGAAGGGGGAGAGAAGGCAGGAGGGGGTAGGAATCTTAACCCTGTGAATAAGGGGGATGGCCCAAATTAGCCACGACGAAATACACCGAAAGAGGGGGCGAGGCCTCGCCGTAGGGTACACCAAACCCGCCCTCCACCCTCCCCCCACACACACATTGGAATTTCTTTCCCCCCCTCCACCTGCCACATGGTAAGGCCTCCCCCCTCACTCCCCCCCCACCTGCTTCACTCGCTCCACATCAGCCCCCGGCTTGTCGATCTTATTGATGGCCACCACGATTGGAACACCCGCGGCCTGGGATGGGGGAGGTGAGGGGAGGGGGGGGAGGTAAACGCGTTGGGACCGGAGACACATTGCCTCACACTGCAGGAAGGTAGGAAGGTAGGATGGGACTAGCAGATAAGGGAAGGCCTGCCCCCTGCAGCAGGCTCCGTGCTATCCCACCTGCGCGTGCGCCACCGCCTCCCGGGTCTGCGGCCGCACTCCGTCGTCCGCCGCCACGATGATGATGGCGATGTCGGTCACCTGGGGGGGGAAGGGGAGGTGGGGGGAGGTGGGGGGGAGGAGGGGAAATGGGGAGAGAGAGGCGTAGGGAACTCACAACTGGCGGCCACTTGTGTTCACCCATTCCCCCCCACATGTACACACGCGAACCCCTGCATAGCTCAATCAACCACCAACCCGACCGAACCTGACCCAAATGACCCCCCCCCCCGCCCCCCCCCCGCCTCACCCCCCCCACCTGCGTCCCCCTCGCCCTCATGGCGCTGAACGCCTCGTGTCCCGGTGTGTCCAGGAAGCAGATGGTGCGGCTCTCGCCCTCCACCCACACCTCCGTGTTGTAGGCGCCGATGGCCTGGGGGGGGGGGGAGGGGCGCGGGGGGAGGGGTGAGGGGACGGGGAGGGAGGATGAGGGAGGGGGGCAGGAGCTTGGAGGACAGCAGGTGTGGAAGGTAGAAGGTGCCCCCTGTACTTCCACGCACCCAACACTCCCCGGTACACACGTCCCACACAAACACACGCGGGCATGTGCCTTCGCACGCACTCACAAAAGGAAACGAAAAAACACACACGCGCACGTCCCCCTACATCCATGGTCGGCTTGGCGGCCAGTCCATCCATCGGTGGGTGGGTATGGTCTTTGACCCCCCTTCCTCCCCCCTTGTTTCACGTTTCATTATTTAAACCCCCCCCCCAACCCCCCTCTCGCCCACCCCCCCACCTGCGTGATGCCGCCCGCCTCCCCCGCCGCCACCCTCGCACTGCGAATGAAGTCTAGCAGGCTGGTCTTGCCGTGGTCCACGTGGCCCATCACCGTAACCACGGGGGGGCGGGGGACCAGCTCGTCAACATCCTCCTGCAGGGGGAGGGGGAGCGGAGGAGGGGGGGAGGGAGTGTTAAGAAACTGAAAGTGTAAGGAGGATGCTGACACATGGATTTCTTGTCGAGCCATGAAGCCGCCGCCCAGAGCGCCACGACCCAAGATGAGTGTACTGTGGGGTCTGTGGCCCCCCCACCTCGCTGTTTTTTCCATCAGGGCTTGTCAGCTAGTTTACCACTATCACCCCACACATTGGTTTTTTCTTCTTTTCTTCCGCTTCCCACCTCCCTCTGCCCCTCCCTCCTCCTCCCCACCCCGGCTCCCCCCACCTCGCTGATGTACTCGGTTCGCTTCTTGGCCGCATCCGTCACCGCCGCCGGGTCGCGATCCACCACCACCACCTCGTAGTCGGAAGCAACAAGCTGCGGGGGGGGGGGGGGAGCGGGGTGACCCATGGGTCGGGACGGAGTCAGGGAGGAGGCTGGAATGCAATCACAAACCGAAAGGATTAGGTCAACTGAGGCGCGGAAATCGAATGGAATCCACACGTCGTGCGCCCTACCTTGACCGTGTTCCTGTCCAGCGTCTGGCTCATGGATAGGGTGATTCCGCGCATGAAGAGCGAGCGCACGATATCAGACTCGTCAACCTGGGGGAGGTGGGGGGAGATGGGGGGGAGAGGGGAGTGGGAATGGGGGGGCAGGCAGGGGGCTATGCCGTACGAGAAATGCCGTGCGAAATCCCCAGTCCCCCCAACCTGGTATGGTAGCAGGAGCGGCTCTATGACCTGTGCCGTAACCAAACACGTTACCCGTACCCCCATCCTTGACCCCCACCCCCACCCGGGCCACCCCCCCCCCACACCGCACACCCGCATCTCCCAACCCCCCAATCCCCCCGCCCCCCGCACCTGCAGCAGCTCCGCTAGCGCATCCAGCGTCATGCCCTCCTCGCCAACCTGTACGGCACAAGGGCGGGTGGGGGGGAGAGGAGGGTGAAGAGGAAGAAACTGACGAGCTGTACAAACAAGTTCTTGATTCAAACAAGATCGGGCATCAACCCCTACCCTCCCTTCTACAAGCATGACCCTCAACACCAGCCATCCCGCTGGGACTTCGCGGCCAGTCCTCGTGAGTCGTAACACACACACACGCACGCACGCACCTCGAAGATCTCCTCCTTGTCTCGCCGCCGCGCCGCCGCCTTGTCCATCCGCACCGCCTCACGTTGCCGCCGAGCGTCGCGCTTCATCTCAGCGGTCACCTGTGTACGGCAGTTGTGTACGGCATGTTAGTTGGTTGTACGGCATCCGACTTCCAACCCATGACTCCCGCATCCTCCTTCAAGGCAGCCCCTCCCGCCGCCGGCCATCCCTTGCCTACCCCGCCCGCGCCTACCCCTTACCTTCTCCTTCCGCTTCCCCTTCTTGCCCTTGCCCTTCGTCGTCGTCCCCTTGGCCATGAACTCCGCATCCTCCTCATCAAACAGCCCCTCCTCCTCAACCACCTCCTCTATCGCCAGCTTGGCCGGCTTGCCAGCTGACGACCCATGGGTCGCAGCCGTCCCGGCAGTACCCGCCTGCGCCATGAGGGGCTCCAGCACCCGCAGCGTGGGCGGGTCGGGGCGAATGAGCTGGCCGGTGGGCACATCCACCGCATCCGTCGCGGCTGCCGCGGTGGTGGGGGCGGTGGCGGGGGGCTGCCGACCCAGCGGGTCGGTCCGACTGGGCGGTCGCTGTAGCTGCAGCTGCTGTGGCGCGGAGCCGGCAGCAGCGCCCCCGGAGGTGAGGGGCAGGGGCGGAGGGGTGGCGCCGGAGGGGCCGGTGGGGCGAGGGAGCGCGGAGGGAGGGCCCAGCGGCTTGGGGGGGACGGCGGAGGCGGAGGGGGTGCCTGGGGGGCCTTGTGTGGGGCGAGGAGGTGGGCGTTGGAGGGGTGGCGGGCTGAGGGTGGGGGTGGAGGCGGAGGCGGGGGGTGTGGGGCGCTGAACCCCGCTGGGAGGGGGGTTGGGGGGCGCTGCTGCTGCGGGGGGAGGGGGGGCTGCAGCGGGGGGCTGCGGGCGGGAGATGCTTGCGAAGGGGTTGGCGACGGGCGGCGGCAGGGGCGCCCCCGCCGCTGGCTTCCCCGGTGCCGCTGCTGCTGCTGCCGTACCCCCACTGCTACCGCTGGTCGCGGGAGCGGTGGAGGCGGCAGCGGAGGCGCTCGGCGGCACCTTGGGGATGTTCGCAAAGGGGTTGGAAACGGGTGGAATCTCGGCGGCAGCAGCGGTTGCTGCTGCTGCTGCTGCCGGCCTGCTAACACTGCTGCTGCTGGGGGTGGGGGTGGTGGCTGCACCAGGAGCTGCCGCTGCTGCTGCTGCTGCCGGTCTGCTGGCGCCGCCGATGCTGCTGCCACCCACCACGCCGGGCTTGGCGGCTAGCGGCTGCGGAGGTGGCGCAGCAGCCGCTGGTGCCGCGGGTCGTGCAGGAGGAGAGCCGACACCGGCAGCGGGCGGGCGGGAGAGCGTGAGGCCGCCAGCAGCAGGAGCGGCGGCTGGCGGGGTGCCGTAGCCGGGCTGAGGCCGCCTTTGAGCGTTTGCTTGCTGCTGCTGCTGCTGCTGCAGTTGTTGAGGTTGCTGTTGTTGTTGTGGCCGTAGGGGTGCCGACGACCCTTGCTGCTGTTGCTGCCGGGGAGGAGGGGGCGCGGAGGTGGTAGGCTGCTGCTGCTGATGCTGCGGGGACCCGGCTGAGGGCAGGGCGGAGAGCTGCAGAGGCGCCGGGCCGGGCCGCGTGAGCTGCAGGGAGGGTGGGGGAGGCGACGAGAGCTGCACCGAGGCGGGCCTGACAGGTCCCGACGGTGGTGGGGGCTTGGGCGGAGCGGCTTGCCGGGCGGTCTGACCATTGCCATTTCCGTTTGGTGATGGTGGTGGTGGGCTATTGGTGGGAGGTCGCGACGCTTGGAGCTGCTGCGGGGGCCCATTTAGCCGTTGAGGTTGAGGAGGAGGCATCCTGGTGAGGGACTGCGGCCCTGCGGACGCAGGCCCGGCGGCGACGATGCATATTCTGCACCTGGGGAAACCAAAGCCTCGGCCAAGCGAGCGCCTCTGAAGGCTGTGTAGAAAGCTGTTTGAGACTAAAGGCTGCGAAACGCCTGGCGTAAGTGCGTTAGCGTGGGCGACCATGTCAATGAAAGGTGCCCGACGCTATCGACCGTTTAACAATTCACAAGACCCTCTAAAAGGAGTTGATAAAGATCCGCGTAATTCGCAGTCGGTTTGTCGCGTCGGTAGGTTAAGCCCAGGAAACTGGACTTGCCCAGCCGGTCGAGCTGGGACGCGCAATCTAGGCTAAGATGCTGCACTAGTCGCTTAGGGCTTCAAAACTTGCAAACTTTCTGCCGAACGTTGTCGGAGATCCTGAAATCTTTGCCGTGGTGCCAAACGCCAACTCCTGGACGAGGTTGAGCAATAAGGCCCAATGTAAGCCGTGTATGCTGGCTGCAAGTGCGTAAATGACCACCTTGGGTTGGATGTTGGCACACGCGTAGGGAATGCGTCCAGCTCGGTGTTCATTCTCTACCCCACCTTGGGTTCCGGAGCGCTCTCCACAATCCTTCCTTGCGAAGGAGCGAAGTGTGACAATTGAAGGCTGCTAATGGTACTGCGATATCTACAACATTTTGCTCCTTAAACCATTCCCGCTTTAATGCTGAGCGGCAATTTGACGACGGGAACCATGAGGGTCATGCCTCACGCTGAACCTCAACTTAGGCAATGCATACCTTTTCAATCACGTCTTCGAATCACAAAGGTGCCATTGCGGTAAGTTGTGCACCATTTTGTCCGCAATTCTTTTCTTACGAACGACTAGCCACCCGCAGTTAACTTCCTCTACTTCAGGCCATCCCTAGCACAACACACATCGTCTCATGAGAAGCCGTCCTATCGGCCTGCCGCTAGTGGCGTTGCAACCGTAAGCAAGCAGGGCAAAGGCCCGAAATCGTCGGACAATAAGGCGACGCAAAGCGCCTCATCGCCGGATGAAGTACGCAATGTGCGACTCAAGAAGGTATGCCCTCGTTACAACCATCCACAATTATGCGGCAGCCTTCCAATACTTCTGCAACTGTAAATTGCACATCCGTTACACCGCATGTCGGCTTCAACCACGTAACCATTTGCTCCGCGGTGTTTGCGTTCGCCTTCACCCTCGCGCCTAGGTTGCGGATTTGCGCGGTCAGGGCCAGGAGCCCTACGCGTACCGCTTTGACCGCACGCACTACACCAAGGAGCTGCAGGTACGACACACAAGTCCTTGTACGGCGTGCCCCCTGTAATCGTACGACTTCAACTGCCTATCGCTGGACCTCCATCCGGTTGTCGTACAATCGCCATTACCACGCCACAAGTAACCCTTTTTCCCTCCTGTCCGCACGCTTGTAGGAGCAGCACGCGGGGCTGGCTGCCGGCGCTGAGGATGCGAGTGGGGCGGTGGTGGCGGTTGCGGGGCGGGTCATGGCTAAACGTGTGATGGGTAAACTGGCCTTCCTGAGCCTGCGGGATGACAAGGGGCAGATCCAGGTAGGGAGGTTGGTTAGGGTGGTTGGATTGGGTTGGAGGGACTGGGACTGGGACTGGGAAGGCTGGGAGGTGTTGCTGCTGAGGAGGGAGGGCCGGGCTGGGGCGTATCCCGGTGGGGGTGCTAGGTCCGAAGGAGCCCATTGTGAGGCTGAAGGCTGCCGACCCACGGGTCACCCTCCCTCCGCAGCTCTACGTTGAGAAGGCCCGCCTGGAGACCAGCCAGCCCGGCGGGTTCGAGGTTGTGAAGGGGCTGGTGGACGTGGGCGACATCGTGGGGTGCAGCGGGGGCGTGAGGCGGACGGAGCGGGGGGAGCTGTCGGTGGTGGCGGAGGGGGTGCAGGTGGGGGGGGGAGGAGGGAGGGGGAGGGGAGAAACATGAGATGGGAAGCACAATCCCATGTCCTATGTAGTGGTGGGGGGGGGGAGGGAGCGGAGAAGACCATACCAACCATAGGAAAAGGGGAGCAGGTACTGCGGGGTTGTTAAGTTAACTGCGGGTGCTAACAAAACTGGCCGCCCCATACTGCGGGTGTAGGGGTGTATGCTAAGAAAAATGGCCTTATGGGTGTTGTGAGATGTATGCGAGTGAGACGCACGGTAATGTACCCTCCTCTCCCCTCCCCCTCCCCGGAGCTTTATTACGGTTTACCCCGTGTGCTACCTGCTACTAACCCAACAAATTTGACTATGCGTAATGCTAACATCCAGCGTACTGCGGAACCTTCATCCCTGTTATAATCCCCCTCCCCCCGGTTGCCACAGGTGCTGACCAAGTCGCTGCAGCCCCTCCCCGACAAGTGGCACGGGCTGGCGGACGTGGAGAAGCGCTACCGGCAGCGCTACCTGGACATGATCATGGCGGCGGAGGTGGGGGGGGAGGGAGGGGGGGAGGAGGGGGGGCGTGTGTGTGTTTTGCTGGGGGGGAGGGGTGTGTCGTGCAGCTGCGTGGGAAAAGTAGCATCCCCCGCAAACCCTCCAGAAACCAGTTCCTCGCCCCCCCACCAACCCCCTCCCCCCCAGGTTCGCGACACCTTCCGCGCCCGCTCGCTCATCATCTCCACCCTGCGCCGGCAGCTGGAGGAGCGGGACTTTCTGGAGGTAGGGGGGCGGGGAGGGAGGGAGGGAGGGAGGGAAGCATGAGGTGGGAGGTGGGAAGCATGAGGTGGGAGGTGGGAAGCATGAGGTGGGAGGTGGGAAGCATGAGGTGGGAGGTGGGAAGCAACACCGGAGTCCCAATCCCATGTCCCGACTCATCATGCCGTGTGAGCGCATCAGCAGACCACTATTCCGGTAGGACACGCAACCACCAGGGACGGTTGGGTGCTCCACAGCGGCAGCGGCGAGTTGGGGAAGAAGCCGCCGCGGGTAGCAACACATGCGCCGCGCCGCCGGTTACTAGTCCTTAGCTGTTGGGCATGCAAGCGTAGATCCCTAGAGCCGTACGCCAGCACAGCTATTGGGCATGCACGTAGGCGCGTACCGTAATGGTTAACTTACCTGGAGAGGGCCCCCCGGGGGACATCGTAGGCCATCGTAGGCGCACGCCGGCAATGGCCGCGACAGGACGCTCGCCAATGGGAGGGCGTAGGATAGGATACGGTGTCAATGTGCGGAAATAGGGAGAGGGGAGAAGCGGGGAGGCGGGGTAGAAGGAGAGTGGTTTGACCCCTCCGCTGGTCCTCATCATGGGGCCGGCCTTCCACCTGCCCGCTCGATTCAGGAGGCTCCCTCGCTGCCCCAGCTCGCGGCTTCCTCTTTTGCACGGTTTGATTGGTCTCCCCCCCCTCCCCATCCCCCCACCTCCCGCCTCCCCCCCGAACCAGGTGGAGACCCCCGTTCTGGAATCCGTAGCCGGCGGCGCCGACGCGCGCCCCTTCCGCACCTTTCACAACTCCCTCCGCCGCGACTTCACGCTGCGCATCGCCACGGAGCTGCACCTGAAGCGGCTGGTGGTGGGCGGGTTCGAGCGGGTGTTCGAGCTGGGGCGCATCTTCAGGAATGAGGGTGAGGGGGGGGGAATAAAAATGAAGCAAATGTACATAGGAATGAAGCAACGGAGTCCCAATCCCGTATTCCTAAGGGAAGGAGGAGATGGAAGGAAGGATGATAAGACGTTGATTGCTTCGGTTGATCAGTGAAGACTAGTTTGCAGTGCGGGGTTTGTGGAAGGTCGGCCCTGTCATCCACCCCACACCACAACACCACCCCTGCAGGAGCCACCACGAAACACACCACAACACACAACCCACCTAGCCGGGGTACGGCACCTGGTTCCAGGGTTCACGCCCCCCCCCCGCCCTCACACCCCGCCCTCCCCCCCTCCCCCCGCAGGTGTGTCCAGCCGCCACAACCCCGAGTTCACATCGGTGGAGATATACCAGGTGGGCCGGGGGGGAGGGAGCTAGGGGGGAGCCTAGTCCCCTCCGCTTGTCACCTCCCCTAGTGCTGCCAGCATCACCCAACGCCTGCGCCCTCCTTCTCTTCCCCGGCCCCCGCCCCGCCCCCCTGAACCCGAACCCCGCCCCGCCCCCCTGAACCCCCCGCACCGCCTCGCCTCCCCCCCAGGCCTACGCCGACTACGACGACATGATGTCCCTCACGGAGCAGCTCATCCGGGCGTGTGCGCGGGCGGTGTGCGGGTCCACGCAGGTGGGGTCAAAGACCATACCAAACCATAGGTGTCACCACCGCAGGTGGGGGGGGTGGTGAGGGGCAGGGAGAGGGGGTGAAGAGGACGCAACGAACCAACCGAAGGGGGTGGGGGTGGCGAGCTGTATGACGAGGGGGCTTCACCATGGGTTGCGACATTGGACCTGGACCATCCCACCTCAGGGGGCTAGATAGGCTGAGCCGCGGGAAGCACTGACCCTGGCCATAGTAACCCGGAGGATGATGGCGTCCCAGATGTCCCAGGGAAGGGGGGAGGGAGGGGCAGGGAGGGAGGCAGGGAGGGAGGGAACAGGAAGGCAAAACGAAGACAGGGGCAACGATCCGTTGGTATGATGGCATGCGGCATCATCGACCCGTGACTCCGTCTGGCCGTCCTGCGGTCAGGGGTTCCCCCGCACCCCCACATGCGGTGAAGTCGCCATGGGAGGCAGGGAGGCAGGGAGGTAGGGGGTAACGCATGGTAACCCCTCCCCCTCCCCCCCTCCCCCCAGCTCACCTACCAGGGCACGCCGCTGGACTTCGGCCCCCCCTTCCGCCGCGCCTCCATGGCGGAGCTGGTGCGGGAGGCGTGCGGACTGGACCTGGAGCCGGCCATCATGGCGGCAGCAGCGGAGCGGGAGGGGGCGGAGGGGGGGACAGCGGAGGGGGAGGGGGCTGCTGCGCTGGCTGAGGCGAAGGCGGCGGCGGAGGCAGTGCTAGCGGTGAGGGGAGAGGGGAGGAGCTGATGGGGGGGAGGCGGGGGAGGGCGGCGGGGGTGGTAGTGTGCACCCTGCATGACGGGGTGCCCTGCAATGTGGCTGCTGTGATGCCCAGCTGGCGGCGCTGCTGACCCCCGCCCCCACCACCACAGGCAGGGGGCCCGCAGCGGCACCCACTGCAATCCACACACTGCCCCAACCGGCCGGCCCACTTCCGGCCCCGCCGCACGGTGACCTACCTAACCCCCACCTCCCACCTACGGTCAGGGTCAGTGTTTCCGCGGCTCAGTTTATTTAACCCCCCACGCCTTAACCCCCAACCCCCACCCCACCCCCTGCAGGCGCACCCAGACCGGGAGGTGGTCAAGGCCCTTCCCAAGGTGGGGGAGGGGCTACACAGCGGGTGGAGGGAGGGGTGTGTTGAGAAAACTGGCCGCGAGTAGGAACATACTGTGATTGTCGGAAGATGAAGTCCCCACAGAATCGGGTGTGTGCGTGAAGACAAATAGCCGCGAGTGGGAACACACAACTACCGTACTTTGCCATTCAGCGCATTGGGTCTTCATTTCCCCGCTCGCCGGCTTGTTTGCCATTCTCATTCAACGCACTGGGTATTCAGCCTTAACCCCCTCCCCCCCTCCATACCGGCTACCAGGGGGTTCCGCGCCTCAGTTTACCTAATCCCATTGTGAAGCCTTGTCATACAGCTCGTCAGTTGTCTCTTTATCCTCCTTCCCCGCCAGTCGTGTCATCCAGTTCGTCAGTTTTCACTATTTCCCCCACCCTGTCCAGGTCCGCTCCGCTCCCTCGCTGGGCCACCTGCTTAACGTGCTGTTCGAGGCGCTGGTGGAGTCGCGGCTGACGCAGCCCACCTTCGTGACGCAGCACCCCACCGACATATCGCCGCTGGCCAAGCCGCACCGCAGCAAGCCGGGGGTCACGGAGCGGTTCGAGCTGTTCATCGTGGGTGAGTGGGGGCGGAAGGGGGAAAAAGAAATCCAAAGTGTGGTGTGATAATGGGGCGGAAGGGGGGCGGGGGGGGAGGAGGGGGGCGGGGAAGCAAGAGGAAGAAGGGAATAGCATGATGCGGGTGACACTACTGGTAGTGTGCCCGGTGTTGAGTATCCATCCCCTCTAACCTCCTCCCCTCCCACCCCCTCCCCCACCTTCCCGCCTCCATGCGCTCACTGCACAAGTCGGAATATGGGATTGGGACTCGTTGTTTCCCTTTTTTTATTTTTCCTCCCCTCCCACCCACTCCCCCACCTTCCCGCCTCCCCTCCCCGTCTCCCCCTCCCCCTCACCCCCCCCCCCAGGTCGCGAGCACGCCAACTCCTACTCCGAGCTGACTGACCCTCAGGAGCAGCGCCGCCGCTTCCAGCAGCAGCTGGAGCGACACAACGGCGCACGCGCGGCAGCAGCGGCGGCGGCAGCAGCGGCGGCGGTACAGCAGGTGGTGGGGGCGGGGGAGAGGAAGGGAGGGAGGAAGGGAGGGAGGAAGGGAGGGAGGAAGGGAGGGAGGAAGGGATGAGGCTTACCGAAACCAAGGCCGGAAGCGATAGGAAGACTCTAGGTAGTGAAGCAGGGTGGGAGGGAGCGAGGGAGTGGAAGCATTGAAGCTGTACCAGTGTCGTTAACGTCTTCTTGCGCATATCAACATGGTTGCAGGATGAGGGGTCGGAGGCCTCCTCGAATGGTGGTGAAGGCGTCTCGTCATCCCGACCTTCCCAGGCACAAGGGGGGACCCATGGGTCAGCTGCTGCCGCTGCTGGGTCGGACACGTCAGCCAAGGAGGACGAGGACTATGAGGTGGGGCAAGCGAGCGAGCGTCACCTCCGCCTCCCCGACACCTTGTCGTCCGCTGCTGTCAGCTGCTCACACCCTCCCTCTCACACCTCGCCAACGTGCTGTCCTGTGCGCTGCTGCTGCTGTCTACATCCTGCGATGGGTGCGAACAGACAAGTGCACTTCCATAACCTCCTTCCATGTGCCTTCCGACACCCTCATCGTCGCTGTGTTGTCCCCCCTCCCCCCACCACCACCTGCATGCCCCCCCCGTACAGTGTACACCCCTTGTACTGCCTCATGCTCGGCTGTGCTCGCCTCCGCCTCCCACCTCCTGACCCCCCCCCTCCTCCTCGTCATCCAGTTCGCCAGGTTTCCTTAGTTTTTACCTCCCCCTCCCCTCCTCCCCCCAGATCTCCATGGATGACGACTTCATCACGGCCCTGGAGTACGGCATGCCGCCCACGGGGGGTCTGGGTATCGGGGTGGACCGGCTGGTGATGCTGCTGACCGACAGCCCCTCCATCCGGGACGTCATCGCATTCCCGCTCATGAAGTGAGGAGGTCCCGCACGTGTGGAGTGAGGGAGGAGGAATGAGGAAGGGTGATGTTGAGTGGAGCACAATTCCATGTCCCATGTAAATTGAGGCGAAGTGGGAGTCTTGTACTTGTCAGTCAGGCACGACCCCACTGGCCCCCTGGAGCACTCAAATGGAGGGAGCGAAGCAGCGTGTTGCCACTGAGATAGAGTAACGGGGATAGCTAGGTAGGGTGCCTACGGATGTATGCCGACACGGGGAAGGACAGGCGCTTAATACTGCTCGTTACCGTCGGTGGAGTAGAGGGCAAGAATGGGCTGATTTAGGGTACATCTGGCCAGGAAACGTCGGGTTGTTCAAGGGGAATTTTCCGACTATGTAGGCTTCTTGTAACCAGCCAAGTCAAGAGAAACTTCTTTCACGAGGACACCGCTGCTGCCTTTTTGCTGACAAGAGCTGAACGCCGGTTACCAATCGCTTTCTGTTAGAGCCAAAGGTGGGGTATGCAACCGGTCGCAACCACCCTTGCTCAGCCCAATGCACCCAAAGCCCCGTGCGTCTATGCCAAAGTGTGGGACCACACGCAAGGTGGTCTGAACAACCCCCGACCTCCCCGCACGCACATCGGGACACGGGTCAGCAGGGTACGGCAACGGTTACATCAGCATCACGACTCCAGCGGCTGCAGCTGCTCACAGCTCCGCCTCCTTGCCGACGTGCGGCTTCTCCTGGAAGATCTCCTCCTCCTTGGGCTCGAGCACCTTGACCACATCGGGCAGCGGGGTGCGGGGGCCGCGCTTGCCCGTCGGGTCCCACTCCTTCATGATCTTGACCTGCGAGGGGTAAGGGGAGGGGAGGGGAGGGGGCGCAGGGGCGAGGTAGGAAAGCGGTCAGATAGAGGAGCGTGAAAAGGAAGACACAAAAGAGGTGTGCAGGAGGTGTGCAACCTTTCTTGTCCACAAGTCGCTGTAACATGCCCAGGTCGTCAAACAGCACCGCGCACAGGAGGCCCAACCCTAACTGTAACCCTCATCGCATTTCAAGCCCTTGACGCATGACAACATCCTGAACCTACACGCTCGAACCCTTGACCACCGAACAAGTTACGTCAAGTTACGTTCGGGCAACGTGAACGCGGGGATGCACTGACCGTGGCTGTGTGCACACACTCGCATGCAGGACTCGTGCCGCGCCCATGCAGCACCCATGCAGCTCAGAAATGCCTGTATCATGCAGCTTGTTGCCCCCTGCAATGTGCTGGGCCAATCACCCCTGGTCAACAAACCTGGACACGGCCTCAGTAAGCCCCCCTTACAGATCCCCCCAGCACCCATGGAAATACACACAAACGCTGCCGGCCCCCAAAGCCCGCACCACCACCATCCGGTACATGCCTTTCCCTCTCCACCTCAAACCCATGACACAATTTTCAGGCTTTTCCAGCAGCCCGCGCCAAAGCCCCAATCCGCCCACCCGTGACCCCCGGCCGTACTCACGACCATATCCCTGCCCAATGTCCTCTTCCATCACCCTCACCCCTTCTTCCTTGCCCGCATCCCCTTACCCCACAACCTGCCAGCCGCACTCCCCCCCATCCCCTCCTTCCTCACCTTGATGCCCAGCACGCCCTGGCGCAGCAGCACGTGGCGCACGGCGCCGTCAATGTAGACCTTGGCGGGGTTGCCGCTGCTGACCATGTAGCCGTCCTTGAACTTCATGCTCTTGGCGCGGGCGGCGCGGAGCTTGCCCGACACAATCACCTCGCAGCCCTTGGCGCCGCTCTCCATCACGAAGCGCAGCACACCGTAGCAGGCCCTGAGGTGGCGGGAGACGCGAGGGAGGAGGGGGAGAGGGGAGGTGCGATTTGGGTCGGAGAGGGTAGGGGTTCGAGGCAGGAAGGGGAAGAAGAGGACATGGGCTGTTGCTGGTCATGAGCCGGCCCCGTCGGGAAGGGACAACAGGCGCTGTTCACAGCTACCGCCGCAAACAAGCCAAGGTAACAGGGGGAACTGTACTGGAGGCATGAGCTGCAGGCGTACTCGTGTGGGAACAGGCTGGAAGCATCCACGATGGAATTCCGATGGCTGTAGCCATATCCAGAGCCTTTATGGGTTAAGGCGGCGCATGCGGGAACAAGTGTGACCTGTGCCACATTTCCCCTCCCTGTCAAAGGGAGAGAACCCGCACGCTGCTGCACTAATAGCTGCTGCATGCCCTCGTTAGAAGCGCCTGACCATGTTTTGAAGAGCTCCCGGCAGAAATAACTGTAAGTACGCACGTGGCTGACGGACGCCACCAGCATCCCTCCTGCTGAACTGCTTTGCTTCATATCGCCGAGCGCACCAGGGTCCGCATCGCAAAACTAAGCTCCCAAGTCTATACTTGCCAGGTGCTCCAGCCATATAAGCTGCAAAGCGGCTGCTGCAGTCTTGGTGACCGCAAGGATGTAACATCGGCGGCGCCAGACTAGCCCCTCCACCGGCTGGCTGAACTGCAACTTTTATTATTTAGTTTCGTCCGTTAATATACATCCTTCGCACCTGCGAACCGCCAGGCCGCCCAGCAGCTTGTAGCGCAGCGACTCAGCCTGGGCAATAGCGCACAGGCCGCGGTCGCTGACCTTCTCAGCATACAGCTCCACACTGTCAGCAGGGAAGTTGAAGCGCTTCTGGACAACCGAGGTCAGCTCGCGAATGCGGCGGCCCTTCTCGCCTGCAAAAACCGTCACGCCGTCCTTGTGAGTGCTGTGCATAGGAGCTATGTTTAGGTGTTATTACAATGATGCACGAGCTACAAGGAAGCCTTCCAACAGGCATGCAAAAGGCGGCAATCGTCGGGAGATGCGGCGGCTGACACCCCTTTGCGCACTCACCCAGGACGTTCTGCGTGCGAGTGGCCCTGATAATAATCTCCGTGCGCATGGGAGTCACACGGACCTCCACGCCGCTGTAACCGTCCTCAGCGAGCTCCCGGGTAAGGAGCTCATTGAGCTCGGCGTAGAAGACGCCGTCTTGCACAAACTACAATCAAATGCAAAGCATGTTCAGCACACAACTTGCTAAGGCTCATATTCGCCAAACGCTGCTCCAGAAAATTGGTGTAAGCTATTTGTGTTCGCTGCGCACCTTCCGCTTCTTGCTGATCTGCACGGCCATTTTGCAGGCGCTTCCTATTGCCAGCTGAAGAGGACTACAGTTGGAGACGTCGCGCAGATATAGGCCAGCCAGGAGGCCCGTAACACAGTGGGCCTTATATGCCTGGCTTGCAAGGATGGCTATGCCATTCTTCATGGCATTGGCTTCATAAATGGCGTATGTATATAAAGCACACTACCTTTCTTCTTTCTTGTGTGACCCTACCCCTTGCCAGCTTGCAGCATTGCCCCTACCTATTACAAATGGCCTAAAGCCCTTGCCCAAATGTATTAACGGTTATGTTCTCAGTGTTTTGCAGAAGAGTTGAATACACTAGCTGTTAGCGTGCTGGTGTGGGAACATGCATGTTGGGCGGCACATGAGAATGCTTCCGCTGTCAGACATCCGGGTGCACTTACGCTGCGCCGTGGCACTTTCGATAACTTACTACTGCTCCCAAAGCCTGTACGCCGTCGTTTACAAGGAACGAGCTGCGTGGGCCCACGGGACAGTGACACGAGCCAGGTATAGATGAGGAAACCAACCGTGCGACAAGTAGGCTTCACTACGGATTGCATCATGGATGCCGACTCACCCAGCCCAGCTCGAACTACTCTTCCGAAACGATAAGAGGCCTTGGGACAATGGTGTTACCCCTAAGCGGTCGCACGAAGAACGGTTACTTGGGACACCCGTGCTCGTCTCTGTGGCCGTCGGCGCGGACGGCTGTCCCGTTTACCTAACGCACATTCGACGTCTCCATCCTTCACGCTACCTAGGGTTTCCTTATCGCTGCCTCCCCTGGATGAAGGTCTATACGTCTCATGGTGCTTGTGTCCTTGTCCCCTCCCTGGCCCTTGTCCCCTCACTCCTTACATCTGTGATGGCCTCCGGCCAGAGGGTATTGGCTGCGGATTGTGACTGGCAAGTGCTTCGGCCACACGGCTGAGAGGTTGGGTGTTACATGAGGTAAATGGCAACGGGATTCCAGTGCCCACCTTTGCACATGACCAGCCTCCATTTTTACCTGGGCACCTTCGCCCGACATTTACCTCCACCGCTCCCACCATGACGTTCGAGCTAGGCCCTTACCCGTCGTGCGTGAGTCAGGCCAAGGTGAGGCAACTCATTTTTATTAACCTCGGGGTGTCGTCGGACTGCGGCTCCCATCCGGGGCAATCAAGTTCCCTCCCTGATCCAGCACTTGCCTTCCATTCACATTCCCCTGCGCACGTTGCCTTACATTCAACACCCACTGTGCACGTTGCCCTAGGTAGGGGAGTGCCAATGTGAGGATTAGCCGAGGGATGAAGGCATTGCTCGACTGCCGTGCATGTGCCCGATCATGCGACAGGTCCACGTCTGCAACACACCACCCTGCATTTGCACGACACTTCGACAGCAAAGCCCGTCATCCCCGCGTGTACGTGCAGATACCTTGCGCGTAGGAGCGACAACCTTAGTCACTGGGCCTTTAAGGGGGATCTGTTGTTTACGCTTTCTGGGTCTGCTTCAGTTATTGATTTGTTATTGATGTGTTTCCTGAGCTGGGTATCCCTAGGCCCATGCATGGCGAACTAGGGTTACCCGGTGCGCCGTTCATGATTAACTAAGAAGTACAGAGAACGCCTGGCCGCTAGTTGGTTGCCCCCCTAAGGTAGAGGTGCGCCCGCGGGAGTATGAAGATCCCAGGGGTGTTAAGTCGTGCCGCTATACCCAATGGATGGGACTAGCGTTTAGAGGGGGCTAACCCGTGGCATGGCTAGCCCGCCCCAGTGCGCTCATCCTCCGCGGCAAGCATCAACTCATGCGGTTTAGGCTATGTTGTTGGGATATGGAGATGGATTCGCAAGGGAACCGCCCCAGGTCTGAGCGGGTGTTGTCATGAGAGCAATGACATTCAGGATGAGATGCATGTTTCATGGAATGCCCGTGCTATGACAAGCTACGATTCCCCCGAGCTTCAGCAGTAGTCCATGAGGAAGATCATGACCTCTGCCCCTCCTGACGCCCAGGATAGCTACCTGAGCCGTACATAGGAGAACCGCATACCCATCAGGGATCACCCGCGCAGAGCCCCTAAGCGTCAGTCCTTAAGGGGTCCTGACTCGGACCAACTTTGTTGCTCACATAGTGTCCTTGGCACCCCTGGCTCGTGCGAGCACACTATACACGCGTATAGACTGTAACCGTAAGACACTTTATCTAGACCCATTTTAGCGTGTACATGAGCCGCACGTTTAGACGCCGATACTCGTGGACGCTCGTCATCAGCTGCCTTACCACTTGCAAGCACTCCCTCCAGCGATTACGCCAAGTCATGAGGTGCACAACTGCTCCCGCAAAATCCAGCTCAAAGGTAACTCGGGTATTAGCTAGAGCTCCCCGAGTACAAGAAAAGAAGGAAACGCGAGGGCACTTCCATGGGAGAACAACTGTGACTTCTGACTCTGGCAAGGGGTACAGGAGTTATCCATTTTTGAAGCTGTGACTTCCTGAATTGATAAAGACAGCTCACGCTGAAGTCCTGTGGTCGATCACATCCCGCTGCGGAACAACGTCAGAAGACATCCATGCACGAGGCCCTGAAAAAGGCTGAACATTTTCAGAAGGAAAGCGCGTAACAGATGCACTGTAAAACTGAAATGAAGATGTGAAGATGGTTCCGATGGGACTGCGAGCGTTATGTGAGCGTTACCGATGGCATGCACACGGCATGGTGGGCCCTATTAATTTGCCGGCGATCAAAAAACGCCTGAGCTCCCTTAATAAATGCGCTTCCTCCTTAGTTCAATTTATTCCTTCTTTCGCACAACCCAGCAAAAATGGCCCTGTCTATGACCCGCAAGGCTGCTGGCGTCCGCGCTGCGCCAAGCCGCGCTCAGGTGGGAAGGATGCGACGAGTCACTGTCACATAGCAGCCCTCAAAGCCTAATTCTTTGGTTTCCATACCCTGACAATGCTGCTCACAACCCATTATTCAGGCTGTTCGCCCTGTGCCGGTGCGGGGCCGGAGGGTCATCACCTTCGCCGCCGTGGTATGTAGACGTGGACTTGAGTAGCGTCCCTTATTATGATTCTAATGCCAGCTGTTCCTCCACAGGACAAGGCCAAGGTGCTGGAGGATGTTCGCAGCATTATCTCCAACCAGCTGGGCACTGAGCTTGAGAAGGTACGCCTGTACGCTCCTGTGGAGCTCGCGGCCGGTACTGAACTGGCTTATTTTACAAACAGGTTGCTCCGGAGTCGAAGTTTGTTGAGCTGGGCGCCGACTCTCTTGACACGGTGAGGTCCGCATGCTCTCAGCCAAGAGGTTGGTTCAGACCCCTTTTAGCCAAGCACTCAACAGCGTGTCCTTTCTCAATTCAGGTCGAGATCATGATGGCGCTTGAGGAGAAGTTCGAGATTGCCCTGGACGAGGACGGTAAGCAGGGCACGTGAAATGCCAACTCAGACCACCACTACTTACTTCACGGCGTGTTTCAAACATTGAGCATGCATTGACAATGCTGTATGTTGTCCCTACGCATGCAGGCGCCGAGAAGATTTCGACTGTGCAGGAGGCTGCGGACATGATTGCCTCTCAGATTGCCGCCAAGGGCAACTAAACGACGGAGCTTGTAAAGGGGCGAGCATAAGGCATTTTTGTTAACTGCCATGGCGGGTGTACGATTAGAATTTGTCGGCTGCAAGGGTGTAGTAGTGCAAGGTTGTGCTGTCGGAGGGCCCAGCCCCCGACATCTGGGTATTGCGTCGTGAGGTTGCAACCCAACGTATGTGCGTGACCTGACCAAGGTTCTTGGGTATACCTATTGCAGCACGGATTTAGAGATATGCAGGATGCTACCCCGAAGGCATGTCTCTTGTGCAAGCTTCGGATTTTGTTTAGCACCTGGGAACGGTGATCGGCCGGTGATCTGTCGGCAACAAATGTTGCTGTATCCTCCTGTAACAGGGACAAGACTGATAAATCTCTCGACGTCTCGAGTATGCATTGTACGGCAATATGGCGTAGCAACGGCTAATAACGCCCTGACTCAATTTAGCTATCAGTATGCACGTCGGCATGTTACGCAGTGTGTCGAAGATAGGAATGGCCAAGTGTGCAACACAGTTTGCGGGAAACAGTCAACAACCTTCGAGTCCAAGTACAAACATAACAAATCGTAACGACCAGTCCGTTATCTCCATCCCGTATGGCGTATGCAATACCATCTTATCCAAATCTCTCCCTGGCATAGCTGACACTGGATGCTAGAGATGGCAGGACAGCGTTCACCAATAGTGCAGTGTGTTAGTAGTGGCAATGCATTGCCCGACTCGTACAGGGTCACAAGATCACCCCACAAGATCCTGGCTCGTAATCTTACCCAAGAACATGTGCAAGAAGGACTTGTACAATTTGACTAGCGGCATGGCTTCACTTCTTATCCGTCATCATGGGACACGGCCTGACTCAGGGTACATACTAAGCGTGAACCGCTGCTGAATTCAGGCTATAAGGCGCTCTTAAGTCAAACCACCAGCGTTCTCCTGTTCTCCACACCATCGTGGTAGGGCTTACATCCCCCCAAGGTAGCAAGCGCCGCTGCCTGCTCTCGCTGTTCGCCACGGTGCACATGGGGGTACACCCCAGCTGACCCAAGATATGATGAGCAAGTGCTGCTGCCTGCGCTCGCTATTCACCGCTTTGCTCCTGAGGCTTCCCAAGGTAAGCTAACGAGCCTGCAGGTAGCTGCCTGCTCCTGTTCATCAGCTCTGCGGTTGGGCTGACATGCCAGCTGACCCATGCTTGATAACGCCGTTTCTTCGAAAGCGGAAAAAATACCGACCAGGGTACGTTACAAGTGAGCAAAACGGTGAACGCCCCGTCAGACTTAGGCGGTCTCCTCCTTAGCCTCCTTGGCCTTCTTGGCGCGGGGGCCCACCTGGCGCACGTTCATGCGCTCCAGGCGCAGCTTGCCGTATGCCGTCGCCTTAATCTCGCTGAGCTCCTTGCCGGCGGTGGCCTTCATCTCGCTGGTGACCTTCACGGTCTCCAGCGCCGGCTGGCTGCGAGCCAGCGGCATGACGGTGCCGCTGACCTGGCCAACCAGCTTGGCCTCAGCCGCCGGGGTCTCGAAAGCCTGCAGCATGGGAAGGGAAAGAGAACATGGAACCACAGTTAATACATTGCTGCGGCCCTCAAGCAGGCTGACCCCTTGACCAATCATCCATGCATACGTGCCGAACCTAATTGTATTCTATGGGCATTTGAAGTGCACACCCTCCCATCCTGCTTGTGTTAATGCCGTATGTGGACAAAGAGTCTGGTGCTACTCTTATCCAATCGAGGTTATCCATGCAAGGCGAGTGGTATTTAGAAGGGGGTTTGAGCCACAATACTTAATACTTCCTCCTATTTCTGGTACACTTTTCCCCTGGGCTGAAGTCGTCCCCTCCGACCATCCCTCCCTCCCTAACCCAGACCACCGGCTTAGAGGTTTACCTTCGGCTTCTTGACGTTCCGCGGGAACACGACCAGGTTGCTCCTGTACGCCTTCAGGCGCTGGACGTTCTCCTGTACAGCACAGGGGCCGAGCTTTTAGCGACTGCCTCCAAGCCCTGCTTGGGCGCCAACACAGAACTCAAGCCCTACAAACCTGCAGGCTCTCCAGGGACTTGTTGCGGCGACGGTGGTCCACGGAAATGCCCAGGCTCGCCGCCATCTTCACAGCAATGCCCGCTTCCTGCAATTGCAGTTCAGTGTTACACCATATTTAACGGACCAGCCAGGTTATGTCCGTTTATTTACCTTCAGCTCATCGAGCGTGAAGCCCTTGCCCAGACGCTGCTTGGAGTTGTACTTGAGCGTCTGGCCGCGCACAACCGGCCGCAGGAGACCCGCTGACGGCCGGGGGAAGACCTGCTTGGCCTTCTCAGCGCGCGCTGCAATAAATAAACAATATTGCTGATCTTATGTCCTAAAGGAAAAGAGGCGGTCGCAGCTCCAACAATGTTCCTCACCGCTGCGGCGGCGCAGCTTCCGGGCGGCCTGGTTAAACCACGTCCGCACATAGAACTGCCACTTCTTCTTGAAGTGGTTGTTCGGCACGACGTTGTTGTGTCGGACCATTTCTCCTGCAGAACTCGCAACTATAAGCTAAACGTCAAGACTCCTAACGAAGCGTTGCAAACGTACCTAACGGTAGGCAAACCAAGCCAAGGAAAGGGCCAACCTATGCTTGGTGCTGTCACATATGGAGGCGGCGTGTCGTACGTCGGTTTCGAGGCCTGAGAGGCAACGCCGAAAATTCTGTGATGAACCAGCAGAGAAATTTACTGAAGGAGTTGTTTTACAGTGTCAGCTATCGCTTAACTCCTATTGGGAGGGTTCAGGAAAGGCACTGGTACAAGCAATGCGTGCAGCAACCAAATGCAGCTGTTGACGTCCAATAGCATGTTTGTCTGCTTACACTGCTTTATACTTCGTTGCCAACGGTGACTATCCCATATGCTTAGCTTTCCGGGCCCATGGGGCGCTATGGGGTAATGGGGCGCTTGGTTTATTTTTTATTGTATGGTTTTTAACGCAGGATGTAAAATTATGACGTCTCCGGGCCCAAAGCCAATGGCCAATGGGCGAAGGGAATTTCCCAAACCGGCATGCGCAGGAAGAAGCGCCGCGACCGGGGTTGGTGGGATGTTGGCCTAGGGAAGATGGGCGGAGGGGCACCCTACACATAGCCCCGGCAATCTTATCCCATGGGGGTTATTTCCTCGGCGACAAGCGGATATGAGATGCGACATTTCGTCCCTTGGCTTCCCTTCGGCACACTACTCGCGGCCAGTTTCCTTAACACATAAGCACACCTCCAACGATACGCAGGGTTTTATTGGGTCTTTATTACGCTGCCCCGCTGCCTAGACCGTCCTGCACTGGAATCCGCAAAGTGGACTGCGTTGCTTGGATGCTTTGTACGGCGGTATGTACCAGTTACATTGGTTTGACACACTAGAGCCTGCATGGGCTGTCAGCACCCGCACATGCAAAATGCCAACGGAAGGTTCGCCACCAAACATACAGTACAGTCACTCTACAACTCGACCTCCAAGCGTTAAGTCAAGCCCGGGGGAACATAGCATGGCATCGCAGTAGGGCCCCTTGGCCAGCCAACGTTACACATGACAATCCAGCCTTTCCACCGTACATTCCTGATTACCGGTACTAGATATGATACATGCACTGCCGTGTTGGATCACTAGGTGAATGATGTCCACCCGGCGCTACGAGGAATGCGGGGAAGGGCATAAATACCCCAATAATGGCCTTGCGAACCCTGGTCGCCGATGCAACGCTTGCTCATGTCGGCAGGCTGCTCAAGCCAAGCAAATACTGCTGCCCCCGACTATTCCCTTCACTCTAAGTTTCCAAGACCGCTATATTCCTGTACTGAGTCACAGAGCCCATTGCCTGGCAACCTTTCCTGTACGCGTCCCACCGGCCCCACCCCAACCCAGACCTTCGTAGCCTAGTCACAAGCCTACATCGCAGCCAATGAACACCCAAGCCATGCGTGCGGCGCCACAACACCATCATTTCTTCCCACACCTCACTTGCCCTGCAAGCGACGGCGGCGCAGGAAGGCAGGAATCTCCACCCCGCCAGACGTCGTCTCGCTAGCACCGGGCAGGCGCACAGCGCCAGCACCGCCAACCTGCGGTGCCGGAGCAACTCGCGCATGCTCGGACGACACCTGCTGCGGAGCGCCCTGCTCAGCCGGCGGCGACGACGACACAGCCGCTGCTGCCGCCGCCGGCCGACCTGCGGCACGAGCGCCCCCCAGCGCCCCCAGCTCGGGCTCCAGCTGGCCAAAGCCGGTTGCGATGATGGTGATGGAGACGGTGTCCTCCGGCAGGGTGCTGTCCACCACGGCGCCAAAGATGAGGTTGGCGTTGGGGTCCACCATGTCGTATATGATCTCCGCAGCCTCGTTGACCTGGGGGCGGGAGGACAGGTGAAGGCAGACATGGACGCGTTGGCGATTATTTTGGTTCCGCAACAGAGGAGTGATTCTTGACGCTCGATTGTCCCGTTTTCATGGTTTGTGTGGGGGGGATAGCCTGGTGAGCAGGGCAAGCTCTTTGCCCTTGGCTGTAAGCCGAAAGTCCCGCTATGCGTGAGACAAGGCGGGCCGCGCTGCCTCTTCTGTAACTCCTCAGTCCTCAACATGACCGGCCGGCCAACACTATCCAGTCAGTGTCATCCCTCGGGGCATGCAAACGTACCTCATGCAGGGTCATGTTGGGCGGGCCGGTGATGTTCCACACTACGCCGGTGGCGCGGTCGATGCCGACCTCCAGCAGCGGAGAGGAGATGGCGCGCAGAGCAGCCTCTTGCGCGCGGGAGGGGCCGGCTGGGGAGAAGGAAGGTAATGCGCGGGTTGAAAGGGGGACGGGGACTCTCAGTTCACGGCAGAATAGAGAGGAATCTTGCAGTCATGACCTGGCAGGAAGCAATCCACATTGCTGATAGTGAGGAGGGTATCTCTTGCCCCCAGGGAGTTCCGACCTCTTTCCTGGCCGGCCCTTCCTTGCAGGAACGAGCAGGCAGGGGTTTCGCGCCCGAGTCTTGCCCCGCTTGTACTGCTGCTCTCAGCATGCGGAGTACCAAACAACCCCAGGCGCTGTCCACCCTCACTCGCAGCCCTCCGTAGCCAATTCCCAATCCGTCCCATCTGCCCGCCCGCACTTACATCCATACCCCTGCCCCATCAGCGAGGACCCCGCCCCGGACATGATGGTGCGCACGTCCGCAAAGTCAACATTGACCAGACCGGGGACCTGCGGGCCGGCAGAGGAGGGGGTCAATGATATATTAAATCACAGGTTAAGGCAAAGCATCCGATTAGGAGGCAGCAGAATGCCTCAATACGAAGGACGGACCGGCAGGTGGGTGACCGCGGCATGTGGGTGAGAAAAGGAGCGGCAGGCAGGTCGGGAAAATGGAGACATTCTCGCCACGTAACCCACCGAGCAGTCACACGGAAACACTGTAACGCCACCCGAGGTGGACTAAAGCTAAGAGTCCAAACCGCAGCTTAGTAGGGACCTAGGGAGGCATACCCATGACCTGTACCCCGCCCACTCCGCCCAGGCACAACTGCCTTGACCCCAATGACAACCTCACAACCCTCGCACCCGACTCGACTCATCCATGTAACCGACCACCCATGGCGTAAATGGTGTATTCGTCGGTATTCGTCGGCTCCTCCCGTTCAAACGCAACTGTGGCGCTCCCCTACCATCTCCTACCGGGACGCTCCCCTGCCACCCTACCCACCGTAATGATTTCGCTGATGCCCTTGACGCCCTGGCGCAGGACGTCGTCCGCAATCTTGAATGCGTCCTTGATGGGCACGTTGCTGTCCATGGCTGTGGAAGGCGCAGGCAGCGAGGGGGCAGACAGGCGCATACAAGCGGGGGGCACACAGGGTGAACAAAACCATTTGTTGCGTAAGAAGCTTGCATGCTAATAGTACGCAGAGACGTTTCACGGCCGGCATAGCTGTAAGACACCAAGACAACCGGAGTCTTTCAACGTAATGGTTGCACGACTAGGTGGGCAGATTCAAGTTCCCCAGAGGCGGTCATATTCAACAGTCGACACCTTCCATGGCGGCTCCATCCTTCCAGATCCTCTTTCAAGCAAACCATCCAGTCATCCACATATTGTTGAGGTTGGATTGGACAGGTTCCCTACCTGACAGCAGGCGGTCGTTGGGGATGACGATCAGCGTGTCAACGGCTGAGCGCAGGTTGGCCAGCGCGCTGCGAGCCTGGGAGGAGGAGGAGACACACGGCCCCGGGGTGACACGATCGTGTGGAATGCTAGGCCCCAAAGCAATACGAGGAGAACAACATGCCCCAAAACCCGAATCCCCATACAACAAATGTTTGGGAAGCCATGCTCCGCTGAAAGCCTCTCAGCGCTTTGCAGCACGTCAGCCGTCCTAAGTTGCAACCGTGGCGCAAGGCAAGGCACCCGCCGACACACCTGCTGGGCGCGTTGCCTCCCCTCAAATGTGAAGGGCGTGGTGACAATGCCAACGGTCAGGATGCCCATCTCGCGAGCCTGCTGCTCGACAATAGGTGCCGCACCACTGCCCGTGCCCCCACCCATGCCAGCCTGCAGGGTTGGAAAGCGAGAGGTAGTGCATGAACAGAACAGCAGTTAGCCTGGGTCCTGCGCCATCCGTTTACTGTGAAACGCCTTTTCTCGTTCCAGGGAAATCTGGAGCATGAAGGTTGTCATTCGCCATCCCTTTTGCCCCTGACCATACAATGCGCTACAAAAAACCCTTGGCCAATCTTGCATCTAGAGCGTGCCTTTCAGTCGCTGCTCACTGTTCCAAGGTGCGGGGTGGCCCTTGGGGCTTCTGCCCGCAGGAGCGCGACGGCTAGTGCCCAGCTACCCGGCTGGCTGGACAGTAACCCACCGTTACAAAGACCATGTCGGTGTTCCGCAGGGCTTCCGTGATGGCCTCCCGGCTCTCCAGTGCAGCTTTCTGTGGGCCCAACGGCAGCACGACACCGTAAGAAGGCAGCGAAGAATCCAAACGCAGCTGCGACTGCTGCTTGTAAGCGATATGGAACAAGTAAATGGGGCAGGACCAGGCATGGAAAGGAAGGTCCGAAGCAGCAAACGTAACCTCACCGCGCCGATTTCAGGGTTGCCACCCGCACCCAGGCCGCGTGTGAGCTTGGAGCCAATCTGCACTTTATGGTTGCCGGCAACCGGAGAAACCGCCAAGGCCTGTAGAGTGGATGGATGAAGGCTAATTGCAAAACTCATAAAGCTTACGGGCCACCTCGCAACAGCTCCGCATGAACATACCTGTGCATCTGTGTTTGCAATCCAAAATTCTACTCCTTGGACATCGCTGTTGACCATGTTGTTAACTGCGTTTGAGCCACCGCCACCCACTCCGAATACCTGTAAAGGCGCCAACATTAGCTGTGATGCGCGCGCCAAACGACTTCTGGATCGCTAGAAGCATAGTCATTGCAGAACAACAAACCTTAATAATCGCCTGGCTGCTGCTAGCAGTCACGCGAAGGGACTTTCGACCTGACATGCGCAGCTGCGATGCCCTACACCGCTGGCTAAAGTTAACATGCCTGGCAGGCTGCTTAGATGTGAGCATTTTCAAGTACGTGTCCTGAATAAAGGCAAGCCTAGTAAAACGAGCGCAGTTCTTTGAAGTTAAGAGTTTGAACAAATGTTGCTGAAAGATGCACAGGTTATAGGTTCTAAAACAACTGTTATTAACCCTTCGTTGGCCATAAACACGTTTTAGTTGACATAAATGTAGAACCACGAATTATTTCTTCTTTGGCGCCGGAACCGTCACCGCGCCGAAACCAGTGCGCCAATTAGCTAAGGTGAAAGGCACCTGAAAGGCAAGAACAGCTCATCAATGTGCAATATTTCGCTTTAGCGGCGAAATTGGTTAAAAGGGAAGGTATTGCATACGCTGTTTCTTGTCGCTGTAGGTGTAACTAAGTCAAATGCCTGCGGCGAGGCACGCAAGGAAAGCGCTACTCGGGGACCTGAAGACAACCCAGTCATGCTTTGGGGAAGGGTAATGCTAAAGCAATGTGGCCGTGCGTCAGCCTCCAGACGGAACGAACGCTGAACTGAGAACTGTGCTGAGGCCTGGAACGCTAAAGAGGACGCAGCGCTGTCCCCGCGGCTGGCTCCTGAGCGCAGTCGCGACTGTCGTAACGGCAACGGTGGAACACAGAGATGGAGAGAATACACGGTTTTGGAGCGGAGTTTCCACGCGCGCTTCCATGCCGCCTTTAGAATGCAGTACAAAGCTGCCTCAAGAGGCGCACATGATACATAGAAACGCCGGAGGTCCTCCGTAAAAAGGCCCTAACATGGTTCGCCAACCATCGTATAACCCACATAAAGCTGCGACGGGCTGTGCAGTGTATGCAGCCCTTATATCGCAGCCCTACAGAACCGCCGCGGTTCATATTGTACAATCCGATAAGGGGTCCATCGCCTCAAAACATAAAACAAGTACCCCGACGTAAAACGTTCCTATCAGTGCCAAAAACATTGTCCGGAATAGCTCAACAGTCAAACCAACACCTACTCCCAAACCGAGCAGCAAACGGCATGGGTAGCTGGTCGGTTACTGGCAAGCGCGAGGAAAAGACCGCAGTTTTGCCAACGCGCACGCCGCACGCCAGGGAAACAAAGAGGAGAACTACCTCTTCCTTGACTATACCAGGGAAACTCCTCCTCCGCCGTGTCAGAAAGCGTCCAAATGCACTCTGCATCTCATCGAGTAAACCGTGACGACGATTTAGCGACCCAACAAACACCCATGGAAGCGAACACCCCAGTAAACCCAGTAAACGTCATGAGTGGCAGAAGAGGCGCTGATACGACCCAGTCAGCTTAGCCACCGTCTTAAAATATCCTTTCGCCGTCACCCATGCAGCCGACATGCTAAACACAAAAACAATGACCTGCCGCCACCACACGACAACCAGGCAACCACACCAGGAGCCCTGTATACCAACCTAGAAAAGCAGAGGTCTAAAGCGCTCGGGGGGAAAGGGGGGCGCTGAAGTAAAGCCGAGCGCCAACCGTACTAAGACCAGGGGTGGGGGAGAGTTCACGCGCGCCAGCTGCACCCGCCCCGATTAGTAATAAGGCACTAAAATCCAAAGATCCTTTCTGACTCCGCGCGCGCTTGTGTGCCAGCATGCTACATCCGCAGGTCGCCTCCAAGGGGCTCTCGGCCTGGTCATAAGGGACCCGGCAGAATTCCACAGCGCAACAAGCGTAGGACACACCTGCCTGAGCTTACGCTGCTCCGTCCTGCACACCACAACCAAGCATCCCTCCAAAGCGTCGCGCACGTGCAAAAGCTCATGCACATTCCGTAAGTAGTGAGGAAGTCATGAGTTACTGCCGGCGTCCACACCGAGGACGCCAAGAACTAGCCGTCAGGAAAGAGGTCAACCGCCAGTGAAACCTCGCTTGCAGCTATCAAACAACTGCATGCAAGCAGACTAGCATGGCAGGTGGCAGGTGTAGCTTCCAGTCCGCCTGCCGCTTAGCACTTGCCCACGGCGGGCTTCACCACGAGCGCGTCGCGGCCGGGGCCCACGCCAATCCACTTGCAGTGGATGCCTGCAGGAGGCGTTACAAGGAAGAGCGCGAACACACGGTTGGCACCAGGAAGACGAGGGGAGTGGCGCACAGGGAACCCGGCGGCAGCGTGAATGTGAGGAACGCAGGTCTCACATGCGGCCACCCACCCATGTGGTCAACACGCTGCACGGCATCTGTCCATCTTGACTCCAAAGCCCGCACAAGAAACCGGCCCCCCACTCCCCAGCCCATTTCCCCCTTCCGCCCCACCCCGCCTCACCTATGAGGTCCTCAATGCGCTGCACGTAGTCCTTGGCCGCCTGCGGCATGTCCTTCCAGTCCCGCACAGCCGAGATGTCCGACTGCCAGCCGGGCAGCGTCTCGTACACCACCTGAGGTGGTGCCGTACAGAGCCGTTCGACAGGAGGAGCAGCAGAGAATGCGTGAGAGCCGGTGGAGCCAACGGGATTCCGAAAAAAGGGCGGTTGCATGCTGAACACGGCTCCTTTTGTTTGGCGTGTGAGGCACGTTGGGAGGGGGAGGCCGTGTGTTGAGAAATGCAGGCGATGTCTTAACCGCGATCAGAAGATGTAGCGGCTGTCAACAAACACATGCTCACGTCACCGCACAAGCGGCGCCGCTGGCACATTGCCGCACCTACGTTTCCGCGGCTTTCCGCCATCCGGCCGTCCTACCCCATCCATCATCCACCACTACTCACCTCCACGTTTTCGAGGGTCTCCAGATCCGCCGGCACCGACCGCAGCACCTGCCCCTCCTTCGTCTTGTAGCCCACACCAATCTTGATCTCCGGCAGCTCACTGAGCACATCCAGCTTGGTGATGTTGAGGTGCGTGAGGCCGTTGATGCGGCACGTGTAGCGCAGGGCCACAATGTCCATCCAGCCGATGCGGCGCGGGCGCCCGGTGGTGGTGCCGTACTCCCGCCCGATCTCTCGGAGCCCCTCAGCCAGCTCGCCAAACACCTCGGTGGGGTATGGCCCGGCGCCCACACGGGTGGTGTAGGCCTTGACCTACGTGTATGAGGGGAGAGGGAGCAGAGGGGATTAATAGGGCTAAAGATTCCGCAGAGCAGAGGGGAGGGAAGCGGCGATGGCTATGGGCGGGTTGAGACTGACTGTTGGATGCGATTGGGGGTGGCAAGCAGGGGACGAGGAGGTCACAGGAACACCGGCTGAAATGCATCTGCTCTAGGGAGTTGTGAGACCTGAGCTGTGCCGTAGAACTGCGATACGGGCGCTGAACGGGTACATGGCCCGGACGCCTGCCCGCTGCCCTCAAACATTTCCCACCCGGACTTATTAGCCCACATTTCCCATTTCCCCACCCGGACAATCATCGTCCCACACCGGACAATAATCGTGCTGGAAGCAGTCCGCTGCGGAAGCCTCCCTGGACTAGCTGGTCCTCCGGCTGCTGGCCTGCAGCAGCCGCACCTACACTCCTAGCCTGCTGAACCCCCTGCCTAAGACACTTCTTACCCCTCATCTCACAGTAAGAATGCGTGTTACAAGTACCCGCTGCTTACTTACCACGCCGACGAGGGCATCGTACTTGGAGGGCGGCAGACCAAGGCCGGTGGCAATGCCGCCGACGGAGGGGTTGGAGGAGGTGACGTAGGGGTAGGTGCCAAAGTCCACGTCAAGCATGGTGGCGTTGGCGCCCTCAATCAGAATGCGCTTGCCCTCGTCGTGCGCCGTGTGGAGGAACTCAACGGTGTCCGTCACGAACGGCAGTACCTTCTGCGCTAGCTCGTGGTACTTTTGAATATCTGCCTCCACGTCATACTCAAAGCCCGAGCCAAAGCGCTTGCTCCCATCCATCGACAGCTTTCTAAGCTTCTCGGCGAATGAGTCAAGCTTTCGCAGGTCACATACTCGCAGTCCGTTGCGGGTTGCCTTCGAGCTGTAAGCCGGGCCGATGCCCCGCTTCGTGGTACCAATCTGCTTGCCGCTGCCGGCGAGCTCCGCCTCGCGCAGGCCATCGATCTCCTTGTGCAAGTCAAAGAGCAGGTGCGCGCGATCCGAGATTTTCAATCGGTCCCCAACGCTGATGCCCTTCTTCTGCAAGTTTGCAATCTCCTCGAAGAGGCCAGGCAAGTGCAGCACCACGCCATTGCCAATCACGCAAGTCGCCTTCTGGTTTAATATGCCGGAAGGCACCAAGTGCAGCGCATACTTGTTGCCAGCATCGTCATAGATGGTGTGGCCAGCATTGGCGCCACCCTGTGGCATGGACAGCGCCGCTTTCGGTTGGGTCTCATAACGTCAGTTCGTCGTCAAGCAACTTCATTTCCATACCTGAGCACGGGCTACGATGTCATACTGCTGCGCAAGGATATCGACAAGTTTACCCTTGCCCTCATCACCCCACTGGGTACCGAGCACAACGCAAACTTGCGCATCAAAGCGCTCCGCAGCGGCGGCAGCCGGCGCCGCCGGCCGTGACTGGCACAGAGTCCGTGTCGGGCATATCCTAGTGAAACGGTATGGCGCTGACGTCCGGCCGGCACGCTGTGCCGGCCGCCCAGCAACTGGCGCTTGCGAAAACAACATACTGTCCCGGCCTAGAGAACCCCCAAGACGTCACAAAATTGGAGTTCTCCTGCCTACTCTTTTCACACTCCCTGTCTTGACCGTAGTTGGGACCGCTTCTTCCTGGTCCACTACATGTTGTACAAAGCGTACGGCCCGTTAACATGCTGTGTGATCAAGCTTTCATCGTCACTCGTGCCTCTATAAAAGCTGAGTTTCTATATTGCTACGACTTAACAATGATTTGTCTCGGCCTTGCTAGTGCTCCACGAAACCATCCTCTTGCACGTCTCTGCCACGTAACAGCTTGCCTTGCCTCTTCTGTACATTCTTTCCCATTCCTTGCGTGGCACGCCTAACCTTGTGACCTGGTAACACGGTCGGTCCTCATGTCGGTGCCAATGCTAGGATGCAATATGCTGTTTTGTCAGCCATGCTCATTTGACGTCGGAGCCGAATCTGACAAGGCGAGTGCATGTAGGTTTACGTACAGATGGAGCGTGCTGCCGGTGGATTCCTCAAGGGGCGCGGGACCCAAGAGTAATTCCGGTGCACCCGTGTCTCATGCTACAGCAAGGTGGAAAGCCTCACCCTATCAGTTATCTAGTCCCCCTTTAGGGGGGTAGATAGTGACAAACCAAATGCCGGTTACCGTGCCCCCAAACTTGTTTGTGACCCATTACGATGACCAGATCTCCTTACGCAGGTCTGTCTATGCTTATCAAGGGCCCCTTTCAATGCAGGACCCCTCACCATATATCAATGACCAAGTAACACCATTCCCGTCGGAATAATGGAATACCTGGATGTCATCCCGCAACCCCTCACGCCGCATAGCACCGCCTACCTGCGCTAAAACTGAATTACTTGCGTGGGTCTGGAACTGGCACTGGACCCATGCATTAGAACCGTGCGGCAAGCTGGCAGCCTGAAGCACTAAGGCCTGCATGGCGCCATGCGGCTGTGCCACCCTGTGAGCCTCGTGGCAATTATAAGATTCCACTTATAACGGATTACTAGCCACAAAGGCTTCTTATGTATGGCGCAACAGGTATTGGTATTGAATGCAAGGACTCACTACCCCGCCGAAGTCGGTGTGTTTTTGGTGTAGACGTCTGGGGTACCACCCACTCCGAAACCGTTTGCTCCTATCCTCTATTAAATGAAAGCCTTGCCACCTGCATGGGTGGTCTGTGGTGCACAGACGCTTCTGCCGTACATGTTCGCTCGCACACAACAGCGCGTGGTCAACCGCTTTCCATCACTTGTGGCCCAGGCCCCTCCGTTTTTGCTGCAATGCATGGCAGGTATGACAGCTATTGCTCACAGCACAATGCTTGTTGGGGGCGCAGGCTGTCTCGTACAGAGGCTTTTGCGGTACGACAAAGGATACCACAGACTTCTGCGCCGTAGTGACTGCTGCTTATCAGGATACATGGAATCCTGGACAGGCTGACATGCCGACAGCAACAGGTGTCCGGAGCAACAGGTGTTGTGGCATGGTCGCAAGGACGCATGTTGCACCCGGACTTCCAGGGTCGCAGGAGACTAAGGCGTATCTTCTTTTATTGCAGCTGAAGCAGTAACTGTGCTCCTGGAGCAGTTAATGAATCCGTGGATATGGGATAGCCAGGACCTTTTGCGCGAATCTCCGAAACCATGTGACGGGGAGAAGGGGAGAAGCAGTTTGTCGAGTTTGAATGGTGCACTATGCCTCCGGCTACACGCTTCTGTTACAAAACCAACTAGCTTTCCGTCCTGATCAGCAATCTTCTTCCATTTTTTAGGAGAACTGCGAAAACTGCTTCATTTCCCCGCTTGACCAGTACTGCATATTGTCTCTCTAAAGTTTGAAGGTCTCAGCAAGTTTTCGAAGTGCTTGCAATGGCTCTTGACGCTGGGCGGATACAGAAGGTTCGATTAACAGCTGTGGATAAGGGGCTTTCTAAAATGTCAGCAGTGTACGTTTGAAACGCAGGAGCTTAGGGAAATTGAGCGAGACACGGCTTCTGGCGTCACTGTTAAGTTGAAGGGCACATCCCTGCAACAGCTCGTAGGCTACGTCCCGGGTCCCAAAGACACGCCTTACGAGGGCGGCCTGTTCGTCGTGGATATAACGCTGGAGAATTCCTACCCGTTCGTGCCGCCAAAGATGAAGTTTGTCACGAAGGTGGCTTGGATGGGTGGTCTCGACCTTAGGAGCTAGGCATGAAAGGACCAGCGCACCTAGATGTATCGGGTGGTCCCAAATGTCGTAGAGGACATCTTGCCTGTGTGTTCGCCTAGGAGTTACCATGCGACTGTTCGCCTCCACTACTGCAACCGTAGGGTTGCGGCCCTCACGGACCCTTTCGACCAATTGGCGTGTCAGCCCCCTCGCCCTGCGTTTCACCCCTGTGCCCTGTTCCTGCACCCTCCCAATAGTCGCCTGGCCCCACGGCACATGGCGCCTGGAGGTCTCTACCCCACGACCCCGGCGTCGGGCATCAGGCACCACAGCCTGGATGTCTCTTCCCTTTTCGTTTCCTTTTGTTACCCGGCATCCTTACGTGGTCGGCCAACCCCCTTCGCCGCCCTGCCACCGCCTGCTGCTCTGCTGAGCTCCTGCCGCCTGCCTGCCCCTCGCCCGGCTGCCCGCTGTTGCAGGTGTGGCACCCCAATGTGAGCAGTCAGAGCGGCGCCATCTGCCTGGACATCCTCAAAGACCAGGTGCGGGGGCAGCGGGGCGGGGCGGGGCGGGGCGGCGGGGGGGGGGTAAGCAGGTGGAACATAGCTGCATGGTAGCCTGTGTCTCGGCGACGGACTTTACGCCCATGCGCAGGCATTGTGAAGCACAACCAGCTGTGCCTTTGCATGTATGGCGCATGTGGGCTGCGTGCATCAGGACATTGGGGTGGTGTGTATAGCAGCACCGAACACGTGTTGGCGGCGGCTGAGGTGCCCTGGCTGGCCGACGCGTGATGCTCACAGGACAGAACTGGCTGCGAATTGGAAAGCAAGCCGCCAGTCTCGTGGCATGCGATACGTGGTGCATGAGTGATGGCCTCATGGCTCGTGTGTTTGTCGCACCTGCGACGTGTGCGCATGCAGGCACCCATGCGAAGCGCCTTCGCTCCTTGGCGTGTGGCGTGCGTTTCCATGATCCGCCGCCGCTCCCCACCCCCACCTGTTTTTGTGGCATCCTGTCGCCTCCTCCCGATTGCCTTGCCCTCACTTATGGCTTCCAATAGGACAGGTATATTTCCCTCTGACCCCCGGCCCCGCAGTGGAGCCCCGCGCTGACGCTCAAGACGGCGCTACTCAGCCTGCAGGCGCTGCTGTCCTCACCGCAGCCGGATGACCCGCAGGTGGGGCTGGGGAAGGCACGGGGCCGCGCAGGTGGGCGGGGAGAGGCGCGCAGGTGTGTGGGGGGGGGAGGCGCGCAGGTGTGTGGGGGGAGGCGCGCAGGTGGGGGAAAATATAGATAAATGCATCAACGGAGTCCCAATCCCGAATCCCGACTCTTGCAGCGAGCGCATTCGGAGACCCTATTCTAGAAACAGCAGAGACTTACCGATTGCTTGCTTACCAGAAACCGATATGACTTGAGGAAGAAGCCGCCTTGCACAGGAACACTAGTTAGGCATGTGGCGCGCAGGTACGAACTCTCATGGGCATGCGACTGACCCATGGGTCGTTGCCCACTGACCCATGTGCAGGACGCTGTGGTTGCCAAGCAGTACATCAACGACTACGAGACGTACAAGAAAACGGCGCGGTGGGTACGAACAACAGCGTCTTGCTACCGCATGCGAACCGGGGATCCTCACCGCCGGGGCTCTACATAGGATTATAGCCGCTATGACGCCCACTCATGCCCACGGCGCATCTCTTTATGATGGGCAATTAACATAGTCCGTACGCGTTGACATTGTATATCCGCAAGAAACTGGGGGAGTAACGACAACACCACTCTTGTGACGTCGTGTGTTGTGACGACATGTGTGTTGTATGTGGCTTCCTGGCGGCTCGCTCGCAGGTACTGGACGGAGGCGTTCGCGAGCCCCACCGCGGGGGCGCCCGAGGACAAGATCAAGAGCATCGTGGAAATGGGCTTCGACCGCGCATCAGCCATCGCTGCCCTACAGGAGACCGGCGGGGACACCAACGCGGCGTTAGAAAAGCTGCTTGGGCAATAGCAGCGGAGGCTTATGTGCGCACGGGTTGTGCCGCTGTCTGTTAGTAGCCAAGGGAACTTTGCCGGGAGGGCTTGCTCGTCTGGTGCATGCTTGGCGGCGGCTTGGTTGAGGCCGATGGGCCTGGAGTGCGGGAGGCGTGTAAAGATGGATGTAGCGGTGAAGAGGGGGCGGTACTGTGACGGCTGCCTGGCGTTTCCTAAGGCTCCTACCGAGGCGTCCAGAGTGGCGCCGTGCTCCGAGTGGTGTATGTCTGAGGCGCTGCCTTCCTCCCTAGGCGTCTCGTACGAGTACCTGTCCTACGATGGGCGCGCGGGTGGCTTCTTGCTGAGCCGCATCATATGGAGATCCGAACCGGTGCCGTGTTCACCCCTGTTCGCACGTGTTCGCGCTGACTTGCTGGTGTTGCAGGCGTGTGTCTGTGAGGTACTGCGCGACATGGTGCTGGCCGCACGACCGGGTTACAATGCCGCTGGTGTGTCGGTAGCACTGCGTGCGCATGACGGGGGCTTTCGTCGTCGCAGTTTGGAGTCTCGATCCTTTTGCAGACAAACCAGTCCCTACGGAAAGGGCGTCGATTGCGCAACCATTGCTGGGTTAAATGGTCGGGGTCGGCAATGCTGCGCGGGTTACGCATCATTCGCCATCAGGTGGACCAAAAATGGTTACAAGAGGCAGATCTGGCTCACGGCCCACACAAAAACGCGCACCTCCCTGCATGGCCTATCCTTGCACCCCCACCCGCAGTCAGCCGGAGAGCAAAAACTGATTGCGGGTGGGGGAAGACGTACTTCATCCATTACCCGTGAAGTACTGAGCATCTCCGTATATGAAACCACACCATCCTCATGACTAATACATGGAAACCTGCAGGTGCGCTCTCAACGCAGGACAACGCGGGCAATGTCCTTTCCGCCCCATTCGTAACGGACGAATGTTAAATCTTGGCAGTTACCGTTCACAAAGTAACCCCTCCACAATGCTTCTGCACTTACACCCCGCACACTCGCTTCCACTCTGTCCACCTGTTCACCTCCCAAACGTTCACCTTGCCACGTGGCATACCGCCGCGTGCAGTCAACAACTCCAGCGTGCAGTCAGCAACAGGCTCGCAAGCAAGCACAGGTAACAGAAAAACGACCCGTAGGTCTCTTCACACCTTTCCACCACCCGCAGTGCCTCCAACCCCCGGGCCTGCAGACTGACTCCCGCCCGCAGTTGCGTGGTCGCCTGATGCAGACCCTTCGCGTCAGAAACCCGCAGAAAGCCTCGATCAGTCCGGAAACAGGTCAGCAGGCTTGCAACGCCTTCAACCTGCCGTCAGCAGCTGGGACCCCACTGCAACAATGCAGCAACACAGCTGCCGTGTGGCCACCACCTGCCTTCCTGAGAGCCCGTGTGCTCCCATTCCAACGGGTGCCACCAAGCTGCGGTGACGGAAAGCCGAGGCAACACACGTACGGCTCTGCCCCTCACGTGTAAACGAGCGGCAACAAGCTACTCACATGCCCCATCTAACAACCCCAACAACCAGCTGGTTGCGCCCCAGCCAGCTCCAAGCGTACACGTCATCACCTCATGCGCCCCGCCCATGCCCTCGTGCATCCTCTGCTCGCCCGTCGCGGCCTCTTCACCAGTTGACCCCCACCAGCTTGGCGGGCGTGACCTCCACCACGTTGCCCATCTTGCCCGGCACCGAGCCCTTGACGACCAGCGCGCGGCGCTCGGTGTCCACCTTGAGCAGCGTCTGGTTCTTCACAGTGGCACGCACGTTGCCCATCTGGGGGAGGAGGGGAGCGGGTGGGCGGGCAGGAGAGGGATGAGCATGCCCCCCTTTTGGCCCCTAGCCCTCCTGCATTTCATATGATTCTCCTTCCCGTGCCAAGAGGGTACACCACCCATGCTTTCTTAATGCATTCATTCCTAACGCCCCCTTTCCGCTGCATCTCCCAGGGAGCGTCCCCATGGCGTCCAGCCGGTTTGTCGAGGTGTCCGAAGGCCCTCTTTAAGTATAACCGATCTGGGTTGATCTGGGTCACGTGCCCCGACCGCGCCCGGGCCCCGCCGTCACCCGCGCAACCCTCCCTCCATGCTGACCTGGCCCGCCATCTTCAGGCCCGGGAGGACACGCGAGGGGGTAGTGGCCGCACCAATGGAACCATGCTCGCGGTGGGATTTGGAACCGTGGGTCATGGCGCCGCGCTTGTGGTGCCACCTCTTGATGGTGCCTGCGGGATGGGAATAAAGGAGGAGTGAAGAGGATTCGAGTCGTCAGCCCCGGGGGCCGTGACAGCGGCACGGGGTGCGGACAAACAATTAAATGCGCAGAGACCAGCACCACCGGTTTGGGTAGCGGGACCCCGAACCGGTAGTGCTGGCGTGACTTCATTAAAGGCTTCAACTTCCAGTAGGGCCGTTTAAACAGCAGGGCTGCATGAACACAATAGCTGCTGCCCTAATGTAGCTATGCATTCCCAGTTCCCAGCAAAAGGACCTTGCCTTAGCAATCAGGGTGCTTATGACCCAAGAACCTGCAGGATTACCCACCCATGCCCACAACTAGTCGGTTCCCGTTAGTATTCTTTGTATGTCCCGTTGTCTTACACCGGCGGGGCAACCATCAGCGTCCGCATCGCAATCGATTACTGCATACCAAATAAGCTCCCTCTGCCGCACACGCTAACCCCCATTACAGGTTTGCGAGCACCCTTTTGAACCCACCAGCTTCGACACTACAGTAAACATCTAATACTCAGCACCACCCAACCACCCACCTTGGAAGCCCTTTCCTACTGTGACGCCCGCCACGTCCACGGTCTCGCCCTCCTTGAGGAGCGCGGCAACATCTAGCTCCTGCCCTGGCTGGTAGGCTTCCACGGCAGCGCGGTCCTTAAGCTGCGCGGCCATGGAACACGCAAACACCAAATAGGCAACACAATGTTTCCGACGAGAGGCTTGGGAAGCGGAGGCAACCACAAGGGGGCAACTGCTGTAATTGCAAGCATGTGGCCAGCAAGGTCAAGCGTACAGTACAGCACTAATATAGTATGGCTACAATACAATTGCAGGAGCTTAAGGATATGATGGGAATCTGGGAAACATTGTCTACTTGCGGCCGCGGATACAGGAGCCACAAGCCGCCCGGGAACTCCTCCTGCGCACCTTGAATTCTACCAGGTGCCTCATCGGCTTTACGCCCGACTTCTTAAGGTGTCCGAGCTCTGGCTTAGTGACCTTCTTCTCTGCCACAGCCTTGTATCCCACTTGCACGGCGTTGTAGCCATCGGTATCTTGCGTCTTCACCTGGGTGACCACATTGCCCTCCTCTAGTGCAATTACGGTAGCTGGAACGCACAGGCCATCCTCCGTGAAGTATGACATCATGCCAGCCTTGGTGCCCAGCACACCGAGCGCCTTCCTATATTGCCTTGCCTCCACAAGCACAGTTCGAGCGCGGCTGAACCTGCTTACACGCACAGGCGCCGCGGCTGACTTAAAAGACGAACTGGCCGCAAAGGCCCGAGTATGCTGCAACGCCATATTGCCTAGGATAACACTTGTACGTAATAAGAAACAAGGCAGAGCTTAAAATGCTCCAACATAAAGTAGGAGTGTGGGGTCAAAAGAGGAATGGACCTACATGATCGTACGATGGATTGTCCTCGCTAATTGACAATGCCTCAATGCGACCTAACGCTGCTGCACTTGCGTTACGACCGGTACGGGCACCAAAGCACCAAGAAGACGCACGTTAGAGCTGCGGTCGACGACGAGTTTGGTGGAGTGGGCGATACTTGAGGAACTCGCCATGCCATGTGACATGAGCGGGGTGTAGCCGCCCCCACAAGTGCTTACCTCTGCTTCAACTGAAGCGAAAGAGGTTGTATTGTCAAAGGGGTGGTAGGCCTGGGACTTAGGATCCGAGGATCCGAAGGTCGTTGCGCTGCTTTAGCAGCACCCTTACACGATGCAAACATATGCCATGCCATCTCAGCGCCACCTATCCGATGTAAAGTACGCTTGAGGTGGCAACTTTGAAAGCTTGGGATACCCTTTTCATGGCAGCTAGCTGGATGATTGCATGCTTACAACCGACCCGCGGGGCCTTCAGTTACCGATACAGTTACAGTTACTGCAACTGTTACAGTTCAGTGCGTGTACTACAACATTAGCGTGCGATACTAAGGCAGTTAGTTAATCAACGGGGAAGCAGGACCCGCTCAGATGCGTTGGGAGCAGGGGGCAGGGTGTAAGACGCACAGTGCTGGGAGCAGAGAGCCAGAAGTAGATGACCGGGAGCTAGGAGAAGAGAGTAAAGAACCGGTGTCATGGTTTCAGCGGTTGCAGGCTTGGGAGGGGGTTCTGTGTTTTCGGAGTGCTCCAGGGTACCTCTTTAGGTAATCGGGTAGCGGGCTTTGTTGTTTCTTTCGCGGACTTGTCTTGGTTACAAACTGCCTCTGGTTTAAGGGATTCCTGTGTTTGTCCTCGGGGGTTACGGGGTCCCTGCTTTCGGGGGGTGTCGGGTTCGGTTTCTGTCATTTTTGCGCTAGTGTTTTCTGTTGGAGTTGTGCTTTTCGGGGGGGGGCGTGTGTTCGATATCCGGACCAGAGTTTTGAACTACGGGTTGTCGGGTCTTTTGTTTTAAGGGGGGCCTTTTGCTTGTTGACGGAGGTTGCGGGTTTAGCCTTCAGGGGTGGTGGTGTCACCCCTCACCTGGCCAGGGGTCAGGGTGCGGCCTGATGACCTGCTTGGCAGGTCGCCCGTCCTTGTCCCGTCCGGTCTGGAGTGTTGCTTTGTTACCCTGTTGTTACAGTTAGTTACAGTCTTAGGGTCGACTTGTTTGCGGTTTGTTGCCAGGGGTTTCCAGGGATTCTCCGTCACGCTTGTCCCATTCCTATCTCTGTAATCATTCATAGGTAAAAAGTTAAGCAGCAACTTCGCCCCAAACCGCATTCTTTGTCGAGTACATACCAGATTAAAGGTACGTTCTCACAATCCCCCTTGGCAACGTCCTAACCCTTTGGTCGCTCCACGCCATCTCACGCGTTCACCCACTTTAAACTTCGACTGACTTCGGGGCAAACCTTCCTGTGCGCTCCCACACCCCGTCAGGCACCGTCCCCTCCCATGTGGGTCAGCGCCCAGGGTGCCGGCAGGGTGTGCCTGTTGCCGTGTGGGACACCGGCCAGAAGCATGGCAACAAGACCTTACTGGGGATGACGTAGGAAGGGCGGCCAAGTGCAAAGGTGGGGTGTCAAGACTCAGGAGGTGTCAAAGACCATACCAAAACATAGGAAACTAACTACAGGTTAGGGCGAAGCAACGGGGGTAGGAGGCGGCAGGGTGCCACAAGGCAAAGTGTTGGTTAGTATACAGGCAGGGGGAGGGGAAAGAAAAATGGGATAAGAGATAGATCAAACCATATGAAAGAAGAAGAACCCGAAGTCCAAGGGAGCGGGGCAATGGCGTAGGAGGTGCATGCATGGTCGTCAGGTTAGCGATTACGTGGTACGCAAGGAAGCGGACAAAAATCTAGAGGAATTGCACGAGTAACCTGCAGGGCAACTCGTGGCGACGTTGTGTTACATTTAGCCACTACACCGCGCATCAGTTGTCCACCAACTACTGGCAAGTGCACAAGCTTGGAGGTGCAGGTTGTCGTAAGCGTTCGTTGTCATGTGTCGCGAGCACACAAGCAGACGACTGACATCGAAGAGGTCCATCGCGGACAAATGGCCAAGAAGCACTCCGCATTAAAGTAGGCAAGAGTTGCATACGCAAGGTCCAAGGCTTCCTAGGGTTAAACTAAGGTTGGGATTTTACGGTAAGTGGCAGTATATACGGGCAACAACCTAAGCTGCGGTGTGAAACGCCTTGCCCGTGATTGCAACACAAAGATGACATGATCCTTCATTGCCATGTACCGACGGGTGGTCTTATCAGGCCCATGGCATCTAGCGCGGTGTCAAGAGGTCAACCGGTATTGTTACTCACAAGCATCCAGAGGAGCGACATTACCAACATTTTACTTGCTGCTTACCGGTACTGCCTGTTACTGTGCCAACACTGCCTTGTGGTTACAAGGAAAGTAAGAAGAGCAGCGTTGAGTAAGGCGGCAGCCGACACCATTGCCCGTTCCCATAGCAACATTGCATCACAAACGTCAGTTTGCACATGCATTGCGCGTTATATGCCTACTAACTGCGCCCCCACGACCCTTAAGCAAACCAAGCGTGGCTCGCAAATCGCGCATACTCTTACGTTTACATGAGCATTCAGGTCAGTCTGAATACATAGCTGGGCCATAGCCCACGCCTTCAGTAAGCCTACGTCCTGAGAGGTGTCCTTCCTGTAGTCACATGACCACCCCGAACGTTTAAGCAAGGGCATCCAACTTATGATAGAGCCTGTTCAAATGAGGGCGTGCCGTTGTATGTTTACGGGTTTCGACCAGTAACCGGCTCTCTTGCAGTACGGCTGGATGCCGTAAGCGCAATTTCTTTGCCTTCTTCATACTGCACGTGAAAGACAGTGTTACTAGTCACTACACTTTATCATGCATAGCTGACAGCGGTGTTATACATTCAATTTTGCTTTCATTCCTTTGCTTAGTCACCTTTCGCCTCAAGTCTTCAGAGCCTTTTCCTGCTTCTCTTTGTCTTCCAATACTGCTGGTAGTACTTTCAACTACTGGAGGGACCCGCTCTGAAAGCGGAGTGACGCGGCACAGATAGTCCCAAGGCGCCATTAGGGCCCTGGCTGCTGCCAAGGACTTTCAACTGAATTTACGCAGCTTGGTGATAGGGATTGATCACTCAGCTAGCATTCGCTCGGTTCCGTGGGAGTTCGCAGCTTGTCATCCTTCCGCAGTACAAGGCTGGCAGCGTCTTGGGCAGCTTGTATCGCTTACTAACCTTCCTAGGCCTTCAACTTGACGTTCGCAATGTTTGGGAACGCTGCTGCGGCTGCTGCGGCGGCTGGTTTTGCTACAGACCAGCAGCTTGGCGTGTACCCGGTCTTCGGCGCCCCGGTGCCTGCGGGCGGGGTCTTGGCAGCCGGCGGAGCTGCGCCCACGTTGTCGCCCACAGGAGAAGAGATACGCACCATATTCGTGACGGGTTTCCCTTCAAATGTGCACGATAGGGAGCTGCACAACCTTGTGTGCTTTCTACCGGGCTACGAAGCATCGCAGGTCAGCAGAGCTTACGCAGAGCTGTTTGCTGGGCGGGCGCGGTATACTTGGTTCGCACACAGGCCAATTAGTAGAATGCTTTTGCATCATTTTCTGCGCCGCAGCCGTCCGGCCGGCCATATTGGCGAAACCCAACAACTGCTGACCTGGTTAAATTTGCTAGATTCTTACACCATGTGGTATCGCTTACATATCGCAACGTCATTTTTGCTTGGGGTTGCTATTTCTTGTGTTCAGCACACGTTTCGCGCGCGCATGGTTCCTTGCAGACAGCGCCTTTGCTGTCGTCGAATCTTAACTTAATGCTTATCTTATTCTTATTGGGACGCTTTCCCAATCGCTTAAAGGGTTAGACCTTAGCATTCAGGGCACAGCCATTTTCCCTCTTGCCCGCAATGAAGGAGGTGGTCATGTTTCTTCATGGGCGATCCGAGTAAATGTGGTTATGTTACATAGCAAACATTTCCTCCCTCCCTCCCTCCCCGTTATGGATACAATCTTGCAGATGAACACAAAGCCGACGACCGGAACATCACCCCAGGGCTTCGCGCTCTTCAACTCCCCCGCCGCAGCTCAAGCCGCGATGATTCTATTGCACGACATGCAGTTTGACACCGACTGCCATCTCCGCTGCGAGATGGCACACAAGAACATGTACCTTAAGGTATGCCGTATGATTAATAGCGGGTGCTAGTACGACACATTGTTGCGTGTAAGCCTTAAGACCTTACGCTAAGAGCGCTTTTTGCCGCACCTCGCTTGTCAGGACGATCCCTCTATTCGGCGCGCTGATGCCCGGCGCAGCGCCGCGGCTGTCGGTCTCTCCCCGGGAGGCGGAGTGCCAGGTTCCGGCACTGGGATGCTGGCGGGTGTTTCGCCAATGGCGCCCATGGCCCTGGCAGGCAGCGGCCCGCCCTTCACCGCAGCTGGTAAGCAGTTTGGTAAGCAGCTCGGATGGGCTGGGGAAGGAATTCAGGCTTCTGTGCTATCCTTGTGATTGTCGTGCGTATCCGCTAAGCCCATTCGCCGTTTGCCGTGCGCCATTAGCAAATCCACAACAAACCTGCGCACAACCCAACGACACCTCGCAGGCATGGGCCCCCACACGTTCAGCGGCTCCCTGATGGCTTCCACGCTGGCCGCCCTCCGGCCCGCCGCCGTACACCACCACGCGGTGGGCGGCACCCTGCTGCCGCCGCCGGGCCAGGCGGCGGCCATGGCGGCGCAGCACGCCGGGCTGATCAACCCGACGCCAGTGGCCGGCTTTGGCCCCGTCACCAACAAGTTTGATAACCCGCCGTGCAACACGCTCTTCATTGGTGAGTGCGGGTGCTCTTTGGGTTTATAACGATGTGGGTCGCCTTTTTTGTTGGAGTTGAACGAAGGGGTACGAGGGGGTTGAAGGAGTGGGCTGCAGACGGCATGTAGTCGAGCTCCCAAAAATTCGTTATGGCTAGGGGCTTAAAGGTGGGTTACATCATGCCATGTAGCTTGCTTGTTTTGTCCCCAGTTGCCGCTTGTCTTGACAAGTCCCATCTTGACGCTTGGCCCCTGGTCCTTTCTCTTCCTCCTTGCCAGGCAACCTGGGTGACACGGTGGACGAGGGCGAGCTGACGGCGCTCTTCTCCTGCCAGCCGGGCTACAAGCAGCTGAAGCTGCTGCGACACCCACGACAGGTGGGTGTGTGGTGGGATGGATGCCAGCCTGCGAGAGACACTGATAGGGGTATGGATCGCGGGCAGACATAGGGCAGAGGTGCAGTGTTTGGGTTGTTTTACCAGCGTTGACCCGTGTGACCCACGTGCGTCATCGATCACCGCTGGCTGGCTGGATGTGGTTCACCATCCCACGGGTTGTGGATGTGGGTCATGCGGGTAGGGGATATGGGTCAATTGAGATTGTGCAGGACGTGACTATGAAGGGGCTTGGCTGTATCTACATCCTACACACGCAATTTCTGTCCACGTCTGTCATATGTGAACTCCCCCCGCAGGTCAGCTGCTTTGTGGAGTTCGTGGACGTGACCAGCGCCTCTGCCGTGCACAGCGCACTGCAGGGGGCCCTGCTCACCTCATCCGACCGCGGCCCCATCCGGATCCAGTACTCCAAGAACCCGTACGGAAAGCGCTCACCCCAGATGGGAGGCGGCATGGGTGCCGGGCCTTATGGTGGCGGCGCATCGCTGTCCGCGTCCTCCGCCTCCTCCTCCGCGGCTCTCCTGGGTGCTGCGGCCGCCGCAGGTATGGCTGGCGGCGCGGGGGGCATGGTTCCGGCCTCCATGGCTAATGCGCTCATGGCTGCATCGGCGGGAGGCGACTTCAGCAACTGGCCCCAGCCCTTCTCCCTGGGCTAAGGTTGAGGCTGAATGGCGCTGTGAGGTCTAGTGGGGTCGCGGGTATTGATGTGCCGGTGCGCTGGCTGGGACCGTATGGAACTGTTCAATGGAATGATGCGGGTATTGGGGTCAACTTTGCTGCCGCGTAACTGAGCCTGTGTGTAACGTCGGGGTAATAGGATGGAGTGTATGTGCCGTGTGTATGTGGAATGGTGTCAAAGCGTGCCTGTTGTTATCCATGATGGTGCAGGGGCTGTGCGCACCCTCTGCGATGTCTGTCATAGGGGGTTTGATGTTGAATGGGATTATAAGGCATGAGGGCAAGTAATGCACCAGGGTCAGGTGTTCGGGCCATGTGCGCTTACGTGCTCTGCCGTCTAGCAACAAAACGTTGCAGCGGGTATGGGATTGAAGGGGAAATGTTACAATACACGGATTGCCATGAAAGGGCTCAATGTGTCGACTGCGGATGCTGTGTCCGGTAAGGAACTAAGGATGCGTAGGCCGCGCAGGGACGCTCATGGTACTTGGGGTGGGTCATGTGTGTCACAGTAGTGTAGCATCGGCTTTTGGCCCGCGCGGCTCCTTTCCGCACCAAGACTTGGGTCCGGAAGGCTGTGTTTCGGCATAAGGGCTCTCTGGCGGTCAACATTATTGCAAAACCATGTGCCTGCAAATGGCCAATGCCGGGGTTGTTTGGGCAGTGGAGTGCAATTCTAATGGGCGAGCAGAGAGGCAGAGCGGCTGGCCGGGTTTATTCTGATGTTTTCAGGTTGTAAGGGATAGTGCACTGTTACTGGTACTGGTACTAAGGCTTTTGTTCTGGAGCTGCAATTCACAGTTTTGGGATATGCCACATGGGAATTCTGATGTGCGTGAGGATGAGAAGCGGCCCTGTTTTTTGAAATAATGGGCCATGTGTGGGTGGGTGTGTCTGCGCGCGCGCAAATTTCGTGTGTTAACAGGACTGGCCGCGAGACTGTGGTTCCCTGTGTGTCAGTGGGTTTTGCTTTTAAGAAAGCTCCTAAAGAGGTGTGACGGGGGTGTATGTTTGTGCTACTGGTCCATCCCGGGTTTCTGCCCGTGCAAGGCGTAAACCTAAACCGGGTCGTTGGATCTTCTGGAATGGTTTATGCTCGAAACCCCTAGAATTGGCGTTGCCAAGAGCTGCACGATTGGTGTCTGCCAGTGAGCTGCTTTCACACAAGGGCAAGCTGCAGCCGCTGCGGTCATTGTGGATTGTCCTGCAGAGCTTCACCGGACATTTCCAATACCTACTAGGAACCACAGGTGGAATCCCAATATCTTTTCCGTGTCAGTTTCTTGCGGACTGGTTTGTTGTAGCAGTCGTCGATGCCATTGCTGCATCCTGGGCAGGACGTGTTGTGAACCTGTGTGGCGATGTTGGGGTTTTGCCGGTCATTCCATGGAGCCTCAGTTTGAAACGGACCCTTTCGCCGGCACGGGACCACATACTCCTGATGTAGTGGTGTTTTATCTCGGTTTTGCAGACCCGAAGTGGTTTAGAGGCTTATGCTGTCTGTCATGATACTCCAGACCTGAGTTGACTTCTATGAGCGCTTATGGCACTGGCGAGGACTGCGGGTGTGCAGAAAACGTTTTGGAACGGATTTTGGTGCGGAATTTTTCCAATCCGGATGTTTCGGGCTTAGTAGGAATGCTGGCGTTCCGAGGCCAGGGAGGGTGGAAGCGTTCACATCATGGTGGGTGCATGCGCACGCACACCAGCAAAAGCATCTAGGGCCGCACCACATAGCATATGTGCTACATTTGCTATTGCTTAAGCTCGTGCAAACGGTGGCCCCTTGCCATAAACACCGGTAGACATGATACATTTGTGCATCGGTGGCGGCGAAAGGCATGGACACGCTGTGCTGCCTGCTGTCTTGTCGTGGAGCTGTGTGCTATGAGGTTGAAGCTGCATCCTCGTGTTGGTTGCGCCTAACCCCGCTGTGCCCTCGTTTGCTCTGATTGCTGGACGTGGCCTAAATACTGGGTGATTGTTAATGAGGGAGCGCAGCTAGTTATTGAACACATCCGTTCATGTGTCACCTTTGCTTAGGGCCCGGGAAAGCAGCTGCTAGGCTTTGGGAGGATGGCTGAATGGTGAGTCGAGACGGAACATGGCTTATGCTTTGTGCGATGTATGGATTGAGGAGACCAGCCTTGCCGGGTTGGGCATCAGCGGTATGTCTGTATCAACAGAGCTGCGTGTGTTTGTTCTGCGTGCTTGTGTTCGTGTATGTGTCTCTTAGGATGGATGATACTACTAAAAAAAGCAGAAATGGGCTTGCTTCCTGTAGTGTTGTCCCTGCGTGCTGTCCTTGTGTGGGAGGTCCTTGCAAGGCGCAATGTGAGGTAGTTTGCCGGACAAATTTGCTCTAAGGGGGACGGCTCCAGGCGAGCACGATTAATGCTAGCTGGAGTGCCGTTTTGATGTTTGAACGGGGAGGCTCGGGGCGTCTGTCTCCTGCCCTGTGCTCCGGTTCCATGGCCGTTCCATTGCAGATGGCGAACTTCATGATGCTGTGACGCTGATGGTGCTCATGTTGACGTGATGCAGGCAACAAGCAAGGTAGGCAGGACCCCATGACATCATTAATAGCCGTGTATGCGCGCCTGTGCCGGTGTGCGTGCCTATACCTAATGGGGTCTCCGTAGTGAAGTTCCATGTCATCCACAGATCCATTAAAGCGTGTACTGGTCGCATACACGGGGTACTGAGTATGTCGGGAGCCCCGCATAATCGTGCGCCCTGCGATGCTGTCTTGGACAGCTTCCATGCACTGCTGGCAAGGCATTGCGCTTTCCGTACTTCCCGATGCCGTGCAAGGGACTCCTGCATACGATCAAGCAAGCGGCTGTATTGCACGTTTGGAGGAAGCTCCAGGGTTCATTTCGTGTCTGGATTGCTTTTTCGCAGCCCGCGCGAGGATGCTCAATGTGTCGTACGAGATTTGTGATGAGCGGTGTGGTGGTGGTATGAGACAAGGTAGGGTGCTTGGTCCTGCTTTCTACACCAACATGACTACAAAATTTGTGAATTGCAGTGGATTGTATGTGTTTATGTCAATTGAAGTGACGTGTACCTTTTTGTCGATGCAGAGGAAGGGTGCTGATGATGTGTTTTGTGGGTGCGAGCAATGCGTGCGTCAGGCGAGAATTGTGGGCAGTTCCGTTGGTGCGTTCGTAATCTGTCCAAGTTTTTTGTGCGCGTTGTTGGAAGAGACGGTTTCAACGTTCTGTGGCCGCGCGCATGTGCTGTTTGCCTAGTCGGGTCGGACAAAATATGGCTTTAGCCAAAAATCCACACTAAAAACTAAAAACTTAAGTACTCAAGTGGGATAACGAGGTTAGACATCGCTTAGTAGGCTTTGGCCTATGCCTATACTGCCTCCCTGCAGTGTCACGGATTCATGGGATTCATGTGACGGCGGTACTGTCCTTAACCCCCAAGGTAACCCCCGTGTGTATTTTTCCACGGTATAAGGGAAGGCATGCGCTCCACCACCAGCTTCTACCTCTCGCCAGTTGTGCCCCTCGGGCACGTTGAGCTTGATGGCAGCACACTTCCAGCCTACTGAGCGCAGACACTCTGTACGGGTTAGTAGTTCAGCCTATTTTAAAAAGGATGAACACAAGTCATTCTGCACTACTTCAGCATGCATGCAGGGAAGGGCAACGCTTCAAGACAAGTCAATGCCGTACGGGCAATGTAGTCCTCGTGACTAGCGGGCACGCCGCTTTGGCGTCAGTGTTTATGGCGCCCCTGTGGTTCCGTACTTGTACAGCAACAAGCGTGGCTGTATAATATCAGGACAAGGCTGTACAACATGTTCATGACGACCTCAGGAAGTTCATGTTTGTCACCGTCGGGGCGTTAAGTTATAGAGACGTCCTGCCACACATTGGCAAGGAACCTTTGCTATACCGGTAGTACGACAAGGGTGTTGCGGCGTAAAGCAGTTTGCGAAGATGCGAACAGCTAAAACTCTTCAACGATGTTCAGTTACATGTTTAGTACCCATCATGGCATGCTTTTCCTACGCAGAGTTTAGCGTTTAAGCAGCATACCGCAAGTAGCTTTCGCTTTTAATAAGTTGCCAAACAACCATACCAAAATGCCATATACTTAAGAACCACGCAATTATCAGTAATTTGAGGACAGCGAGGTTAGGAGGAGGAATAGGTGTAGGAATACGTAGACCGACTTGTTAATTGTGCGGAGAAAAATGAGTTCCCGTATACCTGCACGCCCCTTTAGTACACCAAGTCCGCTTCAGAGGTTACCGTCAGAAGCTGGCACGCCATCGGAGCGCGGGACTACTGAGCGTGGTTCAGCTCAGCGGAGTTCCGGGCCTACTCCACCAAAATATAAAACAGAGGGTGACATAGGTGGGAATGGCAAAGTATGCTGTGGTGTGTCTCCGGATTCTTTCAAATTTGGTTGTCGGACAGTATTGACAGGGCTATGTGACAGCTTACAGCTTTGCGAAGTCATTTGTTGAACGTTACAGTTTCAGTCAAGGGTTCCCTGTGCATAATATCTCTATGAAGCCTGTTGCGTCGCCATCGAGCGCTGTGCAACTTCCTTGCAGAGCCTGCTGAAAAAGTAAAAGTCTACGCTCGCATTCGCCCGGCTTTGCGTGACGACGAGACACCCGGGGCCTTGGCTTGGTCGGAGGACGGCCAGCTGACGATATTCCGACCGTGAGTCCATACTTACCGGCTTACAAATGGTTCCCGACGCCAACGCTCCTGCCTACGAAATCACGCAATAACCGACCGCACGACCTACCACAGCATTTGACACGTGTGTCCGTCAGCACAGTGCCCTGTATCCCAGCCCCCCCTCTTCCGTTTCCTCGTTGCGACGGTTCACCTCCCAAGCATGGCACCGTGCGACTGTTTCGTTCAGTATCCAACATTATCCTCTTCCGAATACCCTGCAGGGACGCGCCTGTTCCACAATCCGACTTTGTGTTTGACAAGGTAGGCGGCCGCGAGGGGATGGGGGGCAGTTGGGTGATGGATGGGGGGCGTGCGAGGGATTGCAGGGATGGCCATGGCGAGGATTTGATGAGTACTGGGTTCGTCAAAGCTCTCAATTTTGGTTAGGTCGGCTTGACCAGGGCAGTGTTGGCGCTACAGTAGGGGTCTTGCCGAGAGTAGGAACCTTTGTCGGGGCCCTCCTGGCGGCTCAACGTCCGTGATGGCGCGCGAGGCGACAACGCTGTGATGCTGCATGTCCCATCCATGTGCCGTCCACCCCACCTCACCCATATCACCACACCCTGCTTCATTGGGTGTGGTTTCTCACTGACCCCTACTCCGTGGCACACCAGGTGCAATGCGACTTCTGTGAGTTCCTTCCCCCAACCCTGAGGAAGCAGCGCATGCCCATTGTATCCATGGGTTTTCCATCCCTGGTGAAGCGTACCCGCGATTTACCCCCCCCCCCCAACATGGTTTCCCATGCGCCTGGGTGCTCCCTGCCCTCCCCTCCCCTCGTGTGCAGGTGTTGGGTCCGGACTGCAGCCAGGCGGATGTGTACACGGCGGCGGTGTCAGACGTGGTGGGGGACGTGCTGCGCGGCTACAACGGAACCATCCTGGCTTACGGCCAAACAGGTGAGAGGGCGGGCGGGTGAGAGGGGGAGAGGGTACTGCCAGTAGGATCAATCAGACCGGGTTGGCATGCAGATGGCGGCGGGGGAGAGGGAGGCACTAGGGGCCAAACAGGGCAAGGTAGAAGACGAGCACTTGAACTAGCCCTGCCCTTCTTAGTTCTTTTCCTCCCTTTCTTCCTCCTTCCTCCTCCGTCTTGCGTAGCCCTCCCCTCTTTCCTAACCTCCTCCTGCCTCCCTCCGCCCCAGGTGCCGGCAAGACCTTCACGCTGGGCAACACGGCGCCGGATGCCATCGGCATGATCCCCCGAGCAGCGGCGGAGCTGTTCGCCGCGGCGGCCCGCGACCACCTGCACACCTACCGCATCACCATGTCGTACATACAGGTATGTGCCGTACGCTTAGGTGTGTCGTACGCCATACACAACAGGTGGCTATCGGTAAAGTGGGCACGGCTGAAGCCGCTTGCTGTCATGACGTTCGCTTTGGGATTTCGGAAAAGCCTGAACGCTGGGGTTGTCTGAGGCAGTCGACGGTTTCCGAGGCGGCGAGCGAGCATGGCTGGGGTCCCGGGACCCAAATGCGGGAGCACGCTGGGCGGGTTGCGAACGTTGACTAATGTTGCTGGATCTGCTTCCTCCTCCCCTGTCGTACAGATTTACATGGAGATGATTCAGGACCTCCTAAACCCCACGGCCGACAACCTGGTAAGTCCCTCCTCGCCTCCTTTCTTCGCATGCCTAGCGGCTACGGCGATTTGGGTTTATCAGGATTTGGGTTGCTTGCTAACATGCTCCCGAGCGACACCTCCACCATGCATCCTCACGCGGCGGCCTCGTCTCTAACCCTGTCTGCAGCCCCTTCACCTCCCCGCGCGAATGTTTCCATCAAATGTAGCAGCCATGCTCGTCCTGTCGGCCCGTCGCCGTAGCCTTGCGGACCTTTCCCACGTTTTCCGGGCCTTACCGTACCTCCTCTTCCTCCTCCGTTGCCCCTCATCCCTTACCCCCGCTCCTCACCCCCTCCGCCCGCCCCTCAGCCCATCCGCGAGGACTCGAGCGGTGTGTTCGTCGCGGGCGCGTGCGAGGTGCCGGTGTCCTCCCTGGAGGAGTGCCTGCACTACCTGGAGCTGGGGGAGCAGAACAGGTGGGAAGGGGGAGCGGGTAAGCCGAGCCGCGGGAGGTACCGGCCCGGACCCTAGCATACCGGAGGATGGTGGCGTCCCAGGTGTCGAAATAATTAGCGAGAGGGGAGCAGAGGAAGAATGAGTGGGGAGCAGTATGGGGAGAGGCGAAGCTTGGAAAATTCTGCATGCCCGATGGGTACCGACCCACATGCACAACTCATATCCGCACTTCACCACCCCCTGCATGCACCCCCGACCATGGCTCTCCTACCGTTGCTCCTTGCGCCTGGGGCTGTTGTTGTTCTGCACCTCATCACTGACAGCGCTTCCGCACCACCGTTACCACCACGACCACCACCGCGCAACTTGTTTTGATCCACCCCTGCCCCACCGCGCTATCGCTCTCCACAGGATCTTTGCGTTCACCCACCTGAATGCGCACAGCAGCCGCAGCCATGCAGTGGTGATGCTAACAGCCGTCAAGGTGGGTGGGTGGGGGGTATAGTTTAGTTCATTCCCAACCTGTCCCCTGCTTACTATGCACATTTGTTTGCCATCGCATTGTTAACGTGTCGATGTGTACCTCGCCCGTGCCCTCCTCGCTGAGCCCTGTGTCTCTGGATACCTGGTCCCCCCCAAAACCCCTGGTCCCCCCAACCTGGGTGAGGCGGCTCCCGGCACTTGTTATGTGTTGGCAACCGCCTCCTGTCGTACCCATGCGGCCCCACCGACTAAAGTCCCGCCCCACACTTTCGGCACCGAACCCCCCCGCATGCCCCCCCGTCTGCCGCCTCAGGGCCGCAAGTACCTGACGACGGAGGAGCGCGCGCAGGCGGAGGCGCCCGACCAGGACGGAGTGGTGGCGCAGAAGGTGCGGCGGTGTGTCAAGAGAGTTGGCCGCGAGAGTGTGGCTTACCGGAAAAAAGCTGGCCGCGAGTGGGAACGTGTGGATGTATGTGCGGGGGAGGGGTGCGGGCGAGCTTGGAAGGGAAGAGGAAGGTTGACTGCAGGCAGAGCAAGGAGAACATTCATCCAGAATCCGCGCATAAAGACACCACATGAGCACGGTACGGTGCAATCCGTCCTCCGACCCCTTCCGCCATGGCCCCCGGTGCCTTCCTGCCTACCTCCGCCCCCTCTGTCCACTCTGACCCTCCACCCCTGCCCTCCCTCATCCAGTTGCTGCACTTCTCAGTTACTTCCCCCCTTCCGACTTACATCTGGGACACTGGGACGTAACCACCTTCCGATGTGCTACGGTCACGGTTTGTATTTCATGCGGCTCAGATCATCTTTATCAGTCTATCCCCCCTCCGCCCCCTCCCCCGCCCCCCCAGGTGACGGTGGGCAAGCTGTACCTTGTTGACCTGGCGGGCAGCGAGCGGCTGAAGAAGTCCAAGAGCGTGGGGCTGCGGGCCACGGAGGCGCGCTCCATCAACCTCTCGCTCACCATGCTGGGCATGTGCATCTCGGCGAGGGCGCAGGTGGGGGTTCAAAGACCATACCAAACCATAGGAGACCACAAGTTCCCCCCAGGTTGGGGGAGGGGAAGGGGTTTTAGGAACCACGGGTGAGGGGTAAATTACCATGGGTGGGGGAAAACATTAAATAAGTGAAACGACGAGTGGTGGGGGGGCAGTGTGTACAGTGGTATGGGGGCCTGGGGGAAGGGGACGCGGGACAGGTGTGGTAGCAGTTGGAGGGGCGTTGGGTCTCGTTTCTGCTTTCTAGGACACATGTCCTGTCCTGTCCTCGGGCCGCATGGTCCGTGTGCATGCCATGCTCGCGTTCAGTCCTGTCATGTCCTGTGCATCCCATGACAACCCTGCCTCCCATGACAACCCTGCCTCCCATGACAACCCTGCCTCCCATGACAACCCTGGCGTCTTTGGAATCGCGTTAGAGTGCCTCCTGGTTACCTGGGTGCCTTGACGCTGCTCGCAGGACTCGCCGCACGTGCCGTTTCGGGATTCCAAGCTCACGAGGCTGTTGCAGGTACGGCAGAGAGGGAGTTTGCGTCTTTCGCACCCTGATACCGGTAATGAAACTTGCCGACACGCGAATGGGCGGTACGGGCTATGAACACAGCCGCATTGTCGCTGCCTTGGCTTCCGTACGAGTGCCGTGCAAGTACACGATTACATAAGCCATGCACGATGCACCCATGCTGCCATGCAACACACGCAGAGGGCTTCATCGCACCTTTGATTCGACGTTGGCCCAGAGGGCTTCTCCAGGGCCCCCTCTCTTCACCGCACCCGCTCAATCCCCCCTCCACCTCGCCACACCGCCGCAGGAGTCCCTGGGCGGCAACGCGCGCACCTCCCTCATCCTCTGCCTGTCGGATGTACGGCAGCACGCGGACGAGTCGCTGCAGTCGCTCCAGTTTGGCGCGCGGGCGGCGTGTGTGCGGAACAAGCCGGTGGTCAACGAGCGGGTGCATGTACGGCAGCTGACGGCTGAGCTGCTGGCTGCGCTGGAGGTGGGAGGGAGGGAGGGAGGGAGGTCAAAAAATGCCACACCACAATTAGGGGCAATAGAAAGGGAGACGACATACTGTATGAGGCGTCTGGGAGTGAGGGATGAGTCATGGTTGGCATGCTTGCTTCAACCGCTGCAATGCTTGCCCATGCTGTTTGCGATGGATTACCGGTATTGGTGAGGTGGCGTAGCGAAAGGCTTCCACTTTGTACGGCGGCTGTGGGCATCGCTTCTGCTCTGAGGCGGAGGGGGCCGAGGAACGGTGTCACACAAGGACTAACGGCAATCTTCCTTAAGTGCTTGACGTGCCTTAAGAGACTTTTTTCATGTTATCATGTATGCGGTTTGGTCGGCAAGCTGAGCCGAGCTCTGCCTCCCCCCATCGCGCCCCTCTGTACCACCTACCGTTATGCTCCCTAGCGTCCCCTGTCCTGCCTCTCGTGATCTCCCCATGCCGCTCCCCCACCCCACCCCACCCCACCCCACAGGAGGGTCACGAGCGCGCTGACGGGTTGGAGGCGGCCCTGTCGCAGACCAAGGAGGAGCGCGACGCGCTGCAGGCGGCCCTGGCCCGCGAGAAGGCGCGGTCGGCCGCCATCGTGGACGCACTGAGGTCGGAGGCGGAGTCGCGGCAGGCGCAGGCGGCAGCCAGGCTGGCAGAGCAGGTGGGGGTGGGGGGATGGACGGGTGAAGAAGAGAAGGAGGAGGAACATGATGAGCTCCTCACTTCGGTTCCCGAGGTCCCCGAGGACCTAGCTCCCAATCATGGGCAGAGCTGGTACGTGCGCATGTCCCATGAAGCTGTGCCACCATGAAGCCTCCACGTATCCTTGTTTCGGTGCCGCATCGCAGCATGGGGTTGGGTGCCTGTGTTTGTTTCCCCTTGTCCTGTGACAATCCCATCCCTTCCTACCCCTGCCTCCCCCACCACAGGCTGAGCTGCTGTCCACGCACGTGCAGCAGCTGGGTCAGGTGCAGCAGCAGCAGGGGCAGCTGGAACTGGAGGTGGCCAGGCTGAGGGTAGGGGCAGGGGCGGGTGGTCTCGCCATGCCGCACAGCCAATGTGGTTTCGTGGCCGGTGTCGCCCTGCCATGGTTATCACACCCTTTGATGTGCCTTAGTCGTCTTAGCAGCGCCCCGTTCCTTCCTGATGCTGTGCTGCAGGAGTCCTCACGCGACAGTCCGGTCGCACATCGCCTACCAGCGCAGTGCCTCTGTCCGGATGGCATGCGCGGCCTGTGATCCCTCACATACCGGTAACCCTTCCATGCCCCTGCCCACCACCCCTGCAGGACGAGCAGCGCGCGCGTGAGGAGGCCCACCGCGCCGAGCTGGCGGCGCTGCAGGAGCGCCTCGCAGCGGCGCAGGCGGCAGCAGCCAGCGAGAGAGCAGCGCTGGAGGCGGAGGCGCGCAGGTAGGGAGGGGGAGCTGAGGTAGGGGGGTGCGGCGCAACCGGTTAGGGTCTTTCAACCGGAGTGTGCTGGACTGGGCTGGGTTGGGTCGGGTTGAGCTCTTGGTGCGGTCTGTGTTATCAGTGTTGGAGGCTACTTGACCAGCATGGGGAAGGATCGTCCTGCGAACACAAAGGCGCGTTGCGAGGCGTTGTATGGTACGGTTCGCTCCAAGGGTAGCTTTATCCGTTGTGTTATCCGTTGCGTCCGGATATGTGCTCTCACCCATGGACGGCCCGGGGCCGGTCGTCTGCGAACTGTGCCTTTCTCCTAGCTCCTGTTATTCAGACGGTAACCCGTGTTGTCCACCCTCCCCGTTCCCTGCCGCCCCGCAGTCAGCAAGTCCTGCTGGCGGCGGCGGCGCAGCGGCAGGCGGCGGCGCTGGTCGCCCGGCTGACTCAGGAGCGTACGGCGGCTCGGGAGCACGCGACGTCCATCCACCTAGCGCTAGCCAGGCTGCAGCAGGCGCTGGGGGCGCTGGCAGCGGGCCCAGCTGCGCCTCCCGAGCCGTCCACGGCTGAGGAGGCGGCACCGTGCGGCGAGGCGGCTCCCCGCTGCGGAGCTGAGGAGGCTGAGGAGGCGGGGAGGTGCTCGGAGGCCCCCCGGCCTGCGGGAGAGGAGGGCTGCTCTAGTGCTGCACCGCACCGGCCAGGGATGATGCTGGCGGCTGGCGGCGGCGAGGGAGGTGCCGTACAGCTGCTGGTCCAGGCGGCCCTGGAAAGGGACCCAGTGCCGGCGGTCGGAGGTAAAGGTGGAGGCCAAGAAGGTGGTGGTGGTGGTGAGGGCCCCGGCAGTCCTGGCGTGGCAACGTCGGCTGGTCCCGGCGCTAGCGGCGCGGGCAGCAACCTGGCAGCCCTCGCTTCCGGCGCGTATGTGCCTGCTACGGCACTGCATGCGGGGCTGGCAGCCGTCCCAGATCGAACGCCTTCTTCACACCCGGTGGCAGCAGGGCAGGCGGCAACCACGACAGGGCAGGCCTCTGAAGGCCGGCAGGACGGCAGCAGCCGCCCCGTGCCCTACACCAGCACCCCCGCTACCATCCAGTCATCCATGGACCTGTCGGATCTCAATGCGGCGCTGGCGGCGGCTGAGGAGGATCTTCTGGCTGATCTCGGTGCCGTACAGGATCTCTCCACGCCGGGGTCTGCTGACGTCGGCGGCATCCGCCTGCGGCCTGTGACAACGCCAGCTGCCGCAACAGACGCAGCTGCCGCTACCACCGCCGGCGGCCCTCCTACTGCCACTCCGCCCTCTGACGTTATCGCCCCGTCACCCATGCTGTCCACTCCGCCGCGTTCCCCTCCGGCGGCTGCTCGGGTCCCTCCCAGCGGCGCCGCCTCAAGCGCCAGTGGCGCCGGGAGCTACGCAGCGGCGCATGCGGCCGCCGTGGCTGCCGGCGTCTCCACGCCCCCCTGGCGGCAGTCGCCGGGGTACGGGCAGCTGCATGGCGGGGCGGCAGCAGCAGCTCAGGACGGTGGGGCGGGCGGCGGCTCGTCGTCGGGCCTGACACCCCCGCCGCCTAAGCTAGCGAGCACAACACCGCAGCTCAGCCTTCGCAAATGCAACAGCGTTTCCTCCTCGGCCACGGCTGCTTCTTCTGCGCCAGTGCTTGCGGCTCCTCCGCCTCTGACCGCACGCGGTAGCGGCGGCAGCGACCCTCAAGCGCTGCGACCCTCGAGTGCTCCTTCACACGCGCTAGGAGCGGTACCGCTTGCGGCGCTGCCCCCTCAGCCTTCCTCATCCGGACAGCAGCTCACAGATGCACCGAGTGACAGCATCAGCATGATGTTGCCGGCAACGCGGGTAACGCCCCTTTCCGCAGCAGCCACGCCCTCCCCCTCCTCCACGCAGCAGCAGCTGATGGTCTCCGCGGCCGCATCCGCTGCGGCATGCAGCCTCTCCTCAGCCTTCCAGCAGGGCTACCCGACCAGCCCCACCACCTTTGCCACAGCCGCCGGGGACTCAGCAACCCCAGCATCCCCAGCAGCAGCACCTGTAGCAGGGCGGACCACCCACAGCCCCGCATTCAGTACGGCCTGCGGCAGCGGCCTCTCCTCATCCGCCCCTGCCGCGGTGGGATTCCCGGGAGCGCTCTTTCCGCTGCAGCACTCGCACACCTACCCGGGACACCTCAGCCTGAACCCCGCCTTTGACGCAATCGACTCGGAGGGGTTCACCATGTCGGAAGACGTAGTAGTGATGGGCGGGGCGTCCTCTGCCGCCGCCTTTGCCGCGACAGCGCCTGAGGCCTCCACTGCTGCTTCACCCTGCCTGACGCCTGCTGCTGCTGGTGCCGCTGGTGCCGTACCGCGGTGGACAGCACCTCTGCTTCCGCCCTCCTCGGCTGCTGCGGCCGGTGGAGCGGTGTCCGGTCCGTCGTTGTTTGCGGGGATCCATGTGCAGCTGAACGCGATGTGGGACCTGGTGTGTGCTGCGCGGAGGGTCAAGGCGGGCTTGGAGGCTCGCGCAATGCAGCAGGTGAGGGGGGACCCGGCAGGGGGTGCAGCTTTGGAACCGCCGCCTTTCCCTGCGGGCGGTGGTAAGATGGCAGATGTGAAATCCTGCATGCAACACACTTTGCGATCTTGTCCATTATCATCATGTTTGTCTTTGCTGCCTGCTGTTGTTATGGATGGCTGCCCACATGCGGATCCATTTGCTTGAAGCGGTTTGGGATGTTTTTTGCCGGGTGCTGCACACACCTGAGCTCCCTGCTGTTTCAGCTGCTACGCTTGTGTGGTGGACACGAGAGCTAAGCAAGGCAAGAGTGTGCCATAAGACTGCGGGCCCGGCAGAGTCTTTGCTTACTGCCTAACCCAACAAGGATGCGCGTTCGCGATGTAATGGTGTTCATGATTATGGCTCCTTGCAGGCGGGCGAGCTGGCGCGCCTACGCGAGGAGCAGCGCCGAGCGCAGGAGGGAGCGCAGGAGATGCAGGGGCAGCTGCAGGTGACAGCGGATCGGGGCGACCTATGTGTGTGATGAAGTCAGGAGACACTCCCCCATGTTGCAACACGAACATGGGAGTCGGCTCCATTGTCGATGCTCCATTGCTTCCCGCACCAATGTATCTGCGATAAGGCAATCTGGCGGGCCGAGCTCCACATCCCCCTCCCCTGGCTTCCCGACCACACGTGTTGCAGGCGACCCAGGACGCCCTGGCTGCAGCCGAGTCGCGGCTCTCCGACACCACCTCCCAGCTGGAGGCCGCCCGCCGGACGCTGGATGACACCCTGCAGGCCCTGTACGACACGCGGCAGCAGCTGCAGGAGCGAGGTACGGCGCTGGAGGACGTGCGGCAACGGTTGGGCGAGACGGGCGAGCGGTTGGAGGAGGCGGTCGGTCTTGCGGATGCCACGGCTCGGACGTTGGAGGAGCGGGAGCAGGCTCTGCAGGCGAGCAGCGCGGAGGGCAGGAGGCTGGCGGAGGACCTCGCGGCTGCGATGGTGGGTGATGGTGGTTGGGGTGGACTTGGGTGTGGGGCATGTCGGCTGGGAAGTACGGTAAACCACTTTGCATGGAGCACCTGCTCACGGTATGGGCCTCTTGGCTTTCAACGGGGTCTTCAACGGTAGCGAGCGGCGGCTGACTGGTGTCCGCTCGCTTGCTGTGGAGCGTTTACAGCCCTTGATGCATTCGGCTAGCAGTACGACACACCGGCACATGCCAGTCTGTTTCCTTGATCGTGCAACCCCAATTCCACCGCCTCTTGCCCTGCCTGGTCTATGCGCTCTACGCTTCCTCCACCCCCATAAACCTGGTTGTGTGGTCGCATGGCTACTGTTTCCTGTTCACCGGTTCCCCTCTTCCCTTCCCTCCAGGCCACCCTAGCAGCGGAGCGTGACACTCTGCGGTGGGAGCGGGCGGCCAGCGAGCGCTGCACTGAGGTGTCGGCGCAGGCGCTGTGTGCGCGGCGGGAGCTGCAGCGGCAGGTAGGGGTGGCCGGGGGTGAGGTGGGAAAAATTGGGAGGTGGGAGGGGGCACTCGGGATCTGCATTGCACCCGCGAACGCGGCTAGCAGAGTTGTACGGTAACTAATTGAATGTGCCAGGATATGCCAAGCTGCTATCTTGCTGCCCCTCCCGCGCACCCCCTCCCAGATCCACGCTTCCAACGCCATCAAGCGGGCCTTCAAGCGGTACAAGGTGGCGCAGCTGCGGAGCCGTGTGGAGGCCAACGAGCGGGTGAGAGGAGGGGCGTGCAGGGGCGAGGGCGGGGCGAGGGTCCTAACCCAGAGAATCCTCCACACGCTCCCAACCAGGCAACCTACGTCCCCGATCCCCTGATCCCTGAGCTCTCACAAGGTTTCTCCCCTTTCTTCTCTGTCCCTCCCTCCTCTCCACCCCCCTGCTGCTGTTGTTGTTGCCGTTTTGCTGAACCCCTGCAGGCGCTAGCCGAGGCGGAGGCCAGCCGGCGGGCGATGCAGGCGGCTCAGTCCGCGCGGGAGGCGGATCAGGCTGCTGCCGCGGGGCAGGTGCTGGTGCAGGAGTCGGTGGCGGTCATGAAGGTGGGCGGTGTGCTGGGGTGCTGGGGGCGTTACTGGAGGCCAGGCTGATCTTGGCTGCGTTGCTTCATGCTTACTACATGTCACAGCTATGTGAAACAGCTAAGGACCCCTAAGCTAGGAATTCTCAGCCATGTCTTGTACATTGCAAGCGCTCGTACCCCACCCCATCCCTGCTGCATACACACACGCTCACTAGGTGGTTACCAGTATAACTTGTAATGTATAGCTAGCTTGCTTTTCCATTTCGGCACACCGTTCGTTCGTTTCAACCCATTCCTCCACAGGACGCTGTGGGTTGCATCCTAGCCGCGTTCCTGGGTCGCCGCCACGAGCTGGCTGCCACCCGGGCCCTCAACCGGCGACTCGCGCAGATACTGCCCTCCGCGTCCGCGGCGCCCGCCCGCACCAAGGGAAGCGCTGCTGCTGCTGCTGCTGCTGCTGCTGCGGGGACTGCGGCTGCTCGACCCGCCGCGAAGACAGGGTGCCCTGGCGCCGGCAGCGGCATTTGTGCTGCCACGCCGTCATCAACGCGCCTGCAGGGCTACCCGGCGGGCACCCACACACTGTCGCTGCTGCTGGCGGCAGCCACTCCGCCACCGCTGCAGCTTGCTGCGGCAGCGTCAAGAGCGCCAGCGCAGCAGCAGCAGCAGCAGCAGGAGTAAAGGGATGATGCCGGGGCGGTACCGGGGGATGCGGGTGGTTTGTTGGCGCCAGCAAAGTTAGGCAAATGCTGGTATTGCTGCTGCGGGTGGTATAGAGTGCGGTATACGGTGCTCAGGTTCAGAGGTGCTGGAAGGGGCAATTACAGCGGGGTGTAGATTGTTGAGGTGGCAGTGCAGCGATCACTGGCCTCCTCTGCTGCCTAGCTGATCGGAACAGCACAGGAGGGCTGGGGTCGCGCGGAGGCGATGTCGACGTGGAGGGCTAGTTTGGTGTGTGAATTGAGACCGATAGAGACGTGTCCGGGCGGTATGTAACTCAGCTATTCCTTAAGCGGGGCGAAGACCATGCTTCACTCATTTGTGCAAGGTTGAGCTGCCTTATCTCGCTCTTATGCCTCTCTGGCCATTGTGTTTCTCTAGTCTCATTGAGCTGCCTCAGTGTCTTCAGCTGGGAATCATCAGCCAACTGCGACAGCTAGCTCATCTGTAAATTGGTTCGCAGCACGTGCTAGGCTTAGTGAAGAGCATGGACATCGCCTTCGTCAATTGCCTCAAGCGACATGGTGTTCGACTCGCTTGCATTGGTAGCCATGGAGCACCTTGTGCGCCGCAGTACTGGTCAGGTCGGGCTTATCACGTCCGTGACCGCAGATAACCATGCGAGCGTATGTCACTCGGAGAGGGAGAAGGGCAAACCTCAGCCTGGAAGGAGGGGCTGGGACTCGGCTTCATGGTTGCATGATTCCGGCAATGCTGCTCTCTTCGTAACCATGCTGTCCCCCAGCATCATGCCATCAGGCGGGTCCACAGCCCGGGGAGAGCTGATGGGAACGGGAAGTGGGGGGGGGGACGTGCGCATGGATATGCACGTCCCCTCCTCACTGCAGGGTTGTTGGCCGGGATGGGTTTGTTGGCGTATGGCGGCAGTTGTCAAGCGTAGCGGTGCAGCCAACAGGGGCCAGCAGACACAGCCAGCAGCTGGGTGACAGGAGCACGGGGTGGTTCGGGATGTAGCTTGGTCCGGCAACCCACACGTACGGAGGGGTGTTGCTGTTTTAGGATTTGCATGAATCGGTGAAGAGCGGGGAAGAGCTAGTGGCTTCATGGGCATCACCCTGTTTGCAAGCATGTGGGTGGTGCAAATGCACTGTGGATGCAGGCAGCCTCTCAACTGCACTGCTGTACGGTCGGCAAGGGTGCATGCGGGAAACAGCTCAGCCAAACAATGTGCGTACAGACAGCAGGCTTTCAGTGCATACAACATGCCACCCTGCACACCCCTTTCCTTTAAACGCAACCAAAGAAGATCACGCGGCACTCGGTCGAAGGCTTTCTCAAAATCAATTTGACATGCGAACAGTGGTAAGCTAGAAGCCGGACCACACCTATGCCTGTCCGTCAGATGCCAAGTATTGAAGATGTTGTGCATACAACACCGTTTCAAGAAACCGCCGGAAACCGTCCTGGAAAGGGGAACGCCCTTTAGGCTCCTCTCCCCAAGTGTTAAGCTGCTTTTCCATAAGGAAAGCATACCTTTTTGCAAGCGCGCCCTCTCCAGCCAACCCACGGTAGTTACCTAGGTCTGACACGTCACCCGTCGTGTGGATAGGAGTGAGTGCTGAGACCTTAAACTGCTGAGGGTAAAATCCCCCGTGGACCTAATATGCTCCATCAGCGACAACAGATAGGGTGCCAAGACGTAGACCGTACGACCTTCGACCTGCCTGGCCGCCCGCTTCAAGCATTCAGCCAGCATTTTCTGCAATCCGCCTGACCTATTGTTACGCAGCGAACGTAGAGCACCTTTAACCCCATCCAGAGTAAAAGGCACATTCAACGCCGCCGCAGCACGTATCCTCTCCTTCCATCAATCGGCATTACGAAAGCCATTACCATTACCATGGACAACACCATGCGTCATGCTTAGGACGGCATCGGCGTTCACCGCATTAAATGCATTCGGACTGCCGTTGTAGAGGTTGTCAAAATAGTAACGCCAGCTAGCAACATCCGGGACAGCACAACCACGAGGAGCTCCTTCATTGAGGGGACGCCATAAATACTGCGGGTCCGACTTGCAAGCCTGAATTTCTTTGACATAGAGCTCAGTCCGATACACCTCCTTAGCCTTGCGCTTAATGCGCCAAAACCTGGTACGCAACTGACTGAACAAAGCACGCGCCTCCGCATTTTCAACGGTAACGGTGGTCATCCACGGGCACCCATAGTATTGGCGATGTCACTCTTTTTGGGGCAATGTCGTAGTAGTACATTGCGTAATTGTGCGCGGCTGGTTGTCACAGTCAGTGTAACAGGAATGTTGATGTGCTAGTATTGAACTATGTAACAAAGCCAAGTCATATTTTCTTGGGATGAGCGTCACTAGTGATGATGCCTATGAGGCTGTCCGCATTGGTGAAGGTGGTTGTGTTGATGGCCCTTTGTTGCTGTGGCTTTTAAGGAGTTGTCTTGGTGCCTTTTTGCGAAGGTTGCGTTGGTCCCTGTCGACCCTGAGAGTTGTAAAGCTTCCTTGTGTATCCCGTTATTGGTTGTTGAAAGAGTGGCAGCTTGCACTTGTTACGCGGCCCTCACAACACGCTACTCCCTGCACCCATTTTTGGGTTGCGTTAATTAATAACAGCGCTGGGCGTTACTTGCGTAGTGGCTGCGTACCTGACCACGTTCCTGACCAAATACCTGACCATGATCCTGACCAAATACCTGACCACCTTCCTGACCACGACGCCAATGACCACCGCCACCGTTCCGGCAAAGTCAAAGCTGATTGTATCGTGATATAGTTATCCGCGTCCCTGACTACGCTCCTGACCAGCTTTGCGTTGTTTTGGGCGTTGTTTTGGGATTGTTGTGCACGATCATAGCATTCGACACTGTCGATGCCGCTTGTTTGTTGACTTGGCACCCACTGTGTGGACTACTTGCGCAAACATCGTTGAGCTGAGCAGATGCCTCTTTGATAAGGTCCAAGCTGCTTTTGCAAAATCTGTAGATTTTGAAGTCACGCGTTTAATATTTCGCCCAGGGACTGCTACTGTACGATGATAAATGTTAGCTCCGGAACCGTCCAGGAAGGATAGCACGAAACAAAGCGAAACCAATTGGAAACGTCGATATATGGCAAGGGGTATGAACGTATGAAAAGAGCAACGCCACATACGAATAGTATGTGGAGAACGACGTAGGAAGGTGCGTGCCGAGCTTTGGACACGACAGCAGGGAAGCTCACGACACACAATGCAAGGCCGAGTGTAGGCAATGTGGTTTAAGGCGGCGCGGAGGAAGGGCAGTACGCCGGAAACGTGAATGGGCAGGGAAGGCTTGTTACTGCCTGAGAAGCGGCACAGAGGAACGTGAAACACAAGAGAGCATTGTAGTATTGTACACCTGAATAGCACAAAGGTGTTATGTAACAACATTAACGGATGCGTGCTGGTGCACTCGTCATCCAAGCGCATGCTCATAACACTGACACGTTGCAAATGCTTTTTTCAATATTATGTCAACAAGAGCGGACGAGCATTAAACGAAAACGAATAGTCGCACGGAGAGCTGGTCGCCGACGTTAGAGGTCAAGCTCGGCAATGCCATTAGCTGGGAAGTGTGCACCTTGCGCTGCGAAGGCTTCCCACCCTAGTCCCCACAGCGCTGTCTGCTTTGGAACAGATCTGTCAGGACGCGACCTCCGCAATATGCACGAGGCTATGGCTTCCTACATGGCTGGTGCAGCAACCCCGCGGTCCCCCCCCCCAACCCCAGCAACTACAGCTTCACGAGGCCGACACTCCCCGTGTTCACGCACGCATCGTCCTCGTCGACCCCATCCGCAACGACCTCCTTACTGACACCCCCATCAAACCCGGTGTCCCACCCCCTTACCTCCGCCTACCCCAAAACATGCTACCCTCCCCTGAAGACACTGCTCGGCTTTTCACCCTAACTCCGGACCAGGAACAGCCCTTCCTCATCCTTGCATACACCCTGCTTGCTGAGCTCCGGCATGGTCTACAACCCCCCCGGAGCTTGCTTGTCACTGGCGAGGCAGGCAGTGGCAAGAGCCAGTGCATCCTTGCACTTCTCTGGTTTGCTTTCCAGCACGATGCCAGCGACCTCTTTGCTGTCGTCAGCTACACTTGGCGTGCTGCCCTCCAGGTGCGCTTCCTCACTCCCTGCAAGCTCGCACTGCTTCCCCTGCCCCCCACTCCCTGTACGCTCGCTGACATGCCTTCCATCTCATCCGCGGCCTCCTACAGATCACAACTGACGCCAACGTTGGGGTCAGCACCACTACATTCTTCGCTCTGGGGGGCAGCCGAGGCGGCTTCAGCTACGCTGCTCAAGAGCGCGTCCAAGAACACCTCAGAGGCGTCCGCTTTGTCGCTAATCTCCACTTTGTCACAGCCGGCTATCCTCGTCAGCTACCAATGCCCCAGCAACCGCCCATGCACTGGGGCGCTGCTGACGCCACACGCCTTCTCCAAGACGCAACAGCCCTGCAACGCATTGCTGCGACTGGCGACCCTGCAGCAGGGTTGCGCGCTCTCCAAGCTGTGCTTCTATCCGCAAGTGCTTGCAACCTCAGTGACCCTAACCATGCACTCCTGGTTGCTGGGCGTGCTGCGTGGCACGCCATGCAGCTCGCCTTCATCCTGCGTCACCAGCACCGACAAACAACCGATGCAGATGGTGACAAGCTCCGAAGATATGCGGCTCTCTTTGATGGCACCGGCGCCGTTGGCGGCGCTGCCCTCCAACAACAGCTCCTCGAAATGTGCCACGACCTCAATGCTACGGTTCCCGCACCTGACAGCCTACACCACCTCCCTGACCCACGGGTCATTGTCCTTTGGCACTCGATACAGCTCCCCCTCAACCTAAGCCTCGCCCTCATTCACGCGCAACAGCATAACCAGCCCGCTTATGTCTGGCGGAGCCAGGACGTTGCAGCTGATGGCTCCCCTTTATCTTCCACCACCCTCGGTCACCTCGAAACCACCTTCAACGCTCGCATGCCAGCCGTTGGCATCTTCCCCGGCCGTTGGCATCTTCCCCGGCATCCGCTACATTTTCTCCGACAATGCTTACAAGCACCTGTACCACGTCCACAACAACGGCTGCACCGATGTCCGGCTCATCCTGCACCCCAACGAACCCCGCCAGCAGTTTACCAACCCCGACTCCGGTATCCACATACTACACTACCCTCCACAAGCTATCGTTGTCACACCTGATGGTCCCAGCGTTGGAGCAGTCTGCACCCATCCTGCTATTCCCGCAAACTGCATCCCAGTGCTCCTGAGCCACACCCGCGTCCCGTGCGCCGTTCAATCTGCCCCCCGTGCCACCCTTTATGAATGAATGATCGTTACAATGGTGCCCTAAAAGGGAACACGGGTGATGAACCCAACCCTACATTGCAAAAGAAACGGAACAAACCGTAGAGACAGCACCACAACAGGCCAACAAGATGGGAGACATAGCCCTAAAAGAAACCTCAGGAGGGAAACAAGAGGGTAGAAGCCAAGAAAAGGCCCCTCAGCAAACCTCGACAAACTTCATCTAGGGCATAAGACAACCCAAACCGGAAGCCACGAACACACCACCCCAAAGGCATCAGGGCCAAAAAACAGGACGCTCAACGGCCCACAGAAAACCGCCCGCCAACAATACGTAAGAAAGGATGAGAAGGGCCAACCCCAGCCCATCCCCGACGGGGAACACCCAAACAAGCAAAACCCCGAAGCTGACCCCAGAACCAGGAAACAGCAGACAGGGCCACCACAGCAGCAAGCCCAGGCACAACACCCGCAGAACCAGACTCACGTACACGAGCCCGTAACAACCGCCGACCCTCCTCCATAGCGGACAAAGCAGCCAAAACAACAACATCCCAAACGCACTGCTGCACGCCCGAAGGAGGCAACGCCAACCACAAGGCAGCCCGAGGAACCGCAATACCCAGCGTGACCTCAAGCTGCTCAACCACAGCACGAGCAACAGGACAAGCCCAGAAAAAATGCAACCGCGGAGACACCCCCAAGACAACGGACCCACAACCACAACATTCCGGACGAGCCCTAGACATATGAGAATTCCCCAGCAAGGGAACCCCATGTCATCCTAACCCGGTTCGCCAAATTCTCCGCTTGTTGACGCCGCTTTGGCAACCTGGCGACGAGGCAGCAAAGCAGCGTGTACTGGCCAAGCTCACTGCGCTTGCTGCTCCTGATCCCGACTTACGCGCGGAATGGCTTCGCCTTCAAGACCTCGCACAAAATACCCAGGAGCGCTACTCTGAACTCCTGCGTGCATGCAAGGCTGCAGCTGCACCATCTTTAATTTCGACTCAAGCACGCCCAGGTAAGCGCCCTTTTAGGCTCCTCTCGCACCATCGTTGCTCATGCTGCCGCTATCTACACACTCGCTGCCTTTCATTCCCCCCCACCCCTCAGGAAGCCCTGCCAACGCGCCCGCTGCTACTGCTGGTGCACGCTAGCGCACTTGCGCACGCACAAGCCTGGAGCCGCCAACATGTTCGTTCAGCATACGTTGTTTGGAGTTGGGGGGTACATCCAGGCTAGAAGTATGGACCGGGCTTGTATGAATGTTGAAGAACGTCTTACGTTGTTGGAACGCGATGATTCCAACTACTGACGGATGCTGTATAGCGGCTGCATGCTGATCAACGCGAAGGCTGGCAGTTCCCTTGCTGGCGACGACGACACCTGCTCCCTCGTCACGGACCACGCGTGCGCTATCATGCCCATTAAGTCCGGCAACACCCTCCTCCTGTCGGTCCTCACCCACCCCAATGTCATCCCCCTCGTCACCCACTTCGGCGACCCGCGTGGTACGCCCTTCAGTGGAACTGTCACTGGCGCCTTCCTGCCGCAAGCCCACAACCCGCTGCACGCTGGGTAAGCTGCCGTCACCCTTCCCCTTCTACAGCCCCCTTCACGCCTTCTATTGCACCCCTTCCCTTGTCATTCCTTTAACCCCGTCTCCCTCTCCATTCCCTCCACAGGTGCACCGCCTGCGGCTCCTCCATGCCCCTGGATGCCACGCACTGCCCCACCTGCAACGCAAGCGCCGACGACCACGCGGCGGTCATCGTCCTCGGACACGACAGCAGGGAAGCTCACGACACACAATGCAAGGCCGAGTGTAGATAATGTGGTTTAAGGCGGCGCGGAGGAAGGGCAGTACGCCGGAAACGTGAATGGGCAGGGAAGGCTTGTTACTGCCTGAGAAGCGGCACAGAGGAACGTGAAACACAAGAGAGCATGGTAATATTGTACACCTGAATAGCACAAAGGTGTTATGTAACAACATTAACGGATGCGTGCTGGTGCACTCGTCATCCAAGCGCATGCTCATGAGCTGAGAAGGTGCACCTTGCGCTGCGAAGGCTTGAGCCGCGCAGCCCTATCTATGACATTTCGCAGCAAAGAGAGTACACAAGCGTGGCAAAGGTCAGGCAGAACTGGTTGAGCAACGTACTGGCTTCGCTCTTTCGGGCTGGGCGGGTCGGGCTGGCTCACATGTTGCAACTTATGTTGACGCCTTTTCCCTCAGTCAGTTAGTTGTTTCCTCTTTATCCCCCCTCAACCCTTCCTCTACCACCCCACCTTCGCCTCACCAGCCCCCACCAACCTGCTACACCACCATCTTGGACACGCTTTGGGATACATTCCTCGCCTTTGAGCAGCAGCCCACCGCAAATGCACGCCTTACCCGCCACTTCCTTGCCAATGCAACCAGTCGTGCTCAGTGCCGGCAACGCTCCGCACAACGGCTTGCAGCCTTGCAGGAGGAGGAGGAGGAGGACGCCCATGATGCCGCGCTCCTTCAAGGTGTTGTACACCTCGACCCTTTTCTGATGAGTACGCAGACCTCGCTGCCCAAATCAATGATGACGACGCCCCCGATGCTCATCCCCCTGAAACCTCTCCGCTACCCGCCGCCTCCAGCGCCCCCACTGATCTTCCTGCCTCCCTGGACACCCTCGCCCGCCTACGCTCAATGACCACCACCGCCTCCCTCCCCAACCTTACCGACACTCGCCTTCTATCCTATGTGGCTCGTGCCGTTGAGCGCATCCCTTTGGCTACGCCGGGTACTACTCCACACACTCCGAGCTCTGCTTCCCATCCACCCTAGTCCCCAAAGCGCTGTTCCCCACGAACACGCTTCACATATCTGCTTTATTGCTCGCCTTCCATGCGACCCTCCTTGCAATGCCATCCCAACTTCCGCCCGTACGGAACCATTCCAGGCACGTGCCTTGTACATGCGCACTATCGGGCCCCCACCACCGACCGGCCGCACGATACCGGTACTTCCGCCCTTCAGACTACCGGTACGTCCCTGAATGAATGACCGTTACAATGGTGCCCTAAAAGGGAACACGGGTGATGAACCCAACCCTACATTGCAAAAGAAACGGAACAAACCGTAGAGACAGCACCACAACGGGCCAACAAGATGGGAGACATAGCCCTAAAAGAAACCTCAGGAGGGAAACAAGAGGGTAGAAGCCAACAAAAGGCCCCTCAGCAAACCTCGACAAACTTCATCTAGGGCATAAGACAACCCAAACCGGAAGCCACGAACACACCACCCCAAAGGCATCAGGGCCAAAAAACAGGACGCTCAACGGCCCACAGAAAACCGCCCGCCAACAATACGTAAGAAAGGATGAGAAGGGCCAACCCCAGCCCATCCCCGACGGGGAACACCCAAACAAGCAAAACCCCGAAGCTGACCCCAGAACCAGTCCTTACCCACCCCAATGTCATCCCCCTCGTCACCCCCTTTGGCGACCCGCTTGGTACGACCTTCAGCAGGACTGTCACCGGCGCCTTCCTGCCGCAAGCCCACAACCCGCTGCACGCTGGGTAAGCTGCCATCACCCTTCCCCTTCTACACCCCCCTTCAGGTTGACATACCGCACTTCCTTCCTTGTGCTCTGCACTAATACTTGTGCTGCTCTCGTGTGGCACAATTGGGTTAGGCGTGTGTTGGCCGCGAGTCGAGCGGACTGTGCTTGCCCCATAAGGTGGAGTCCAGTCCGTTGGCTATGTAGTCAAACAGCTATCGAGTAGATGTGTTGTGAACGGTTCACTCGTACTGGGCGGTTGAAGTTTTAGTGCGCCTGCGCCGGCAATAGCTTCCCGCTTTCATTACGCATGTTCACGCCGCCAACTAGCTTATTTTATAACACCTTCGATTTGCATCTACGTGTTGCCTTATTTCGTTGTACTCTTAGTTTTTCCAAACTTCCCATGGCAATGTCCCATGTCTCCGATGCTAAGGGGCATGGTTCAGTATTGTCCCAGCCACCGCCCGGTGAATAAACGCTACGAAAGGACGCACTAGGCCTACCCCTATGTAAACACCCTCGCACCACCAGCTTGGCTATCCTCCCCTACATCCGCACACCACACACTACCTGCAATCAACAGATTTTGCCCTCTCACCCGACCAAAGGGAGGCTTGATTGAAATTGTGTCCTTGTTGCGGACACTTAGTGCATCGGGATGGTGATGCCTCTGACGCATCACAATTGCGTTTACTAAACACAGCTATTGCCGCCGTCAATGTGCGTGATGTGGCTGTCCGGGAAATGCTCTGAACCACGCGCGGAAAGGTCCCCGACGCAAGAAGAACAAAAAACAACCAACCAGCCAACCAAGAAGGCCATCTAAAACATTAAAAACGTAAAAATTGGACCTTGACGTGCTCGTAAACTTGTACCCGGTTGTTGGGGCGGGGCCCTGTACGACCTCAGACTCCCGATGGTAGGGGCGCCGTACCGGAGGAGCTTTTCCCCGTGTCCCCCCTCTTCTCTATCCTCACCTGTCACCACTTCACATTCAATATATTTTTCATATAATTTATGCAACGGCAGCTTGCCACCTGCGGATAGAGCATGGCCTTCCGTTTCACCTGCATTGGCCTCCTGGCCCTTTCCCTATATATAGCAGCCGTTGAAGGGAATTGCTGCTCTGTAAACGAGAGCAGACTATGGAGCAGAAACGTGCAAGGTTTACTACCGTCCGCAGCTGAATGGCTAAAGCCAGTTCTAGGCTACAAGTTCTATTTGCCAGAAATAAACTTGAAAGGTTCAATGGGGTACCTTGGGTCTTCTATCCGGCTTCGACAGTTCACCTCTGACCTCTTAAGCGGGTCTCGCCCCTTAAGAGTTGGAGTCGTGGGCGGCAGGCAAGTTGCGCATGGCTCTCATATGAGTGCCCAACATGGCTACTGCTAGGAGTTATCTGTTGAGACTCTCCCTTTTGCCGGTACAGCATCAGCGTCGGAGAAGGGAGCTCAAGGCGTCACGTTACAGACTGGTTCTCGGTTTTTTCTAATTGGCTGGTAAGCTCTTCAAAGTCTTGTAGTCCGCCGGTTGTGCTATAGCTAACGAATTTCGTTTGTTACAGGGATCAATTGCAAAGGCCAATGTGACCTTCGTCAATGGGGCAGTCGCCGGGACTCCGTCTTCGTACATGGCTATGTGCCTCAATGTCCACCTTCCGCGTGACATGGACCTGGTCTTTCTCGAGTATGTACCAGTACTGTACCGTAAACGGTGAAGTACCGTATACGGGCTTAACCAATCAACAACCGTTTCTGCTGTAGGTACGTTTGGAATGACCTATACCAAGACAGGCTGATAAATAACCAGGTGGTAAGCAGGCATGCGTGAAAGGACGGGGGTGCTTGCCTTGCAAAATGGGCTAAGCTTTTGAGCATACTTTCACAGGTTATGAACATGGAGCGCCTCATACGGCGCATCCTGAACTTCCCAAGGCGCCCTGCTGTTGTTCTCATGCAAGTTGCCATTGTTGGTGACCACATGGAAACGGCCCCTTTCTATCGCACGAGGTAAGTATATTTCTGTCGACTGCCAGCAGCCCCTACACATCCTACTGACACCTATCTCATCATCCTCCTTTCCTCGTCCTCAAATTCTCGCCTCAAGTGAGGACCTCGAGGGTACGTACTCACAATCCCTGTTGCAATGAGACTGTTATAAGGGTTTTAACCCCGAGCACGTCTGCAACCAACCAACTACTGCCTCTGTACTTATCCAGGTGCACTTGCAGCATTCTATGACGCGTCCTACCTTTCGATGCGGAATGCACTATACCCTCTGGCGGTTATGCACCCGACGGCCGGCTACTCCTGGAACGAAACGTTTATTAATCACCACCCCGGCGATGCTGGTCATAAGATCATGGCAGACATGGCTGCCTACATGATCCAGCAGGCGGCTATCAGCATCGTGCTTAATCCCATTAGTTATCCTGAGCTCTCAGTGCATAGCTTGCCACTTGCGGCGCCCATGTATCCTGGTAAGGCCACAGCCAGTTCGGATACTGCTGCTGTCTCATGTGTTTTGACACCTAGCTAATAACGAGATTTTTGGGGCTGCTCACAGGCAACGAGATACCACCAGGAGTGGTGTGTTCTTCAGGGAGGTCCTTTACTGAGCATGTCTTATCAAACCTTGGGTGGGAGTGGAGGAACGAGGGAACACCATGGAAGCCGAAATGGGGCTTCGTAACTTACACGCCCGGTAGCAAGTTGACTTTGCGGGTAAACACTCTCCGCCCAGCTATCGACCCCACTGCACGCATCCCAGTTCTGATTCATTACCTGTCATCGTATGACAAGATGGGGACTGCACTACTTACGTGCTCAGCGGGCTGTGTCTGTGATCCAAAGGAAGTTGACGCGACGAGTGAACGACGAGTCTCCCAAGTATTTTTCGCACAAATTAAGGCGTCACAGTCAGAAACGTGCGATGTTACCGTCACCCTTCTCCAGAAGACAAGCAGCGGTGGCTACCATTTTAAGGTACGGTAGGCATGTGGCTTTTTTCTGGTATTTGCCAGCTTGCCTTTGCTCCTGCCTCCGCTGGCTGTATCCGCGCATCGTTGCTTTTATTTTGCGGTTACTGTCCTGCCGGCTGGGGGAGGAGTGTTAGGCTTTCCTGTAGCTGCTCTGCCGCTTACCGTGCAAGCGTCCTTCAGCCCCTCATGCATGATACTGCGTTTCCAGCTGGCGATAACCATGACCTTTCCATGCCTGAAGGCTGCAGTTCCAGATGCCCCTGCCACCCTGCATATCTGCTGCTGTGCGCTCCACCTGTCACACCTTTCCAGCACCTCAGCAACAGTTTCCCTTCCTCCCTTCACAGGTGTCGGGTGTTGTGGTCAGCGCCTCAGACGTCATCGACAGCATTTTCTTTGTGGAAGAAATATATGCGAAAAGAAATGAAAGCAAGGCGCTGTTGAACGAAGGCGCTAGATAGGTAGCGTCCTACATGCGAGGACGTCAGCTGTTTGTCACATACGCATGGTCAAGACGTGTATTTTATTCATGTATTGGGTAAGGATACTGTGGCGGTTTAGAGGGTAGTTACATGTACTTGTGTTCACCTGTTGGTCTGTGTCGGATGTCCATGGCAGTCGTAACAGTAATCACGTGTACCTGCGGTTACTCGTCGGTTTGTAGCAGATGTTTTTGTATAGCGAATTGCATGAACGGACGTCCCATGGGTAGGTTACCGGTTGCCGGTCAGCAGGGCGAGGGAACGGAGGGTCAGCGAGGCTTCCATTGCTGTCGTTAGCTCGGAGGGGTTGTCAGGGGGGCATCATTTGGCGCGTTGAGTAGTGTCTCGTTGAGTTTTAGGGCTTAACAAGCCTCAGCGGGTTAACCGCTGGCCTGTTGGTTGTGGTGAACGGTTTTTTGCTTCACCGCGAGCTTGTGAGTAGGAAGCGGCTAGGTTTCCTTGGTTCTGGACCTTTTACAGCAACAGGTGGCCAGTAGTGCCGGCTGGGGTCGGTTAGGGCATACCGAACCCTATATAATCTCTTGATACTGGACTTCGATTATCGCACACGCACTTCCTTGTAATTGTCTGCCCGCAGCACATAACCTCCGCAGCAGGGTCGGCATGCCTTCCGGCGCTCTCTCCGACGCCAAGTCTTGAAGTGCGACGGATCTACGTCTACACTGAAAGGTGAAGACCCGTTCAAGGACGTGGCATACCCACACATCGTTCGGACACCGCTATTCCTGAAACCCAGATAAGCATTAAGCAGGTGTGGAAACCTCGGGGCACCAACCGTTACGTTATGTAAATAGGCAACATAACATCTACAACTACAAACCCATCTATGCGACAGGGGCCGAGCGATGCCGATAATCCAGACGAACCGATGATGGCTGAATAGCCGACGCGACGCACCTTGGACCGCCGAGTAAGACAACTGATTGCTGTAAGCAAAGCTGGCAATACCCGCATGGGAGGCTGACGACCCCAAAGCCGGTAACGCGCTGCGGGTAATCTACCCATACCCTTCCCCGTGCGGCGCCTGCCTCTTGTCATTGCACGTTCCTCGAGTAAGCTAACTCTTGCCGGTGCTGCGCCTGGCTACCCATGCCCTTCACCGTGCAATGTCTGGCTGTCCGTGCCCTTCCCAGTGCAGTGCCTGTCTCAAGATGCCCTTCCATGTGCGGCGCCAGCTCCCCTGAGTTCTTCCCAGTGCCGACTGCCCCTCCCCGCGCTGTACCTACCTGTCTACCCATGCCCATCCTATGAGGCGCGCGCTTGCCCCTCCTGCCCTTCCTCGGTGACTGCTGCATCCCAGTGCCCTAACCCATGCAACTGCCCCTCCCCACGCGGCAGATGCATGCATGTCGTTCACGGCACTCCGTTTAACGTAATCCCGCCGTCAACTATTGAAGCGGTGTAAGACGTGCCAACGACAACCGCGGCAGTTCCGTTCTGGAAGGCCTGTGATGACACCCGTACACAAAACGTTCAAGCCGCCTCAACAAGGCCAGCAGGACGCCCCCCCCTGCACCCCGTCAATACCATTTCCTGAAAAAGCCACTGTACTGGTCATCCATTCAAAAATACAAGCCCGGCAGGATGACCCGTAGCGCAGGTGGCGTGATGGCCCGCGCCCAGCAGCAGCTACCCGCTGCTAGAGTCCCCAGTATGCATGATGATCCGCCGTGTCTCCCTGCTGCCCCTGAAGTTCGGTCCTCAGCGGGCGCATCACTGCAACCCCTGTGCCCCTTGCCCCCGCCGTACTAAAGGCAGATGTCGCTAGAGGAGCAGGATCCAGGAACCTTACTTGGGGCCCTCGCACATGCCAGTAGTGCGCCCTATTGCGCGAAAACTTATGCAGCTAGAGCGCCTTGCGGACGTTGAGCCTACGTGCAGGTCGGGCGCCGAGAACCGCCACCCCCGCTAATAAACCCCCTTTCCAACTAAACGGTAATGTAAGAGCCGAATTCCCAGGCTCTGAAGCTTCTGTACATATGACCAGGCCTGCGCAAAACTTTCGCAAAAAGCTTGAAAGTAAGGCACCCCGGCACCACCCCTCGCAGCTAGCAGCCTGTCTCAGCTGTTGAGCCACCCCTACCGCGCCGCTCACATGGATCCGCCGGGTCCGGCGCGTCGGTTTGACTAGCCTTACTACTTGGTCTTCTTGCTTACTCTACGCACGCAATGCCCTAAAACCCTAAAACGCCGTGTCTCCACACCGTACCTCATCATAAACGCAGTCCAGTTTCAAACCAACCAAACACAAACCCAACGAAACCTTCCCTACCAATCCCCAAAAACCGCGCGCGCCAACCCATTTCCACTCCCATGTCCCCTGTTCCCTCTTAAGGCCGATACGCACCCTCCCATCGCCCACGCACCCCACCCACCCCCATTCCTAACCTGGCACCCACCCCCATCACCCCACACCCACCCACCCATACACCGTAACGACCCAGTCGCTCCCAATCCCAAGTACCCTCTACACCACCACCCTCCCCCCTGGTCAGCTCATTCTAACACCGGTACCCTGACGACCGCTCATTCCCCCCTCACTAACCCACCCCTCACCGCTGCTGCTGCAGCAGCTGGAAGTGCTGCTGCTGCTGCCACAGCCGCATCTGCGCCTGCTCCGGAAGCACCTGCCCTCCCGGCAGCCCTCCTCCCGGCAGCCCGCCCTGCTGCGGCCCTCCCTGCCCCTGACCTCCCTGCCCCTGCGCCCCCCCCAGCAGCGCCGCCGCCTCCGCCGCCGCCCGCAGCGGCAGGTGGTCCAGCAGCCCCATCCGCGCGTACTTGTCCACGTAGCGCTGCAGCAGCAGCTGCGTCACCACGGCGGCGGGCAGAGGCTGCGTGGCGGGGTCGTAGGGCTGCGTGAGGGGGTCCAGGCGGGAGGGGCTGCCGCAGCGGGACGGGGAGGGGGAGGAGCCGTCGCTGCCGGCGGTGGGCGAGGTGGTGGCGGCGGCGGCGGGGAGCGGGGGGGCGGAGGCGGTGAGGCGGTCCGCACGACGCTGTCGGACGGCCTGCGGGGGGCGGGGGGAGGGAGGGATGGGCCGCAGCGCTCGGCTACTTCAAACCGAAAACCATACTAACCACACGTGTGCATGCATGCGACCAACCAGACATAAACCGCTTTTCCGCCCCATTCATCCGCACCCCCCACCCCGCGCCCCTTGCCACCCCCAACACGCACCTGCGATCGCACCGTCAACCACAATACGTCCCTAATGCGGCCAGCTTTCCCCGCCTCTCTCCCCCCCCACCTGCACCCTGGCTGCCGTGTCCGCCAGGTCCCACACCACGTCCAGGTTGCCCCGCCCCGAGCGCTGCGTGAGCTTGGCCCACTGCCCCTCCCACTGGCTCTGCTCAGCCTGGGGAAGGGCGGGAGGGAGGAGGGGTGAAATGTGAAGTGGAGGAGGGGAGAAAGGAGGGGGGGTCAAGCAATAAAACCTTGCAAAAGAGGGCACGTGCTGCAGCCCAACTTGGCGTTCACCTTTAGGAAGGGCGTGGACGTGCTCCAGTAAGCCCAATCACAGTGTGTTCTTCTTCGCGGTCAGTTTCCCCTTCCACACCCGCACACGCACCTTCTGCCAGGGCGGTGTCCGCGCCCGCATCTTGACCAGCGCCACGTCCTCCAGCCCCAGATCAGACAGCTCGCTGCCGCTGTCGTCCAGGAAGTCACCCACCTCGGCACGGTCCACCTGCCTGTGTACGGCAGGTGGAGGGGTAGGGTGTTGTACGGCAGGTGAGGGGTAGGGTGTTGTACGGCAGGTGAGGGGTAGGGTGTTGTACGGCAGGTGAGGGGTAGGGTGTTGTACGGCAGGTGAGGGGTAGGGTGTTGTACGGCAGGTGGAGGGGTAGGGTGTTGTACGGCTGGTGAGGGGTAGGGTGTTGTACGGCTGGTGAGGGGTAGGGTGTTGTACGGCAGGTGGAGGCTGCCATGCGATGCAAGTGCACGCTCTCAGGATCAGGCCCCTCCTCCTCCCAGCAGCCGTGTCAGCAGGCCTCTCGCTCCACTGCCCGCCTGCCCCGCTACCCCCGCACCCCTCAACCAGCCCCCCTCCCCGCACTCACTCCTTCACAATGTCGATGTTCTTGTTGAGTCGGTTCCAGCGGCTGCGGCCCAGGCTGGGACCCGCCCCGCCGCCGGTGCCCCCGCCGGTCAGACCGCTCTTCTGCGCAGTGGGGTTTTCCCAGAGAAACCAGCCGGGGTGGGCGGGTAGGAGAGGAGGGTAAGAGCAGGAGGGTTGGGAGAGGTGAGGTGAGAGAGGAGGTGGGTCCGGCTCGGCTCGCATGCCCAGCTCGGCTTTGCTTGGTTCGGCTCTGTTTGCCGCAGCTCACGGAGAGGCCCCCAGGCGCCCTAACCACCCCCAGTCCCCTCCACCTCCAGTCCCCATCATCCCTTCACCCCCTCCTATCCTCATTGCTTTGCTCTAACTGGTGGTTAGAGCACCCCCACAAGCCACAACGACCATGACGCAACACCCCCCCCACAAGCCACAACCATCTTTTTGCATTCATACTGTGTTGTGCTTGCTTTCGTCCTGTCTCGCATGCCATCCTGTTTTGCCGTACATTTTGCACTTAGATATAGGTTCATTTTGTCTCTAACTCTGTCCCCCTTTTCCTCGCTCTGGTTCATGTTTCTGCGCATCGCATTACTCGCATTACTGCGGCTGCTGGTCCTGGTGCTGACTACGGCGTCTTTGCTCGCAGGTACGCAATGCGCGTTTGCACGCACGCATGCACAGCATTGTGGTGTCTCGTCTGCGTGACCAGAGCGGGGCCTCCCGGCGTCGAGTTGGTCAGCGGGCTTTTAGCTCTCAGTAGTATTTTAGTTTTCCGACACCATCAGCATCACCGACATGCGCCGTCACTCGTCACTCTTCCTACATCCAGCAACAGCTTCTTCAGTAGTTTTTGAATTACGGTTCAGGTTTGGTCACCTCTGTTTTGCCTGTACTCGCGGTTCACATGCGAACGTCTCCCAATTGCTTGCTCTTGTCCTACTCAACTACACACATAACCACCATGACGCACCTTTTTATTGAGCCTACATGTCACACGGCTTTAGTTGGCTCCTTCCTCTTTCGACCCCCCCCCCGCCCCAACACCCCCCACCCCCACCTGCGGGAACAGCATCTGCAGCACCCCCGCCGCCTTCTCCTTCTGTTTGCGAGTGAGCGCGCGCCGCTCCAGCTCCGCCTTGAGGGCCACTCGGCGGGCGGCGGAGAGGCGCTCAGCCTGGGTGTGTGGGTGTATGGGGGTGGGGGAGGAGGGAGGTGGAGGTGAAGGGGGGAGGGGGGGGGTAAAGAGGAAGAAGCCAGCAGTGTGACATGCGTAGGCTCCACCATGGGGTGCGTCATGGTGGTGGTGGCGGTGGTGTGGAGCCTGCTGCGGGTGTCGACTGACCGTTGACTGCCATTACCGCATACACACACATCGCGGCCAGTTATTTTAACACACACATCAGTACGTTTCGCCTCGCGGCCAGATATTTTAACACACACATCACGGCCAGTTTTCTTAACTACACACATCACAGCTTTTGAATTACGGTTCAGGTTTGGTCACCTCTGTTTTTGCCTGTACTCGCGGTTCACATGCGAACCTCTCCCAATTGCTTGCTCCTGTCCTACTCAACTACACACATCACACGCCCCCCGCCTTCCCGCCCCCTCACCCTCCCCCGCACACTGCATGAGTCGGGCCTTTCGGCATTCCTGTGCTTCACTCCCACTACGGTAGTTTCCCCTTCCCTCGCACCTCTATTGCCGCCTTGGTCGCCTCCACCACCGCCAGCGGGTTGGCCTGCCAGCGCCGCCGCACCAGCCACCCGCGGACGTTGGCCTGCGGGGGAGGGGGAGAGGGGGAGGGCAGACGAGAGAGGTGGGGTAATGTGTTTGGGTACGTGCCCCAACACCATGCCATCCCTACCTAGCGCCCAACAACCCACAGTAGCGCCGTGTACTTGGTTATCTAGTATCTTTACCCCCCACCCCCACCCCACCCCCACCCCCCCACACAGACTCCAACTTCCGGCAACCACAGGCCGTTGCAATTCGCGGCCTGCTTTCTTATACACACCTGCAGTATGGTTGCCAGTCGGTGCCGCATCACGGTCACGGAGCACCAGTCGTCCTGCCCGCCAAATTCCGCAAGTACGGCACCCACTCGGCTGGTGGGTCGGAGTACGGCAGACTCGCCGTTGCGTGCCGTACGGGCGTGACCCTGCTGGGCCCTATGCGTGTGTGTGTGTGGGGGGGGGGTGAGGGGCAAGGCGTACGGGTGTGGAGGCGGAAGCGGGGAGCGTAGGGAGGGGGGTGACGGTGGTAAATAAACCGCACGCAATGAAAACGAACAGCGTTGGAGGAAAAGGAAGGTCAAGAAGGGGCAGGGGATAAGCAGCAATAAACACAGTTTCCATCCTCCCCTCCTCCTTCCCACCTCCTCCCCGCCTCGCCTACCGTACCTCCTGCGCCACCTCCCCTGCTGCCGCCGAGACCGCTGCTGCGACTGCGGCCCCTCGTCGTCACTCGCTAGCCCGCCGGAACCTTTAGGGGGGAGGGTGGCAGGGGGGTTGGGCAGCATAGGGGATTAGCCCGCATTGACAAACCGTAGTACGCAGCCCTCAAGTCCCCTGCACTCCCCTGCTTCAAACCTCCCCTCCATCCCTTAATCGCATCGCAGTACGGCAGTAAATCGATACCAGCTAACCCTTCCTCCCTCCCTCCCCTTCCTCCCCCCTCCCACCCACCTCTCATGCCCCTGCCGCCGCCCGCCGCCCCGCCCCCTCTCATCATCATCATCCTCGGACTCCCCCCCGCCCCTCCTCCTGCTGCCCCCCCTCCAGTTGCGGTGGACGCAGCGCGCGAGGGCGGCACCGACCTGCCCAGCGCCGCATACACGTTGGGCAGCTCGGTGGTGGCTGTGAAGGAGGGACTGCAGGCGGACAGGCCGCTGGGGGGCGGGGAGCGGAGGGGTCACAAAGGGGGGTAAGTGGAGCGCGAGAGGACAGATACGGGCTGCATGCGGAGGTGGAGGCGAAGGAGCAAGGGGGGCTGGAGCGGGGCTGGAGCGGCACGTGCGGCTGTGGGGTGCATGCAGGACATCATGGACATGCACAGCCGCACACACAACACAACACTCCACACAACACAACACGCACCTCCGACCAGTTTTCGCAAGTCAACACACATCTCTACTCGCGGCCAGTTTTGGTGGCACCCCCTGGCACGCAGCGCCCACCGCCCCACCGCACTGCTGCCGGCTGGCTGCTGCCCGCCCCTCCACACGCACATGGCCCCTGCCCCCTGCCCCCATCCCGCCAATCACAATCTCCCCCTCCCGCCCGCCCCACCTCTCCGCTCCCGAGCTCCTCAGGGTGGCCCGACTGCCCAGGTTCATACGCTGGGCGGTGAGCTCCTGGGGGGGGGAGGATTGGGAGAGGGAGGGAAGAGGGGCGGTAAGTCTACGTGGTGGAGGGTTGGGTCCAGCAAGGGTATGACCCACCTATCCTTCCCCTCCCCTCCCCTCCCCTCCCCTCCCTCCCAACGGCGCCGTGGGTCTCCAGCTCACCTTCAGCAGCCTCCACACATGCCCAAGACTATGGTAAGGTTGCTCCATAATTGGTAAGTTCGGTAAGTTTAGCTCGCATTGCTTTAACCACCTTTTCGGCTCGACTCACGGTTGATTCCACCAGGGATTGTCAGCAACTTGTATCATTATCACACCACACTTTGGAATTTCTTTTTCCCCTCCCTCCCACCTTGAGCCGCGCCCGCCTCTTCCGCTTCTCCTCCGCCTCCCGGGCCACCAGCCGCTCCAGCCCCGGGTGCCCCATGGCCGACATGAGCGCGGTGTTGTGCGCGGCGGCGCGGAACTTGTCAACCACCCCCTTGCCCATCTGGTGGGAGGAGGGGACGGAGGCAGGGAGGGAGGAAAGGGGGTAAGAAATAATGAGACAAAGGAAAGGGGGGGAAAGAGAGGTAGGAACTAACCAACCGTGCGGGACGAGGGGAGAAAAATGACCGTCGATAACGGTAACCATGGTGGCATAGGCGGAAGGTGGAAGGCGGGGTGGGGGTAGGGGCCCTCCCACGCATGCGGCCGTGAGGGCTGGGGGAGGGCTGCTGGGCAGCGCGGAGAGTTGCCGTACGCAGGGGGAGTAGCCGGGGCGCTGGGGGGTCGGGGCGGCCAGCCCCTCTAGCGCTGGGGCAACCACTCCAGCGCACTCCAACGTAGGCAGCGGCCAGTTTTCTGTAACACACACACTGGGCTTCACACACTACCCGCGGGGCTGTCCTCGGTAGCTCCAACAGACTACCCTAGCCTGGGGACGGCATCCGCCCCTCAATCGCCCTCACGGCACCCCGACATGCGGTCACGCAGGGCAGCACCCACCCAGCCACCACCCAGTCTAGGGGCGGCCGCCCCAGAGCCGTGATGGCCGCACTGGTGGTCCCACTCTGCCGTACGCAGCCTACCGTTGTCGTACTGCACCCTCGAAGCAAGTTTGGATTTCGGGTTCCAATCCGAAATGTGTCGTACAGTACAGCACGCCATGCTACGGTACGGCATTCTTGCCTTTGTGATGCCGTGTTTTGCGGCCATCTGGTTCTCCCCTCTCGCGATGACGTGGCTGGTCTCCAGACCCGCGTCCTGGGCTCGGTCCGCGAGCACCCTGCATGACGGGAAGAGGAAGAAGATGAGAGGGGGCGAGAGGGGGCGTAGAGAAAAAGAAGTAAAGGAAGAATGCAGGGAGAGGGAAAGAGAGGGCGAGGGATAAAGTCCATGGGGTTAGTCCCAAGTGTCATAAAGACGCGAAGGCTAGGTGACGCAAAACTGGCAGAAGGGCTCAGCGGGTGGATGGCGGAGGGAAACGGAACGGCGGCTTGGCACAATGGTACGACAAAGATAAAGAGCGCCATGTGCCAGTCAAAGCGCTGCCCTAGGTAGGAAAGGGCGCTATAGGACAGCCCAGGCGGGCAGCTGAGCACCTTTAGGCAAGCAGCTCCCTTCCTCGACAACCCACCCGACCAACCGTTGACTCAAAATCCACTTAGGAAACCCCAATACTGTGCCGAGCTAATGTCCTGACTCACATGTCCATCGCTCTGGAGAACTTGTCGATTTCCTGTGATCCAGGTGTGAACTCCGCACGCCTGCTGCCGCGACTGCCGATGGGTGGCAGAAGCGTTTTGGCGAATTCCGCGTCCATCGCGAGCTCCAAGGCGCTCTGTCCCTCCGAAGAATATAAGCCCAGGTCCGCCATTTGGGTGTTTAAGCCGCTGGCGCGGCTCACAGTGTAGTTATGTCATACGCTAAGCCCCAACGGTACCAGTGCTGCCGTCCTATGAGCTGCCTGTTGCTTTATGCGTTTACAAAACACTGTCCAGCTGCCTTTCAGGTGTTGTCCTAAGTCCTTATGGAAGATGCTTTCCCTATACCTTCGACAGGAGTTAGTAAGGTTACGCAGCACGTAAGAGCATTGTTAGATTCAAGCTTAATAAAATTGCGCCACTAATAAGTCTTTGGCTTATGTGCTGAAATAAAGAAGATAAAAGGCCCGGTGCGTGCTGTGAGCAATGGCAAAGAACCTTAGGTATGGAATAACAACGCGGAACCTATACGTTGGAAATTTATATGAAAACGGTTGTATGCTTCTGCAACGACAAAAGGGCTGAGTACCCATTTGTACGGCCTCCTTGTAATAGTGCATTCCTAGGCTAAGGCAAACGCTTAAAGCAATCTGTAAGATTCGCAGTCTTTCAATATCGTCGCTGGCATCTGCTCTTTCATTCAAGGACGTTTACAGCAGACCTTCTCCACAGGCTACGCCCCTCAAAACAGCCATTTTAGGTATAAACCTTACTGTGCCTAACGTCAACTTAGTATATTTTCTGAACAAAAATGGGAGGACAGCGGCATAGCAAGAATGCTGGCGTCATGGGCTCAGAGTCCCTGACTTATGCCGAACGAAAAGCGCTAGGCTTTGGAACAGTAAAAGAGCGCGTGGGCAAGGTACGATTACACACCCGCTCGCCGTTCCTTCTTCTTGGCTTGGCAATTGCTTAGGGTTGACAACGATAAACGTTTTGCAGGACTCCTTAGGGAATTACGACGACTGCTGCCTTACCCTCATGGAAGCCAAGGTACGCCGACCTGTTTGCTGTCGGCTCTCCTCCTCCTGGGTATGCTGCGCCATCGGCCCATGGTTCCGATCTAACCCTTTTCAACTGCAGGACCCTGTTATTACCCCGCACGGATACTTATTCAGCAAGGAGGCCATCCTTGAGAACCTACTGGCTCAGAAAAAGGCCATTAAACGGAATTTGGAGGCTTACGAGGCGGCGCAGCAGCAGCAGCGGCAAAAGGAGCTGGAGCAGCAGGCCATCGCGCACGAGGCGGCGCTGGTGGCGTTTGACCGGCGCAACCACCTGGGGGTCAGCGAGGGGGTGGCGGCCAGGTGGGGGTCAGCGAGGGGGCGGGTGAGGGAGAGCCAAAAGCCAGGCCCCAAGGCCAGCCGCCGGACTGATAGGGCAGGGATAGGGCAGGGTAGGAATGCGAGCGACGACAGCCAGCCTACCTTACCCCTCCCCCTCCCCTCCTCCTCCCTATCCCTTCCCTCCCTCTTCTCCTCTTTATCCCTCCCCTCCCCCCTTCCTCCCTCCCCCCTCCCCCGCCAGGCTTGAGGCCGCTATCGTGGCGGAGGCTGAGGCGCTCCGTAACCCTCGCGAGGCGGGCGGCGCCAAGTCGGTGATGGCCATCAAGGGCAACGAGGAGCGGGCCAAGGAGCTCAAGGTGGGGCGGGGGAAGGGAGGCGGGGGGGGGGGCTGACTAGGCGAGGCTTGCATTCACCCCAATACCCAATACCCAATAGCCTGCCGTTCCGCGCCCCTCCCGCCTTGTGACATGGTTAGTATTTTCTCCCCACCCCATCTCCCGATTCCCCCCCTGCAGGCATTCTGGATGCCCTCCTTGACCCCCCAGGCGGAGGTGCGGGTGGACAAACCCGACACGGACACGCGCTGCCCCGCCAGCGGCAACAAGCTGAGGATGAAGGTGAGTGGGGAGGGTTAACAGGGATACACATATTCCGCGTTTGGCTGGATTATAGGATTGCGTATCGTCATACTTGTTGGGTTAGTAGCAGCAATTTAAGTACATTGCTGCTAATAACTGAAGGTGGGAGGGGAGGGTGGGGGGTAATTTGGAAACAGAATCCGAATTAGGCTGGATATTTGAGTTAGCATATAATTGTAGTTGTTGTTTAGTTAGTAGCATCAATCAGTAACAAACCGTATTGGGTGGGGGGAGGGAAAGGGAAAAGATACACGCATCTGTGTGTGCTAAGAAAACCGGCCGCGAAAAAGAACAGACTGTGTTTTAAGAAAACTGGCCACTAGTGCATGATTCCCCCACATGATGTCACATCCCCTCTGTCGCGACCGCTCCATGCCGGCGTGTTATGCGCACATACTGATCACGCCCCGGCCAAAGCACCACACGTTTCATGCACTTCACGCCCTCATCATCTTGCCGCCGGCTCTGCAGGTTATGATTACCGTACTTCGCTAAACTGCCGCACCCGGTGGCGAATCCCGTTCCGCCTGCTCGCTTGCATGTCCTACCTGATGCCCCGCCGCCTCTCACAACCTCCCCCTCCTCTCCTCTCCTGTCAGGATCTGGTTGCCGTGCGGTGGACTGCCGTACCCGAGGGCGAGTGCGGCAAGCACATGGACCCCATCACCAAGGAAACCTTCACCAACGCGTCTAAGCTGGTGGTGCTGGCACCCACGGGGTGAGGGGGAGAAGAAGAAACATCATGCGAGGGGGAGGTAGGGGCTCACGGGATGAGGGAAATACAAGTTGCCTGTTTAAGTGTTGTCTGTAATCCATGCCTGTTTTTCTGTTCTTCAACTCCATCTTTCCCACGATGCTGCTCCTGCTGCCGCTCCCGCCGCCGCTGTAGTGATGTGATGCTGAAGGAAACGTACGACAAGTGCGTCAAGTCGGAGGGCAGCTACGGAGGCAAGCGAGTGCGGGACAAGGACGTCATTCCGCTGCAGACGGGCGGGACAGGGTTCGCGGCGCGGGACGGAGAGAAGGTGCAGACGCAAAAGGTGAGAGGTAGGGCGGCGGCGGCCATTGGGGGTCCGTCCGTTGAGGGGCAACAGCCGGGGCGAGGGCGAGGCGGCCGGGTTTTGTTCAAATGAGCCGCGAGGAAACATGGACCGTGACCGTACGTAGGGTGTGTTGGGGTTAGAGCAGATGGATTAGGGTCAGCGGCTCGCAACACACGGGGCCTTGATGCGACTGCTCCGTTGAAACGGACAAGGAGGCAAAGCAAGCAAGATACCTACACTACGTATATGCCCCTTTACTGTCGCCTGCTCCCGGCGTCACATTCCTTGTGCTGGCACTCCCATTTTCCCATCACACAGAAAGCCGGGTGTCTTTTCTATACCACTCCTACCGGGCGCCTACCACTATTCTGTCTACCCCCTGCACTTACCTGATGGCCTTCCTCCTTCCTTCCAGTTGCCGGACTCCTCATTTTTTCCCTCCCGCCTCAATCCCTCCATCTCCCTCCCTCCCGCGCTGCACTGCAGTACTTCATGCTGGGTCCCGGCAACGGGCTGCGCGACCTGCGAGGGCAGCACCAGGGGCCGCGCTCGCTGGGCGGCCTAGCATTCATGAACTGAGCGGGCGGTCGGAGGCGCTGCGCCGCCACATGCACTGGGGGCCTGTTGGGGAGGCGGTTGCTGTGCTGCTGTGGCTCATGGGGCGCGGCGGTGGCAGCGGCAGCAGCGCCGTTTTGAGTGTAATATGAGAGGTGCAGGAGAGGTAGAAGCAGGGTTTGGAGGGCTGTTTTTAGGCCAGCAACGAACGAGGATGCTTCATGTGTACAGCAGTCTACGGAATGTACGATTGCCGGGTGCATGACCCGCTCCTGGTGTGATGGCTTAACACAGAGTCTCTGATGGCAGAAAGCGGCGCTGGTGGCCCTGTGCGTGGTATTGGATGGAATTGGCAAGGGAAGTGATTCCATACCTGGCGTTGTACTACTCTCCAGTACGCCAGCCAGCCTTGGTGACTGTATTTAGGGAAGGACCCGCATAATCACGCTTGGGTTTGCAGCGGCTTTGGCTGCGTCAGCAATGAAGACGGATGAGACGGACTTGGAAGCATCGCAATACGTCATTGTTCATGGCGCATGGCGATGGTGGTGGCGAGGGTGCGGAAAGCTGAGGGAGTTCAGCAAACAACCGCCCATTGGTCGTGCCTGGACTGTACACAGTGCATTATCCTGCAACGGCGTCGTCCAACGAACAATCAAGTGTTTACAAGTATCTTGAATCTTCATCATGCCGACATGCTCAGGGCCCATTGCACACGCGCATACGTCGAACAAGGTTGACAAAAGGTGCGTGAATGGGAGTATAAGCTCCACAGCGGTTACTGTGCAAGCCGTGCGCACGTTTTTGCTGTTTCATTTCAGCACAATACATTCAATGTTGAGGCAACTGGGCCAACCAAACACAATACCGGTGACATGCCTGGTTTTCATGACCAGGAGTCATGAAAATGGCTGTAGCGAGCTGCGCGTCTAATAGCGGCTCGGGCCTTTTACCAGCAATGCTATTTTGTGGGCCCCAAAGAGAAGACAACCAAAACGCCACAAGCCTTACGTCTGCGCATTTCAGTGACAAGAAAACGAACACGCCACGGTCCGCATCCGTGCACCTCCCACCATACATCATACACATGTGGCTCAAGAGGCTTGCCCAAAGCCGACGACTTATTTTTTTCTGTGCGGTATTCTTGACACGCGGGCAAGCTCACCACCTACGAGCAGTATAGGGGCGAGGTGCCACATGCGAAGAGCTTATTTTTAAATTAAGCAACTGGCATGAACGGTTACGTAAACCCGCATCGACGCCGATGCTAATGACCTGCAGGCAGACCTTCTCGCCCTTAACCCACTACAATACACCGCACAGCACCACGCTAGCGCCGAACGATGCGACAACAGTGAAGCAAGGCATTAGCGCACACACACAACAGGTAACGGGCCCATCCGTAGTACAGCGAAAAGCTAGAGGCCTTGCACATAAGTGCCCACAAGGCACCGGCCCTACTCAACGGCAAACAGCATCGCCGGGGGCTGCACAAAACGTATTAGATGATTCATTATCAGCGTGTCAAACCGCTGCAATGCAGTGCGCACTGGTAGCAAGAGCACAGGCATACACCCCCGGTAACTCCTCAACAGCCGTGGCGGCACAGGCGCGCTCCGCGGTTGAGGTTGAATCGAAGGCTGCACAACATAGCAATACACATACCTTCATCTGCACGTGTGAACACAAGAAAGGTAACATGGACCATCAACTTAAAAGATAGTCCTCAAATAGTCCTCCTTTGCATCACCACGTGAACTAAGGGCCGTGTGCCGTATACAGCCCAGAACAAATATACCAGATGACAACAGACACACCTTCAAAATGCTACAGCGTCGGCAACAGCTCAGGGTGGGCGCAACACCACAAACCCATCTTCAGGACGACGGCTCTCCAAACCGGGACCCCGGCAATATCGTATCGTTATATCATTGGATGAAAGGCAACGTAGCGGACGGGCGGTCCACTCATCTTAAGTGCCTCGGCCCCCCAATTGTTTAAAAGACGCGAGGCAGGACTATATCAAGCGCTTCCTATATTGGCAACACCAGAGAGAAGCACGGCGTGTCTCGTACTCGCCTTATTGCTTACTAAACATTCATTCGAAGGACTCTAAGCCCAGAACCTCTTCTCCACGACAAAACGACATAAATTATTGCCCTACAATTCCGCTCTTGCGCGTATTAAAAGGTGTACTGAATACTAGCCACCAGCCCTATCCACGCCCGATGTTGAATTCCCCCACACGCCACACACCCCTGCAGCAGCAGCAACAGACGCGCGGCAACAAAGGGCCACACTTATTCGGGATCACAAACTGCGCGACCGAAAACACCCAAGCTGCGCGCCATCGAGGTCAGCGCTACTCGCCTAGCGGTCGCGCCTTGGTGCGCCTAGCGGAACACCTCCATAGCGTTCAGAGCACTGTTGCGTTCATTTGTACACAAAAGGAAAACATGCAGAGCAGCGCACCGACGTCCCTAAACACGCGCTGGCAAGCCCCGACAGACAGGTGTCTGCACATGCTCCAATACAGCACACGCCCCAACTTCAGGAAAGCCACAATTGGCAATGCACAGCAGCAGCTGTGGCATAGCAGTCAGCGCATAACTCCCAGTCTCGCTAAAGTCCTTATGTGAAGGTAACTGCAAAGCCGGCAACCCGGAGACGTTCGCGAGCGCACATGCTACCAAACGCGTCGCGCAGCGCAGCAACCCTGCAAGCCAGTCTGCGGGATGTAGGGATTAAGGGCAACACCGACAGCAAGTCCTCGGGCGCTCCAGCACCCACCCTCCAAACATTTCCCCATTAATTAATGATGGAACTCTTGGCGAAAAACAGGGGTAACGCGCCAGCTGCCACTCGCCAATCAAGAGCAAAACAGCTAAATTTGCCTCCATAGTTAGGAAACAGAAGCCACAAAAGATCAGCCCGGGCTTTGCCAAACAGGACAGATTCTTGTCTGTCTGGATTGAAGCAGCCAGCTAGTCCAAAGCTCGACCCACATGTGTACAAGACCAACTCTCAACGATGCGGCTCCGCCTCAGCCTGAAGTGACAGGCCAAATGTACTTACTACACAATGTGCTGCATACCTAAACAACTGTTTTATGTTGAGAATTGGCTTGTAGCGCCGCTGCTGAATTATTAAGGGTCTTAGTAACTCTGCATTATTGTGAAAGCGGCGACTCGCCCGTCGGCATGTCGCACCCTTCCATGTGTCATAATCCACTCCTAAATCTCTCTGTTAACAAAAGCACAAGTACCATTCCAAAGTGCGCAGGCAACGCGCCGCATGACCCCAAATCGGTCAACAGCTAGCAACCAGCAACGAACCAGCACATGCGCCTTTCGCTACCTGTCTTTCCATCCTGCACCTGCCACACTGCTGCTAAAGGTATGCAAACAGCACGTGCTCGGCAGCTCCGCTCCGCTGTGCATTGCGCTTGCGGCCATTTGCTGTTCAGTCCGCTGCTGTTGTATGCTCCCTCACCTGTGGCTCGTACCGTACGACATGAATCTTTTTCCATGTGGCATAAAGAGCTTCCGTACATGAGCAGATCTGCTGTGCACAGTACAGCAGTCGTTGTCGTACAGCCGGCCTAACCGCTCTCATCCGCGATGACCTGCTTGCTCATGAGCTCGGCGAGCTCCCGGGCGAGAGAGGCGAAGTCGCACTCTTCAGAGGCATCCTCACGCTCGCGCTCCGGCTCCTCAACTACCACCTGGGAGGAGGAGAGGGATTACTATTTGTGTCATTCGGCGAAAATATCATGTACTCATGTTGCCTAAACTTGAATATCGGTCCGTACAACATATTGCAATAAAAGCGGACGTGCGCCTCCTATCCTACTTATTGCACGTTCGGCTCGACTAACTCGATTCCATTCACCATGAGCTTGTCTTCTACTGTTGCCACTTTTATTCAACACATTTCTTTCCTTCTTTTCCCTCCTCGATCTCCTCCTGTACGTTCGGCCCAACTAAAGGCAACGTGCATCCACTCACCAAGAGCCGTCACCAAGAAACAAGAGTCGCCACTAACGACACAATATCAGACAGCATGGCATTTCTTCTTCCGCCCTCCCTGTCACCTAGTTGGACATTTCAGCTAACGAACATTCTTCTTCACTTTTCCCGCCCTGCCCACCTTCATGGTATCCGCCAGGTATCCCACCGTGGAGGCCGGGTGCGAGTCCAGCTCCGAGCGGGTGCTCCCCCTCGACAGAAGCTCCAGGGTGGTCTGACGCGAGTAGGGATCCTGCGTGGCGCTGTCCTCGCTGCAGGATGCCGGACTGCTGCCCTCGCGACCGGGGGACGAGGGCGACTGGGAGCAGCTCCGGAAGCAGCCGCCCGCCGCCTCCAGCAGGCCGCCGCCGCCCACCTCGCTGGTGCCCGTCGCTGAGGCCGCAGAGCGAAGGCTGCTGCTGCGAGGCAGGAAGGAGTGCTGCTGCAGAGGGTGTTGCTGTGGCATGTGCGGCTGGCAGCTGGCTGGAAGCGATGGCGGGTTGGCGTTGCTGCCTGCACCGCCGCAGGCCAGCGTCTTAAGGCTGGCATGCGTGGTGAGGTGCTGAGAAGCAGAAGGAGGAGCAGAAGGATCGTTTTTGCCGCCGCTGACAGAGACGGCAGCTGCCGCCGCCTTGCCTTCTGCAGGTGTGAGGTGCGGCAGGAAGACGCCGGTGCCGCCGCTTGCCTGCGCGCCACTGGCAATCACGGCTTTCATGGGATGCCAGTCCTCGGAAGCCCATGAGGGAGCCTTGGCGGTGGCGGCGTAGCGTGCGCGTCGGGAGCTGTCCGCGGGGCGGCTTGGGTTGACCCGGCCGTTGGGCCCCAAACCCGAGGGCTGGCGGAAGGGGGGCCTGGGGAGTGGGCAACGTGGGCAAAAAGCGAGCAGCGGGCAACGGGAGAGGGCGGGAGAGTTGCGTTGGATAGAGAGGCAGGCTAAGAACGGTAGGGCGTGTCAAAGCAACAGCAGGGAGATGGATGATAATAACACCATCGGCCTTCAGCGTGTGCTGGTGGCCGAGGAATGCAGGAATCCTCCAGCTCCCAGCCGGAACGAGGAGCCTAAGGAGTGCATGGTTACACCCCTTGTATTGCGAGCGCAATGCACTGACATACACAGCCACGAGAAGCGAAACACCTCCCCTACCGCCAGGTCCACGCACGGGCTAACCTCTTGGTATTGGACTGCGTCGCCTTGGCTTGCACCACAGGGGTGGGCGTCAGGTGCGGGGCCGACCGCCGCTGGCCAGCTACCAGGTGTTCAGAACTGAAGCTGCGCACGGGGAGGCTGTGTTGGCCCATGACGCCTGGCACGCGTTGCAGTCCTGCGAGTTGCGATGCTGGATTTGCAGCATGCTGAAGAGCGGCAAACGCTTGACGCTGCTCGAAGTCCAGAGCCGAACCATAGGTTCCGCCAACATCAAAACATGTACTCCTGCCTAGACATTCCAAATCCGTTGTTCGACTGCGTTGGAAGGTGTTCGGATGCCGAGGTACACTCTGGTGAAGCGCACTCAAGTGCTGTTGGAGTTGAGCAAGCTCCTGTTGTTGCTGCAGAGCTTGAAGTTGCTGCGTATGGTAACAGCACAAGTATTTCGGCTTGGCAACGCAAGTGAGGCGAAGTGGTAGAAAGTTGTGACGCAGACCAAGGTAAACGCCCGCACCTGCAGGGCCGTGGCCACTTGCACCTGCTGAAGGCGATGCTCCTCAAGCTTTGCGGCCAGGCTTTGTGCGACCTCCTGCAAACGAGGGGTACAAGCGTTGCATGTACATCCGTCCCTATCAAATCAACTCATAACCTATCCATGAAAAGAAACAGCAAGCAAAGCCTTCCTACAGCAGTCCGTTCGCTGCTTTCATCAAGACAAAACGCCGGCTGTGGGGCTCTGCCCTCCAAGTATCAAACCCTCCTGTAACTGGCTTCTACCCTACCTGGTACAGCGCACTTTGCTCAGGGTGTGTAGCGTTAGTCCAGCCTAGAGTCTGTTGAGGAAGGGCTGTCGTTTTCAATGGCAGCTGCGCCTCAAGGCCCAAGAGGCCCAGGCCCTGTCCAGCACTTGGGGCCTGAACCCCAGCCAACAGAGAGCCAACATCATAGCCTCCTAGCAAAAGCTCTTCCAGTGCAGAAAGTTCCGCCATAAGTCGCCCAAAACAGTGACCTCCCTAAAGACCTTCCTCCTGAGCGTTTGTTGGGATGAAAGAATACAAACTTATCATAGATTTCGGGCTTTTTGCAAATTTCGTGCCAAAGCACAACAAACCAGGGTACAGGTTGATCGTGTGTACGGCGGTTCGTGGAACGTATGTTCTGGTTTCCTTCTTGCTAGGTTAAATGGCCATTATGTGGCCGCAAAGTGGATAGTGGTTCTGCGCAAGCTGCGCAAGCAAGTTGCATAACCCATGTGCATAATCCATATCCTTACAAGAGACTAACGGTCCCGGGCATTATATAGAGATATTTTCGGCTTGCCTGCTTGCTTTGTAGTTCAATATCAGCAGAAAGCACTGGACCAGCCAAGGGTGGGTGACTAGCTGCCCAGAGTCGTACTGTAAGAGCCCACGCCGTTTCATTATTGGTCCGCTGGTACTCCTCTGAACGTCTAGTCGGCATCCTGGGGTGCGCGTTTCCCCGGGCCGGACTGTTGCTGTCCTTGACGGGCTTGACCTGGCTCCACAGTGCCGATGATACGAAATACGGGCCACAGGCAGTGCGTGTCGCCCACCGTACTACCGTACACAACAGAGACCATAAGCATGACATGGAATGCGCAGAAGCCAACTCGACGCACACGTTAGATACCGCAGAAAGCTGCTTTTACGGCAGACGGTCGATGGCAATACGCACACCAATACGCAGCAGCATACGCAATTAAGTTCCAACATCCATGAGCTGAAAATGTTGCAGTGGTGAAGCAGAGAGAATCTTTAGGTAAGAGTTCCGGGAAACAAAGGTTAGGCGGGTATCGTGCTTCCTACAGAGTGACCCCTGGGTCGCAAAGGCGTGCACCTGAAGATCGCAGTGCCTCTGCTGTTTATTAAAACAGGTGGAGTAAGCGCCCCGCACGCTCAATGCAATTTAACTAAACGCTACTTGCTGTGGACGACGGGCAGAGCAAGTGGCGTTCGGGTACGGCCTGGCTGTATGCGGTTTAGCCTTCTGCGGCCTAGCCTGTACACTGGTCGTACGGCTTGAATGGCACGCCGAGCGAAGGAGGACTAGGCGCGCAAAGTCAACGCCTAGACGAAACGTCTTTGCCTGCTGTTTCCCATGCCAACGTGGCCCCACCTCCGCGTGCGGACCATGGTGTACCGTATTGGGGTTGTTCAATGGACATCAGATATGGCGTGCTTGTCTTGTATGCCGTACATATGCACCGTGTGGCCTTGTGGCCGTCTTGGAGATCCCGACGCCGTATAGCCGCACTGTGGCACACGTATGTGTTACATGTGTACATCCCCCAAACAGGGCTGGCAACTGCGAAGCAAGTGGCTTCGTATGTCGAACACAGCAGAACCACCAGGGCAATTAGTAGGGTCGTGCATACAACGGTCGCTGCCCCGTGCCCTACCCGGGGGCATGAAAAACAGAGCAGACAAGTCCTACCCACTCATGTATACCACCAAGCTTCCACGGCGGGGCAAAGAGAAGAGCTGCCCCAAGACCTAAAAAATTACTAATAAAGAACATAACATGTGTAGGGAACGGGTACAGGCCAAACACGTACTTTTGCAGCAGCCCCAGTCCAAGGGGGTACCCATAATGAGCAGGAATTTATGCCATCAATGGCCAAATAGATCCATATCAAGCCATGTTCCAGGCTTACAAAATATCCTTAGGTTCCAATCGATAGTTCGTTCGGGCGCTCGTTTTGCAATATAAATCATAGCAATAGCCGTGCACAGCCGCTGTGACAAACCAAAGGAAAAAGAACGAGTGCGCAGCATTTGGGTCAATGTTTAGGAGATGGCTGCGCCTTCACTGTCGTCGTGGCTTGGGAATGACGCGCATGATGGAAGAGGTGATGCAACGTTTCCTGCCTCCTCAAAGAAGCCCTCCCTCCGATGCCCACGGCGACGCTCCTACCTCTTCTGTCCTAGCACACCAAACAATACAGTGACCAAGGTCACTGCCGCAGTAGGCGACGAAAGGAAACAGGCACGGAATAGGCCTCGACTGCTGCTCTTGCAGCGTTGCCGCCGTAGTAGCCGCTGCCACCATAGTAGCCGCCATAGGGAGGTGGCGGGGGGTAGGAGTAGCTCTGATCCTGGGGCGGGTACATGCCGTAGGTTGGGCCGTACACTCGTGGCGGCGGCGCTACAGCCGGATCCGTAAAGTACGGCCACAGCGGTGGTGATGACGGGACAGGATTGGGAGAGCCTTGTGCTTGAAATTAAGCAGAGGCGAAGGAAGATGGAGGGCAGGAACAAGGCAAGCCAGACGATCAGGAGTTAACGAGTAGATGTTGGTAGAGAAGGAACGATTCGGTAACGCCATAGAAACATAACCATGTGCATCCCCGAGTAACAGTATGGCTGCAAGGAAAGGGATGCTGTCGGATAATGCGCCTCACCTTTTGGGGGACTTGGGGCTTCTGGCATCGTGGGAGGCCATGACACTACTGTTGGCATGTTTGGAGCGTGCGCCAGGTTCAATGGTTGCTCCGGGGGCGCCTCAGGTGGTTCTCTCGCCACATCTGGTTGCTCGAAATCTGGCATTGATGCGCCAGGGCCCATAGGCGACTCCTGGCAGAGTGGGCTTCGGCATGGCGGGAATTCCTCAACGTCCGCAGGTGGCGGTAACGCCAGGAGGTCGATAGGGGGAGGAAAGCTGAACTCCGTTGGTGGGGGCATCTGCAAGCAATAATAGAGAGTTTCACTAGCTAGCCCCGACGGCCACTAGCTTGCTGTGATGCGCAACATATGACCCCATTAGGGACTGACGCTATCCACATAGGAGTGCACTCCATAAGGGTACAGGTGTAGCACGGTCATAATGACGGGGCGACGACGCGGAATCGCCCGTCTTCTCTTCGCTTCACTTCTAGCGCAATTGGTGAAACGTTTCGGTGAACGTGACGCAAGCTTTGAAAACGCACCAGATCAGGAGGAGGTGGAGAGGGCTTCTTCTTCGCTTGCGACGGCGTTGCAAGGAGGGCAAGCAGGCCGACGAGGAGTGCGACCGCAGGTGCGTTCGAGACTGTCATGCTGGCGCCTAACTGTTGACGAAGAAGCCAAAGGCTTTGCCTCTCAGGAAATACAGCCAAGCTAGTGTTGACTATCTATGCTATCCACCTGTAATTTGGGTCAGCAGCAGGGACACAATAAAAGCTGTTTGCATAAACGGCGAAGAAAATATCTCCAGCGACGGCCTCTCAAGACATTGGCAAGAATTCTTCATATGCTTGTACTTCTGCACCGGTAGTGCTAGGCCCCATATGCGACAGAAAATTGCTGAAAGCGCTGCTAATTTATGACCCCTCAAAGCAAGAACCGTAACATACCGGGTATTCAGTACGTCCCAAGATATAGTGTTTTCTATTAGCGTATCGGAAAGGCTGGATCTAACTGTGAGAAAACAGCTAGTTGCGTACCTATCTCAAGTCATTTACAGCCTTTTGCCACTTGCCAACGTCACAGACAAGCTGGCTACCGTAATTCGCTTTACCAGTATGCGATTATTGGACCCCCTTAATGTCACGAGTAAGCAGTTTGCCGTACCGCTACGATCAGCTGGCAGCGGTCACAAGCTTACAACGCATTTTGTGGCTAGCATCCTTGAGAAGTCTCTTCACTCGTAAGGCCTTGTACGCATGTCCTGCACGTCCGTGGCTACTAGATCGCACCTGGAGATTGATAATACCTGGAAGCGTCTGACCGGTTGTACCGCTTGTACCCAGCGGCTGCAGTTGCTCAATGGTGCTACTTTGCATACCGTTTTCATGCTGTCTCCTCTACGACAAAGAAAGCTGCGCGAAGGTATAAGCTCGCTTGAACGACTAAGGCTACGAATGACGGCATTAAGAAACAAAACACGGCAACACCGCTCGCATTTCATCTTGATACACTTTCATTACATTTACTCGGACGTACAGTCAGGTGCCCGCTCGGTTGTATGCCTGACATTGACGACGTCACAGGGTATACTGAATTCTGCGCCACAGCTGCATTTTGGCTTTACATATGCATATGTAACACATCTGCGTGTGACGGTTCCAATTCACGGTTACCACTTTGAAGACACATCCAGCCAGCCGGCCGCTGTAGGTTGTAAAACCCCGCGTGAGTGCACCTGGGCCCGCCCACCAAACGCAAAAGTCCTTCTGGAGTCTTATGTGCACTTTTCGCGCTTTTCGTCCTGCTGACGTGTCGTTGAAGCGCATTTGGTTCAATGCTGGGTCCTCGCCCTGGTGGGCGGGCCAACAGGAAACCGACCGCGTCACCGTTCGTTGTATGCCCTGCATGACGGTCCCCATCGTTGAGCATGCGAACACGTGTAGTCTACTATTGGTTGGTGATCTGGACTTGGATTTCTGATGGTACAATCTATAAACGAAGCACGGGCTGCGTCGTTCCTAACATTGCATTTAAAGTGATGGATGGCGCCATATGCGCCTGTTATCAAGTACATGCTGCACGCAACTGGGTGGGGTGCGGCGCAGTTGCAAGGCGTAGAATTGGTATATGGAAAGGCTAACATGTAACATAAAGTAGTTGTGAGCCCACGACTTGAGCATTCTTCCATACAGGTATCCAGCGCTTCAGCCAAAACGTATGTTGGATAACAGACGGTTAGTCACGCTCGGTTAGTACAAGTCGCATAGCCCAATAAAGTTGTTCGACAAACGCTCACAGCCCTCTGTTCACGCCGACATGGTCACAGACGAGGTTCGAGACAAACAAAAGTAACAAACACAAAGCCCACATGCCAGCAGACGATATCCGCCTTGGCTCACATGACTCGACACGCCGCCGTCAGGATCACGTTACTGATCACGCCGCGCTTACAAGCCAATCGCCTGAGCCTTTTCAGGCTTGCCTGCATAGGAACAGGGACAAGGGCCGGTAAGGTAACCAGTCAGGGTGTGCTTTCAGACCACGTTCCATCTTGTCACAATCTACCCTGCTAAATGCACATTGCATAATTCCTCGCGACTATGCCGGGACGTTGCAGTTTAAGCAATAAACGAGCAGCACCCGGACGCCAGGCAACGAATGGGCGAATGTCACAAAGGGAAGGTAGAGACCCACCAAGACCATGCTCGAAGTTGTAGGCAGAGCCACCGTGCTTCGAGACATCCAGGCCAGCCTGCTCCTCCTCAGCGCTGATCCGCAGCACCTTCACGGCCTTCAGGGCCGCAAACAGGATGGTCATCAGACCAAACACCCAGGCAAAAATACAAATGATGCCAATAACCTGCGTAGGGATGGGATTAACAACAGGTAAGCTGTTGGCTAACAGGCACATACGCCCAGAGCCTTCCAAGCGGATGCGGGGGTTATAGAAGCTAGGGCTTTTTCAGGGATGCAGGTGTGGCTTTCAGCTACGAAAGGCTTGGCATATGGTCAACCAGCAGGATGCACTCAGGCGGCCGACGCATACGGGCACGGATAGGGGATGTAGTGGGGTAAGATGCTTCATGAGACCTACTCCAATACACCTGTCTCAAGGACAGACAAAGCGAGGCGGACAGCACCCCTGCACGTGCGGCCCACCTGAGACGCCAGCAGCCGGCCGTCACCAACATAGAACAGACCGTCCGCAATCCAGTTGCCCTCAGAGCAATCCCGGCCGTACGCATCGCAAATGTACTCGCGCTTGGCCAGCAGGCCGACAAAGAAGACACCCCAGGCGCCGCAGAAGGCGTGCATGGGGGCCGCCGAGAGCGGGTCGTCGATGCGCAGCTTGAGGAAGAGCGCGCACACGGCGTCAAAGACCCAGCCACCGGTGAGGCCCGCGATGAGGGCGGCCCAGGGCTCCACGACGTGGGCGCCGGCGGTGATGGTGACAAAGCCAACCAGCGCACCGTTGCAGCCGGCAACCAGGTCCCAGGCCTGCGGTGAAGTGAGGCCAGGTCAGGTAAGACTTGAGTGAGGTCGGATCAGGCCAGGTCAGGTAAGTTCGGGACAGGCGGATAGGTTCACCCTCAAGAACACTGCCCTCAAGCCAGACCTGCTCCACTGAGCGCAAACGCCTACTGAGGCACTTGCGACAGCCACAGGTACGTGCTGACGTGTCATAGCTGCGTGCGGGGGCCAAACGGGCGGGCGCGCTGACGTGTCATAACCCGCACCTTGTTGCGGATGAGGGCGGTGACCAGGCACGACAGGCAGCCCGCAGCCCCACCCAGGGTGGTGGTGACAGCCGCGCGGCCCACGACAGCAGAGTTCGCCACGCTGTTGATCAGCAGCTGGGAACCAGGGTTGAAGCCGTACCTGCAGCAGACGGCGTGGAGAGAGAGCACACGTCGGTAAGGCTGCAGCACGGCTAACTCACTATCATTGTTGCACGGAAATCCCCAGCCCTATACTGCAATTCCATGCCCTGTACGGGAATCCCCAGCCCCGTACGGCAACCTCCAGTCGCCAACCGCACCACCCCGCCTCCGCCCATGCCTACCATCCAAACCACAGCAGCACGGTTCCCAGCACCACCAGCGTCGCCGAGTGGCCGGGCATCTCCACAGGGTTGCCGTTGCTGTCGAATCGGCCCATGCGCGGCCCCACCATGATGCAACCAGCCAGGCCGGCCAGACCGCCAGTCATGTGTACGACGCCCGATCCAGCAAAGTCAATCATGCCGGCCCGGAACAGGTGCGAGTAGGCGGTGCTGCGAGCGTAGCCCAGCCAGCCCTCAGCGGACCAGACCCAGTGCACGACCACCGGATACACGAAGGCAGAGATGAAGAACGAGTAGACTGTATGGAGGGAACGGAGGCAAGGAAGAGGGCGAAGGGGCATGGAGAGGTAAGGGAAAGGTAAACCACGGCCAGGGCAGGTGGGTTGCCGTGGGAGTCTGGGAGGCTTCCTTCCGAAGTACAGCCTCCTGTCGCCTTGCCAAGTACAGCCAAAAACAGGTTGCAGTTAACAACAAAAGTTGCTGTTCAAAGCGGGCACAAACGCTTACTGAGGTAGGCGTTGAAGTTGAGGCGCTCTGCGACCGCGCCGGCGGGAATGGTGGTGGCGGTGGCGGCGAAGGCCCACTGGAAGAACCAGTTTTGCCAGCCAACGCCGTAGTCCGGGTACACCGCTCCGCCCTCGGGGTCGGGGTAGATGGTCTTTGGCTTCCAGCGGGCGAGGCCGAACAAGGCGTCTCCGATCTGCGAGGACCACAGGATGAGCGTCAGGAAGGTTGAGGGCTAAAGGGCCGTTTATAGCTGGCATCGTACAGGCGCTTCCCCGTTCTCTTGTCCAACAGCTACAGAGGGCGTCTCCAGATTACATCACACCCCTGTGCAATCCCATGGCGAAGCGCTCTCCGTGCACACTTACAAATCCGTTTGGCTTATCGCCGCTACCATAGGCGAAGCCATACCTGTGGGCGCAGGGGTTTGTTAGATAGGATTGGTTACGCGCGTATTGTCTTAAGCTGGGGACTTGTAAGACTTCTGCCGAGCTTACCCAAGGATGTAGAATGCAATGGCCGATACGGCAGCATCCATGACTGTCTGCAGCAGGATGTTCACTGCACGCATCCCAGGGGGAGGTTCCGAGTCAAAGCATGTCGACGAACGTCAAACGCAGCGACGGAAACGTCATGCGAAGGCAATGCGACTTACTTGTGTTCTTGGACCGGATAGCGCCAGCGCAGAGCTGCCGCGAACGCAATCAAGTTAGTGAGGGCGGCCGCTTGCTGCGCATCAATTGACAACACACGTACCATTGCAAAGCCCGCGTGCATGACAAAGACCAGAGCGCCGCATGAAGTCAAGTATAAAGTGTTCAAACCGATGGCCGTGTCATGAAGCGAACCCGCAGACGCAAACTGTTCGCAAAGAATTGCTGCCTTTTCCTCATCTCCACCAAATGCAGCAGCAACTGCTGCAATGCAGTCACCCATGGTGACAAGTGTCAGAGGAGCGTGCTTGTCTGCAAAGAATGGAAGTCTTTGAAAAAGCTATGAGATGCTGTGCTCTAGCTCGAGATATACTTCTTGTATAGTATTAAAGTACCTTGCTCTGCTCAATGGAGGAATGGCCGTGCAATTTCAGTTAGGTAACCAGCTGGTATATATCTTCGGTAAAAAATAAAAAGCCCTAGTGCCTCCTCCTTTGGGACGAGCTGTGAAGGGGCCCCAAGCATGAAATGTTAGCTACAGTTTCTATGTTTATGGTAAAGACGAACAACCTAACCGGAAGCACGTGGTAACACCCACCCACCAACGTAGTTATGCGCTGTACGTTCGAAAGTCCCCAGATACGCCTAAACTGGATAAGAGTGCTGTATTTGAGGCCAATACGTCCAAGCGCTTAGCCGCACCACCCAATCGCAGAAGCCAGTGCGCTGTACCGCCCGGCTTGTGGGGTGTGTTACAATGTGAATGGAATGCCCCGCTTTGCTCTGAAGGACGCTATTGCTGCAAAAGAGCCTGCTTGCTTCCATAACAACCGTCAGGAATTGGCGCCAGCGGGGGGCCTTGCGTTCAATCAGCGGCAACGGATAGAATACGTTTCTTGTGCCACGCTCCCATTTTGTAATTTAGGCTATAATGAGTTCATTGTTCAATAAAACAAGTGCCTAGATGTTAATACGGCGTTGGGCGTTGTGCTACGCGTCAGGTTCCAGCAGTTGGCATGCCTCCTCCCATGCTGGTCTAACGCCGTAATCAGATATGCGTCATATGCCCCGTACTCGAGGACGCGTGCGACACACGTTGAACTTGCGAACAAGAGCACTTCAACGCATGGGCTAACATCCAATGAAACCGTGCTGTAACCTTAATGCAATGGCGGTCCCCGTCCCAATCAGCAGTCCGGCCTCACAACGCTTGTTCTCCACTAGCTTCGTATGGCCACCCCTGATGTACCGAGTATTCAACCCACGAGGTAAAGTGTCCAAACCTACATCCAGTCGTACTAACCGCTGTATGCAAACTCACTACGCACCATTGCCAAAATGCCATGACCCATGGTTCGGCCGTACGTGCCAGCCCAAACTCACGGCAAACTCGCAAAGCCGCATTTCTTCATACGTTTGCAAGCAATTATACCGAAACACTAAGCGCACTTGCCGCTAGCCGTGGTCAAAACACCTCTCCCGCCCCCTGTTTGACCGGATTGGTTGCTTGGTTACTCGTCTTCCCTTCACCCCATTCTATACTGCCAACCGTAGTTTGTTTTCCGACGACAACGATACCCTAGAATCCTCTACCTGAATACAAGGTCATACCGGTTTGCATGGACGAAATGATTCCTCCAGACAAGCAAGGTGCGCAAGCAAAGAATGGGGTTTGAAAAGTTCATAACTAACCGGCCTTCACCAGTAGTTATGCCCTAAATATCGCAGCTGAGGATGTGATGAGGTATCGGGGTTGTTATCCGTCTGCTTTCGTAATGCTGCCAAGTAACCGTTATTCATTTTTACCCATAATCCAGGGGGGGGGTAAGAAATTTATATATGAACCCCATGATGAATTTTTGAAAGGGTAGGTCCCGGGACCACCCACCCACCCCTGGCGTACGGCAAGCATGTCGTACAATGTGTAAACTTCGCCAAAACGCCCGGGAAAAAAGCTGCTAGACTCCTCTGGCTTAAGCTCTATTTAGTGCTAAACAAATACCCAGAACCCCTTGGGAGACGGGCAGAAAACTACCACCGCCACGTCCCCGGCCCTGGCCCCTGCCTCCTCTTCCCCCTGTCACGCAACGCCTTAGACCACTACCCACGGCGCCACTTCCCACATCCACATCATCTTGCATCCCTCACTCCATTCCCTCGTCTGCTGCTGCTGCTACACCCGGTGCTTTCGTTGGTGCCGTGCTGAAGCACCTTCCCCCGAACCCGCGAAATATCCCCTTTACAGCCGCTGCTGCTCTTGAGTGCTGCAATGCGACCCTCAGCCATGTGACACAACCTGTCGCGCTTAAGAACTGAGTGGAACTTCTCCCTGATAACTGCGCGAAGCTCCGCCAGCTGTTCATCGGGGTGGGCGTGCTGCAGATGATCCGGGTTGTTGTACCACACGCTCCACATGACCTTCGTGATACGATGCACATGCGGTGCACACAACTCGACGCGTTCGCGACCTCCGCACCTGCTTCTTTCTCTAAACGTTGTTTCTTATATGTTAGGGCAAGTTGGGTATCAGGCGGTTCCATTTGGGCTACTGTAGTTCAGACCTGAAGCGTCATCGGACCCATGTGAAGCTGAAAAATGTACCTTTTGTTGCTGTAACTAGTTCTATACATAAGAAGTGATGTAAGGAATACAATACAGCATTTAGAACTCTCACCAGAGGCCTGGCAAAAAAGTTCCGACGTTTCATCTAAAAAAGTCGTTGAGGCTCCGGACCCACCCACCCACCCCTGCCGTACGATCAACTTTGCAAGCCCGTAATTTTTTCATTACAACTCCAAACAGAATCCTGAAAGCGGATTCGGAATCCCCACGCTAAGCTCCTTTAATTTGGATCTCGGGGTCTATTTTTGCAGTTACTACCCCCCCCTGCATAATCAGCAAAAAGTGCAACAAGCATGGCGGGCCACTAAGCCCAAAACCGGCATCGGTATTAGCCAAAGGATTAAAGCTCGCAGCTACGGGACAAATCATAAACGGGATACCGGTAGACACGTATATATGACGGGTTCAATCAGTGACATTCATATGACGGCTACTTTTAGCCCCTTCAGAGACCAACGAATGCACATGAACCTCGCTGCTTAGGCTCTCTGCCATAGCCACTGTAGTAAGCAAGCAAGGTCACTGGAATGCCCTCACGGAGTACTGACAACAGAACACACGCGGCCCAACGGACTACGCCGAAACGGCATAGGACCAACATAGGGTGACGCAAATGCCAACGCATGCATAGAAATCAACAACCACCCTACGATACGCACCTGTCCTGTGCTTTGCATTGACACAGCCAACAACTTAACCTTCCATGAAAGTCGCGCAGTGGGATGTAGGTCTGCTTGGATGATTCACCACCGTATCCGAGCAATCCCAATTGCTTGTGTTGAAATCGCTCACAATGAAATCTTTTCAAAACATCCTTCGGCTCATCACGCAAGGTGTTGCCACTTGCACGAGCTTCATGGCAAGCCCTGTCCTATGCAATCATCTATACATGCTAGCTCGTCGCCTGCCATCACTCCAACTCTTGCCGAGAGCCGAAAGCACCGGAATGGAAGCGGCGATCAACATGCAGGCTGATAACCGCAACTATGCTAAGATCTCGATGCAGGCATCCTAGTGAATCGGATAGGGAACGAAGGATCTTCCTTCAAGAACTGTAACAGATTCCGTGCCAGCGTCGCGTTCTTCTGCGAAATAAAAGACCCACGACGGAGGTGAGATGGCGACCCGAAATGCACCTCAAAAAGACAAGCCTTACCTGAGCGTCGTACATTTCCTCGTAGAAAACATGGAAAGCAAGATCTGGGTTATTCTTGGCGTAGTCATTAAATAAGCGATGTGTCTCTTTAAGGTTCTTACTGAATTCATCTACACTGAACCTTGCCATCTGGTGGAACAGCCGTGTATTGGATTCAAATGAATCGGACGTGCGTGTATTGAAGACCACCTAGGCAAAGAACCCGTGTTAGTACATTGCCATCCATGTCCCCAACGCAGCATAGGTAGAACGCCTACCTTGACATCCAAACATAGCTTGCGCAGGAAAGTCATGAAGCCATTGAACACCTCGGCGCATCTCCATGACTCGAAAGATTCCCCGCACACGTACCTAGACAACGTAAGCAAAGAGGGTAATCCGTTAGCGTCGGGTACAACTTACCAAAAGCCACATGTCGCACCTGCTGTCCTTAAATCCTGAGACGAAGCCTGCAATGCAAGGAGGGTGCCACAGTTCATGGCGGGAAAGCCGGAATAGCATGGGGCACCAGTACTTACAAGGATAGGCAAGGCACGGAACGGTTGGAAAGTATGAGCAGAAACACATACCTTTGCCGTAATACCCGTAAAGGATTGCGTAGTAGGTCCTGGCAGCTGCCATGATGCGATCGAGGTTGAACTCGTTGAACCAGGGAAGCTTCTCAGTAACGGCTTCCTTGTCATATAGGTCCTTTACTTCCTTGAAAGTTGCATGCGGACGTTCCGACCAGTTAAATTTTAATTGGCTTAATGGGTCCGCTATTGTCCAATTAAAGTTCCTGCGGTTTAAGGCGCAAGAGCCAAGCTGGGTTCCGATCCGACGCAGCAGTAGAAAAATGTATGCACCTACATGTAAGACTCATAGATGTTCCAAATTGCAGCATACTGCTCTCCACGTATCAAGTAATTCGGCAACTGATTTAGAGCGTCCATTAGCGCTGTCGACCCCGAATGTCCGGTTGCGAGGATGAATACACATTTGTTGGCTACAAAGCCATGCTTTGGGAGTACTCTTGCAGTTGTACTTAGGCCTTCATGTGTTGTTGGCACGGTTTGTTCAGACCCGGCTATCTGAAGCAAGAAACTTGCAAGAAGTAAGCCGACAAGTTGAAATGACGCCATTCTGACGACAGTTAAGTAGTTGTTTGGGCCAGAAAGCATTATACCAAGTGGGTACAGCGTCGGGAGATTGAGGTCGTACAGGACCTATTGGGAGGTACGGAGGTTGGCAGAAATGGCAACTGCTATGCTCCCAGGCGTAGAGGCAAATTTGTAACTGTAAAACGTCGACATGCTTGGGCTTCCTGTGACACACAGAAGGTCTGATTCCTTCCCTGCTTACATTTTGCTTGGCTCCTGTCCACAACTCAAATATCATAATCCACAGAGAGCACGAATGGTCAGACGGCTAAGCATAAAGTTCATGACTTACTGTCTGGGATCGCAGGCTTATTGTGTGTCCGCGATGAAGGTCGATTCTTTTCTAGGGTCAGCGAGCTAACAGCACCGACGGGATACTTTATGTACAGCTATGTACTGCACGTCGTGCGTTTGGCATGCGCGTCATGACATGTTGCATTACGCAAAGTTCCTTAGGGCTGGCCCAGCTGTGCCATGGCTTCAGTGCCTCTCTGGCCAGTATTGAACACGCTTACTGAGTCAGAGCCTTCGAGGATACCTTATAGGCGTTAGCTGCTCGTCTCCACCGTGTGCCTTAGTTTCAGCTTGGACAAAGGCCCCACCGAGCCACTGTTTGCCCAGCCCGTGGACTGCCAACGAACCCACGGGCCAGCCGACCGCAGGTGTAAAGATGCGTTGGATTGCAGTGTACTGAGCAATTGACCGTCTAACATATACCACAACACAGCCTGATCCACAGATCAGAATCACCGAATTTTAGGCCAAACCTCGAACTGTTCATGTGAAGTATCATGCCGCATGCATGCACACACGTACGCCGGGCACAGCCGCTATGTCAACTGCTCCTTATGCCACAGCTCCATGACTTGCTGATTTCGTTCCCGTCGCATGCCGTCGTCTTACCCCGTCCCCTCACTCTGCAACTCTACCCCAAACTCCGCACGCCTCAGCGTTAACAAGTGACGTTAGGCTGCCGGCGCGAACCAGGGAAACGCTAGTTTACTATAACACGAGAATCCCTGCAGTTCCGGCAGTTCCGATCCACCAACTGACAAGTTGTTCGACATGCATGCCCGCAACTCCCAAGACAAATCTCCATATGGACTTCAAATCTAGAGCGTAGCAAACATGTGTAGGTTGCTAGCTCGAGATTAACCACGTCAAGTTCTCCCTACCCCTACAATCTTGAATGTTAAGTTCGACGCTTCCATATGCGAAAGTGGACAAGGTCACATAGGGACACAAGTGGTCAAGGTCACCTTATCAAATAAGTCTGGCCGCACGCTACTCAGGTTCTGCCAAGATCGTAACCAACGTTCGTTCGTACGGCACGTAATGCTGCTAGCCAGGTGCACCCCTGGCCCCATACTTGGAATTGGGTTCCAACATTGTTGCCTCACTGCATAAAAACGCTGGGCCCTATTCAATATAACCCGCGCCTAGAGCACATGCGCACAATTCCATTTACGCAACGGGCCCCAAAAAGCCAAGAACAGACACCCGACAGACCCGACATGACGGACGTCTCATCGCCCACGCGACGAAAGAGACGAGATTGGCAACCCACGAACAGGGATCGGGACATATTCCTCGTAAACAGCGTTAACCTCTTAACACGAGCAACGTGTCGTACGGATCCCTGAATTCAGGACGTGTCCCACGCGACGAGGTAACGAGGAAACGCACTGTGCCGCCGTCATGCACCCAAGCTAGCTGATAGGTGCGCATCGCGCGCCCGAACAATTGGGATGTAATTATCCCAAACAACCAGCAACTTCAGCCTCAAGCTACATGCTGTGTTTCCGCGTTGTGAGCAAAACATGAATGGCACGCAATTAATCACACCGGGGTTCTTGAAATGAACAACAACAACGCAGCAGGTTACGTAAGGTAATATTTGTAAACGACAGCCTTTCCCAGGAAGCCATTGTCACAGTTCCCTAATAATGGAATAATGCAGTCCTTTGTGGGGCACAGCGCAGCCTTTAACCCTGACTTGTAAGAAAAAATAAGAATGCATTAATCAACGGCGGCGCAGCAGCCTTGCTGTAGCTGCTCAGCTCGCTAAGTAACTAATAACCACAAAACCGAGTCGGCAGCGCATTCCCCCGGGACAACAGACGATGCTCGTGGCTGAGCTGAATGGCGATGCCCCTCTAGGGAGCCATACGTTCATGGCCTCTGGCGGCCTTGGGACAGCCACAGCGGCTGTGACATAGCCACTACGGCTATAATGGCTGCTAGCTACGGACGCCGTCTTGAAGTAAAGGAAGGGAGTGCCCCTGGTAATGGTGGGGGAATCTACGGAGCAGCAGGCGGAGGCTGTTTTCGATACCTCCTTTTAGGAGGCGGTGGCGACTTTGACGGCGGCGGCGGGGCAGCAGCAGCAGCAGGGACCGGCGGGGTATCTGGCGGCAACGACGGTGGGAGTCCTGGGGGTAGCGGCTGCGATGGCGGCGGCGGCGACAGCACCGGAGCGGCGGGCGGAGGCGGTCGGGGAACCCGCCGGCTGGCTACCACGCGAATGGGGGGTGGCGGGTGCGTCTCTGTTGGCGGCGGCGGTGACGGATGGGGTGGTGGCAGCACAACTTCTGTTGGGGCTTTACTGCCGGGTGGGGGCAAGCGGCTTAGGCTGGGAGCAGGCGTGGGGGGCACAGGTGGGGAGAGCTTGGGAGGCGGTGGGAAAGAGGACGGCTGGGCGACGGGAGATCGAATGATGGGTGACGGGCTGGGCGGCTTGGCAGCAACGCCCAAGCCTGTAATGCTGCCCGTGATGCTTCTGGAACCCGGCGGGGGTGGACGGCTCCGGTGGCAGTCCGGGTCGTCCGCGTCTGACAACAAGTCGCAGTCATCGTCCAGATCATCGCCGCAAGCCTGCTCCGAAGCATCCTTGCGGCGGCAAACCGTAACGGATGCCCCGACGGCTGCGTTCCAAGACATGAAATACACGGTCACGCCGCTTGCTGCATCCGTGTAATTGGATCCCAGTCCCACAGTTGCAGCGAGGTAGGTTGCCTGGTACGGCACACTTGCAGATCCGTTGTATAGGTGGACCAACACAAATGGCCTGCCGCTTAGTGCCTTCTCAAAGGGTAGGTCGTACGGCGGGTGGTTGATCCGTGCTGAGATGTACAGCTGCTGGTTGTCGGTCATGTTGGCCGGGGTGAGGAGCACTGAGCTCCGTGGCGTGTTGTGTTGAGGAGGAATGAGCAACGCGTGCTGCTTGCCGTAACCGAGTTCTGAGTCCGAGAGTTGCTGGGAAGGTTGGCCCCAGCCCAGCTGCACGGGGAAGCCACACGGAGAACACAACGTAATTAGGAATTCATGACAGGTGAGAAGGTGTGTCCTGTTGTAAGAATCCCTAATAAGCAAGGGCGCACAGCCACGGAAGCACCTGCCCAACAGCAGCCCGCACCCAGCCACATCCACAGCGCACACCAAAAGCATGAACAACGGCGAGGCGTGACTGCAGGATGAGGACCATCGGGGGATGGGTGCCGCCAGTAGCCCTGAGATACTCCGCTCACCACTCCAGGAGAGAGGAGTGCGCCGCAGTACTCACCGGCCCCAGCCGTGTGTTGGCACGATTGCCACCGCAAGAGTACATTATAACCATCATCCAGTCAGATCCGGTTGCGGGATTGGAACGCATGCACACACCTGCCACATGTGAGGCGCGTTCAAGCAGCGGATGCCTTGGCCGCCTGCTCCCCCCATAGCACAGGTGTTGTCGCACTGCTCATAGCCGCAGTCCGCGGAAACGCTGGCATGCGCCAAGCCCAGGTTATGGCCGGCTTCGTGGAACAGCACCTCCAAATCGCCAAAGTTGTCACCACTCCACCAGATCAAGCCGGTGCCCCACTGGTTGTTGGGGCTGGAGCGCCTGAACCAGGGCCCGATGGATGCCGTGCCGGCTATGTTGCCGCAGTCTGTTGGGTGAAGAGCATGCATGCATGAAACGCAGGTTTGGGCAACATACCGGTTGTTGCCAGAGCAAAGGGAAATTTGCAACAGTAGGAAAAGAGAGACGACACGGTCGTCAACGTGCAGCCGTTCCGTGATCTGTACAATGTATGCGTGATTGTCCTTTCCACGTGCGCTCCACACTTCCGCACACATGCGACATTTAGGGGAAGCGCACCTTTTACAATGCTGGCGAACCCCTTGGGCAGCAACATAACTTGATGGTGGTAATCCGTGGGTGTGATGCCCTGCTCTGCGGCCACAGTCTGGAGGTAGTACTGCCACTTCAGCAGGTTATCGTGTCCACAGCTGTGAGTGTCAAAGTCGTTGCCGGACGAAAACGTAAACGGAAGCTGCAGAGAGCCGCTGCAGGGTATCACAATGGGTTGACCGGGCCGGTGGGTGTCCGTCACGATTCGCACTTGTGACGATGTGAGGCTGACTTGGTGGTACGAACATGTGTCGTAGTAGCCTGCCAGTGTACGATTACCGGAAACGTCTCCGGAACCAGCAAACATGTCGAGGATAGCCTGCGCGCACGCGATGGAGCTATCGGCTTGGAGGATAATAGATAGTAACATTTCCTCCTCACGCCGAGGCAACAACGAGCAGGGAAGGGGCCTATCGCCCAATCGCCGCTGGGACTAGCAGCCAGGAGTTGCACCCCCTCTCGCTGATTTCCGTACATAGAAGCCCCACTCACCGCAGGGGAGGCTGCTGCCATGTCCAGAGAGGCATTGCACATCGTCGTGATGAAGACGAGGAAGGTTGGCTTAGTGGGGCTGGATATCGTGTCCCCAAATAACAGTCGGCGAGGCTGTTCCAACCTTGGAGGTTTACATGAATGCATCACACCGCCCTTCACGCTTCTATATGATATAGATGCGCGTGAATTTGCAGGGATGTCGCCAACAGTGACGTTGCTGCAGAAGGTCAGCCTGTAGACTTGGCCATCGTCGGCTTGCAAGTAATAAGACGGTTCGAGTCTACCGTTAAGAGCCGACGGCACCATCATCAATATCGTCCCTGGTAAGCACGCAATCGGCAATGTGGGTGAAAGACATACTGGTGAAGGCCATACACGGTGTACATTTATGGAGACACGCTTACCAGACGCAATACCGTAACCGTCAACACCAGTTCCGAATCCTTGGCATCCATGGGCTAGGACAACTATAAGCGATATGATTGGCGCAAGCAGTGATAGTTGCACCTGAAGGGACATCCCAACAAAGTGGCGCGTTTTACGTGCTTAGCTGCCACATCAAACGGCTATGTTGATCCCGTAAGTGCCTAGGCGAAACATCGACCACTTTCGTTGTTCGTAATTGCGTGACGAGCTAGGATGCTGCAAGGCCCGAAACCATTACCGGTGTTACGAATGCCAGCACGCACCATGCAGTGTTGGTGTTGCGATTAAAGCGCATTGCTGGGCACGCATTCGTTTATTTGCCATTTTGAATATTCACCCAAGAGGTTGTCTTTTGGTACCTAGATATCACCCTTTATTTGCGGGTAAGGAAGATCGATCAGTGCGATACCGACCGCCACCAGGTGAATGAACTTTATCCCTTACTTTAAGAGGGACTATTTATTCCAATTCAGTTTGTCGCGTGGCCTATAAGAGCCAAAGGGTTGTGCTTCGCATTTGAGCCGTTCTGACTCCCCTGCGGCCGGGGATCCGTGTCTTCTGTTAGGGGCACGCTTTGAGTCGGTTGCTGCAGCAGGACACGGCCAATTCAGGAAGCCGGCATCGCCCACTCTACAACCCAAACAGCTTGCACGCTTCGAGGGGGGGCTCTTGTTGGCATCTTGCTTCACGGGCATGTGTTAGACCACACGGGAATGTAGCCGGAATATCTCCTCGCATAATAATAGGTTGGCTATAGTTGGCTCCTTTGCACGTCAGGAGTTAGGCACTCATTGCAATTTCACTATGGGCCTGCAATGCCGCCTAAGCTCTTTTTGCTAGTAAAGAGGCGCAGCATAACCAAAGTGGCTCGGGGAGTAGAAGAAAGAGCTAGCAGTAGCCTGCTGTGTCCTTATGTAGGTCTCACCCATGCAGCCCAACTAGCGCATCTGGCTATTGTTTTTAGTCTTTAGCTCTGAGTAAAACATTATTTGCCTGAAATGCTTGTGTGAAGGGAAGTTCATCGTTGAGGGCCCTGCGCTCTGAGTGGCCAATACGGAAGGGACCACCAGGTTTGCCTATGTTTGGGAACAAATATTCCACGGTTTCACCTTGTGAATAGTGCCAGCGTCACGCGATGCAGTGCTTGTCGCATAGCTTTGGCATGACTGGTGGTCATATGAAAACTCAAGTTAACCGTGGTTCGAGAGTTACTTTTGGCGCACCAGGTTAGGGTTTCGATACTATTGCAAAAGCGTCTATGCGCGCCTTGCCTGATCCCACCATACGATTCTTATCTCACCGCACAGTTCGCCGCACGACACGTCTGCGCGTGGTTGCGAACGCATCGCTTGCCGCCGCTGCTTCGGGTACCGCTGTCCCCAAAAACTCTATCCTGGTCGTGGGAGCAACTGGCACCCTTGGTCGTCAGATTGTACGCCGAGCCCTGGACGATGGCTACGACGTTCGCTGCTTAGTACGCCCTCGCCCTAACCCAGCTGACTTCCTGCGCGATTGGGGCGCAAAGGTGGTCAATGTAAGCGTGTGCGCTGGCGTGCATGTTCAAAGCCCCGCGCAATGCCACAAGCACTTCCCGAATCCTCCTACCATCGCAACCTGCAGGGAGATCTCACGGACCCCAGTTCCATCCCGGCCTGCCTGGTGGGAGTCAATACCGTAATCGACTGCGCAACAGCGCGGCCCGAGGAATCCACTCGTAAAGTGGACTGGGAGGGCAAGGTCGCTCTCATCCAATCGGCTCAGGTGGGTCTCTGGGGCCCCCTAGTTGGCAGACTGAGCAGTCCCCCGGGTTACACACGCGGCATGTACGGCACCCTGAGCTCCACCTCGCATGCCGTACGGTGCTTCCTGCACGTACGGTGCCTGGGGGGCTGCTGTGGCTGTGGTACTCCTGAGGTGTGTGTGTGTGTGTGTAGTGTGTGTGTTAAGAAAACTGGCCGCGAGTAGTATGGGCTGCTGTGTGTCTGCGGCGGCGTGTGTGTGAGCTGGTGGGGGGAGAGTGAGCGATCTGCTGCCCGCGCTGCCGGGCGTAGAGGACAGACGGGTAGCCCCATGCGCAGGTAGTGCGGGTGGGGGTGCGGTTGCGGGAGAGGGAGAGGGAAACCAAACCAAGTGGAACTACAAGTGAGGAAAGGCGATGGGGATAGGAGGCGGCGGCGTGTGCCCTCCCCGCACTCCCTCCTCTCCACATGAGGGGCCTTGAGCTGCTGCTGCTGCTGCTGTTGGGCCCATCAAGCGGTCAAGCACGTCCCCAGGCGCCACCCGTCCTCCGCCCTCCCGCGCTTTCGTGTCGGCTGCTGCTGCGACCTTCCGATGAGGCCGCCCCGGTGGCAGCGGTCGCAGCGCGTGGCTGTAGGGGTCAGCCAGCGTCTGATGTCGCGGGGCCTGTCTGCCTCCCCTGCCGCGTCCCTGCCGCCCTTCTTGACTGCCCGCCTGCTCCTGCCTGCTGAATAGGGTTGCAAGGACCTTAGAATGTTAGAAATAATATTATATTATTTCTAATTAGAAGTAATATTAGAATTTAGAACAGGCCGTTTAGAACACATTAGAATATTCTAATGCCTTCCGCTTAATTCTAATACGTCTTTCCGCCTTGGGGTTGTTAATGTCAACATCAAACGCTGGAAGCGACGGCCTCACAACCGGAAATCTCGTGCCGAAGCCTGTGAGGAACCGATACATTGCAGGGACAAGGCGTTTGACGGTCCTTGTAGCGTATCGTGCTGGCGGCAGGCATGGTCAATGGACATCCATTGACATCCATCCGCTGCGTTGACCGTCATCCGGCCCTACGAAAAGCATCATCTACAGCGAGCAAACGGTCCTCTAGCTGTCCCTGTGGAGCCTGGCATGATTTGGCGCGTCGTTAACTGGCCGTGCGAACTGTCGGTGCCTGGGTTTGGCTGGTAGCTCCCTCAAGCACTCATCCAACCGCCTCAACAATTGCTGGGAACGCCTGGATTAGTATGAGCCGTTCCATATGCGAAATTCCGATGTCGAAATACCTCCCCTGTAGAAAGTTAGGGACCTTGTTCTAATCCTAATCCTAAGATTCTAATTAGAACTAATATTAGTATTAGAATAGAACGCCTAAAATTCTAATACAGTTTGCAACCCTACTGCTGAACCATGCTGCCCCCCTCCCCCTCCCCCCGCAGGCCATGGGCATCCAGCGCTACGTGTTTTTCTCCATCTTTGAATGCGACAAGCACCCGCAGGCAAGGAGCGGGGGAGGCTGGGGGACTAGGGGGCGGCCCTTGCAGTGGCTGGGAGGGAGGGCGGGAGGGGCGAAGGGAGGGAAGTTGGGGTTCAGGAGCTGACAGACGAGAGCCGGGATTGGGAGGGGATTGCGTACCTTGACCGGGACCGCGTCCGCGATGTGTGGAGAGGTGTGCCACAGCCGCTGGGGAGGAGGGGGCAAGAAGTCGAAAAGGCGGTGGGGTTCGGGTTGCACAAACCTCCCGCAAGAGTAGCCCACCCTTTTCCCGCTCACGTGAGGTCCTCCCCCGCCACTAACCTCCCCCCCCCCAACCCCACCCTCCACCCCCGCCCCCACCCTCCACTCCCAGGTTCCCCTCATGAACATCAAGTCCTGCACCGAGCGCTTCTTGGAGTCCTCGGGACTGGACTACACCACCTTCCGACTCTGCGGCTTCCACCAGGTGAGGGGCCGGGAGGGCGGCTGGGAGGGATAAAGAGGAAACAACTAGCTGACTGAGGGATAAGGCGTCAACATGGGTTGCAACATGTGAGCCAGCCCAGGGAGGGCGGCTGGAAGGGAGGGAAGAATTGAAGGTAAGTGCAGCAACGGAGTCCCAATCCCGAATCCTGGTACATGCAGTGAGCGCAATCGGAGGCACTATTTTAGAAACGCGCAGCTCAGAGGCTTACCAAATGCTTGCTTACCAGAAAGCGCGATGATTTGGGGAAGAAGCCGCCTTGCGTAGAAACCCCCTTCCCTCCCTCCCGCCCGCAGGCTGTCATCGGCAACTACGCGGTCCCCATCCTGGAGCAGCGCGGTGTGTGGGGCACCAACGACGAGACGCGCACCGCCTACCTGGACTCGCAGGACGTGGCGCGCATGACGCTGGCGGCGCTGCGGTGAGAGGGGGGGCGGGGCGGGGGGCGGGTGTAAGGGGACATAGGGCGGGAGGGCTGGAGGCGGGGCAGGGTGGGAGAGGAAGGTGCGGGGCTCTGACGCTACGCTGCTGTGATGCCGGGGCGAGCCAGCCTGCCGCAGCGCCTCCCTGCCGGACCCGTCCAGTTATCGCAGTGGGAGACGACCTGCGAACCTGTGCCCGACCAGAGGGTGGTTTGGGTAGGGCAGGGCGGGGTCAGAGGTAGGGGCGGGGCAAGGGTGGAGTGGGAGGCGCCATCGAGCGCTCCGCGCCTACTGCTATGTCCCTCCTCCTCCTTCTCTCTCTCACCGCTGCTGCCCGACTGCTGCCGCCGCACCGGTCCTCCTCCGTCACACCAGGACGTGCTTCCTCTCCGCCCAGCGGGATGCGGTAGCGGGGTGCGGTATCCCCCCACTGCCTTGCAGCACCCCGCTGCAGCCACTCGCAATCTGGCCTAATTCTACTCTCCCCTACGCCCCGCACCCCCCTCACGCATGTTTCCTTCCCCCACCACCCCCCGCCCCCCGCACAGCGCCGACAAGACCTCCCGCCGCACTCTGACGCTGTCGGGTCCGCGCGCTTGGAGCACCCGGGAGGTGATCGAGCTGTGCGAGCGCATGGCGGACAGCAACGCAAAGGTGGGGAGGGGGGAAGGAGGGGAAGGAAACATCGGTAGGAGGGAAGGAGGGGAAGGAAACACCGGTACAGTACCCTGCTGTGGTACGTTGTGCCGAGAGAGGGAGGGGAGGGAGGAGAGAAGGGGCCCCCTAACGAGAGCTCGGCCCAGACACGAGCAGCAGGAGATCGCACTCATAGCAAGCAAGCGCTCCTCCCAACGCACCTGATTTGCTAGGGACTCCCAAACGGATGAGAAAAGACGCTGATCTCGTCGATAGAGCAAAGGAAGGCTACATCTGCACGTTGCGGCCAGTTTGTGTTGCAAACTATCTATCCACGAAAACGAAAGTATTACCTATACATATACATCAGTGTTACATCAGTGTTACATCAGTGTTACATCACACTGATGTATATGTATAGGTAATACTTTCGTTTTCGTGGATAGATAGTTTGCGACACAAACTGGCCGCAACGTGCAGATGTAGCCTTCCTTTGCTCTATCGACGAGATCAGCGTCTTTTCTCATCCGTTTGGGAGTCCCTAGCAAATCAGGTGCGTTGGGAGGAGCGCTTGCTTGCTATGAGTGCGATCTCCTGCTGCTCGTGTCTGGGCCGAGCTCTCGTTAGGGGACCCGTCCTCAGCGCCGGGGTATGGAGGGGGGGCAGGAGGGGGGGCCAAGGGGGCCTGGCAGCTTCCCTACTGGCAGCATGTTTCCTGCTGCGCGCTGTCGGGCCTTCCGTACGTTTGCGTACTGCGCCTCAAGTCTTATCCTGACTCCCCAAGCCTCAAGCCGGCAATCCCCTCGTAGTCCCCTGTGCTACCCATGCTGCTTCTCGCCCTCCGCCCGCCCGCCCGCCCGCCCGCCTGTCCGGGGTGCTAGGGTCTGGCCTCTCATTGCGGTCACGGTCAGAAGTATCTATCGCGGCGATCAGTCATCTACCCCCCCACCCTCCCTAAGGGGGGATGGACCGGCTACCATGTTTGCAACCCATGGTGAAGCCTTGTCATACAGCTCGTCAGTTGCTTCGTCAGTGTCTCATCACATATATTTTTTACCCACCCTCCCTCCGCCCCTCCTCCCCAGGTGACCACGGTCCCCACCTGGCTGTTGAAGCGCACGCGGGGGGTACTGCGGGGGCTGCAGTGGGCGGCGGATGCGGCAGACCGACTGGTGAGGGGGCGGGGGGGGGCATGGAGGGGCGGCTGCTGTTGCTGCAGTTGTAGGCAGTTGCGTGCGTGCGTGCAGGCGTCTGCAGGCATCTGCATGGCTGGGGTTGCTGCGTGCTGTTTGGGGCCTGTTCGGGAGGTGGAAGGAGACGGCAGAACGCAGCAAGACGTGGGGGAGCACGGCAGAATGTAATCCTTTCACCCGTCCCTCCTTGCCCAGGTGCTGCTGCTGCCTAACGGCAATCTTGGTGACACGCCCCTTACCCTCGCAACCCCTCCTCCTCCCCTCCGCCCACCTTCCCCCCTCCCCCCCCCTCCACTTCCCAGGCGTTTTCCGAGGTGCTGTCTAACAACGAGGTGTGGAGCTGCGACATGGCGGACACCTACCGCCTGCTGGATCTGGATCCGGGCAGCGTGACCGGGCTGGAGGACTACCTGCAGGTGGGGGGAGGGAGGGGAGCGGGGGAGGGAGGGGAGGGGAAAATTATAGTTAAGCGCAAAAACGCAGTCCCAATCCCGAATCCCGACTCATGCAGGGAGCGCTTTCGGAGACGATATTCTAGAAACACGCAACTCAGAGGAGGGGGGGAGGGAGGGGAGTTGGGATACTACCCCCCTCCCCTCATTCCAGGAGGCGAGGGGAGGGGGGGGGGAGAAGGAGACCCATTGGGGGGTCAAAGACCATACCAAACCATAGGAAAGGGGGGGCAGGGGCGGGAGGGAGGCAGCGTGCGTTTCCGTGCTATACTGGAAACAGGCTGTTGTATACCCGTACGTAGGAGAGTGGGGCTGTTGCTCCGGCATCTTACACCTCTGCCGTCCTCACCTCTTACCCTTCTGCTGCCGCCGCTGCTGCCCCCCGCCCCCCCCCCCTCCAGGACTACTTCTCGCGCATCCTGAAGAAGCTCAAACAGGTGGGGGCCGCCGCGGACCGCACCAACTTCTACGTCTAAGCGACCGCGGCCGCGAGGGAAGCCGCGTCGCGCGCAATCTCTTCGTCTGGACGGGCACCCTCCTCCGTGATGCCCCCCCCCGGGCCCCGGGACCTCCCCGTGCCTCCCCGTGCCTCCGGCGGCATGGCACGCACTTGGTGACGGCAGGGCGCAGGAGAGGGGGGGCTGCGCCGAGCTCGGTGAAGCGGCTAGCTGGCTCGCGAGCATGGGAAAGGGTATTGGGAAGGGAGGGGTAGACTACAAGGACGGCGACCGAGTGCCTCGTGGGCTGCGAGTGCAGCCTGTAGCGGATAGGGTGCGATGCTTGGTGGCAGGCAAGGGCCGAGCGCGTGGGAGGTGATGGTGTTGGGAGGGTGATGCAGTTGAAGGAGTGGAACAGATGTGTTAACAAGACTGGCCGTGGGCCGGGCGTGTGTGTGGGTCGCGAGGGTGCTGCTTTGCACATTTTGCATGTTTCAAGAAAACGGAGAGTCGATGTGATGAAAGAGAGGCACATAGGGGTCTATTTGTATCTTAAACAATTTTGGAAGGGAAAAACAATTTTGGAAGGGAAGTGACTTTTTGAGGGAAGCGATTTCGGACAGAGATGTGCGCGAAATATTTGGACAGCACGCAAGGGAGACGCAAGAGGAAGAGGCAGTACGGGAGTGAGGGGGTTGGAGGAGGGGTAGGGGACTGCTGAGTAATAGGTGGACATTGCTTAGGGAGGGTCAGCAGGCTTTGAGGGCGACATTTCCGAAATTAGGCGCACTGTTTCCGGAACAGGGCAACATGTGAGAGTGCTTCACCGAGCAGGGCGTGTGAAGCAAGCGGGGCTCCACCGGGCGCCTGCGCGCCTGCTGCGACTCAGCTGCAACCCAGTTGAACCCCACACTTCACACCAGGGGTGTTTGAGGGGCTTTGCTCACAGGGGCGGCCAGGAAGAGGGAACTGGCTAAGGTTTGCCGAGGAGGACATTGCTGATGCTGACGGTGCACGCAGGCGTAAGGAACGTTGAATTATACACGTTTGTAGGTAGGTCATTGATGTGCAGTTGCGGGCAGGGCAAATACCCCAGGGGCCCACACGGGTGGGGGTAAAGCTGTTTCCTGGTTTGGTTGTTTCTATAGGAGGCCGTACCTGACCCGTGACTAGCAGCATCTAACAGCGGAGTCACAATGAAAGTTGGTTACATGTGATGTTTCGAGGGATGCGCAATCTCATGAAAAGCTAAGCTAGCATACTATGAGCATTCAGTGCTTGTGATAAGCAATATGTAACATACCGTGGTGATTAACAACAACAACCCCACACCGGTCGCATGCCAACTAGCCGCATTCCACACCACACAACGTAACCCAATGTTGTTGCTGTGAACACTTCCATGTGCATGTGGTGACAGTCCTGGGAGCACAGCAGTACCGATGGGGCCATGTCACAATTCCGGTACATACTACCAAACAATTATTATTCACCATTACTTATCGTCAGCAATCAGCTGTGAGAAACAGTTAACGGTGAGAAACAGTCAGTGCACCTTGCCGCAGCAACCCAGGGAAACGCTGAAGCAGCCACATGAGTTCAGCCAGTAGCAGGATCCACCTGAAAAACACCGTGCTTTAAGCGATTCTAAAGCTACATAGGGAGCAAGCCGGCTGCTGCTGCTGCTACGAAAACCAGTGCAGCCACATGAGTTCAGGACAACAAGAGTTCAAATTATCCCAACGCCCGTGTTTCGCCCAGGTGTCAGCGACCATCACGCTTTCGTTCACTGTTCAAGTTCCTTCTATTGGCGCTGCTGCTGCTGTTGATGCTGCAGGATTAAGTTCAGGGCCTGCTGGACGCCCACATTCGCTAGCTGCGTCAACGCAGTAAACTCAGCCCTCAGGGCCCCAGCTCCGATAGCCTCCACATCGCTGCCGCCGCCAACACCAGGCAGCCAACTACCACCGTTGTCGGCAGTGCCGGGGGCAACAATCCCGCCGTCCCCGCTCCTCAGCACCGAACTCGCAACCGTCACGCCGACATCGTCACCCGCAACAACATCACCACGCACCGCATACGGCCTCGTTCGAGCGGTATCCCCCCGCTGGTCGCTGCCGTACCGCTCCTCGCCGCCATCCTCCATGTGACCGCCAGCCCCACCCCCACCGCAACCAACCAACCTGGCCGAACCCGGCCTTTCAACCCCTCCATTTGCGCCGCCGGCGGCTATGTGCTTGGTCTTGCATGTCCCACGCCTGCCGGTGCGACCTGAGACCGTACCGCTGCCGTAACCACCTTGGCCCGCAAACGTCGCGCTCTCCGAGCTGCATCCCAACGACCTGCGATCCGTGACAGCGCTCTCGTCAGTGACTTCGCCGTCAACCGTCGCTGCCGCCCGCATGCCCCTCGTGCCGCCGCTGCCGCCGTCGCCGCCACCTTGGCGGTTGCTCTCCGTCGCAGCGCTGCTTCTGGAGGCATCCCCGCCGCCGCCGCCGCCGCTGGACAAGGGATCCGGTTGCAATGCAAGGTACCCTTGGCCTCCACCTCCGCCGCCTCCGAGGTTTTGACCGTATCTGGGACGACTGTTGCCACCGTCACAGCCGCCCTCACGACTGCTGCGGGCTGCACGCCCGCCGTCGCTCGCAGGGGACTGCGCAGCAACGGGTGTACTGCCGCCCGCAGCAGCAGGCGCGCCGTTTCCTCCATTTTCAATGCGTCCCAGTAGAATTGGCTCTAATCGGTAGTTCACGGAATCAAGCACAACCGCAGCTGCAGATCCGCCGCCAGGCCCGCTACAATGGCTGCCGTGTTTGGAGTGGGATGGCGGAATCGCGAATGCAAGCACCGGCTGGTGCTGCTGGTGCTGCTGCTGCATGTGGGAGGAGAGCGCGTTAGAAGGCGAGCCTGCGCTGGACTGAACTCCCGCAGAAGTCAGGAGTTGTAAGCCGGCAAGGCCGGGCAGCGAGACACCTGCGCCGCCAGGTGATGACAGGTACACCTGGTACGGCAGCGCATCTCCGCCACCGCCGCCGCAGCCAGCAACCCCGTTTCCGACATTGAGGGCATGGCGTGAAAGGCCTGGTCCGACGACACCCGCGTCGGGGCCGGCAGATGCAGCCGTGAAGACGTTGTTACCGCCGCTGGCACCGGCCCGGCGCAACAGCTCGGCCAGCTGCGCCGAGGGCCCCCCGCCGCCGTCGCCAGACAGCGCAAGCTGCATCGCTGCAGCCGCCGCTGCATTGCTGCCGCCGCTATGCCGGCTACCCAGCTTAGCTGCTGCAGCCGCTGCTGCCGACGGTTCATCACCTTCCATGCCCGGCACCCAACCCAGGGCGGAGGTTGCCGCTCCGCCGCTAGCCAGGCTGCTGCCGTCGCGCACCGCAGGCCCCGGCGACCTGCTCCGGGGCCCTCCGACACAGCTCCCGCCGCCACCAGCAGCTGTGGGACCCGCCAGCGTCGCTGCTACCTCCTGGTCCCTCAACATCGCCAACGCGGCCTGGCAGGAGGCCTTGGCCTGCGCCTCCGTGGCGAACGCGCCCAGCAGCCGCAGCCGCTGCACTTTGCCGTTCCACACTGCAACGCACATGGAGCCGCCGCCGCCGCCGGCATCATCAGCTGACCCTCCGCCGCCGCCGCCGTCTCCGACAGCCGCGCCGTCCTTGGCTCCCGTGCGGTACAGCACCCCCAGCACGTTTGGCATGGCGGACGGCACCAGCACGTCCATCACTGCCCCCGGGGGTAACGCCTGCTGAATCTGGGCAAAAGCATCGCCAAGGGCTCCGGAACCACCACTGCAACCACCACCAGCAGCGCCACCAGTAGCAGCAGCAGCAGAAGCTAGTCCGCCGTCGCCGTCGCCTCGGGGAGATGCTGCTGCTGCTGCTGCTACGCAAGGGGAGGCGCCGCTGCTACGGCGGGGGCTGCCACCACCGGCCGTGCCCTTCAGCGTGCCAAAGCGACCAGCCAACAGCCCCGCAGAGACCCTGTCATGCGCGTCACCAAACACGCGTTCGCCATCACCGCCATCCTTGGCGCCGCTGATCCTGTCTTCCTTGTCCGTCAGAGGCGGCCTAGCCTGCTGCTGCTGCTGGTGCCGAAGCTGCGCCTGGGAACGCTGCCCCCCTTGCAACAATTCGTAGGATTGCCGCCGGTGCGGCTGCTGTTGATGTCGCTGCTGCTGCACTAGTAGCTGCCCCTGCTTGTCATGCCGCTGCTGGTGCAGCAGCAGCAAGGATTGAGTTGTGGCTGCTGCTGGCATTGCACCGTTCACCGGACGCCATGCCTGCATCTCTTTCAACGACCCCGCAGACCCCACTGCTCCGTCTGCCACCGCTTGTGACTGCTGTGCGCGTTGCTGCAGCTGAGCCAAGAGCTGCTGCTGTAGGTTGCCCTCAGCCGCAGCAGCATGGCGGTGCAGCAGCTGCAGGGTGCCGGGGGGAAGCACCTCCGCCGCCTCCCGCCTCAGCGCAACGGGGCCCTCAATGCTGTGCTGTTGCTGCTGCTGCAGCTGGTGCTGCCGGCTCGTGCCGTACTGCTCCTCCTGCAGCTGCTGAAAGACGCAATGGTTGGGGGGCTGATAAACGCTTGTGCGTGACGGCAAGAGACCCTCTGCGCTGCGTCGGGACGTGACATGTGACCCCATGCTGGCCAACTGGTCCTGATCGCCACCACTCAACAGACCGCGGGACTGCTGCTGCTGACGAAGCATCTGGACCTGATGAATCAGCTGCGCCTGATGAAGCATCTGCGCCTGTTGAAGCATCTGCGCCTGCTGTCGGAAAGCGCTTGGCAGGTCCTCGCCGCCGTCACCCCTGCCGTCCCACTGCTCCCTGAGCGCCTCACACCGGGGCAGCATGCCGTTCCCATCACCGCCGCCGCCACCGCTGTGTGAAAGGCGATGTAACGCGGCCAGGGCGCTTCGGTTCCCTGCACCGCTTGGGCCCGCACCCACCACCAAGCCCCGCGATTCGCTGCCATCCCCTGCAACCCCGGCGGCGCCATTGGCCTTGCTGCCGCTGCTGGTCCTGCGGTTCCGCTGGGCACCCCTCTGAGCAGCGCCAAGCGCCGAGTCGCGCTCGCTTTGTAACTGCTGCAGGGACCCATCGGGCTGCAACTGCAGCTGCGCGCCGCTGCTGCCACCCGCCATCCCGCCGCCACCGGTCACCTCTCCACCGCCATTTGCGGCGGCCCTCAGCATGAGGAGGTCCCTCTGCAGCTGCAGCTGCGCCGCTGCGGCTTGTAGCGACCGCGCGTCCGGCAGCGACGGCAGCCCGTCAGCCCCCTTCATCCCTAATCGTACGACGGCATTCAGCTGCTCTGCTGACAGCTGCGTCAGCAGCGGCGGCCCGCCCGCGCCCGCGCTGCCTCCACCACCGCCGGACATCGACTGTGCCGCCAGTTGTGAGACACGAGGGCGGAGGTTCTGCAGCGCCGCAGCGTGCGCCGCCATGTCGGCCGTGTTGCTGGGGTTGACCGCAGCGCCGGCCGAGCCACGGGGCTGAGGCAACCCTACTTGAACGCCCAAGCCACCGACCGCATATTGACCCAGTGAGGCCAGCTTTCCAGCCTCAATACTGCCGACCGGGCTGTCTACCATGTCCCCCCCTGCCGTGGTGGTCGCAGTCAAGTCCAGTTCGCCGCCTTGTTCCGCCGCCGCGGCGGCAGAGCCACCACCGCCCTTGCGGGAAGCGCCGCCAGTGCTGCCGGCCGTCGCGCTCCCTCCCGCGCCGCCGCTGCTGCCGCCGCCAACATTTTGCTTTCCGTTGCCAGCGTTGGCGTTGGCAGGTAGGGCGTGCATCGCACGCCGCTGCCGCCGCGGCTGCACGTCTTCCCCTTCTGACCAACTGGAATCATCGTCAACGGGACCGCGCCGGCGACGGACGCCAGCGCCGCGACCCATGGGCGTCGCTGCCTTGGTTCCCGGCTGCTGCACCCCTGCTGCCGCGTCCGTGTCCGAGTTGGGTGCCGGCTGGGGCAATGTTGGGCGTGTTGATTTCGGGGTTGCGGTGCCGTCGCTGACGCCGCCGCAGCCCGCAGCGGTGCGGTACCGACGGGGCTTTTCAGGATTGGCAGCTTCATTGAGCAACCCCTCGATGGTGGGGTCTGGCCGCAGCTTGCCATCCGCATCCACATAGTCGGAAGTGGAGAAGTTGAGGCGGGCCTGTTCAGACAGGCGCGAGCGGCAGCATCGTGGGGTTGCCAGGGGGCGTCACAGCAGCAGGCGGGGGCTGCACCGAATTGGGGGAGACAAAGCACTTCTACTGCGTACAGAGTGGTCAAGGAACGAGGCATGCATGCGACATGTGTTCATGAAAATGGCGCATCTTCGGTCCCAATGCCCGAATGCTTGGAGACCCGTCCCTCGCCTGCCGAGTTGCCAACTCCGTCCCTCCCTCCCTTGGCCAGACAACGCACGGCTAATACCTTGTTCCCACGAACGCGGATTGCAGCTTTATCGAATACCGATGCAGCCTCCTCCTCCGTGTCATAGGATCCGAGATACAGGTACTTGCCGGAAGAGTTGATGGCGGCTTGCCAGCGCTATTAGGCACGTGTGGCAAGGTTTGGAAGGCGTGACGAGGGATATGCAACAGAGGATAGGGTGCAGGCTGGTTCCCGCTAGTCGACGGACAGGGACAAGGGGGTGCGCCGACACCGTCTGGCGACCCGTTGGTCACAAGAGCCACTGATTCCGCCAACTTGACAAGGCTTGCCCAATAAATCACATACCTTGTTTTTCTTGTTCCAGCATACACCCCTGAACTTCGATGTCAACTGCTTGTTTGACGACACTGCCACCGCCTTGGTACCATACACAAGGGCCCGTGCTCGAACATTATTTGCATCGTCATTATGAAGTCCATCCACTGTCGACGCTAACAACCCCGCGTGATTATCATCGTCCACGCCATCAGCGCCTGCACTTCGTCCCTCGGATCCTTCACCCTCTTTATGCGCCCCAAGAATCATGTGGAGTGAAAACCTCTGTCAGGCCTGAGCTTTATCCATGAAAAGTGTTGCTTTTGACAAAGCCAGGTTTCTGGCGGCCTAACGTCCCATAGTTTCAACAGCAAAATAGTGGGGCATGAATAATCGCTGCTCCATCAGTGCTATGGTGGTAAAAATCACAGCCCTGATAAGAGTGAGGCAAAGGTCTATGAAACTTCTCAAGCCAGCCCCTTTACGAATGATATATGTAGCATGGCTAATGTTGAGGCGTCAGAAAACATACAGAGTACGCCTTATTACCTGGATGTGTACTGCACTCCAGCAACCGCAACAGGAATACAGTTCGCAGTGACCAGTTTCCACATGCTTCCCACTTTACACCTTGCGGTATGGTAGCCGGTTCAACTGCAGTTACGGAACTTCGACGGCTTTAGCGCCCATGGATGGAGGAGACCCAATTCGAACGCGCCCGTGAACTGTCCAAACACTTAATCCTTCCTTGTCCCTAGACTATACGATCCTGCGGTGCTGCATCATGGCGCAAGGCTACTACAGCACGAAGAAGTTACTCCATGCGCTGCCGCTGTCGTATCGCACTGTTCTTCCAAAGCCTTTTCGCATGCGAATGGGACTTGGTCAAAGTGCGTGCCAGCTGAACTTGGCTACCCGCGACACCCGCAATGCTGGAACACTTACTTCCGTCCCCTCAACGCTGCATTATCATGTCTATTACCGTACACATGAGATACGGCATTGTGTTCCTACCGCAACCATCCCGGTCATCGTCGTGCAATAATTCATGCTTACGTTTGGTGCACGAGGTGCGACCAGAAATTCAGTATCGGCCAGTGTCAATGACCTAACCTCAACAAACCCAGCGCCGACTTCTTCTTCTTCAAGCACTACAACATGCACCTCCTATGCAAATGCATTTAGATCCAAGAAGCCCTGTCCCCCAACTGCCTACCCTGGCGCTACCCAGCTAGCATTACCCATGCAAGGTGTTAACCCCGGCCATAATTACCGTAATTACTCTCTACGCATGTAAAACACAGCCACATATCCCGCTACCGCTATATCCCAAGGGCCCGCTAGGACGATAGACAATGACAACCCCCACTGCCTCAAATCCCCATTTACGCGAACCACTTACTAACCGGTAAAGCGTTCCCATTCCCCACTTCCTACGCAAGCTGCTCTACTGTCAACTCTATTGCTATGCCCGGGGGTGCCGTACGTCACCCCTTCTCCGGCCGCCCCACCAACCCGAACAGCCCCAGCAGCTCAAACAGCCCCACCACCACCTCCACCACGATCAACCAGATCACGATCCACTCCAGTCGTACGTTGTGGTAGTTGTTCTGGTGGTCCCGCAGCATGTCAAGCATCTCCTGCGGTAGCGGCGGAGGGGAGGGGGCAAAGAGGAAACAAGTTATGAGAGGGATAAGCTGAGCTGAGATGGGAGGTAGGAGGTGAATTATACAAACAGACGAGGCTGGGTGACATGATAGCGACACCCATTATGTGCATGATAACTGCCGTGGCAGCACCCGTAGCTACACAAGTTTCGTTTAGTGCACCTCCACCCGCATCAGTGAGGCGAAAAATATTACCATGCAAAGATTTTACATATGCACCTTGGGGCGCAAACTTCAATTAATATTATCCCGTCTAGGCATGAATAAATTAATCCCCTACCCAGCTGTGCGAACACACAAACGATCCACAAATGAGGGCCGCGCGATGATCCTACCATACCACCCTCCGCAACCCATCCCAAGTACCCACACCCCACACCCCTCCCCTCCTCCTCCGCCCCCACCCACCTGCAGCACTGCAAAGCGGCTGTTCAGCAGCTCCACGCGGCTCTCCAGCTCCAGGTACTCCGTGACGCGCGTGTACAGCGCCTGGCAGCAGGAGGGCGGGGCGGGGGGGAGGGGGCGGAAAGAGACATGAGAAGTGAAGAACACTCATGCAGTGAGCGGCGCGGGAAGGGAAGTGAGGAGGCGGGGCGGGGTGGGAAAGTTAATTGGAAGGCGGGGTGTTTGTTCCTCTGGAGGCGGGGTGCAATGGAAGGTTAAGAGCATGTGCGCAAGGTTGATGCAGTGATGGGGAAAGTCGGCCTCAGATGTGTGTAGGTGACCACAAGTCCCCAAATCCCAAATTTCGTATAAAATCTCCCAAGTAGGAAGAGATAAGAGAGGGGGTCGGACATTTAACTCGTGCCAGGGCTAATTCATGGGACGCAGGGAACCGCAAAACGGGCCATGCGTACCCGCGCTGAACAAATCCATCCGGTGCACTAAAACATATTCCCAGCCGCCATACCACCCTGGCACACCCCACCTGGAAGCTATCCGGTGCATGCCAAAAGAACTCCGGCGTCCCCAGCACGCTGCCCTGCAGGGTCGCGCCGCGCGCAAGGGGGGGCAGCAGGGGTAACGGCAAGCCGGGCGCATGCGGGGAAGCAGCTGCATGTGCTGCTACGGGTAAGCAGCGTCCAGCTGAAACAGGTGGAAGCCGGTAAAGCCGGTTGCAGGGGCTTCCTGACCAGCATCTTGTAACTGCCTCGGCCTGTAGCCCCCAGGTTGGGGCTGATGCAGACCGGGGCCCCCCATCCGCAGCCCCCCGCCCCTACCAGCAGGTTCACAGCCCCCCGCCCCTACCAGCAGGTTGACGGCGCTCTTCTGCAGGAACACCTTGCCGATCAGCTTCGCGATGTCGTGACCGCTGATGTCCACCTCGCCGTGCTCCGCAAGTGCCTGCGCAGTGGGTGTGTTAAAATGACCGACCGTGTTAAGAAAACTGGCCGCGAGTAGGAACGTACTGGAATGTCGGAAGATGAAGTCCCCACAGAACCGCCGCAGGAGCCGAGGAATATGGTAGCGTATGTACATATAGAAGCACCGACCGTGTGTTAAGAAAACTGGCCGCGAGTTGGAACGTACTGGGATGTCGGAAGACCGTGTGTGTGTGGTGGGGGCAAAGATCACACCGGACCATGGGGACAGCCCGAAGAGAAAGGTAGGGGTGTGCGTGGCTGTGACTTAACACCGCGGGAAGAAACGTGCTCCATTCTTGACTCTTGCATGTTGAAAGCAACAGTCCGACGAGGCATCCCCTAGTAGTATGTGCGGTAACCGCAACCCGGTTGCTCTACAAGAACGTTGCGCGGTGTGGCAAACAGTGTGCAGCAACGTAAAAAGCGGTCAACTAGTACGGCAGTCAACTAGTACCAGTACGCAATAATGCATGCTTTGGAAAAAAAGTCCTTGTCGACGGAAGCGCAGGTTCCTGGTTTACAGTACGTTGCCGGTATTACCGCTCGCCATTGTAATGAGGAGTTTCCAATTATAGAAAAATCCATTAATCCCTTCCCCGTACGGATCCAAGCCCTGTCGTACCTCTGGCAGGTTCTTCGTCTCCAGCACGATGTCGGTGACCCGCTTCTCGTACACCGACAGCTTGGTGGACTGCGCTAGCGCGTAGCTAATCGCCAGCTTCATCTGGGGGCGCGACAAAAAGAAGCAGGGGGCATGGCACAGGGAAGACACGAGAGAGGGAAGCATGGAGAAGGGAAGCATGAGGAAGGGGTCAAAGAGAAAACCGTTTTCATGGAAACCATAAGTGAGGGCAAGGCAAAGGAGAGGCATGATTAAGGGGAGGGCGGTGGGCAAAAGCAACGAGTACAACCATAGCACAACAACAAGAAAGCAGGATTCCGCCACATTCCACCACCACGACTATGGCATTGAGGAAACACACAAGAAGGTAATTAAGGTAAGGTAAGGTAAGGTAAGGTGTAGGTAAGGTAATACTTCTTTCTCAAGGAAGTGTTAAGAGCAGGCAACGTACTGTCAAACCCCCTGGTTGCCCCCTTTCCTTACCTTGTGATCTTGTGCATAACGCCGGTGCAGGGTGACCGTGTCGTTCTGCACGTGCTGCTGCTTCTCATGGCTGTAGCAGTACTGGAACTCGTCCTGAGTACGGCAAAACGACAAATTCTAAAGACGCGTACAGACACAAGTTAGGACAGTTAACACTTTGTATCACTTCGTAAACATGTAGACAGAGTTGCGATAGGCTTGCTGGGAAGCCAGCTATCGTTCGGTGATAGCGAACCATAGCACTATATATGATTATAAGGACGACTGGGAAAACCTCGGTTCCTCGATGGGAAACCGGAAAGGACATTCCATCCCATGCGTTCCCAGGCACCCAGCGGTACCCGGGCTCTAGCCTGCCTGCCCGCTTGCCTGCCCGCTCTAGCCTGCCCGCCCGCTTTGCCCCTGCTGCCCCAGACAGCCTGCTCAGCTGCCTTGCTTTCCGTTCAGTGTGCTGCCGCCCCTGTGTCACTCCGTGTGGTTCCCCGCTTGTTGCCTCCCGGAGCCGATACCACGACAGCGGCCCCAAGCTGTCCTCGTAAGACACGTTCACAACACCCCTGCTCCCAGCCCTGCTCCCGACCCTGCTTGCACCCTCACTGCTCGCAACCTCTCAACCTTGCCCCCCTCCCGGCTCCCCCCCTCACTGCTCCCCCCCCGCTCACCACCTCGGTCCACTGCTCCGGCAGCGGCTGCTCCGTGCACTGCGTGGCGATACCGCGCACGATCGTCATCTCCTGCGTCTTGGTCATACCTGAGGCAGAGCAGGGAGGAGGGGCGCCGGGGGTGTGTGTACCGCTCATTTGAACCAGGAAGGGAGAGACCGGCCAACCCCCGCACACCCCCGGCGTCCTATTATAAGAGTTGGTTGCTGGCCTGGGTTGCCCGCTGCTGGGTTGGACTGCTCAAGCTGTGCCCCACACATGTTACTGCGCAGCGCACCCCCGCACGTACCCCAGCACGCCACCACTCCGTAATCGAAGAAGAAGACGTCGCCGCCGGGCTGCATGTCCGCGCCCTTGATGTACTCCACGTAGAAGGCGTCCGGAAAGGAGCGGATCTGCGCGCATGCGAGGTGGGTTAGACCTTTCAGGGGAGGACGCGGGCAACCTGGTGGTAAGGGATACTGCGGTTTGGGGCTAGGAAGCGGGAAGCAAACTTGCACACATCACTGATATAGCATCAGGTGTGTCTGTAATTGAGGAGCAGGTCCCTACATGTGAGGCATGATACGCGTTCAACGCTTCTTCAACAGAAACAGAGACATACGTGCCACAAGGTAACCCCTTAGCACGCATACGCCGCCGGGCTTAGTAGCTGCAGCAAAGACATCTGGTACTGTTTTTACGGTTTGTTCCGTTTCTTTTGCAATGTAGGGTTGGGTTCATCACCCGTGTTTCCTTTTAGGGCACCATTGTAACGGTCATTCATTCATCTTTCGTAAAAAGCTGTACCACAGATTATTTATTTTACTGGTGAATCCCAAAGCCGGGCCTTACAGCTGGATCCAGCGGCACCTGCCGCTTCACTCTTGCGATGAGGCTAACTTTTCGATGTGGCTCTCGTCGTGACCTAACACGACGATAGCCACATCGAAAAGCCTAACCGCTAATTGTCAACGTTCACATCCGACATGGAACGTGCTGAGTGCCGTACTGCTATTGCATTCCTCTTGTTAAATGCTTACGTACCGTGTTGGGCGGATATGTGAGTTTGAGCAGCTCTTCAAGCTTCTTGCGGTCGAAGCTCTCAGCCACGCAGTAGAACCTGCAGCAGGCAAGGAGGAGCGGAGGGAGGGCGCAGGGAGAGAGGGCGCAACCGGGGTGGTAAGAGAAAACCAAACCACAAGTAAGGGCAAGGCAACAGGGAAAGGAGGTGCAACCCGGGTGCATAGGAGCTCAAGGGCGCAACCGTGTGAGGAGGAACCGGTGATCTGTACAACTTCTGTTCTGTATGTGCTAGGTATGCATCGGTAAATCATTAAACAATTGAATTAGGAAATACCGCTACAGGCGGGCGGCGGCATTGAACCCTGACAACGTTGCGACAACAGCTGGTGCTGCTGCTAATGGTGGTGCGGCATGGCGTGCGGCGTCTGGTCTGGGGCCGCCAAGCTCAGCGTGGCGTGCTGGTATCACCGCACCAGGTAAAGTCAGCCATTCGTTTATGGTTGGAGGTGAGGTACCCGTGCGTGTGCTCTTCCCACACCTGCGAGGGCGACACCCTTCCACCCTGTGCCGACCGTAAGCCGGGAGGGTGCGTCACGCACCGTGTGCTGTGGATTCACCTCCTGCCCTTTGAAGCCCCACCCGCTAATCGCGGCTCGCTCGGTCACTGTTTCCCCCTCATGACCCCCTCATACAGCCCTTACCCATCCACCAGTCGGAGGTGCTAAGGGGTGGCGCCAATCGCAGGTGCAGCAAATGGCAAAGAAATGGCAAAGAACAGAAGAACAGAACAACGACGTTTAGGGTCCCGAGAAACGCGGGGAATCGCCTAAAATACCCATTTGAAACGCAAACGGACTAACCAGTGCTCTGGCCGTAACGCAGCATCCGACTCCATCGCCACTTCGCCCTCCCTAAACCCTACCCCGGTGATTGACTAAAGACGAGTAAAGATGTGCAATGGAACCTACGTGATGCGTCCGCGCCAGCAGCTGTCGTCCCGCAGGAGAGGACGGGGAAGCTCGTCGCGCGGTAAATCCTCGAAAATTCCAGGTGGGGGCAATGCAGCGGCCAATGACATTGCATCCTCGGGCGAAGGAGCAGGAAGCGCCGGCTCCTCGAGGGGAGCGGGTAGTAGCGTCGTGTCATCGTCTTCCTCAGGAAGCGCAACAAATTTATCGCGTTGCCTGCCGGCACCGATGGGGTGCCCAATTGCCACAGTTCCGGACACACGTTGTCTCGCGCCGGAAGGGAAACGCCGCTCCCTGATCGGGGACGTTGGTCCAAGTCGGCGGACTAGGCTTTGCCCAGTGTACTGTGGAGGAGGTGCGCTTTGCTGCCGGCCATTTTGCAAAGGCGCAAGAAGCGGCACAGCATACTGCCCATATTGTTCTCGCTTCCTGCTATGCATTGAGCTTTACTTGATGGTATTGAATTGGTGTTTCCTTATAGGTGCACAGGGATACAGCTACATTTCACAGCCCCTCAGGCAGAAGCGTTAAGATCACGCAGCGTACATATCATGTAACGTATGCCGGACCAAAAACAAGGAAAATGCAGACGAGCCGTTCACTGTTGCTTGTCAATGAGGTGGCAGCTAGTACGGCAAGGAAAGAGAAGAAGAATCGTCTGCCCACCCACAGGCCCTTCAACTCTTAATTTCAATCTCTTGACAAGATGATTTCCAGTGGAGGCTCTAGCCGCTTGCTTGCACGGCGACAGCCTGTTCGTCAGCAGCAGCGGGCCTTTGCGTCGTTGCGCTCATATGTTCCCCTTCAGCGTGCACTAAAATGCGCTGCTGAGCTAAATGGTGAAAACCATGGAGAAAATATGCGGCCACAGGATTTCGCCAAACGTGTTGCAAGCATGGCTATGGCTGGCATCGCTTCGGTGGCCATCCTAGCACCAGGTGCGGTGGTATCCACGGCCTACTCTTCATTAATGCGGCATCGCTGTAGCGACGCTTTGTTTACATATGTGCTGTACCGACCGCACGATGGTCGTGCTCGTTAGGCTCTATGGGGCAGAGTCGCTCTGAGCCATACGTGCTCTACCCGTGACTTTCCCTGCTCCCTACTGCTTCTGTGGATGGCGCGTTTCCAAATCTCATTATTTCGCAAACACCAGCAACACCAATCGTTGTTCACCGCGGCAAGTCATGTAGGCGCCTTCGCTCGGCCGCCTGGGGTTAACCGTCCCGAACTCCTGCCAACCGGAGGGGAGGCCACACCTGTGATTGACGTCGCAGGCTTCTTAACGACTTCGGAGGTATGTTAGCTGCACTTACCGGGGCCGTATCCCATCTGCTGCTTGTTACACAGGTTGCGGATCACAAGCTGCGTTGCTTTGGAGCGAAGGGCCTTAGATGCCACCAATGACCAGTTCTGGATACAGGGGTTAGGGGGTCCTGTATCCCGAACTTCGCCTCTATATCATGGAGCCCTTCGTGTTGCAACGGAATGCGAGGCCTGCCGCATGTACATGACCGGCTGTGTCCATCGGCTGCTTCCCTTCAGTGGTTCCTTTTTGTACGGTCGCACATGCCTAAAAGCGCAGCCTTCCCACGTCCATAAAGATACGATTTGGCCATGTTGTTCTGTCCACCTCCTTTTCCCTCCTTCCCACATTACCTTCACTCGCGTTCCTTGCAGGAAAGGCGCATTGCGGCGGAGGTTACCTCCCTGGAGCACGACACGGGCTTCAAGCTGCGTGTCTTGGCGCAGAATTACCCTGAAACGCCAGGTCAGCGATCGACCCGATCCCCGCGGCCCTGTTAGGACGCCCTCGTCGCGCACGGCAAGACACTGTCACTTGCACCAGCCAGTTGACGTGTTGATGTATACCCCAGGCGATTAGTATCTTTAGATGGATGTTTCCTCGCAGCTCAGTTTACCTGATCTCCATGCTCGTCTTGTTGTACGGCAGGTCTCGCTGTACGCGATTACTGGGGTGTGGACGACAACACGATTGTGTTTGTGGCGGATCCAACGTTTGGTGACATCCTGAACTTCAACGTTGGGGCCGCAGTAGATTTGGAAGTCCCACGGGTAAGCCCAATTGTCGCCCTTTGGCTGCCATGTGGTTGTGTTGCGGTAATAAGAAGAACACCGAAAGAGTAACTTGATTACTCCATTCCTTACTGTGTTCCTCATTTTCTGGCGCCCACTATCCCTTCAATACGCAAAAATACGTGCATTAATCGCATGCGGATTTTTAAAAAAAACCTAAAACCAACGTACCCCTTGCTTCCGTACCCACAACAGAGCTTTTGGAGCCGACTAGCCGGAAAGGTGCGTCGTCGGGCATAACTCAGAGCTCACGGCATCTCCAACGGTGTGTTCTCGAGCGAGTGGCTAGTATGGGGAGCAGGGAGAACAGCTGTCGGGTGCAGTACAGTGAAGTGAAGTGATGTGAAGCAGTGAAGTGAAGCAAATTCGCAACCTAGAGGGTCATGTTCAGGGGCATTATGCTGCCGCCTATATTATCATTTTTGTGGTTGTTGCTTTTCCCAAGCCTTTTCCTTCCCGTACACCGCCCGTTTTTCCGTACACGCCCATGTACCATACCGCCTGTTTTAGGCTTTTCCTGTTTGTGACCAATCTATTTTTGCCTTGTTGTCTCATGTTCCCCCTAGTAGTGCCGGTAAGTGCGGTAACGCCGGTAGCACGGCAGCCTTCTGCACGCTTCTGGCATTGTGGGCTTGGCTCTGACGCTTTGGAGATGCTGAGATTCGGAAATAGCGTTAACATATGGCTCCCGTAGTGCTTCCGTAGTTACCCTTTGGGCTGTGCACCAAATCCAACGTTATATTCAAACAACTAATCGTGTATCCCGGTGTACCCTGTCTGCAGTACGGCAACAAGTTTTACTGGCAGCAGAATGGCGAGGCGGCCTCCATCCTGAACGCGGTGAGGTACAGGGAAGAGGATTTGGGTGGGGGTCAGACAGGGCCAGGCTGCTTCGAATGGTTGCCAGAAGCTGCTGTGGCGGAAGTACCGAAAACATGCCTCAAGATTAGATCTTGATGCGAGTTGTGGGATGTGTCGATGTGCTCTTGGGCTCTTGGCAATGGAGGGAGGGGAGTTAAGCTGATTTCCTCTCTGCCTGCGCTGGCCAACGGCGCTTTGGTGTGCTATGGGATTCCCGTGATTGCGCCTCCCAGCAAAGCCAAATCATTACAGTTCTGTGATCTTAGGAGTGTTTTGGGCTATAGTACCACCGGTGTATGTCGTACTAGGTTAACGCCCCTGACAAACCTGATGCTTCCATGGGGACATGTGTCCGACAGGTCTCTGCGATCGACACCTGCTTGCGTGAGGAGCCAGGCCGCTTGAAATGCAGCACTGTGCAGGTGCGTAGTAGCGCTGCGCGCGGGGGGATCGCGTGGAATGCATTTCGCTGATGCAGTACCGGTATCAGCATACGCATGCATGCATGCCGCATAGCGCTATACCGTACAGGTAATCGGGGGCGCAACAGGGCGGTGTGCCACTTTATTAGGCAAACGCGTTTCGATGTGCGGGTGTTTGCGAGGAACTGCCTTCTGTTTGCTTCCATCTAAGGGAATGAATACCGGTACATATCGGGAGGGCTTAACATGAGATAACCGGTACGACCCAGGAACGTGGGCCAAAAACGCCTATAGCCCTTACGTTAAAACCACCAAGCCATGCTACCGCAACACCACTCAGGCAACGAACTCATTTCCCTTTCTGTGACGGCTGCTCCTTCCTGTGTTGGTTGCGTAGGGAGAGCCTGAGGAGGCCTCCGACTCCGGCGGACTGATCAACAAGATTTTCGGGTAGTGATGACTGATGAGGTCATTTCCAGTTTTCCTGGGTTGGTTTCTGAGCGTCACAATCGTGAGGCGATTGTATGGAGAGCTCTTTGTAGGCTGCACATTGTCGACGGCGACAGGGTGGGGAAAATGCGGTCAACCAAGGGGTTCCTCCTGTTTGGTGTTCCTTGTGTCATTGGTGATGATATTTTATCTGAACGCAACATGCCTATGTTGGCCGAAGTCGTTAACTGGCACGTAATTTAACCCCCCGCCAGGTACCCTATATTAAGTGAAAGGAAGGGGATTGGGGGTGGATGTGTGCAGCTTGGGTGTTCTGGTGGAGCGGATTCTTTTTTCGTGACGATGCCCGACGGCAGGCCACGGTTCGGCGGACCAATGAATATACCAATTATATAGAACTATTAGGAAGCCTGCCGCGTTTTTTGTATGTGCACTTGCCTAGGTCGTTCTTAAGCTCTGCGGTGGTTGGTAGCAGGTTGCCTTTCACTCGGGTCGGTAGGGGCGCACATGTCCTGTTGTCAGCATTCCATGATTACAGACGTTTGATTCTTCTTCAGAAATGCATTGGTGTCTTGGCGCTGCCAAGGCAAGAATGCAAAACCCGGTTACCAAGGGTCCCTGCTGGATCCGCCTAGGATTAACGCAAGTTTATTTCCACTCGCGAACATTACTCCAAAGACTGCCAACCAAGCCTAATGAAGGGAAGCGAGTAGCTACATGCAAGAAGGCGAGTGTAGTGCACGGATGCGACGTTTCACCACAGATTCTCTCCATCGTCAGCTCCTGCTCATGTTGCTTGTGGATAGTTGGGGAGGGCTGACGCTCATGATTATATAAACCTGCGTAGGATAAGTGGTGATGAGGAATTACATGCATGGCCACAAGGCTCATAAAGAGATATGGCGGAAGCTGGTGCTTTGGGAGGGTGTGGGGTGTGGGGGTGAAACGCGTAGGTTTTTCGGTACGAAAAGGCGGTTTCTTGGACGAGGTACGATACTTCTTTTCGCTATATGCGTTCTAAGTATTGTGTCACGGCTACTCCGCCGTGTTGTGATACTCATAGGTACTATCTTGTTGCTTATTAAGTACCCGCCCGCCTTCCCCGTCCGCGGCCCAGCCGGTTCTCCGCCGGGCCGCCACGGATTTCCCGTCAATTGTGTTCTTTTGTTGCACGGACTTTCGGTCTCTCCGGTAGTTCGTGGCCTTGAGTGTTGCAACCGGCCATTGGTGCAAATTAAACCAGACCGAAGCGATCTCATGGCCTGCTTAAATGGGTGTGTAGCATGGAGGGGTGACGGTGCGGTGGGGTGGTTGGGTGCGTTTTTGCGGCTGTTTACGAGGGCGGCGCGTGGGAGTCACATTTGGGATGGTGAGCTGCTGGCAGCGTAGGGACGTGGATGTGTTGGGTTGGACAAGGAGAAGAGATGATGGTAGGGAAAGTTTGGGAGCCAAGGTTTGGCAAGGGAGGGACGGGGATGGAAGTAAAGGCAACAGAAAGAAAGGGAAGTGTCGTTACAGCAGAAGAGGCAAAGGGATGGAAGCACAGGGATGGGGACGGGATGGTTTGGCAAGGGGTGTTGCGGGGAGAGAACGATAAAGGCATGGAAACTGAGGGAGGGCGTGGGCAGGGGAAGGGATAGGAAAGCAAGATCAGGAACGGTGGTGAAAGGAAAGCGTGGGGCGGTAAGGCAAGAGCAAGCTAGGGGTGGGGAGAACAGGGCGGTGGGAAGGCTTGTGTAGGAAAGGGAATTAAACTGGAGTGGCTATACCATCCATACCTTTCAGTTCATGTTGGTTTCCAGTTGGAAGTCTCCGTAACTGCAGGAATGGTATGCGTATAGCAATCAACCGTTCCGCAAGCTCGGGAATGCCTTGCAGCTCAGGTGGAACCTCTGGAAGTTCTAGCCCGCTGTCCAATGAAAACCTTAGGCACGGGTCCCTACGAATGCTGCCAAGGCATGTGTGGCATATGTAGCCCACACCGCGCCGTGTTACCCAGCCCGCTAGGTTGGAAGCCCACTCCTCGTTGAGTGTGTCATACATGTTTTCCGTGACCTCCACAACTGATTGCCTGAACAGCTTGCGTTTGCAGCAGCAGCAGGCATATGAGCAGGACTCTGCAAAGGCAGATTTGCAGGCTTTCTCTGCTGCTTCAACTGAAGTATAGGTGCACCTCTGCACACCACTGTTTTCGTCGAATGCTGGGAGTGCCTCGTCGCCAAAGTCGTCATCTCCTACGTGGGCAGGGGTTTGTGGGTGTTATCACTGCATGTTGGTCGCAGCAGCTAGTATTCAGTGGTACGCTCTCTTCAGTGCAGCATTCTTTCACCAACCTTCTCAGAAATGCACTCATAACAAACAACGTACCTATACCGCTCTCCTCTTGAGCGCGTCTTGCAACATTCTGACCTTCGTATTCCGCACCACACGTGCTGTAACACTGGGCCGCTCCATTTCCAGCAGCAATGTCCGTGGCAAAGCTTCCTTCCCAGTAGCCTCCATCGTTTGTAATGCTTGTTTAAAAGCCTGCTCATCTTCTGTACACCACCGACAGCGTTTCTTGGGTGGTGGCGGACCAGACATCTCCACTTCGTTAACAGCTGCTTCATTGGTGCCGCTACCACGCCTTAATTCTTTACCGCGATAAGTGTTGTAAATGAAGTTATCTAGTTGCTTCTTTGTAACATTGGCAAATCGAGAGTCTTTTCTCAAGCTTTCTGTAAAGTGCTTCACAGTAACTCTTCTATTATCTGCAGCTATACGTTCTGCAGCTTGTTGCAACGCAAGCAGTTGGTCATCAGTCCAGCGGCGTTTGCCCATGCTGCTTCATAGCAACACATTAACAACATAAGTATTCTAACGTTGCTGTGATACGCTGCACTGTGTATAACTACAACGACTATCCGTGGTGAACAAGGGATGCCAAACAGCCACTGTAAAAAAGCACGTGTACGACAGCGCCTTTCTGAACAGCAACGTTGCACCTTAACAACAGACAACAGGGAAACACTTTCGGTTGTTGTTCCGAACATTCACAATAGCACCACTTAACACCAACTTTATGTTCATGCCCCATAACCATGTTGTCTGTGTGTTCGAACACAACTGTTCTCCATGGTACCGTGGCTTACATTTAGTAATAGTCTGCAAAAAGTTACAATGATATGGCTTCGTGTGCTATGTTACCTAAACGGGAAATTTTGCTGGGACCTTAAGTCCCGGTGTTCCTTAAGGCTTTTCCCTTGCTTCCACGGCGCGGCCTATCGGAGCGCCTAGAACCAAGGGCAGGCCAAAAACCTGACTGACATGGTTACGTTGCCGTTTTCTCTGGGGCAGGGCAGGAGGGGTGCGGAAGTATGTTCTGTACCTCATGCCCCTCCCGGGCCTGAGACACCCCGGGGGTAATAGAACTCATCGACAGTCGCCCTGTAGGTGTGGCGGCGGGGTCAGATGCTGCTCATACGGCCGGGTAGGCCCCCGAAACCTTGGTTCACCCAGACCTCAATTCATGGCACGTCCTTCCCAAACCACGCACGCCTGCGTCACCATACTCAGCGTCACGCTCGGCAGTACAATACTACATGAATTGTGAGCTCCCTTTGGTCCACACAAACTTTAGGTTATTTGTACTTACGGCTTCTACAACGTCTTTCGCTGTCCCGTGGGCCCCTGGTTCACCATGGCAGTTGTTTCGCAAACGAGTCAAGCTTTTGGTTATGGTAGTTGTATGTGGATTTGTGGCAGGTTTGTTGAAGCAGTCGTTTCGAGGAAAGCCTCCAGTTTTGGTCAATCAAGCAGCATGCCCTTCCTACAGCATATAATGTACACCTCCAGCGTTTCCTGTGGTCTTTTGTTCTTTATCATGTATACAATATAAAACAGAGCGATACTGTTTATGTAGCCGCGCGAAACCAAATGGCAGTTCCAACATTGAATGGCGCGGCGACATTCGCCAAGCTCCCTGCCTTCGAGAAGAGTGCAACAATACCGTAATACACTTAGCTTTTGCTGCAGCCATAGTTAATGTAGCGCTGTTAAAGCACGAAGTGATGGATAGTATGTGAAATAATCACACCGGGAAGGTTGCTTGACACCGCAAATGCTTGTTATCAAAAGGATATACAATTTTGCAGCATCTCAATGAAGAAAACGAGCCAACCGGACGATTTCGGGGGTCTTCCACGCCATCCGTGGATGACGAGTTCCACACTTGGCGTGGCGTACAGCTTAGCTCCGCCCCGCACCACCCCGCCCCGGCCGGCGTGCACCCAAACAGGACTATTGAGAAATATTGAGAGGTATTAAAGCCGCTTGAATGCTTATCCTGGCATACGGTGCTACTTGGGGATCTTGCATTTGAGCTTGCCACCCCTGGCTCCTCTAACTGAGACTCTATGCTGAGGCCGATCTTACTGTGACTTAATGACCTGTTGCCGAACAACTAACGCATCGTGACTTATTTCTTCGGCTCAAACATTTCAGTAATCATGAAGTCAGCTGCTTGGCTTCTGCCTTTCCTTGCATTAATGGCTATACCGACGGCTTTGGCAGATGCACCGACGAATTTCAGTTTACCAGACCTTGCCAAATCTTTCTGGACGGAAACCGGTGAGGGCTAACGGCTGAGAAATTCCCTTTGGAACGGGCAGCAGTTCGTTAACAGCCCTGTTGGCGCGGCTCGGTGCAGGCCTGAAGTTCCCGTCAAAGGCTTTAACGGAGGCTGTTACACGTGCAAAGTTGCCTGTACTGGTAGGTGGGGCCGCGCCGTTGCAATGAGCGTATCTCCGATCTTCAAGGGAAGATCTTCATGCGCGGTTTTGCTGTGGTGGACCGGGTTTTGCGCATCTGGGATAGGGGTGGGTCTGCCTGGGTATGGGTTTCCTCAACTAGCAATCTTACCGGAGGGGGGTATCGTCCACACAATCGAGAAGCGTTCCTCGTTGCCTTTCCCGCTGTCCCTTATCCCTTATCTGGAGTCCTGGACCCACTCCTCTTCATCTTCTCCTCCTTCCAATTCAGGATGCCGCTGGTCATCGGCGGGAAATTGTTCTCATGGCCATCGCCAACGAGTTTGCGTTTCACCGCATGTTTGACATTTTCTTGACCTCCCTTAGTAACATCACCTTCAAGGGAGCTGGCGGGTGAGGGGAAATGAATATGACCCATGCGTTGAATGATAGTGGCGTACGGACGAGGGGAGGGGGCTACGACGGGAGGTGGAGACTCTTGGGAGGCGTAGGGAGGCCATGCCCGGTATGAGTTTGTCGGGAAAGGCCTTGGCCCATCACGCTCGCTTAGCATCCTAAATAGGTAAGCCGCTGGAAGGGGGCGGAGACCTCTCGGTGGCATACGAAGGGAGGATGGAAGGAGGCGGGCGGTCGAGACGTGTGCGGCAATGGCACCAGCAGCTGCCCAGCTATTATCGGTAGAGGGTCAGCTGGCCAGCGGCTTGCACCATTCGAACATTTGGCGTTTGCGATAGACTACAAGTTTTGGCATGTGGCATTTCAGCCAGTCTCATCCGGAAATGGTGTTGAAACGTTTTGCGGAGTGCTTATGTTCTCTCGTCTCACGACTGGGCGTGGGGCAGGGGGTGGGGGGGTGAGAGTGGACCGAAGGACAACAGAGGAGGTAGAGAGATGGCGAAGCCGGTGGCTATTCATTGTGATAGGGCTCCTGCATTTTGTTTCCCCACCAATCCGCATTAGTTTTCCGGTCTACTCTTCCTCCTTTTCTCTCCCGCACCTTTCCCTTTGTCCTATTCCGCTCGTCCGCTCATCTTACGCCACATTTTCAGGTCCGAGGACAACCTCGCTCGTCACCTCATTATCAACATTATGGTACGAGCAAACCGTAACGGCTGGGAAAGGTTGAAACCGGTTGGGGGAATGGCAACCAAAATAGAGACCGTACGGGTGACTGAAACATCTCAACCGCCTCGCTCGCTCCTGAGCACTCTTGTTAAGCCATGTTTTGTTATTGCTAATTCGCATTTCATTACCCGTTGCGGAACGTTACCTGTTGGACACCCAAATGGTGATTCCTGCCATGCTGACCCTCCTGGTCTGCCAAGAATCCTCTGCTGCTTCCAAGCTACTTCCCATCCCCATCCCCATGACCCCATGCGTGCAGACCAACACTGGCACGGACAACTGTACGGCAGTTGCCGGGAAGTACGGCGCCATTTGTGTGCCGTACGGAAACAGCCACTTTACCCTGGGCACCTTCCACGCGTTCTCCAACGAGTTTTACGGCATTGGTAGGCGCTGCAGATTGGTATATGAGTACGATTGCTTTGCAATGAGTTACATCAACTGGCCGCCTGACTCTGGCGCGGGGATACCGGTAGTTTACTGTCACTGTAGGCAGCCCATGCATATGCTCAGACGCAAGATATTAATAAGTAGTAGTATGGTTAACAGAGCAAAGAAATTGCAAATGTCTGTACAACAGTACTAGTACGGCATTGCTAAGGGTATTTGTGCGGGGAGCGTAAATCCAGTACATTTGGGGCAAGAGGAGAGACGAACATGACACAAAGTGTGGTCAGTTGACTCAATAGCAAGGAATTTCTCTCTACATCTCTGACATCCTAAGTAACTGAGGAAAAGAAAAGAAGACTACAAGAGAACGATATTGCCGTACAGACCTCCCTCCACCGCTGGTGCCACTCTCCCTTACTTCCCTCACCCGCCGATCGCCGTTGTTGTTGACGGCCCCCCGCAGTTGCGATCTTAGGAGCAAACCGTACAAACACTAGTAATGCCGTACGACTTTCCCTCCCCCTGGCTCCCTGGCCCCTACTCCCCCCACCCCAGGGTTTATCAAGACCGCCACCATCCTGGATGGTCTGACGGTGGGGGTGGATGTGCTGTTCTTGGATGCAGGTGAAGGGGCGGGGGTAAAGAGTACGAGACTGACTAATTAGGATAAGGGGTGGGGTGAGGAACAGCGTATAGAGGAATGTCTCTTTGGGGGGTGTACGGTACACAAGGAGCAAGGGGGGGAACATATGAAAAGCGAGGCAGGAACGGGGGAAGGGATAACGCGGCAGGTGATGTTGCTTAGGGAGACATGAATGGGATAAGTGGGCGTGCGCTGTCCGAACAAACGTTCACACGTGCCCTGTATCGCTCCCCCGCCCTGTGATTTTTCATCTTCCGGCAAGCACGTTCCCACTCGCGGCCAGTTTAGTTAACACACACCCACCGATCGACTTCTGTCCTTGCTTCTTGCCCTCACATGTGGCTTCCTTGGAAGCGGTTTGGTTTTTGAAAAGTGAACGTGATTTGTGTTAACATACCGGTAACGTGACCCATGCAGATCAGGTCGTGTTCAAGAATCCGCTGCCCTACATTCTCGCGCGCGAGGCTGACGTGCTGGTAACCGGAGATTGCCACAACCATCTAGATTCTGCGCCGATGGACCGTCTGCCGCAGATCGGCAACAACATCGGATTAATTTATTTTAGGTGAGCTCACTCTAAAGCCCACCTTCCTATGCTTGCTGTCACGTGCTTAGGTATACGGCACTACAAAGGCTGGCTCGGTTGCCCTTAGCTATGGAATGCTAATTTGTGACATCATTTCAATTGCTTAAAGATGCAGCTGCGTGTTTCTACCATGCGCAGCTCCCCTCAAACCGTGCCTTACATCGTAAGATTCCCATCGACCCACTGGATGTTGGTTTTCTCCCCCTTTCTCCTCTTTCCTTTCCTTATCACCCGCATATGCGCACGGCCGATTTTACCCGCGCTTGCACATGAAGGGCGACGGCGATGGTCACCCGTGCCGTCTACAACTGGTGCCTTTGGCTTGCGAATATTGCTTACCTCGGCGGCAAACCCTGGGACCAAACCACATTTGCCGTAATTGTTGAATGGGTCGCAGCGGATGTGACTGTGCGACATATGAGCATAGCAATGCTGCGTCCGGACAAGTTTCCGTTCATGTGTATGGTAAGTACGGCAGGGGTTGGTGTTAACATGCAGTAGGGAGTTGTACGTTACGTATTGCCAAGACGTGTCCCATTGGCCCGGGGGGTAGGTGCGGTAAACATAAAAACGGCAGGGAATGCTGCGTTCTGGGAAGTGCATTTAAGGTTGTTGATTTATAGTATGAAGTCCTGTTCTGCTTCTTTGTAAATCTGCAAATCTGCATGACAAATGTAGGGTCCGTGTGGATGCGATTTGCGTAATGTGCCGTACTATCACTGGGGTAAACAGCCTCGGCGTACGGCAGACAACACTTGCGAGCCAGCGCTGATGCGCGAGTGGTACTGCTACCACATGCCTTGCTCGGGAGACATGAACAATAAGGCCAAGCTAATGGAGGTAAGCTAGGGAGTCTATGGGAACGGGAACGAGGTGATCTTTCTGTTTGCCGTGTCCGGGATTTAGGGTTTCGGTGTGACCCACGGGTCGATAGACGGGCGATGAGGTACTAACAGCGTATGCCTGGTGTAGGGGACGTGAAAGCCCATCGTGAAGCCTGTAACTTATTAGACGGGGGTGCATTTTTGGTTTGTTCCTTATACCCCTATGAGTTCCTGACACTCCCTATATGCTGGCTCCTTTTCTATCTCTGCCACCTCAGGAGTATACTGTGATGTACCACAAGGTGATTGGCCCCATTAACAGCCTCTCTGAACCCATGACAGTGTTGCGGCCCTTAGCTTCTTAAGAACACCTTGAAGAATTGAGACGTGGAGGTCTTGGAAAAATCCCACTTCTTGAAAAAATCCCACTTGGTGCAGTCGATGGCCTCCCAGGAGAATTGCGCCTCTTCTTTATAATGGCCCTCGCTCAAGGTTTCAGGCCTACGAGTTGTTTGGGGTTGCAATAAGGAGGAGTTGTGGTGTGTTATGAGTCTGCGTTGCAATTGGGACGAGTTGTGATATGTCATTACTATGCGTAAGGGATTAATATTATAGGCCTTCCAGGCGCTTTTGAGTCATAGAACGCATATGTATGGTGCTGTGCAATTTGTGAGCAACGGGTTGCTGGCTTGGTGTTGAGCGGTACTTGGTTGATTGTTAATTCGCAATCAAACCGGTAACGATTTACGGCTAAGCTGCTGGCTGAGGCATCCGTGAAGTCCAAACGGTTCATTGCTGGCGCTAGGGTACAGCAGCTCAAAGAATACTTCCAATCAGATATAAGTATGGCGAAGCTCTAGAGCGGGATCTACTCCTGTGGCTGTTACTAAGGGTCCTTCCATCGATCGACGGAAGTTGTGCATACAGAAGAAGCATGCTTGTAGATAGAGCGGTTTTAGGGCGGTTGTTTGTAAGCTTCCGCTACGGGAGGTGCTTGACCACATAGAACCGGGCTGGGGTCACGGTGCAACAGCCCACTGCCGCACGCGGGAGCAACATATGCTGCCGGGTAGATGGACATTAAACTTACAGATGGCAAAAGGATTACCATGCATCAATGAAGGCAGCTCAGACATGCCATTAATGTAGGCAACCTGTGCTGCCGTACGTGCGTGGCCAGCCTCATGGATCTAGCAGTCAGTGCCTGCAGCTCCGAAATAACATGCCATTGGTTTGGAGTGGTTACAGCTTAGAGATAGATTGTACGGTGTCTACCGTTCAAAATTATATCCCAAAATACTGCGCATCCGAAAGTGCCGAGACCTGGTAGCTCCAAGTACGCATTGCCTGCTCAGGCAGGTCCAACCTTACGGATTATAGTCAGCATACAAATCCTGACTATAATGGGAGACCGAGCACGCCTCATGTTGTCGCAGGTGCAGGTGCGGGAGTGGCTTTAGCATTGGTTTCCAGGCAGGACTGGAGCCTATCCCAGGGTGGTGTCCTAAAGTGGGGTTCGCAGTGAGGGCACATCCAAACCCCACGCTAAAAGCCATGGTGGAGGCTAGTGGTTGCGTCGTAGGGATTGAGAACACCCGACAACAGCGTGCATGGACACCAGAGGCAATGCATGCTACCCGGGTTACTGGCCCTGGACACATACCGCCGCTGCTCCCTGTGCAGTTCCTGTGTGGTGTGGCTCCCGCTCTATATCTGGTGTGTGCTCGGCTGATGCCCAAGCCATCCAATCCCTTGTCACTTTCCTGCCACTGCGTCTGCCTCGCTCGTGCCTGCCCTTCCCGCAGTAGTTTGAACTCTATATCCTTGTGGCTGGTGCCTCAGCGGCTGCCCGTGTGCCTGCTATTGCTGCCCAGCAGCCTCTCTTAGTTACCAGCTGACCGCCCTTAACCGTGTGAGTTGTGAAGGCATCAGCCTAAGCCACAGCAACGACGTTACTAGGTACACTCATGCAGCGCGGAAAACGATGGGCATGACTGCTATCTGCAACTTGTCATGAATGGTTGCAGCTGTGATGTTCGGAATGGTGGAGCAAGAAGTATTTGAGGCAGGGGGGTTCTGGAATCGTGCGTGTTTTGGGGTGAGCCCGCATTCAGGAAGTACTCTTCAAGACAAAGACGAGGGTGTTGATGACGTTTAGGAGGTCGACGGGGTGGCGACGCTGCCTGCGGCAGAAGGTACAGCGTACAGGTGTCGACTTTAAATTGGATGATGGTACACCAACTTTAATGATAAAACTCTTGCTGTAGCTACTAGAGTGCAACTTACTTCAGTTCATATGCTCACCGTATAATAATAATAATAATAATAATAATAATAATAATAATAATAATAATAATAATAATAATAATAATAATAATAATAATAATAATAATAATAATAATAATAATAATAATAATAATAATAATAATAATAATAATAATAATAATAATAATAATAATAATAATAATAATAATAATAATAATAATAATAATAATAATAATAATAATAATAATAATAATAATAATAATAATAATAATAATAATAATAATAATAATAATAATAATAATAATAATAATAATAATAATAATAATAATAATAATAA